TTCCTCAACGTCACCGGTGATCAACTGGCTCTTCCTGGTTTTGCGAACAGAGACGATGCTTGCTGGCCACCGATGGATTCTGGGGCTGAGGGCTTCGCCTTGCTGGGTACTCGGCTCCTAAAGAACTTCTACACCATCTGGGACTACGGCGTGTTTCCCGAGGAGGCTGGGTTCATCCGCGCCAGCCTGTCTTTCGGCTACTTGAAGGAAGGAAAATAGAGTGACAACATCACATTCTGTAGTTTACTTAGGCAATATACTGATATCCTCTCTTCCCACGTCAAATCGCTATTGTTCCACTCCACCTTCTATTGATCGATACTATTTCTCTTATGCGAGTTGTGAGGGTAGGCATGTAATACGCCCCGTTGTCGTCTTCAATCCCAAAGCTCATCTGAAGCTCAGTACATGTCTCTCCTTGAACCCAATGCTCAACCCGATTACAGATCAGCCGCAGTTGCAGTAATAAGAGTCTCCTATGGTTGCATTAGCTTGGTCTCGTTGGGTCTCGTAATGGGGTTTATAATTGCAACGCATACCTGGCTGAGAGCAAGCTTCCAGTGCAGCTGACTCTGCTCCGCCCATGATCAAGAGGTGCTCGATACAGTCATCACAGTTGTTAATAGCCATGCAATCTCTCTGGCACTCTTGTTGAGCACGTGTTGTGCAACCAGTAGTGCATTGTCCAGGTGGCTGGTTGAAGCACTCGAGAGTGCAGAGAGATTGTTTCTCAGCCGCGCAGTCTGTGTATGTACCTCCTAGACAATTGGGGTTTGACCCAACTTCCCGAGGGCCATTGCATGCGTAGATCAGAGAAACAAAGGCACATAGAACAATAGGGAACTGGAAATATTAACACTGAGCATGTATATTTCTGGTAACATACCTTCATATTGAGTGTAGATCGGTTGTTAAACTTAAGTGAGGAGTACTGTAGTACTTTGATATGTCCTGGCTTATCTTCTGTCGAAGTCTTGATGAGAAAGAAATTTTGCGAAAGAGGCCCTTCTTTTATTCTATAAGCAAAAGAGCAGGATGCATCTGCCTGGACATAACATGACATCATTTATTGCATCCTCAAGAAGCTGAGATGGGGCAGTGGATCCAAATATGCGTGGGATCACACCTGATCGACAAGCTGAGACATCATTCTCCAATTCTGCTTATTTAACTGGTCAGTTCGCGAGATCTGCAAATCCTTCTTAAGCATAAGAATTAAACAGGATCTGATAACGAGTCATAAACTTACGAGTGACTGAACTTGGCCAATTTAAAACAAGGCACTTGAGCAGAATTATAAGTTAGTTCAGGCTGGCATTCAGGTGCCTTGGCATTACTTCATGTACCCTTCCAGGAGAGGAAGATAATTACTGATAGGATTCCATACCCTACGAGAAGATTAAAGGTTTGCAGCCTGAAGAAATGCCTCATCAGTTTGAACACCTGGACGGAACAGGCATCTAATTACTCTGATACACATGAGTCAGGCTGCACTAAGGGCTTCGGAGATAAGATGAAGGGTTTAGTCAAGTAAGAGAAATTAAAGGGAGGTTTGGCGAGAAAGGCAGAGGACTGGGATGGTGCGAATTGGCCTTTTGTGTTGGTTCCATATCGATGCCCAAAATTACTGCCAGGACGAGTTTGTGAGACCGTAAAGCATTCTGAGATCATGGCTTAGATTCGCTCTTAAAGACTATTTATATAGACTACCAATACAGCAGATAAGCCAGCTATCGCTAGCCTTTAGTACCCGACAAACTGTCCTATTACCCGTGAGCTTCTACTTGAGCTCATATCGCTTTTTACCCTCTGCACTCAGACCCAAGGTCACGACTTCCTTATCCTCGCTCACAACCGTTCTCAAGTCTCCAAAGGGCAGAATGACAACAAGTGACTTCCAAGGCGCTTGGAAGCCAGAGCTCTCATCCTTAGAGAACTTGACCTTGATCTCAGACTCCGTAGCCGAATAGGCAATGGTGTAAGAAGAGATCCTGTTCTTGGTAGCTGCAGAAGTGCCGTCATCTTCATACCACGTTGTCTCATGCCACTTGCCATCACGAGAGGCCTTCTGAGGAGGGAAGATCTCTACGCCTCGGTAGTCATCAAGAGGGAGGTTTGCGACGTTCTCTTTCTCACCGGGAGAGAGAACCTGAACATCTCGACCAACAGCGACGGCACGGCCAACCTTGCCGAGGACAGGAATACCGGCGCCATGCCACTCAACGTCAAGGTCAACCCATCGACCAGCCTCGAGATACTGGTATGGTGCATTCAGGTTCAGGTATCCCTCATCATCATCTGAAGCCTTGGGAAGGTAGAACTTGACCTTGCTTGCTCCAGCCTCGAAGACACCTCCGACGAGCATGGAATCACCGAGCCAGTACTGATTCTCTCCATCAAGAAGCTTCCAAACTTCGGGGTCAGACTCGTAGCCCCAACCGATCCATCTTTGAGGTGGCGAAGCAGTCTGGTGACTCTCGAGAGACAGAGAGTAGATGTAAGGGATCAATGCGTATCGACGCTTGATAGTCTTGCGCACAAGATGGGTGATGGATGGGTGCATCCAAGGCTCAATGACATCGCCGATTGAATTGTCTTCACCTGTCTTGAAGCAGTTGATGGCGAATCGAGGAGAGTAGATACCAAGCTGGACCCATCGAAGGAGAAGCTCAGGATCGGGCTGAGGACCCTCGAAGCCACCAATGTCATGACCGTAGCATTGCATTAGGGAGAGGCCAGCGTTGAGACCGAGAGCAGTTGAGCCTCTCATACTATCCCAGCTGGTAGTGTTGTCACCACTCCAAGAGCTACAGGCGTAGCGCATAGTACCGGCTGTAGCACTGCGAGTGAGAACGAAAGGACGCGAGTCTGGGTTAACAGCCAGGAGGGCATCATGAGACGCCTTGCCGTTGAGCTCGGTATGTAGACTGCGGCCCCAGAGACCGACTTGAGGGCGCTTCTCAAGGCCTTCAGGGACCTCGAGTACATCCTTGTTGACATTGAGAGCGCACTCCCATTCGTCGTCAGGGATCGTGTACTCATTGTTATCGTTCCACATACAGTCGATGCCCTCTTCTGCCAGCTTCTTGATCCCATTGTACCACCAGTTGTAGCCGGCCTCAGATGTGAAGTCGATATGACCACCATTAGCTCTCTCACCCCCTCCAGCACTCCAAAGCTTTGTAACAGCTGGTTGCTTGGTATGAGGATCAAGGAAGAGACCTCCAGCTTCCTTGAGCTTCTGGTACTCAGGATGGCTGGAAACGAGATATGGCTTTACGTTGGCGATACAACGCATGCCCAGTTTATGAAATTCCTTGATCCAATCCTCGGGATCAGGGAAACGGTGGCGGTTCCAAGTAAAGACGTGTCGGTTCTTGGGGTGCTGCTCAGCCACGGTATATCCGGATGACATCTGGTAAGCCGAGCAAGGAATATCGTGCTCCTTCATCTTGTGTGCCAACTCAATCAAGGCTTCGCCAGCAGGAGGACTGTCGAGCATGGAGTATTTCATGCCTCCAGAGAGGTAGCCGAAGGCCCAGCGGGGGACAAGGAGAGGATAGCCGGCAAGATCAGCGTAGGTCTGAACAACTTCCTTGAGGGTCTTTCCAGTAATGATGTACTCTTCCAGACCTCCAAAGTCCTGACGATAGACCTTGTAGAATCCCCACATACCGTCCATCTCAGAGCCGATGGAGTATTCTCCTCTTGTATGGCTGGTTGAGAACATGGCTACGCAACCTTGAGGTGTAGCATTGATCAAGAGGGGGATGTTCTTGTAGAGAGGATCAGTTCGATGGGCATCGTATCCAAAGCTGTCGGTTGCTGAGATTTGGAAACGGCGACCAGAGAGGTCCATCGGTGCAGCCTTTTCTCCAAGACCAACATGAAACGTCTTGCGGTTGTATTGAGTGTAATGAGCGACACCATCGCCATTGACGGCATAAGATCTGTTGTCAAGATCTTGAAGGATCGGTGGCTGTCCCTCAAAGCCGACAGAGAGAAGAGGTGTCTCTCCAGCGTAGTCAACATTGGCGATCACATCACCAATCTGAATCTTGGTGCCTTTGTCATTCGATGTGACTGTTGGCTGAGCACCATCTAACTTCGTCTCAGCACGAGGGACGCTGGGGCGAGGCGGTAGAGGATGGGTAGCGGATGTGAAGGTGGTTCTGAAGACGTTGGGACGGACAGCTTCAAAGTTGAACTCAAAAGGTAGGGTGGCATCGTTGCAACGCAAGTGGACAGACGGCTTGGTGTTGTCTTTGCTGGTGGCATCAACAGTCCACGACGAAGGAATGCGTTCACGTTGAGGCATGATGAAAGAATAATCGAGTTTTGATGTGCAAACTAACTCAATAATTGATGATTGAAAACAGAATGTTTAGAGGAGGGGATATTCCTCTTTTAACTTGACGCAATATGCATTCATTGCCGGGCTCGGGATGCAAGTATCGTCTCATTTAAAAATGATATCTACCGAAACGAAGCCAAGATCGGGTCTATTTAGATTTGTCCGACGCCATCGCCGGAGAATCTTGCTCAAGTCCGGTCCTTCTCTGCCGCGTGACCTGTCCAGCACCAAACCCCTCACGGTCGAAGTCGGAGAAAACACCAAAAAGTCCGATCTTGTTGCCGAGAATCCCCACGGGGTAAGAAGTCCACTCCGATAGCTTGCAATGGTACTATTTCTGAAGATCATATAGTTGCTTGACCTCAGAGTCTTTGAACCATTTTTTACCACTCAACCCGCATATTTCTAGTTATTAGAATCTAAACATGAAATAACTGAGATCCAGCTTGTAATGTAATGTAGCCAAGACATTAAGCTCCACTTGGCTGTCTCCCAGACTTACTGCCTGAGGCGCTAAGGCAAGATTTCACTTCTGAATTTCCCCGCGCAAACATAATTCGCCTGAAAGGGAACAAAACATCATGAGAAACACGTTTTGGCATTCATATCAGTATAGGCTCGCATATTAAGATGAATCGAGATCAGCATGTCACAAGTTCATCAAAATTCAGAAGGGGGACCATCACAAACAGCCGCATCCTCACGTATCCGTAAGAAAAGATTACCGGTATAGCCGCCTTGCTGCAGAGACGAGCAAACTTCGACGTCAAGTGATTATGTATCAAGAGGCTAACAAACGGCATTAAGAAAGCGTGCATTGCTTGTCGCCAAAGTAAAGTCAGTAGGCAATTCGTGTGCTTCTCGGGACGTACGCCGCTCATATCTTGATTAGGTTAAATGCAATGGCTCACGACCATGTTCCCGGTGTGCATATTATGTGAAATACCCTGGACTTACAGCGCTGATAAGCAACACAGGTGTTGTCAGCTTCAAAAGACATGCCACTTTGTTGAGAGACCAAAAGAGGACCATGAACTGTTTGCCTTCCTTCTCACCACTTAAGACATCATTACTAATTCTGGCGTTTCAGCAAGATTGAAGCGCTCCAGAGAGAGATCGAGTTTCTCAAATCACGCCTGCAGTCAAATTCGTCACCTATGATGGAATGTTCAGCTACTGCCTACTCAGAAGAGGATCAGCCGCCATTCATGACAGCGAATCGTATGGACATCCCAGTTCAGGGTGCATATACATCTGCACCAGCCAGAGTCCGCTCGCAACCAGTGGCATCGACCAGCACGAGCTCACCAGAAACTGCTACATATCTTACCAGAGCATATGGCAGATCGAGATCAGCGTTCGAGACTGATCCGATAGCCCCAGCAACCGCCGAACTTGGGGTTGAGATGAAGGATGACGAGGCGCAGCTGTATTTCAACGCCTTCTTCTCTGGCTGTGACCGCTATGTTCCTGTCTTTGACCAATGGTATGACACAATTCAAGCTATTCGCGACAAAAGTGCTTTGCTATTCATCACAATATGCTCAGTCGGATGCCGTGTACTCAACGGCACGAGTTCAAGATGGCGAGCTCTCGCGCTTCAGACTCAACGCATGCTCAACGCCGCCATTGTCAATCCGTTGATGGGAAGCCTTGAGACGGTACAGGCAATTCTCGTTCAAGCTTGTTATGCAGGAGAGAGGGCACTTCTGATTGCAATTGCGACCCGCATGGCTTTGGATCTTGGATTCCCCGAAGCATACGATACACTCATTGCGGAATCAGTCTTGGGCGAAATGCAGATCGATAACGGTGACCAAGCTACCTACAACGACAACTCCACGCGCATGCGCAAAACTAGAGTCTGGCTGCATCTGCTAGTCATGAGCTATATCCTGCACGTGGATGCTGGTGGAATGCCAACCTTCAAGTTCCGAGGTGCATCACGCAGATGTAGAGTCCTCTTGCAAAGTCCTCTTGCCACTGGAATGGATCATTATCTCTTCGCTCAAGTTGAGCTCAATGTTCTTCGTGCAAAGATATATGCATCTTTGCCCCAGGGCGCCCATCTGAGTGACGAAGAGATTCTCGATCTTGTGAAAGATGCCAAACTTGACATCGATGTCTGGTTCCAGGACTGGATACGCATCTCACAGCCGCATCATGACTCGATGCCCTGGTTTGTTCCGAACCTCTCAGTTCAACGCTGCTGGGCTGACAATATGGCTCTTTGCCGTGCGGTGAGGGCTGCAGGCGTGGAAAATGTCAACGTTATGTCGCCAATCCAGAAGAATATCCTATCAATGACCAAAGCCTCGCTTCAGCAACATCTTGATATCATTATCCAAGAACCAAGGATGTATCTCAAGAGCACCCGGTATGCAATGGACTTTGTCTGGGCCAAAAATACTTTCTGTTGCCTTCTTCTGCTCAAGTTGTCCGCTTTGCTCCCCGACACGGATAAGTTGCAGACACAAGGTCTTAGCAATGAGCTTGTAACGAAAGCTAGCATTTTGTTGCAGGAACTAGAATTTGTGGCTGCCGCGGGACACAAAGACGACACTCGATCAAATACCAGTTCACTATACCTCCAACTTCTAAAGACAAGCATACAGAAGTACAAGCGCTGGCTAGGTCAAAATGAAGGACAATCCGAAGGAGCACAATCATCCGCTCTTCCGGCTCAAGAGACGAATTGCGAATTGCCTTGTTCTGAGTACAACGAACTTGAGTCTTTTGTCCCAGATCAGTTTGTCTTCGAATGGGACTTTCCAGGTCTGACCCTGTTTTCCTCTCCGATCAATGAGACCAGTTGGATTAATGAACTTCTTGCTGGAGCACAAGAGTTTGGAGAAAATGGGAGCAGCATCAATTGGGCTCTGATTGACTTTTCTATGTAAAATAGCCTGCACAAACCAGAGCCAATTGTGGCAGGGTCGACAATACATTATGCTCAGAGATTTTGCAGGTTGTAATAGCGTGACATTTTACTGCAAACATCTGGAAAACAACTGTCATATCATGCAGCATCTTGCTCTTCTATTGGTAAAGCCGTTTGAGATGTAACCCTGTCCCAACATGTTAACAAGCTCGGCTCAAGGGCGAATCAGTGAGACTCTCAACGTCCTGAGACTCCACCCACGTTGGCTACAGAAATTGACGTGTCAATATGGTTACGAATCAGGCCAGTAACCCTGGCTGTTAATAAACTCAAAACTCATATCATTCCATTTCGGATTCCGGGATCTTCTCCTCTTCTTTCTTCCCCTCTCATATTGTTATTTGACGTTTGACATATCCTTGGATTGACTTAACAAGTCCACAATGTCAACTGTGGACAATCAGCCGCTCGTTGCTGACGAGAGTGAGAATGTAAGTCATCTGGAATCACCTCTGATGACATTCTTTGACAAAATGCAATTTCAAGGTCTTTAATGACCACGACTCTGGACACGATGAGGTACGTACAGTCCCTCGAACCGACTGTTCTTTACCTGGGTACAAACTGACATTCTGCCTTCCCTACCTTAGGAAGTGGAGTCATCGACACAAAGTATAAGTAGTTCCATTCTTCAGTACCGTCAGGAAAATGGGAGAACCTACCATGGATACAAAGATGGCAGTGAGTTCCATGATTAGTGGTAAGTTGATGGTTGCTGATCGCACAGAATACAATGTTCCCAATGATGAGGAAGAGAACGAGAGACTTGGTATATGGACCGCTGGATTTAATGAGCATCTTCACTAAGCAATGCAGATTTACAACATGCTCTGTTCCTTCGAACCTTTGATGACAGACTCGGCTTTGCCCCGCCGTGCAGCCCTGAAGCCAATGTCAAGCATGTTCTAGATGTAGGCACTGGCACTGGAATCTGGGTCATGGACTACGCAGACGACCATCCCGGTGCTGAGGTTTGTTAGTTAATCACCAGTTCCTGGTTACCGATTAATGCTTTTCAGGTTATTGGAGTCGACCTTTCTCCCATTCAGCCTAGCTTGTATGGATGCTTGTGCCTCTTTTCCTCAACCAGCTGACAATATCAGTGTCCCCCCAAACGTCCGATTCATTATTGACGACATTGAAGAGGAATGGCAATACTCTTCGCGGTTTGATTATATCCACAGTCGAATGATGAACTCTAGTGTCGCGGACTGGGAGAGTTATGCTGCCAAAATATATGAGTGAGGTTTTGCACATGTTCGTCCCTTTAACCACCAAGGCTGACTTGAAATAGGAACCTGGAACCAGGTGGCTATGTAGAGCTACAGGAGATCGATGTGTTTACTAAATCAGACGACAACACGTTGAAGCCGCAGCACAATCTATGGCAATGGGCTCAGCTTATATACGATGCATCTGTTAAACTGGGAAGACCATATTTCGACCCAGGCAACATAAAGGACGTTCTTACTAAGGCTGGCTTTGAAGACGTAACGGAAGCAAAGTTCAAGTGGCCAACGAATCGATGGCCAAAAGACAAGAAGCATAAAGAATTAGGCGTATGGAACAACGAGAATGCTAATTTCTTTCTTGAGGCGGTGGCAATAGCTCCGCTTACGCGGGCTTTGGGATGGTCGAGGGAAGAGGTCACTGTTTTCATTGCTCAAGCCAGAAAAGAACTCAATGATCCCCGGATTCATGCATACTGGCCAATGTGAGTCCCAGTCTTATTACAACCCCGCTATAGTGAGCTCATCATTTTTAGTATTTCGGTATATGGACGCAAGCCGGCGAAATAGTCTCAGATAAGCCTATTACCAGATATGATCTTAATAGAAATAGTTAGGGCTTGAGCACTGTGGAATGAATACTTGCTGGGTCGATGCATGTTGGCCTCGGATTATTACGCTTGTCTTGTAGCAATATGACACAAATCATTCATTTCATTCTATTAACTGACTAAGATATCTTTGAACTTTTACAACTTGGATGTGCTCTCCTCGCGACCCTTGAGGTTAATGTGAGGAGTGTCGTTTGCAGGCCGAGTCACAGCGTAGAATGCAACGCCATGGGACTTGGTGGAGAACTAAATATATATCAGTCATTGTTGAAAAAGCTATGAGAAAACGAGAGAACTAACCTGAGCTTTGGAACCAACGTGGAAGAAGGCCCAGTCTCCAGCAACGAGATGGTGAGTGATACCGGTAGCCTCATCCTGTCTGTAATTAGTATTACATACTTGTGAATTCACCAGAAAGAATCCTTACAGTTACGTCGATTTGGCCGCTGAGAACGTATTTGGTCTCCTCGTAGTCGTAGGATCCATATCGTGTAGGGCCAGGGACAACCTTATAGAAGCCTGTAGTCAAATAATGAGCGGAGTCGTTGCGCTGGCTCTGAATGGAATGGAAGTCGGCGATAATGGCACATTCGCCATCGGGGATGGGGATGTGCTCATGGCCGGCACCCTTGATAATGGTGAGAGGAACGATCTTGTTAGACACTGGACAGGTAGGTAAGTAAAATATCTTTTAGCATCTCGATATAGGGTATGTATCTTACTCTTGCAGGATTTGGTATGATTACAAAACAGAGATAGAAATAAAATGTTCCGTAGCAACTCACCTGGTCTGTTTATATAAATACCAAGTCAAGACGGAGCATTCTCGGCATATAGATACAAGAAACAGTACGGGATACGGCTCCGAGCCCGTAGCTCCGTGCCTGAGAGTTACGCAGCAGGGTTATCGAGAATGGAACTAAACCAAAAACAGAGTGCGTGTCGCTTAGTCATGCTGGATCACGACAAAACACATGATCGGGGCCCCACGGTGTTTCGCCGGATTATTTTATGGGCGGTGAGCTGGCTTATCGCTTATCACTTATCAATTGACGACATCCCTTATCAGCTCTTGTGAAGGCTCTTGTCTTATCTCCCATTTCTTTGGCAGATAAGCAACAGCTTGTTAAAAGTTAACGCAAAGGAGCCATTTAGAACCCACCACTATTCTATTTGTTTAATACCTGGACCTCTCGAGTTCTCTCACATACTCCTCGGATATACTTTTGTTACTATTATGCTGAACCTCTGTACAGGACGACAGCAATGCTAGGCGTAAGAAGTCTATCATTTGTTGGCATCGATCTCTTTCTAAACGTCGCTTGAAGAACCACAACGAAGAAGAAGACGACTTAGACGGAGTTTGTCAGTTTTTTGTTTTTGGCTGTCAGTGACAATGAGAAGTCATGGTCAAGGCATGATGTCTGGTTTAGCTGATAATTCCTCCTATAGCAGGTTAGTTACTGGTCACGAGGGCCTTTATAAAGCGACTTATGAAATGGAGGTTCTAGCAAAAGGAAATGTCATGGCATTCGTTGGTAGCAGAGCCACCATTGCCGGTTTTGTCAAAAGCAGTACCGTATATTAAATCGAGTTCCCCAGAAAGTGGCACGCTCCGAAGGCTGACAGCCACTTCGGAGTTGCCCCGCTACTGCATTGTTTGTTTGTGGGGCAGAGTGGATCATTAAACTCCTGAAATCCGGGGTAGCGGACTCACCAATGATCTTAATACGATATCCAGAGTACTAATCGCTAAAGTGCCATTCATTTAAAAGAAGACATTGTCAAGGAATTGATTGTCAGCTGTCTTGTAAAACTGTTCCAGCACGAAGCACCTATCTCTCAACAACAACATCGTCAATTTGATAGTTACAATACCTCAAGCATTCTGGTGTCAAGCTGCTAGCAATGGCTAAGCATACGACAGCTTACAACAGGCTGGTCACTGTTGCTGTTGCATTTGGCTCCCTGGTTAGTTGCCCGAATAGCTATTCATATCCAGTTCCATAATGCTCATTTTCTTCAGACATACGGCTACTGCTCTTCCGTCATCGGTAGCACAATCGGACAACCAGGATGGTACAATTTCTTTGACTTGCCCCAGCAGGGTGAGCCTGGATACAGCACCAAGACGACTGAGGCCATCTCGACCGCGAACGGAATCTACAGCGCGGGCGGCGCCATTGGCACTCTTTTTGTCATGTGGGCTGCCACTGCGCTGGGTAGGAAGAGGTCTATCCAGATTGGTGGAGCCTTTGCGCTGTTGGGAGGAGCATTACAGGGCGGTGCAGCAAATCTGAGGTAAGTGTTGTCTATTGGCTTGCATGGCTGCTTTCGTTAGGTTTGGCAACGACCAGCAAGCTGACCTCGGTACTGCAGTATGTTCCAAGCTGGCCGAATCTTGGCTGGCATCGGTATCGGAATCCTCGTCACGGTCTGTCCAATGTACATGGGAGAGCTCGCACCACACGATAAACGCGGATGGCTTGTAGGGCACCACGCCATATTTCTTGTCTTTGGCTACATGCTCTCAGGCTGGCTTGGGTATGCTTGCTACTTTGCAACGGCAAGCATGCCGGGTTTCGCCTGGAGGTTTCCCTTGTGCATGCAATGTCTAGCTCCCACGGTGCTTCTCGCAACCTCTTTCTGGATCCCGGAGTCTACACGATGGCTCTTGCAAAAGGGCCGAATCGAAGAGGCATGGACTGTTGTTCGTAACTTGCGAAAGTCCCCAGACGATCCAGATGACCTAGTCGCTCGCGAAGAGATCTACCAGATCAAGGAACAGCTCGCTTTGGACTCTGCCAAGCTCAAGGCACTAGGCTGTGGACCTCTCAAGGCAGTCATTAAGAAGAAGAGTTACCGCAAACGCTTGGCAATAGGCTTCTTGACTCAATGGGGCGCCGAATTCGCCGGACCATTAATCATCGTAAGTTGACCCTTACTGCTCTTCACTTGAATCAAATGCTAAAACTTTCAGAACAACTACTCAGTCATTCTTTATACTAACCTCGGTCAAACTGGGTCTATGCCGCTGCTTCTTTCTGCCTTATGGCTTACTACTGCTGGCATCATCTACAACCCGCTCGGCGCCTGGCTTCACGACAGAATTAATTCACGCCGATGGATGTTTATCACCGGCTTGTTTGGCTGCTTGATTACCACGAGCGGCCTTGCTGCCTGCATTTCTGAGTTTTCCGGGACTGCTAATAAGGCTGGCAATGCAGCAGGCGTCTTCTTCGTCTTTCTTTACCTAGCCTTCCAGGGGTAAGTTCTCCTGGCCTGACCTGGGTACCTTCATCAGCTGACAATATTTCCAGAACCTTTTGTGATACAACCATGTATATCTACGTGGCAGAGATCTTCCCAACTGAGATTCGGCCTATTGGCATGGGCTTCTCCCTCTTTGGCCAATTCACAAGCACCATCATCCTGCTTCAAACAGCCCCTATTGGGTTTGTAAACATCGGCTGGAAGTATTACCTGGTCATCATTATTTGGTGCATTTTCTTCATACCCATCGTGTACCTGTACTTCCCCGAGACTGCTAAGCTGTCACTTGAGGAGATTTCTGCCCGTTTCGGTGACGACGTTGCCGTTCATGTCAATGATGTTCCGGCCGAGCAGCGCAAAGAGCTTGACGAGTTCATTGGAAAGTTGGATATCACCCATATGGAGGATTCTGCAGCCAAGAGCAAGGCCATGATGTAGATACTGGAGTACAAGGAGCCCGAGACAGCGATGGAGCAATCTGACTGTCTGACTAGCTGTTAACCCAATTGACCTAACCATTACTTTCTTAATCCTGTATTATATCGGTAGAAATTGACAAATACAAAAGATGTAACCAAGACTGAAATCTTATTTTCACCCTGCATGACCCGATGACCAATTTTCTGGGATGAGATGAGATAATCCTGGCATTGAATTGATGTTTCCACGTCGATGCAAGGACCTGGTCTCCTGCCTACCCCGCAGTGGCACGCTCCGGTTCATGCGGCCAGACTAACATCGGCAAATGGCGCCTGACCCCACGGGGTCGAGTCTTTCTCCGCATCATGCTTTCCAAGCTACGCTCTTCTGGTTTAGTGGAATCCCATTCTAGTCTCTTGCAAGAAAATACGGGCTCCTAAAAGTCAGGAAAGTCCAGTTCCGTTCCTTGAGCGCCATATCTACACTCTCTTTTTCATCATACCTGGGCTTTCCCATCGCTCTCATCATGGGCTCTCTGATTACGCCTAGCAAAGCCTCATTACACTATCAAGACTATGATAGTCTGCCAGACCCAAAAAGAGTCTGGACCGGCAAGCCAGGGTCTAGGGAAGAAGGTCTGGGCCGTCTCATACTCCTCACGCCAGAAGTGGTAGCCAAGGCAGCATCAACATGCATCAAGACAGGCCGCCGTACCTCTTTAAACTGGGAGCTGACCAAGCTGGACATTGCCAACTTCAATCGAGCCCCAGCCCAACATCATATTGTTCCCATGTTGAATGGTGCAGCATATGATGATGTTTATATCTTCAACCCTCAACAATCGTCTCAATGGGATGGGCTCCGCCATTTCTCTGCCCCAGCTCCAACTGTCATAGACCCAAACCGTCGCCTATTCTATGGAGGAATGACATCGGGAGAGATACAAGATAGAAACAATACTCGCATAGGCATTCAGCATTGGGCCAAAGAGGGCATTTGCGGTCGTGGCGTTCTGTTGGATTATGCTGAATACGCTCGACGGCATTCAATATCCTACACGACATTCTCAGACCATTCTATCCCGCTTCATGTACTCCTTGACGTTGCCAAAGAGCAAGGCGTACGATTCCTTCGAGGAGATATCCTGTTCATTAGAATAGGAGTTGTTAGGGAATGGGATCAGCAGATGACGGCAGCTGATAAGCTGGCATACGCGCAAAGCTCAAATCCGCAACATGCTGGCGTTGAAGGCACCGAAGAGATGTTGAAATGGATATGGAATGAAGGCTTCTCAGCTGTAGCCAGTGATGCTATTTCCTTTGAAGTATACCCCCCGCAGCCGTCTTATAAACGAGGAGAGAATGCTTCGGTCAAGGGTTTATTTATGCACGAATATTTGATCGCAGGATGGGGCATGCCAGTTGGCGAACTATTCGACCTTGAGGCTCTTGGACGTCTTTGCCAAGAAGAGCAGAGATGGGAATTTTTTATAACATCGGCGCCTCTGAATATGCCAGGAGGGGTCAGCACTCCCCCAAATTGTATAGCTATATTTTAAGTTGTCATCCTTATACATACAGTTGCTGAACAATTCCATGTTTCATATTACAGACCTTTTGTTTCCAACACCTGAAACAACTTGGTAAACTTATGTGCCAGTCCCCAGCATTGCAACTTCTTCAGTATTTCTTGTGCATCGGTGCTGATGGCTGGGACGCAATCGTCGGCACCAATATCTGGAACAGATCCAGAGCTAGCTGGCCCCCCAACCTCAATCCATTTTACAACTACTCTTCTGTGAGATAGATTCTGGTCATGCAGATCAAGCCTGACACTTTGGGTGACCTCGATTGGCAATGATCTGGTATGATCCCCGTAAGCGGAGTAGGCAATGATGAAGATATAACCCATAAAGACTCGCATAATCTCGCAAGGGGCAGAAACTAAGTATTCATTAGCGATTGCGACGATTTGAGCTGCGTGCCAGCATAGCCTTCTTGCTGTTTTAGGATCTCTGGCAAATGTCAACTTGAGACGGTTGCGGGCCACCTTGATTCCATCATGTACTCGTGGTTCCGTTGAAATGAGGCCACGGACGATGGATAGGATGAGGTCGAGAACACCATTTGCGGCGCATAGGTGCGAATAGTGGCAAAGAAGACTTGCAATACTGTGTTTCTGTTAACATGTAGTCCTTTTGAGGGACTCATGACTTACTTGTAACTGGTAAGGCCGCTAGTTGATGACGGCGAAGATAGAGATTCAACCAAGTTATTCAAGCCTTTGAGAAGTGACCTCTTCGTGTCATGGTGCGCAGCTACAATCGATCCAAGACCGAGGTACTCGGGCATTGCGACCACTTCAATCTGCCAGAGGTCCCAGAGTAATCGTCCAATGACTTGAGCACAGAGCCTCTTAGCCCAGGATCCCAAGGAAGATGGTAGTTCTTTCCCAGCCAATGCCTGCTTCAGCACATTGGATAAATTTGGCCTTGAGTCATCCTGGCCAAGACGAGACATGAGAGCAAACCAAGCTCGTGCTGAGGTGGCGTTCCACATGGATTCAGGACACGGCAAGTCTGATGGCAGCTCGCTCAAGTCAACAATGCCTCGGCGACTTGTGAGAGTGCAAAGACTGCAGTCGTATTCGAATGCTGCCCAGGCTGCTCTCCTTCCTGACTCAATTTCGATCCAGTTCTTCCAATCATTCGCAAGAACATGGTCGTCTTCAGAGCCACGAATTGCCTCCTGTTCCTGATTCAAAGCGATGGACGAACGGGGATTCAGTAGACCCATTCCCCGTAGGCCACCGATTAGCAGACCACGAGACCTGTCTGCGTTCTGATACAGTTGTCTTTTTCCCGAGCCCAGGGAATAGATTTGGTAGAGGCAGAGTGCATTGAGATATGAGATATCGCTATAGTTTGTAACATCTGAGGCACCCTAGGAGAATCAGTATTGTGTATAGTACGTGAGTAGTGAAGACCAACCATCCAGTTAATCATTGTGGAGCATATCTCACTCAGAGCCACGGAAAGCTCATAATCCGACTGGCTATCAGATAGTAATGCACCAACAGAGGCCATGGCCGTGAGAAGAATAGGCGGACAAGCCGACATGGTCCAAGTCGGTTTGTGAATGATTGCCTGAACATCGTGAAACCGAGAGAAGTAGGAGTCTACTAGCCGCTGTAGACTGCAAAAGGCTTGGATAGAGTGAGGGTCTCGTAAGGTTTCAAGCTGAGGAAGGGGATTATCTGAGAGAATTTGGATGAACCCCTTAACAAGTGTTGTCTGAACAGGCTTCGGTCTGTTTGTCGGGCAATAGCCGTTGAGAATATCGCGAAGAGGAGGGAGCTGATAGCGATAAGGAGTCTGCTTATGCGCCTGGTCAAAAGGCCAGGCCAATGTGTGTTGTTCGGTGTCTGGTAGCCCTACTGCTTGTGAATCCCCCCTCGACTCCTCACTACCTAGTGTATCATGTGCTCCATTGTCAACATCACTGCTGCTAGGCCCACCTGACTCGGGGACTTGCTGGGTTGTACTGGAGGACCAGAACTCTGGTATATAGCTATTATAAAAGGTGTCAAGTTGAAAGCTTTGAGGGCTATTGCCTATGTCGAAGTTCAACCAGTCAAACCCACCAGTTCGAAAGTTAGGCTGCCCTGGAAGCATGGAAGAGGGAGAAAGGGCAAAAGTATCTTCAAAGACTGAATGGGCTGCATCTACTGGCAAGACATTGAAGGACTGTGGAATGTCCATAGTTGGAGAGATTGTCGACTCATCATCCAGATTGTAAAAAGGACCAACCGGGCAAGCTTGATCCGTGACGTGATGGACTTGATGGACTACAGATGTCGGTGGCAAGGGGATGGGGTCTGTTAAATCACCCAATGAGAGGCTGTCAGATCTTCTTTCATGTTGGAAAGACGGAGTCTCTTCATTCGATTGAGAGGTCATAGATTCATCGGCTTGGTCTCGTATTTGGTGGGTATTGGGAGGAAGAATTGGCTGTTCTGTAGGAGTAGCGCCGCCATGAGACTCCCAATCATCCAAACCGTCTGTTGGAGGGTACTCGCAATTATTTCCCGACCGGATGCAGCCATTGCAAGGTCTTTCGCGATTGCATTTCGCCTTCCGTTCAACACATCGAAAACACGACTTCTGACTTGATCGCCTGGTTTGTTCTTGTATCTGATGCCCATGACGCAGATGACGCAGCAAAACGTCGCGCCTACTGAATGTCTTTTGGCAATACGGGCAAGGTATATGTTGTCGGTGATTGGACGTAGTATGCGTGAGCTGATGTCGATGGAGATGGCTTGGACGCGAAAACTTCCAAGTGCATTCCGGACATTGAAGGGCGCGCTTCAGAAGGGCATTAGCATCAAGAGATACCTTGCAAGAAGTCTTACACGAGGACGTACAGTAGAGTTCGGCTCCGCCATTACAATTTAAGTGATAAGTATATTTGAGAAGTTGGAATATATAAAAGGTAGAGGAAAACTGTTGAACTGTTGAAGTTTAATTACCTAGTACTTGTCTTAGGTAATGAGGTTCGCGGGGTACCGTCACGTGGGATTATTTAGCACCCTTACCCTTTTCTACTAGGCAACATTTACTAAAGACGAACCAAGGAAGCTTGCAAGTATATGTTTAATGAGGACTTTTCCTGGCTACTGTTATTTTTTTTTCAGCTACTAGAGAGGGCATTGGTAGCATCTCAACTATGTATTTTCCAGTGGACAGCTTATCAAGTTTGGATCATGGAGCATTTCAACGATTTCCTGTACATTTATACGGCTATTTGAGCATGTTTATATACAGCCAAGAGATGGAAGCGATGCTTATCCAAGCACAGTACACACTTATTCACTGCCAGTGATATTCCCCATACCACTCGATCCAATTTTTCGATCGTGGCGATAGACAGAAAACTCAACCGAAGCTCCCGACGGCACCATTTCTATATCAAAAGCAACCTTCTTCACCCGCTTCCCACTTGGAGTCATATAGTCATCCAACGAATCAAAAGGCGTTCTCAAGCAGAGTTCAATTTCACAGAACTTGGTAACTCGTGAGTTTTGCATGTCAGGAGGTCTTTCGAGGTCGCACTGCAGAATATCTTCTGAAGCGCCGTCGCGGAAAGTTTCGTAGTCAGCTCGTGTCTCATACGTTCGGTAAGATGATTTCCTAAGTGGCTCATGCTTTTACACGTTTTGGCCCTGAGCCAAGTGTTAGTTAAAGTGTAGAAGTGGGCCAGTGAGCAAACCTTTTTAATATACCAGTTCATAACGCCATTTACGTAGTCGCATTCTTCTTCTTCATCCCAGTACTTATCTGCCTCGTTGTAGACGTCTTCATCGAACGGCGTTTTGCAATCGACACCGAGACTGAGTCTTGAAATAGCTGAAGTGACAGTCACCGGGCTCTTGTGCTCAAGTGGCGCTCTGCTGTTCCTGCTTACGGGTCCTGCGTTATGGCCTCCTGAGGCTGCGGCTTCTGCGCCATCTATCAGGCCTTTGTAGACTGCCCCACGACAGATTGCTGTTCGACTAGTAAATCATTAGCGAAGTTAACAAGCAGATCGTAAGGCAGATGTATACGGTCTCATCCCATCTGTTTGTAGGACGTCAATGCTTTTCCTCATGTACTTTGTCTTTAAGTATTCTTGGAGGTAGGGGCTGCATCCAAGGCCTCCGACAAGAATAAGTCCCTAAAGAGAAAGGAGGTTAAGAAACCAGCTTATAGACCTAAATAAAGTGCCATGGCGTGCCAGAGTCTAGAGCCAGCGGTTATTTAGTAACAGGCCGGCCAACAGTTGGTTTAATAATCCTAGTAACCCTGAAGCTGGGTTTCCCTTAGAGAAAGCTCGTCTTCGCCTTGCCCTCGCTTTTGCCATCTTACAATGTTTTTCTATTATCCTCTTTAGTTAGACTATTCAGTATCACAAGCAGGTGCATATTGCCGTCCCCATTATATACACCTTTATTACAGGCTAGACTTCTATTTCCACTCAATCTCTTATCATGACATACCTTGTCGATGCCTTTTATGACCGCAGTGCTGCCGCAAGTGCAAGTTTAAACCTTGCAAGGTGTCTCTTTGCTGCCGGCGGTACCAGCTTCGTTATGCCAATGATCAATGGGATTGGAGTTGGCTTAGCGCTTACTATTTGTGTGGTTGTCTAGGCTGTTGCATTGCTGAGCCTTGTTGTGCAGTTTAGATACGGGAGCAGATGGAGGCGACAGGCCAAAGAGAACTGAAAGAAATACGTGGCGGCGGATGAGCCGCCACTGAAAGTCGCGTGCATGCACTTATATATTGGAGGATATGTCGCACTGGCCGTTGAATAAAATAATTCTTTTAGCACTGTGTTCATGATAGTCTTCTAGTAAAACGCAACATTGAGTTATGCCTTGTTCTTTGTGGTTTCTCCTGAGGTTCGAAATGATTCTCTTAATAAAAACCCAGAACAGTCTTCGCCCCACTTCCGCTCTTAGCTTTCATAGCAACGTGGCTTCTAAGAATCGGTGTAGGGATCAAAGCCCGGGAGAGCATTTCCAGCAGCGTTCTTCAATGAATCGCCAAATTCGTCATCGAGCTTAGGACCAACGCCGCCCTTCCAAGCGTTGAGCATTGTGTTTCGAAGATTAATGCTCGGCCAATTATCCCAACCTACAAGAGGGCTGTGATAGAAGACTCCAAATGGGTTTTCAGGATGCGCAATATCATTGTCATTGGCGAATCGAAAACAATGAGTGCCGGCACCATCTTTATGGTAGACCATAAGAGGGTGCTTATCATTCAACGGAAATGAGTTTTTGGCATTATTATATTTGCCATGGCAAGAGGGTGCAACTCGAACAACCTTGCTACCCTGCGAAAAGACGACAATGTTCTCCCAGTCATGACGATGGCCACCGAGAAAGCTACCGCCGACAGCTTGGTCTTTTTCGAAATAGTATTCGTACATGACAGCACAGTAGCCGTTGTTACATCTCTTACGAGAGTATGCATTGCTATTCTCGAGCTGCGCACGATCTCTACACTGGCCTTGAGGTGTACCAGTTGCGCCTTTGCCTGGGTTGGTTCGGCCTGAGGGGTCGATGGCAGCAGTGTTGTAACATCCGTCACTGTCGTAGTCGAGAAGAGGTTGAAGGGTAAGTTCTAGAGAGTTGGCGCTTTCGGGCAGCCTCTGGAGGACATCACGTTGGGCAAGGGCTGAAGACTCTTGGAGGGGCATGGGACTGGCGCCTGTGATAGCGAACAGGCCAACCAAAGCAAATATGAGTTCATGCATGATGGGATGAAGATAAAATTGATTTAATACAGGTAGAAATGGGGAGTAGTCGAGTGACGATGTAGTGCAGCTAGGCAAGCTCATTTATAGTATTAAACTGGCAACGCGGCTGCTAATAGAATATAGGAAGACAAGAAAATGCCTCGGCAATCCCCGAGACCAAGCTAATCCTGGCAACAAATGATCAGCTGAGAGGTTACAAGAGAGATCCATTAGGAAGGAGGAAGAACCCTGGGGCTTTTAAATACGATTGGTAGCAAATGATTGGTCAAAAACGCAGCGACCATGGGATTAATCAGCCCTTAAAGATCCAATGCGCAGTGCAGTTGCTGGCATGTGCCTGAAGTCATGGAACTACATAACAAGGATCTTCCATTGGATCTTTTGTTCCTAGAGCACATACCTAAGCAGTAATGGTTTTTAGTGAAATGGATTATACGAGTCTGTGCAGTAGAATGGTGGCTAGGGCCGCCGAAACGGGGCCTAAAGCTTAACAACGTCGTCTCTTCACTACATCGCTTCAGTTACATACAGTACGATATTGGAACCTTCGCATTTTCATGCCGCATTATTCTTTTTCTTCTGTGCGTTATCCTTGTCTTGCTTGGTTGTTAAGTGATGATTGAGCAGAACTAATTGTATCGCAGTTACAGGGCTTGATGTGATTAGAGTCGGTCTAGCCTTTACTATTTGTGTTATCATCTAGGCCATTACAATACTAAGCCTACTTGTGCAACTCAGATACGGTAGTATGTAAAAACAACAGGCTAAAGGGAACGAAAAAGGTCATGTAAGAGGCAAATGGAGAAGACTAATAGGCCAAGCTAGGCAGAGGCATGCTTTGCTTGCCCAGGATGAGAGCAGCCTGTCAGCATTAGGCATTTGTATATCTCATTATACCATCGTCTATAGAGCCACTTGGTTTTAAACCAGCTTAATTTTAAAGACCCCCCCCAGAAGACTTCATTAGATCATGGACACTTATCGAACTCCTCATATCAAAGCCCTCTTTATCCAATACTTTTTGGAATCTCTGAGCCTCTGGCGACTTTATGCCATGCATTCTCATAGCAAGACAAAACCCTCGCTCAACCCAATATCGGCATTGCTCCCAGGAGGAAACCTCGTGGAAATGGAACGCAGCAGTCAGAACAAAGTCCAGGAGGAACACCCTATCCTTCTCCTCGCAGTCAAGAGTTCGGCAGCGTGCCTCGAGTGAAGCAACGACATCTTCAAGCACAGCATTGCAGGAAGACTCGTCCTTTGTTTCCAAGAACTGATAAGCCAGGCTTTTCGCTGTTTGAAGTGTTTGCCTCGACATGGGCTCTTCATCGACAGAGATAAATGGTGTGATTGATCTTCTCGCATCTTCGAGGATATGGCAGGACTGTCCGAAATGACCGGCGTTACCATGCCATTTTGCAAGCGCACACTTGGCTCGGCAAGCTTGCAGCGACATACCAAGATCATGGGGCTTGCCTTCGCAATGCCTGATGATAACCTCGAGGACATTGTCTATGCCTCTAATGGTTGATATCATTGCTAGATCGATTCTGTTGAGTTGCTGGCTTATTGATTCTGGATCATCCGTCTCAAGAAACGAGCTGTCCAAGTCAATGCGTGTAGTTGTGCGCTGATTGGAGGGCTCGTGCCCAATACCCAGGAGATTGACGCCTTCATCCATCTCATCATCCAGTAGCTTGTAGATGAGGAGCTCAGCATCCTCTTGGCGACCCCAAGATCGGAACAGCTCTGCCATGCGCGCATAGTGGACATAGGTATTTTCGTGCCTAGGCCCCCATTTTTCGACATGATGGTCTGACATCCAGTTTAGTACAGCATCTGCTCTGTCCATCTGGTTGCATTTCGCATAGAAGCAAGCATATAGGTATGCAGCCCTGAGGGTTTCGTCGTGAGTTGGTGAAAGTTTGAAGCGAAATCCTGATACTGCATCGCGAAAATCCGCATCGGCATCGTTGACCTTTCCGGTCGAGGCTGCACGTGAAGCATCTTTAAGTAAACCGTGAAGTTGAGCTAAAGTTGTTTTGTTCAGCAGAAGATTGACTGGTGGAGTGTCAAGATAGAATTTCTGTTCCGCATGCCGCTCGTTCGAGCCGCGTGGCTGAGAAGAGAGGTTCCGCTGAGGCCTCTCATTTCCAGGCGTGTAATACTCGGTATCGTTAGGAGTGCGGCCACATATAACCGATGGACCTGCTTAGCATTAGGAGCGGCTCTTTGTTAGAACACCATGGGGCAAACGTACAATCGCCGCCCTGATCCTGCCAAGCCTTGCCATTTTTCTGTGCAAGCTGCTCCTCAGTCCATCTTTCATCGTTCCAGTAGAATACTGTATCCTTTCCAAGAAGCTTGCGTTGCCGTGCTTTCTTTGCCATCCACGCAGTAGGAGTATTCTTGACCCATCGCCAAATCTTGAACCTGTTCTTGTACATCTTTTCTCTGCGATGCAAGCACGTCAGCCATTGATATTGTTGCAGCAATACACGATCCATGAGAAGTAAGACTTACGTCGCGAGGAATGCGTGAGTTTCCTCCATCCTTCGTACTACCTCTGGCAAAGGGAGGTCTTCTTTCATGTACAGCTGCTCTATATATGGCTTTTTCTGCTCCCATTGCGTCTCTCCAACATGGGGTGCTTTGCGTTTGCGGCGAGGTCGCTTAGATGGAATGCTATCAACAAGTCCCGTCTCAACCGCATTCGACGGAATCTCATGTCTCCCATGGCCTTGGGTGACGATGGGCCCTGGATGCGATGCGACCGGGTTCTGCGATGTCGAGGACGACAGATTGTTGCCTCTCAGGTTCGCACTCTGTAGTCGTGCGCCCTGTTCTTCTGTCGCATTGAAAGGGCTCTGGAGTGACACTCCTGGAGAGACATGAGACCAATTAGGTTGAGGATGAGGGAGGAAGAGACCTGATGACGGCCAAACGTTGGCGGGCTGGCTCAGGCCTCCAATGCTTGGCAGCTGAGGGCTGGAAGAGTCACCCCAATGAGTAGGTTGGTTCTGCGTAGGCTGGTTTATTCCAGACATGGTACAAGGAAAAAAGGTTGATCGTTTTGCTGTATTATTCTTGTGAGAGAGCGTGACGCCTTTGCGATATAAATGATAAGTGGACATGCGGTTGGGTAAGAGAAAACAGGGAAAGATTAGAAAGAGAAGTAGAAAATGACGTGTAAAAGAGCGCCTAAGGAATCTAAGAAAGCCTTGAGAATGGAACACAAACAGGCTACTGCGGGGGCGGTGAATCAAAGCTGCATGTACAGCCGCAGCTGAAAAGTACTGAAAAGTCCTAGAAAGGGCCACACGACATTATGAGGCGTTTCATGCACCTCTCAGTCCCTTGTAGCCCATTGTTGCTGCCCAATAGCCCAATGACAAGAAGCATGAAGGCGTCCTAAACAACTAGCGCTTAGCAGCCAACATAAATGCCCGAAGACCCCATAGTACCAATACAAGTCAACCAAGGATGGATGTCTCGGATACCCCATTGGCCGAGAAAAAGCCCAAAAAGAACTGAAAAGCCTTTGTCTAGACTCCCTAAGCCTTTAACCCATGCAGCCCAGGTGAGGCTGCCGAGCTAGTCTTGTGACTGGTCACCTGGCAAAGTCTTCCAAAAGCCTAAAAAGGTCTCCAAACTTGCAACCCTGCGACCGTCTCAAATATGTAACCCAGTGACATCTAGTACTGTGGTTTGGAAGGCTTCAAAAGGACTGTGAGGAATTATTGCTACAATCAGTCGCTTCATAGAGCAATTACGTCCATGCAACTAGGTTGAAAATGTCTCTTATTTGTTTATTATAATATTCCCTAAAAGTCTTCACAGGGACTGAAAAGTCCTGCTTGTCTACCTGGCCATTATTATAAATATGCGTTCTAACGTGGCATTATCATAATATTCAATGCTATTAAACATCAGAGGACTTCAGAGCGGCACAAACCCACCAATTTTAATACAATAAATTTTAGATCACTATCTACAAATTGATATGGTATGACCAATATCCAAATTTTCATAATTATGGAAATTCATCTGATTTTGACAGTCTAATACGTTCGTCACTGTACCGCGTCCAAAAGGCAAGACGGCAACCTCCCAAGTTCAACATGATCGTCATGAGAAATATACAATGAATGAATGGCTGTCCGAGTCCGTGGATGATCAGCCATACAATGCAATTGCAGCTGTCAAATTGGAACAAAGCGTCAACAAATGTCAAACCACGAAATCAGACCCTCTCTCTGAAACACTCGCAAATGATGAGAAGTAGTTGCGATTTTGAGTGTGCTTAGCTAGCGTCGTTGTGCAAGGGGTTGTACAAGGGCCAGGGATCATGTACCTGTACAGGCTTATGCAGGGTGGGTGTGAAGGTGGCCGCCAAGGCAGAGTCGTTGGCCAAGTATCGATTATTGGCTATAAATAACATTCGATTCTTCCAACATACATCGATCATTCTGATTCTTAATACTTTCTCTTGCTTTTGTTCACTACAGTAGCCTGTCACCACATCTGAGCATGAACCAAATGGATTCTGGTGAAGAGCCATTCAATTGGACGTTGTCCCTACCACCCCAGCCGGTCAATCCAACGCACCTCAAAGGGGCTGGCGAAGTCTGTGAAACAAAACGCTTTGACTCATTTTATAACGCCAATGGAGACCGTGTCATTTTGCCCGCCGGCAAGAAGTACATCTCGAAGACAGCGCGAGCCAATCAAAGTGCTCTGACAGTCACAAACTACTGGGACGAAGACCAGGATCTCGAGAAGACTGTGCTTGAGATCAAATCTCCATACATGAAAGAGGCCCTGAAGAAGGTTGTTCCCGAATACGCCACTTTCAACATCGATGTCAAGAACATCAGCATCACTGGCGAACCACGTTGTCTGTTCCACTATCGCGATGAGCTTATGGGTTATGGGAGGTCTATGTTGGAAATTCACAACCTTGAGGCCGCGCAACACATTCAGCATCTCATCTCCTATATGTGGGAGGTCTTCGCAGTAGAGATAGTCTCTTTCAACGCTTTGGACTGGCTCGCAGACTTTGAACCGGCCCTGGAGCACAAGTACTTGTGGATGATTTTCAAGCCTGGGGATGTCGTTTATGTTCGAGATTCTGTACCAAAGGCCTTCAGATTTAACCGAATCACGAAATCAACATACTTCTGGAACTTGCATGGGTTTGTTATCGATTATAACGGTAAGCAATTTGGCTCTTCTCTTATGTGCGAAAACATCGAATATTACGAAGGTTTGAAGCCACTTAAGGAGCTCCGCGTTATTACCTTTAATCGTTTGTCAGAGGAAGAGAGGCGAAGTGGGAGAGAGAAGCTCATAGCCCGCGGCCGCAAGTTTGTGAGCATTTATGGGAAACGTTATCTTTGGTACAAAGAAAGTCCTAGCAAATCCTCAGGCTCGGTAATTAGATTCTGAAACCCAGTCCAAATTCATACTGATAGTAGCAGATCAAATCTCGCATTATGGCTGATTTCGAAGGGTACTGTGACATGGGTCCGGGCTACCGGTATAGTCTTAAAACTGATGAGAAGAAGTATACGCCCGAGCATGCTCAAGAAAATCTGACAGAAGAGGACTTAATGATTTGTCAGAACCGCGTTGCCGGATATTCGTTCAGGGAGAACACGTGGGGAAAATTTGACATTGATGCTATCAGTGAAATCACTTACGATTCAGAAGCTTTTAACTATCTCATTCTTCCAGCCGGTCAGAAACAACAGCTCCTCTCTCTTGTTGGTGTGCATGAGGACGATGGCTTCTCCTTCGACGACCTTATCAAAGGAAAGGGAAAGGGAATGACCTTCCTACTGTATGGAGAACCTGGCCTCGGAAAAACATTGACAGCCGGTATGGTATATTCACTCAGTGAATCTCAAACTAACAAATGGTTTAGAAAGTGTTGCGGACTACTGCCAAAAGCCTCTTCTTCGAATCGATGCTGGAACACTTGGAACATCTCCGCATTCAGTGGAGAAAGGACTTAAGGAAGCATTCGGCCTTGCTGAAAGATGGCAGGCACTGCTTCTCCTTGATGAAGCTGATGTATATCTGGAGCAGAGAAGGTCGAGAAACCTAACCCACAATGGGATTGTCTCTGGTAAGACTGTACCTTCACACCTACAATTATCCTTACTAACAGAAGTTAAGTCTTTCTTCGAATGCTCGAGTATTACCATGGCATCCTTTTCTTAACCACGAATCGAATCAGTGCATTCGATACCGCTTTCATATCCCGCATCCATCTTGCAATCTACTATCCGCCCCTTGACCGCTCGAGTCGATGTTCACTACTGTACACGTTTCTAAAGCAAATCTCCGAAGGAAGCGCAGAAGCTTTGAGCATTGATGGCAGCCTCAAAAAAATCGCAAAAGAAAAGCTGAATGGCCGACAGATCAAGAATATTGTACGTACGGCGTGTGCATTGGCACAAAGCGACAGCGCCGCGGGCGGTAACATCCACAGACGCCATTTGGAGACGGCCTTGAGACCTATGAAGCAGTTTGCTCGAACCATGGAGCGGGTTAGGCTAAGTGAAGAGAGAAAGGTTTCAAACACAAAGGAAGAATTAGAAGAAGACGCGCAAGAAGATCAGGCAAACTCTGATGAGAAAGAGAGTAATGATGGGGATGACGAGGATGAAGACGAGGATGACTTGGAAGACGAAGAGGACAGTGTGGGAAGCGAAGAATCGGAAGTTGAAATTGACTTGACAGGCGAACAGATTGAGGAGTCTGAGCTGGATATGGAGAGTGAGATTGACGATGAAGGCAATAGCAACGGGGAGGTAGAATTTCAGCAGAACAAGCGTAGACGACTGATATGAATGGGAGGCTTTGTATTTCATCTTAGGTATTTTTTTAGAATCCCATTTACTTCTTCTGCCACCACTCAACAGCAGACATGAGGCCGGTAGTTATTCGAGCTCAAGATGAAGCTCAGTGCCAAATACATAAGGACAGTCTCTTCCGCAGATGACTCCCGATTCAAAAAAGCAAGTGGGATACTGGACTTATCCATCAGCAGTATTTGAATGACAGAACTCGTTAGAATATAACCAGAACACTCATGAATGTCATCAAACTCAGCATCGGATACACGTTAGGGACAAATTGACTACTACTACTGGACGTCTCAGTGGACGTTTGCGCTGCTGGTATTGTTACTGTGGCACGCGTTTCAGCAGATAACGTCGGAAGATCCTCCATTTCAGTCTGTGTAGGTATGTCAACTTCTGACTGCAAGAAAGCTTAGTATTTACAAATAGTTAATGTGGCGTACATGCTTCACTTACATGCTCCTTTCCAATGACTGACTTAAAGTTGTCACAAGTCTGGTTAAGCCCGTGGAAGGACTGGGGGATCGTAGACTAGATGCGGGGAGGAGAATCAGACGTTTTATTTATGCCTGGACCTACGCATTCTCGAAGAGTGGACATCATATGGCCTAACTTAGTCACCCGATCCTCTCTTTTCCCTTTCTCAGTCCTCTTGGATCATCAAAATAGGCTACCCCGCTTATTGATGAGCGGGGTGGTTTAAAGAGACTGCGTCAGGTACATCGTCACCGCTCAAGAAAGAAAGAACATCTCCGCGGAATCCTCCCCCAACTAGCTGGCTTTGCCAGAAAACTACATCAAGTCTAGAAATACCACAGTCATTCATCAGTAGCCAGGAATAGCTGAGACCATACTCAATCCTAACAAATCACCATTTCACGTAATTATGCGGAAACATCATTATCGGGATGGAAATTGTTAGGAATTAGAATAAGAGTTGAATCAGCCCACTGGAAGAAACAGTTATAATCGCCTGCGATTATTTAATAAGAGTATGGGAAAATGTTTTCCGAGGCTCCCATAAACAAAATTGCATCAAGTTGTGCTCAGGAAGATGTGTTGGTTATACTTGTCGATATTGATAAGTGGCCTAGTAGTCAATACGGTACTGGTAGTGCCACTTCCACAATCAAGGAACCTGCTTCTGCTGCTGGCGGTACTTTCATCGTCCGTTCTGCACGGGATTTTCCTTTCCACCCGAACAATCAAGTTGTCCAATCCTGATCCGCACCAACCGGATGATTAACCCAGATTATTAAAGATACATTGATCCTTCCCGTATCTGGGATGGTGGCGGCTCAAGCCTGGGGGACTGGCAGGTAGAGCTCCAAAAACTCCCGTTCTCCCCAGAAATACACATAACCCCATGGGGAGCGTGCTTTGTCACAGCCAAAGGTATACCCTTATATAGATGAATATAGTTACTTGATTAAGGATAGGGGATCCTATTATATACCCCTTATAAAGGCAGGTACTTTGTAGTAATTCTCTAATTTATTAGAACTTATATATTAATTCTAGTTCTAATAATTAGGATTAAAGAAGGCCTACCCTTTAAAAGGTAATTATAAGAATATAATATCTTTTCTTTTATAGCTACATAAGCGCGGCAATCAGGTTCAGTAAAACGTCAAGCACTTGTATCCAAGCTTGTACGGTGTTCCTGTTGCCTCTATTCAAGAGAATATAGGAAAGGGAACTGACGCGTTGTAACAGGAAGCATCGAGATAATCACCAGTAATGTTTCGAGCTGGAGAACCACGCGCTCCAAACTCAATAATAGAGCCATTATTCTTGCCCTGGTGTTGGAAAACAGGCCAGCCCACGGAGTTCGTCACATTGGCACCCTCTTTGAGGAAAGCGACAAAGTAGTCTTGCATGGCGGCAGATGTGTCGATTTCAGCTTGGGGAATATCACCAACCATCTTGACGTATGTGCCAAAGATCATAAGTAAATCCGTCCAGTGATAGGCACCCAACCACGGCTGAGGGCTAATGTTGGAATAGTTACCTGACGTTGAGTTTAGTGGACGAGAACAGAACCACATTGGTAGGGGTATGATGGGCACATACCAACATAGAAGTAGCGGAAGCTCTCCAGGCCAATGGACTCACGCAACTTGGTATCACTTAATGCAAAGCAGTCAAAGTAGCGAGCAACCTCAGCAGTTTGAGTCAAGTTGGGCGAAGGCTGCAACTCGGTTGATGTTGTGGAACGGATGGCAGGTCCTCGTGCCACGAGATGCTTCGCATACCGGTCAGACTTGTTGGCAAAGATGTATTTCTCATCGGCTAATGAAACAGGTCCGGTCAATACAAACACATTTCGAAAGAGTTGCGTGGGGGTAGGTACATACGAATATAGTTGTCGAACGCAATGCTCGGCTTCTTATCATATCTGTTGATGAACTCCTCGATCTGCACCCAGGAAACTTGGCGCATGCATTCAAGCTCAGCTTTATAATCGTCGCCGTAGTCGCAGCCAAGGCTTTTGGCCACAACGTCGAAGTCGGCGTAAGGGTCTTGAACTTCAGTGGTGTTGATGATGTAGTCTGGGCCGTTGGAAAGGAGACCAAATTTGGTGGCGAGAGGCTTTTCCCAGAAAGCCGTGGTATACATGTCTACCAACCTAGCACCTTGGGACTCTCCCCACAACTATACACGTCAATACCAAACCCGCTAGAGTGGTGGAGTTTGCGCGAAGAACTTACAAGTATGTTGTCTCTGTCGCCTCCGAACTGCTGAATATTTTCATGGACCCACTCAACAGCGGCTCTTACGTCGAGCAGCGTGAGTGACGTCTCCCGCACGGCGCGAGACTTGGGGTCTGGGGTTTTAAAGTAACACGTCAGCTACAAGATCAACGACTAGATCCTAGGTTTGCAGAGTGGGGTTGATTTACTTCCAAAGATGTTGACTCGGTAGTTGATGGTGACAACAATATGCTCCTGGGAACGTGACACCCACTGCTCCGGTAACTGAGATGGGACGGTGATGCCTCCAATGAGGCCGCCGCCACCTGTGACGAAGAGCGCGACGGGCAGCTGCGACGATTTATTTGCGTATGAAGGAGTCCACACAGCGAGGGAGAGGCAGTCCTCGTCCGAGGACCAGGCTACAGCGCCCTGATCACGTCGCTCACCTAGACTGAGCAATGGGTTAGGTGGCGCATATTTGTTCCAGAAAACATGTGATGAGGAAACATATTGCGGACAAGCTACAGATATACCAGAATAGTAATGTCAGCGATAGCAAGATACAGTATAATACTCGAGGCAACATGCAACGTACCGGGACCGAAGCGGGTGGAATCGTATACCTTGGAGGAATGGGATAATTTCTTGGGTGGTTCCCAACGGAGATGACCCACCGGCGGCTGCCAAAGAGGATCGAATAAGCCAACTGCAAGCAAAATATCGGGACACTAGGCCTCGCTGAAAACCCAGGTGAAAGGTTTGACGTACCTGTGCAAAAGGAATGCGCAAGAACTGGCGCACGTTAGGATAGGTATCATTGTACATGCCAATAAAGGTTCCAGAGTTTGTTTCCACGGTCAGATTAGCCCAACCATGGTGCAAAGTCCGCGGTGCCTGATGAGTTAAATCGGCGAGATAAGGATCGAATTGCTTTGTTTGTGTAGTGGCTAATAGCCCCAACACGGCAAACAAAGTGCCCGTTTTCATGATGAAGGAGTGAAACACAAGGTTTATGGTACTGAGTCACGTAATGAAAGAGCCAATCAAGTAGGAATCTCTGAACCGTTTTTGTTCTATTCAAGTAACTATTGGAAAAAATGAGGTCTTTATACTCTAGTCTTTCTACTTTCCTCGGTGCTGTAGCAGCTCTCATCAATGCGGCCACTGTCATATGATGTTGCGAGAGAGTTTCCGGACCGATTATTTTAGTATAAAAGTCCCCAGGAAATAGGTGACCCGTACGTGCGGAAGCTGCGGGCGAAGTTGTCCACACTTTTGGTTGGGGTGTGGAGGACAAGCTTGAACTTGACAGCCCCCTCAGATACAGGTCGCACGGGGTCTGCAATGTTGACGGGGGTATGCTGTACGTGATCACCCACAATTCGCTCATGTCCACCCCCAGAGTCGGTAAGCTTTACTGACCTCCCATAAGTGGGGAGAGACAATCAAGATTGAGATTTCCTTTCCAGTGTGACAAACACTACCTGCGGAATCGCGGGAATGTTAATTCCTGACCCTTGCAGCCTGTATTTCTAGCCACCCACCCACGCCACTCTAAACGGTGCAACTTTTAACTCTGTACACTCCACTTCTCCCAACCGGCCGGACCCCTTACTATGATGAGATACGCTCAAGACAAGTTTTCCTCTTGAGCAATGCTATAGCTCACTTCTTCTTCATCACAAAGTCGCCAGGGAATTCGCTCACGAATCTGTATCAAGAACGTACTTCATGATAACCTACTACTCTTCTAGAACATCTCTCCCTTTATCGAGCTGCGAATCTGCGTTCCTCCTTCCTTGAAAGACGAGTTGCTTTCCATGATAAGAGCCAGGGGGTTACGATAATTCCTCCCTGCGTTCAATGTCATACGTCGGACCAACCCAGCCTTGCTAAACTTCCCCGCAACAACTAGTCAGGGATTAAGAACCACCTCTTCGGTCCGAATTTTATGGGCTAGTCTTCATGCACCTGGGGCAAACCATTGTGCTCCGGGGTGGGAGGAAAACTTGGCCCACTGAGAACGGCCAACTTCAATACGAATCCAGCACACCTTATGTAACTCACATTATGCTTACTCAAATAACATTTCGGTTGGGGTTCTCAAAGGTAGCTTGTATGACTCATTTGTCTGTATTTCATATCAAGTTTTCTTTCACAAAGGCCGCGTAGCTTCATCGCGATATGGGCGACTGGGAGTGATACTAATAGTTTAGAGTCAGTTACGCCGATCGAGACCGCTCCTTATGAGGATCGATACTATCTAACCAACCTCTGAGTTAGTGACATGACTTGGGTGTAAGGCCTGTTTAGAACAGATTGTTCTCTTGCAAAAGTTTTCCACCCCCGGAGCGGCTATGACGGCTATAACGGCTACAGGTATGGGGGCCCCATGTCGGAACCCAGATTAATGCGCATGATCTGCACAGGTCCGTTAGCTTGTATAAGCACGGGGTCTAGACTTTGAGTCTGGGGTCTGGGTACGCGGGGCAGGGGTGTCATTGTGACGAACTGGATTTGGGGTTGAATGAGCTGAGAATGTAAATATGATTAGCCGTAGGCTCGTAGTCGAAATATCCATGAAATAGGTCACTCATTTTATCTATCGTTTTCATCAATATCTCATCGCGCATGAAGTCGATTAATGTCTTCAACCTTGGGGCTTTGTTGGTGTCGTCGGTGACTCCTTTAGCCATCTCATGCCCTACCGCTCATCATGCAGCCCCCATTGTCGACTTATCCAATGGCACTTACAGAGGCACCTACAATCAGCATTATCACCAAGACCTCTTCCTTGGCATGCCCTACGCCAAAGCCCCAGTCAATGACCTCCGGTTGTGTGTTCCACAGTCTCTGAATAGTACCTGGACAGGCATCCGGAACGCAACCAAGTACTCACCGTCGTGTATTGGTTACGGCAGTGACACTTGGGTCCTGGGCAATCATGTTTCTGAAGACTGCCTGAGTATCAACGTGGTTCGCCCAGCCGGTCTACCTGAAGGAGCCAAACTCCCCGTTGCTGTCTGGATCCATGGTGGCGGTTGGGTGAATGGCGGGAGTTCAGATCCCCGATACAATCTCTCGTTCATCGTGGAACAATCGGTTAGGAATGGCATGCCAATTATAGCCGCAAGCATGAATTATCGCCTTCACGCCTGGGGATTCCTTCATAGCGCCGAGCTTGCGGCTGAGGGATCAACCAACCTTGGCTACAGAGATCAACGGCTGGCCCTTCACTGGATCAAAGAAAATATTGCCAATTTTGGGGGAGATTCGGAACGCGTCACTTTATGGGGCGAGAGTGCAGGAGCATTCTCTGTCGGATCTCAACTGGTCGCATACGGAGGCCGGGACGACAAGCTCTTTAGTGCCGCCATCCTCCAAAGCGGATCACCCTTGGTCTTCGGACTCAAGCCCCAGACTGCAAGCACTTGGGAGCCGTATTGGAACAAGCTATTACATACTACGAACTGTTCAGTCGCAGAGCCGGTGGCATGCCTTAGAAAGATTCCCACCAACGAGCTCAGCGCGGTTCTCAATAGCTCATTTGCTTCACCGCCCAGTTGGGGTCAAGTAGTAGATGGGGACTTCATCCCTGCAAGCGGGAGGGCCCTGTTGAAGAAGGGAAAGTTCGCCAAGGTGCCTCTTCTTACGGGCACAAACTTCGATGAGGGCACCGAGTTTGTTTCTCAAGGGATTAACACAACGTCTCAGTTCGCTCAATATGTTAGATCTGTTGGCGTTGCCAAGCCAGCAGTCCACAGCATTGAGAAGCTGTATTCCAACAACCCTGCAGTTGGCATACCAGGCACACTCAAGGGTAGACCAGAAGGACATCTTACATACCTCGGACGGCAATACAAGCGTGCCGCTGCCTTCAGCGGAGATGTATTTCAGCACGCCGGTCGAAGACTCACGGCCCAGTCGTGGGCCAAACAGCAAATACCCGTGTGGAGCTACCACTGGAACGTCCTTGTCAAGAACGTGTCGCCAGCTAAAGGCGCAAGCCACTTCCAGGAAGTCGTATTCACTTTCAATAATGCTAACGGCCAAGGATACGACACAGTTGTCTCTAACAACCCATTGGCCGGAAAACCCGCTAGCCTGGTCAAGTTGGCAGACGTCATGTCAACAGCTTGGATTAGCTTTATTGTTAACCACAATCCGAATAGCTACGGTAAGAGTAACCTCGACGCTTGCATTTTCCGGCTTCTAACTGATTGTCCTTACGCATAGCTCAATCCCTCACTTGGCCACAGTATCGAGAACGGTCTGAGAAGAATCTGGTGTTTGATGTTAATGTGACAGGGTTAGCTTATAGCGAGCCTGATTCGTTCCGCCACAAACAGATTGCTTATATCATTGATAACCTATATTGAGCTAGCCCTGCTGTCTATTTTAGTAGGACCTAGCCGTGTTTTTATGTATTTAATATTGTTACATATCTGAAAATAAGATTAGGGCAGTCCAATTTTAATGACCAGCAGTTTTCATACACAGCCGAGGCATCGTACCCGATACCACATATCTCAATACCACTTCCAATATAGCATGTAAAAATCACTCGGGATATATTAAGCCTAAATTCTTTCCGTAAGCTGCAATACAATCAGAAACGTTAAACTGAAAATCATAAAAGCATCAAGTCATAATGGTCATAAAAAACCGTATTCTTTATTGTTATAGGAGGAATTAACTATCTTAAGGAAATAAGCAGCTTAGATAGCATGGCATGTAGCTGTAGAGAGTGATAATCGAACATTGACTCTAGTTAAGGTAGACTAGTCTATGTTGGCTAGAGGGACTACTGCCCGATACAATAAACACACCCCTCTCCAGCAGCCTATTTTCCTACCGATAGGCTCCATAATGGCTGGTTGCATCTGTATTCACTATGTAACTAGGCGCGCTGTGACTCCGACTTCTTTACCAGGAGGGGTCCACTTGAGCTCAGAGTTGGGAAAGGCGACGTTCACAAGGGGGAGAGGACCATGTAACTGGCAGCTCTGATACTCCGATGTCTTTGTTGGGAGCGGACCACTTGATCTCAGAACTAGGAATGGCGAGCTTCAAAGTGGGAAGAGTCTGGAACAAAGTAGCTAGATGCCGATATTAGTGCGTTGAAGATAACCAGGGGAAATGCAACGTACAGAAAACAGCTTCAAGCTCGGCTCGAGCGAGGGACTCTGCGATGCACCTATGATCACCCCATCCAAAGCCAATGGCCTCTTCAGACCCTCGCTTGCGGAACATGTCAAACACGTTCGGATCACGGAAGACATCGGGATCTCGGTTCGCTGCTTGATTTGAGGCGATGATACTTTCGCCTGCCTTTACCTCCTAAAGGATTGTCAGAGATCGCCCGGAGCAAAAGAATTGTACGAGGGTACGGGGATGACGAACTTGACCGCGGATCTTGATATCAACCTCAGCAACACGCCGGGTAGCAAACGAAGACGCGGTGTGGTACCGGCATAGCTCCTCGACGAACGGTTTCGACAGAGACGGATCCTCAATCAAGGCGTCGAGTTGGTCAGGGTGCTCCAGCAAAGTTATCACACCCTAAAACACGAGCATTAGTCTTCGCTGTAACACGTATTTAGAAGGTTTGAACATACCAAGGCGATCATGCTGGTCATGGTCAGATTCCCGGCGACTAGGAGAAGGAAGGAGAGTTGCACAACATCCTTCTTATCCAATTGACCATTTGCAAGCTCATTAGAGACTAACGAGCCTATCACGCCGTTACTTGGCCCTGGTAAATCGATCTTCTTGTCGACGAGTTTTGCGAAATAATCCAGAAGCTCACTATCAAGTCCGTTAAATTTCAATGCATAAACTACTGCTTCATGATGGCAGGAGCTTACGCGTTGGCATCTTGAGCCGCGCTCGCGGTAGCACTACCATTAGTACGAGTAGCATTACACTGGGTCAAGTAGTCGACGTCCTTGAGGGGAACACCAAGAATACCATAGATAATCTGTACTTGGAAAGTTTCTTCAGTAAGCCGACTTATAGAATTAGAGAAGGACCACACAGGCCCCGGTGAGACGCACGTGCGACGGAACGCGAAGGGCAAAGTGCTCAATGAGATCAATGCTGTTCTGTCCTTTTCGTGCATTGATGAATTCGTTCAGATAGTGCTGAACAATACCTCTGATCCACGGCTTGCGTCGCTCCACATACTCGGGTGCGAAGAACGCCGCTACCATTTGCCTGTGAGCAAGGTGAGCCTGGGCATTGCTACCACTTCACTAGACTAGATGGAAAAGTACCTCTGGTGCATATATTTTATAAGGCTACTTAAGGTTTATATAGCTATTATAAGTTTTATAATATTAAATTATTTATTATATTATATTTTTAAAAAATACCTTATAATAAAATATTTAAGATATACTAATTTTAAATTATAATATTTATAAGGTAAAATATAAAAATAAAAGGTATTACTTTAAAAAGACTTTTATTTAACTAAATACCTAAAGGTAAGAGGTATAATATAAAGCGCTTAAAAATAACTTAAAAAATAAAAAAATTTACCTTTACTTAGCTATATAAGGATTACCTGCCTTAAGAAAGGTTTAAAAAGCTATACCCTTTAATATAGTCTTTATTATAATATAGCACTTCTTTTTCTCCTTTTAATTATTTTATTAAAAAGTAAAATAATTAGTAAAGGCTTAAAACTATAAAAGGTATTACTTACCTTATTAAAGTCCTTTATAATATTAAGATAAGTTATATAAAAGTTAAAAAAATAAAAGGTATAAGAGAAGGCAGTAATAAAATTATAAAATAAAAGCTAAATTAGTAAAATAAACTATAAAATAAGGGTTTAAAGTATTTATAATTTCTTATAAAAGCCTTTAGTAATATATTACTTATAGTAATATATATTAAGATATTCTTAATACTTATTATTATTTTTACTAAAAGTAATACTATTTACTTAAGTAAGGCAAGATAGAACTCTCTTAATAGTATTACTATCCTTATTAATAAAATATAACCTAAAAGTAAGTAATAATATATATTTTAGTAATATTAATAATAGCTTAAATTTACTATAATTTATAAGTAATATAAAGAGCCTTTTTATTAAAGGCTTTATTATAATAATAATTATAATTAAGTTAGTAAAAGTAAAATATATATTTAAGCGATAAAATAACTTATATAAAATAATAAAAAAGAAAAATACTATAAAAAAACTTAAGCTAGTAATTTAATAACTTTAAGGAATTTAAAAAAGTTTTATTAAATATAATAAATAAAAATATAATAAAGAAAAAGTTAAATATAAATTAAAAAATATTACTTAAAAGTTAATAAAAAAGCTTAAATCTTAATAAAAAACTTAATAAAGAAAGTTATTATATAAAAAGAAATATTATATAATTAATAATTATTATAATACTTAAAAAGAAAAAGAAAAAAAAGAAAATCTTAATTAAAAAAGAATTAAATTTTATAAAATATATATTTAATAATAAATTATATTATTATATAATTAAATTATTATAATTTATTAATATTATTATTACTTAATAATATTATTATAAACTATTAATATAATATAAAACCTTAAAATAAAAATTTAATTAAAAAAAACTAATAATTAAATTAATAAAATATAAATTAATTAAAATTATAAAATTTTAAATAAAGTTACTTTTTTTAAAAAAGAAATATAAAATCCTAATTTATAAAGAAAAAAAACTAAATTAATAATAGCCTTAAAGTAATAAAATTTTATTACTTTAATAAGGTATATTAAACTGCTAGATATTAATTAATAAGGTATTTTAGTTAAAGGAGCTGCTTTTCTTAAAATAGAAGAGTTATATAATATTTTACCCCTCTTTTAGAGATTAGCTAGGCTGCATCAGAAAGGCCGAAGACAGACAGTTCAATCAATCAATCAACGGTTCAACATAAGTTTAGTTGCCTAAAGTCAAAGACCTGAAGTCATGACTGAATTTGGCATCGGCGGCGAAAAGAGGATCATATGAGTCATGAGACAGGCCACGTGACCAAATGAGCAAATCAGCTGTAACATCAGTGCACCATCAATATAAACAGGGGTAAAGAACCTTTACAATATAATGCTAAACTGCATAGTAGCTATAATTACTGCAGAAGGCTGGTATATAAAGTATTAAACCTATTCCTATTAACTTTAAAAGGTCGAAAATACAAGCTTAAGGCGGCATCACGATAATCTCCCGTTCCGGCTAGACGCGAAGATCTGTACCTCGGGGGGTCTTCATACTTTTTGCCCCCCACTGTAATTGTTAGAGGAACTAATTTAATTAATTGTGTAGTAGTCTTAGTGCTTAGCATAGACCAAACTATTGACTTATTTTCCGGTTTAGCGTCTGCCAAAATGCGAAAATCTCCCAAAGCGGTTAGAATCCAGACCACAGGAGATTATGGCATGTCACTGCCAAAGAATACAAAAGAAGCGACATACCCCTTGAACCTGACAGCAAGAAACTATTGTTACTTATCCCACGTTTGTTCCTATCTCTTTCTCTTTTCTACTATTTCAGCACCGTCGGGCTTGGCTTAATGGCTTTGACAAAGCAGATAGCCACGGCGGCAGTCTTAGCCTTGCTCTCGTTTCCAGGCATTAACGCGGGACTATGCAAGCCACAGTCCTCGACCACGCTTCTTACCACTACCGCCGCAACACAAACTTCAAGTTGGAGCTTCGTTAGAACTACCGTCATCTTGTCAACCACGTCAGGTACCCTCGAGTCTACTACAACAACCATGGCAGAGTTGACAAGCACCGAGATTGGAAGCATTTCTTCTGACTCGAGTGCTTCTGCCACCATCAGGGAAACAACTACAACCGGATCTACTGGAAGTAATACTGCCGAGTCCAGTACTTCTCCCACGAGCATCACCCCCCCGCCGCCAGTATGCGCGCCTCCAGGCGGCACCTGCACTATTGACAACTTCATTCAGGCGTGCTGCCACGCCCCTGACGGTTCTGTCGGCTGTTACTTCCCGACTGGTGACCCTCAAAATGGAGTTTGCTTTGTTTAGTGCTTTAGAGATCGGGAACTATTAGGGTTCCTACTTAAATATTCTAGTCAGGAATCGGGTCTATTTTCCTTGGAAGATGATCCCTAGTTTCAGGAGATGGTTATTTGAAGTTATAACTTTAATAAAGCTAGTCTAAGTGCAGGACTTAAAACCCTTGAGAAAGGCCTTTCTCCTTGGATTATTGCTTCCGATAACCAAGGAGTCCAATCCTGTGCCCATGATTTCTTGGTAATCTCATAGTTATGAAAGAATAAATAGAATCATAAGTTTATAACAAGATAAAGGCTTTTAAGGTAGAAGGGCTTAAAAGAGGTATAATCTTATATAAGCTACTCTTACATACTACTAAACGCAATATTACTCTCTGCTAAGGATAATGTCTTATTACCTATTTTTTTTTTTTTTTTTTTTTTTTTTAAGTTTATAAGTTAGCCTTAAAAGGTATATCTAAGCATCTCTAGAGTCTAATATTATTTAAATATTTATTGCCCCTATAGCTAGTAAAGCTTTATTAAGTCAAATCATTATAGTTAGCTGCCTTAATTGCAGCCTGAACCTAGCTGCATATATGCCAGCTGAAAAGCCCTGCTCATCAGCTGGCCCTAACCTTCTTCCTACAACCCACCTGAAAGGATACCACGCTTCAATCATCCATCACGCTTCCGCAGTAAGTCATCTGACCCGACTTCTGACCGCAACCGTTAACAGCATCACAGCTGCACCGTCACGATGCTCCGAAGAAGCCTGCAGCCACCCGATGAGGCCTTTCGTACCAAAATGCCTGACCTAATCCCTTATTTTATGGCAGCTCTTAAAGACTATAAATGTAAGGATAAGCTCTATGCTATAGTAATAGAGATTAGAAAGACTTAGGATAAGGAGGATAATATTACCCTTATTAGGTAAGCTGCTTTAGGCTATAAGGTCCTCTTGCTTATATATTATTATTATAAAGAGCTAATAATCTCTAAAGGCTACCTTAAGGAGGAGATTAAGCTGCTGCAGAAGCTAGAGCAATCCCTTATAGCAGGAAGGCCTATAGAGGCAAGCGATGAGGGATTTATTAAGGACCTTAGACTGGGGACTGTTAAGAACCCCTATAGATAGTGGCTTGATGACGTGAAGAAACAGTTAGTAGAGCTAATGAAGGCTGTGAAGCTAATCGATGGCTGGTGAAGACGGGGGGATGTTATACCGCGATATCTGGGATAGAAGCGGGGTAATCGCGGGGTTTGGAGGAAAAATGTATTGAGTTTTGTATAAGTTTAGGTTGCCTAAAGTTAAAGACCTGAAGTTATGAATTTGGCGTTAGCGGCGAAAAGAGGATTAAATAAGTCACGAGACAGGCTACGTAACCAAATAAGCAAATCAGCTGTAACATCGGTGCACCATTAATATAAACAGGGGGTCCTGTTGCCTATTAATATTAACCTAGCATAACTAGGCTTATTATAATAGGAAACCTAAATACTATAATAAATAACTCTATGTATTTTTTTATTTTTTTTTACTTAAACCCTATATTTCTTATTTTAATATTTATAAATATTATAACTATTAATTTATATATAACTTATAGTCCTAAACCTTATAATATTAATAAACTAAATTAACTTTAATACTTACTTTAATTCTTAACTTTAACTTAATTATAATATTAATATAATTAATAAGTATATAAGTTAAATAAGTATATAAGCTAAAAGTTATAATATATATTAATATAATAATATAATTTATAAATAAAAAATTAATTATTTCTTTTATAAAATATAATTATAAGGGAAATCCTTATAACTTTAAGTTTAAAATAAAATAAAATATTATTTAATTTTTTTTAAATTAAATAATTATTATATATTTAAGATAATATTATTTTATAATTAAATACTATTTTTTTTTAAATTATAAAAGATATTATATTTAACTTTATATATATTTATAATATATTAAAGACTTAGCTTTAAGATATTTTAAAAGGCCTAAAGGGGAAGAGTAATTCTAGCTTTATTTACAGATTATAATATATTTAGTAGTTAAGAAGTTTCTAATTAGATAGAAATGTTATAGGTTGAGGGATTTTTGACAAGCTCGCCTGTCTGAGCGGCTTGCTTATCCACTTCGTCCCGGATGGCAGCCAAGAGCAATGCCGGCATGGAGAATTTGAGAGGGTTCAGTAAAAGCCGTAACTCGTCGAGGTAATTGTACGCCCGTGTACGACACCAGCTGAGGGGTCGTACTAGATTAGCTTGTCTTTGTAGAGAATACCCAGAGACATAATGATCCAACTCAACGTTCGACAGCAGTGTTTCAGAATATTTTCGTCATTGGTAGAGAAATCAAGATTGTTGAGGTGACAGACACAAGACGTTATTTGTATGATAGTATACTAAGCTACACTAAGGAAACCATTGGTGCGCCCACTTTGGTAGTATAGCCAGTGTTGCTAAGAGACAATAATTTCCAAATATAAAGGCTCAATGGTCTAATTGTGCATTGAACAGGAGGGCTCTCAATTCTCCTCACTACTTCCATACATACTACAGCTGGGTGGTGTAGCACTGCATCGACTTGTAGCCCTTGCCCCAGTTACTATTTTAAGCATAATTAGTACTTATAAAACGGAAATAAATAAGACGTATAGAAGGGATAGTGGGATATCATTAATAACTGCTGAATCGGACTAGGGAATGTTACCTAACACAGGCGGAGCCTGATCCTGAAAGAGCAACTGTTCGGACGGAATTCCCCTTACAGCTGTCCTGCTCAAAGAGGTAGCAGGTGCAAGCAACGCTGTTACCACCACAGCTTGCAATATTTGCGCTGTTTGTGTTGCTGTAGCTATATCCGTAGCATTTGTTTGAGGTGCCGGGCCAGATCGATACAGCGTAGTCCTTACAGCCGCCATCCGTGTAATACTGGACTTTAAGATCGACAGCTCGGGCGTGGAGGTCTTTTGGTTGGTTGTCAATAACTGGTGTAGCCTGTACGACAGCGATAGAAAGGAGTGCGGTGTAAAGACCCTTCATGGTGACGATTGCACTATTATTGCGGTTTGTAATGATTAATAAGTTGATGCAGAGTTTAGAGGATGTGCTGTTAAGACAATGATAAACTTCGTTATGTGGCCTTTGACCACCTTTTATAAGAAAAAGCCCCTGGCTGTTACTTATAGCATGTCAAGTGCCCTTACTTATTTTGCTGATTTTCTCGTATAGGAAGATTTTCTTTAAGTCCTTAGAATACTAAACCAGATTTTATTGGTGTTGAGTATTAGTTGCAACCGGGATATTATCTGTCAGCATGCATTGACAAGGTTAGTAATGCATTAGGTATGGATGACTAACCTCGGCAATACATGCTTACACACTTTAGAAGGCCTATCAGCATTACTCTACGAATGCCTTATACTATTTAGTCCAGAGAGCTTCCATTTCCAGCAAGTTCTTGATCCACAAATTGCTAGCCACCCGACTCTCAAGACGTCAAACTTGAAACGTTGCGGTGTGACTTTCAAGACAAAGGGCCGCATAATAGCCGCGCTTAAAATCCTTAGTCGGAAACAACAGGGTTTTAACCTCGTATCTCAAATACATAAAATCCGTGCCGAACTTCCGTTTACCTCAGATAGAGTGCTGCTTTTTGGGAATGAGGAGCAAATATCTGTCCTCGCTGTAGATGCTCGGGAATGGCTTAAGCCAGTGGCTAAGTTTGACTGTGGCGTGCACTAACGGTTAACAGGACTTTCCTAGAGAAGTACTAATCTGTAGTGGCGCCGAACCTTAACTCCCTATTCTAGGTGCTATTTAACTAGTAATATCCTGACGATGCCTTGGGCCAGATTATTATACGGCATATAGGTTAGTTACCTGTATACTTCTAGGTATATAAGATAGATATTAACTATAATAAGAGCTTAATTTATAAGAGGTTATTAAGGGAAGAGTGTGGTATGCCTACTAAGGTTAATTTTTATAAGGGCTTTTTATATTATTTCTAGAATAAGTATAGCAATCTAGATATAAGCAAGTAGAGGATAAGGGATAGTAAGTGTGGATGGACTCTAGGCGCTAATACTCTAAATAATTTGCTTAAGCAGTTATGTTATATTAGGTTATTTTATATATATTTTTCATCCGGGTGGCCATTGGCCCTAAAAGTCCCCTACTAGGACACAGGATGTGCTAAGCTAGGGTTTATTTATATATTAATTATAAAATACTTATAGCTTTATAAAGCTTAGTTGTTTATATTGCAAAATTAAATATCCTTATTAAAAGCGCTATTTTATAAAATAATTAATATAATAGTTGGGTTTAATTATATTAAATTAAGCTATATTAGGTTTATTATTAGTAGATAATATAAGGTATAAATTAAGTATTATTAAAGTATTATATTTTTTAATAATAAATTTAATATATATTAGGCTTAATTAATATAAAGAAGTTATATTAATAATTAATAAGCTTAACTTTATAAAAGTATTAATAAATATATTTTATATACTAAAAGTAATTATAAAGTAATTATTAAGGTTACTTAATAATTTTAGTATTTTCTAATATAATTATATTTTAATAATTATAATATATATAATAAGTAAGTAATATAAATAAGCAAGTAATATAAAAATCTTAACCTTTATAAAATAAATTATAATAAAAATATTATAAACTATTTAATTAATTAAAATTAATTACTATATTTATTACTAAATACTTTTAGAACTACTTAATAGGTCTTTATATTATGCCTAGTCTTACTATATATATTATATTGCTAAATACCTAGCCTAACTAACCTTTCTTAACTACTACTTCTTAATAATTTAGCTAATACTTATATACTTATATCTATTTAATTAATTAAATCCTAACCTTTTTATATAATTAAGCTTTCTTTATTTTATAAGTATATTCTTTTTGCCTTATATTACTAGCTAAGTATATTATTTGCCTTATAAAGCTCTTAGTTCTTAGCCTTTAATAAGGCAGTTTTCTATATATTCCTTATAACTACCTTTATAAAAAACTAAAGAGCTTTAAGGATTAACTTAAGGAGCTATTATAATATCTTTTAATTTAATCCTAAAGGTATTTAAACTATAATCTAGCCTTAAGGACTATTACTAGGGTTTTTAAAGTCTAAGCTTAAGCTTATTAAGCTATCTCTTTAATAGGTATTAGAGTTTATAGCTATATATTAAGCTTTAAGATTATAACTTTAAGATTAAAAGAAGTAAATCTAGCTTCTTTAAAACCCTTTTTAATATTTAACTTAATTATAATTAATTAAAAAGTAATATAAAAAGCTAAAAAGAACTTAATCTTAAAAATATAAATTATAAACTATTTAATTAGTTATTTTATTTCTTACTTATAGGCCTTTTTTTATAGCTTAAAATACTTAATATTAAGTAGCTATAATAAGTATAAAGAATAAGAAGGTATATAAAGTATAATAATATTATTAACCTTATAATATAACTAAAAATTAATAAATTAATAACTTTTATAATTATTAAGGATTAAAAAATAATAGGCATTAACTAATTAATTAGCTATATATTAATTAAAGTACTTTAGCTAGTTTAGGCCTATCTTAGTATTTATTTAGCTATTTAATATTATAATAATAGCCTAAGTACTTAAGAAGTTACTTTCTTAATATTAATTAATAAGGTAATATTAGCTTATAATTACTAAATATAAATTAATTACTTAGCCTTTTATATTAATTACTTAAATTATAATAACTTATTCTTAATTTTTAGGCTAAATTAATTTTAAGTTTTTATGCCTTTTTAAGTTAGTAATTACTATATTACTTAATATTATACCTATTATAACGCCAGTCTTATTAAAGTTCTAAATATTATTTAATTTAATATTATATTTTATAATTATATTCTTTATAAGCCTAAACTAATTATAAATAATAATTAGATCTTTATATTAAGCTTTTTAATAATTATATTTATAAAAAAAATGTATTTTAAGTTATAATTATTACTTAATAAAATTAATAGCCTAGTACTTATTAACTAGTAATATATTATATTTAATAAGTAGTTAATTTACTATTTCTTTAATATTATAATATTAAAAGGGAAATCCTTATAAATTTAAATTAAGAATATACTTAATTATAATTTATTTCTTTTAATTACTTAATTTTTAACTATTTAAAATACAATTAATATAAGCTAGTATACCTTAAGATTAATAGTAAAGGTTATATAAGTTAATATTATATATAAAAGCAGCTTATTGCAGACTTAATTTTAGGTCTGCTTAATAGGCTTAAAGTATAAGATTTATATAAGCCTTAGTAGTAAATTATAATATATTATTTAGTTAAGAAATAATTAATTAAATAGTATTAATATAAGGTAAGAGATTTTTATATTACTTGCTTGTTTATATTACTTGCTTATTGTATATATTAAATAAAATCTATTTATATATAATAACTATTTATAATTAATAAAAAATATAAGGTATATATAATATAATTACTAAGATTATGATAATTAGTAAATAACTTTATTTAATATATTAATAATATAAATAATATATCTTATTAAGCCTATTTCTTATTAGTAAGATAACTAGGCATAGCTAGTAAATTATACTTGCTAATTAATCCTAATACTAAGAAGGCTAGAATTAGCTTTTATATAGGGCAGCTTAAGGCTGCTTTTAGGTAATTATAGTTAGATAAAGGGCATAGAGACTTTGCCTATCAGTACTATAACAACTAGCCTACTAACATCAAGCCTTCTTCTAGCTCCCTTAAGGAGATCGCCAAACTGCTAGAACAAGATCCCAATGATCTGCACAAGCAGTTAAAACCGTCATCTGTCGTTAGGGCGTACATATGGGGGTTCTTGGGCGACAATGTCTTTCGTCAATTTCTTTGGGCAGGGAATCCGCAAGCAATGTCTGAATTGCTTGATTCCTCAAGTATGAATGCCCTTTTACTTGCTATCGATAGGTCGTTCTTAAGATCGAATCTAGAGCCACTACCGGAGATCACAAAGGAACTATCTCCATCAGACCAAGAAAGGAGACGTCAGGTTGATTTATGGAAGGCTAGCAAGAGCACATTACTACAGGATGCACACGTTCAACGTGCCAACAACCAGGAGAACAACTGCCAGGATAGAAAGTTCAGCCAGCTCACCAACGATCTACTTGGTTTGCTTCCTCCTAACACCAAGACCAAGGATCTAAAAGAACAAATCGACTCAATCTGGGATGACGCAGTGAGACTTGACATGGCTATGAACACACAAGCCTCAGGATTATATATGTATTATGGAAATCGCCACAAAGAGCCCATGAGATTAGATGATACAAGGATGGAGGTGGAAATGGAAGGAAACAGTGCTGCTCTAAACAGTGACGCTGTGACTTGTGTCTTGGCATCTGCTTTAGAGAGAAGGGGCGAGCCTGATGGTACCCGCTTGGCTTACCGTACATTCTTGGTCAAGATGCTAGTGTTATGTCAGAGTGGAGGTATGACATCACAAGGGGAAAGTTCTGTGAAGAGAGAACATACTAAAGAACATACCCGTTCAGCTGGTATAAGGAGCTCTTTTAGTTCTAAGAAATAAGTTTAATGTAAAACTGCAATATTAACAATAAGTGTTTACTATACTAATAGCAGTCTTCAGTGCCATCTTTCAATTAAGAATTCAGAGATATAAGGAAAGTAAAGGCGACTAACTAATTGGCTTATTGTTTATTATATCAAAAGCATACGCTATCTCTGTAGGATTGTTCTTAGTATGAGGTAGTTTTGGTATCTATGTCTATAATATATTTAGGCTCCAAGCATTATATTTATAAGTCTAGCCCAGAAAGTTTCTTTTCTATCATTTCATACCCTGAGAAAGGTACTCCTTTGTGTTTGAGAAAGTCTCTGTCTCCTGGTAAAACCATGGTTCATCCGGCATCTCGTTTTCCTCCTTCGTAATTATAAGCAGACGGCCAGTATAGTCAAGACGAATACCAGGATAAATAAAGCTCTTCCACATATAAAGCAATATGTTGGAGCTTTCAAGGCTCTCGGCGATGTGAGGCGCAATGAGCTCCTGATGCTTCTGCGGCAGGACAGACCAATGCAGTCCAGGGTATAAATGGTGCACGGTATGATAGCCATTGTTGAAGCACAAGTAATTGAGCGTTTTGCCAGTGAAATTGCGCGCAAAATTATACTTGGAGCTCATATCGCAGCCGTCGTGTTGGAGGAAGTTCAATGAAAGGATGCAGTACTTTGCATAGAACTGTGGCAAAAGCGCAAACCAGATCCATCGACGCCAGTCTATTAGGATGAGCACTGCGGTAGTACCCCAGACAGCAATCTCCTCGCGGCGGCGCTGCTTCACAATAGGTCGGTTGAGACGGGCCTGGGCCTCAAAGTACAGCTTGTCATCCTTGTTCCCCGACAGAACAACATGCCAGAAAAACAGTAGACCGTTCAAGAGGTTCCAGCTATATCGGACTTTAGTCGTGCGCACTATTTATGCGGTCAGCAATGTCATATGTGGAGAAGTTGAGTTATTTAATTTCCTGTCAGACAATTGAGTCTGAATTGGAAGGTGGTGAGCTACTTACTGACATCTCTTGCTTGCTGGGGATATTTGTGGTGAGACAAATTATGGCCTGGTATAAAGATCGAAACAGCGCCGCCGTACTGAAGGGACAGGCAAATCTGGTAAAAGTTGTTCCAGTTCCTGTCCCAGAAGACGGGCAAATGAATCGCATTATGCGTTGTCACGGCGCCCATAAAGGACAGCTGGAAGAGCGCCAACCATAGTGTAAGCGAAACCCAGCCTCCCGCCAATGGCGATGAGAAATTGTGCCAAGTAATCACAAAGACGAGGAAAAAGAGAATCGTGGACACGATGCACCGGATATCCTCGTTGTGTCTCATGCCAGACCGCACTGGCGATGGCTGCTGCTGGTGGGCGATTTTCTCAGCCATTATGCGGTGAAGGGAGCTGCGATGGTTGTGCACAATGAGAATAGTAAGGGGCTAAGCGCATGAAAATTTTACACGTAATCAAATTTAGAGTGCCAGCATCACGTGATACCCGGTAGTTCCGGGTAGGTCCTACTCCAGATGTAAGCATCGTACGACTTAGTAAAATAATTTATGTACTGATTTGTATTTATAGAATTTGTTTCTGAGTTAATCCCGAGAATTAGACATTAAGGTTATTCTTGTTCTTCTCTGTTTTTAATTGAGTATCGGCTGTTGCTCTATTCCACTTCAAGTTAGAGTTATGAGACAGAATCTCCTAAGAACACGTTTCTAAACTGGAGTCAACCATGCACAACGATACTACCAGGAAATTCTCATCTGACCTGCTGATCAATCTCATTTGACCAACACCTTCAGCAACCGCAAGATAACCCGGATGGACGTGTACCCTTAATTGGGACATAAGCGCCTCGTCCTCCCGTTCCCGGTTGGTGTACAAAGCAACAGCCTAAAAACGTCTCGACTGTAGGACAGTCAGTTGCACCATGGGTAACTTGTCGGTGTTACAACAGAGACCGTTGATGCATGGTCTACTGTAGATGTCGTCCGACACGCATTCGTTGAACACGGGAACAGGGTCGTTTGAGCCCCATCCTGGGGAAGAACAATCACCGTTTTTCCACGTGAAAGTACAGTACTGAGTGGGTTCGCATCGGGCGTTGGGGTCTACGGCACAGTCCAGATGAACAGCCCTGGCGGTTGACATGAGAATGGAGAGACAGAGGTTCAAAACGGCATTGATGAGCGTCTTGAGATTGGTTTCGGAGTAATGATACTGTGAGTAAAAGCATGGCCGGAGAATTAAGAGTTTGGCCAGGTAGGTAAAGCTATTTATGGCCGCATATAGAATTAAGTCGAGAAAGATGATGGTTCTTCCGTTGATGGTAAAAAGTAAGAGAAAGGTTATCTGATATTCCGAGAATTTATACCGATTCTACTGTCAACATGTCAACGGCTGTTATCCAGCCTTGGAATTGGCAGTCCAGATAAAGCTGATTATTGTCTCGATACACCGATCTTACAACCACTACAGGCATTAAGAAACATGGAGAATTCCACCATCGGCATTATTGATCATATATGGGATAGAGTGTTTACGTTTATAACGGCCATAGTTAAACTACAGTGACTAGTCTTACTACGACTCAATCCCGTCCATACTTAAATCGTCGATACGGAAATATCTATCAAGTTGATAATTCCTTTAACGAGCCAAGAGTCTTAGCCAGGATGCACGGAAAGAATCGCCTGACTTTTACTGGATACACCGGAGCGCTCCGTCAGCACAAAAGATGAGGTGGGAACATTCATTTCGTTGATTGGCTACACCGTATTGGAATACGTAAACGTCGGGATACGCGTATAACAAGGATTGGCAACTGATGGATGTGTCTACTAAATAACACGTTCCAGTTAAAGCTCATATCGCTTAGCAAACACACTGACACAAATAAACCAGTATCTTATCATCAGTAATACCGGATGTTTCACTTGAACGTCTATAGTCCCGTAAGAGCGTAAGATGTCGCTTACTATATCCCGAAAGGTCAGCAATGTTACGTTCAACAAGGTCAAATGGTCTCACCACTTCAATCCATCTCGCCATCCATTTTTCCACGGCATGCTTTGCCTCGTCGACAAGCCCGAGTTCTACACTCCGATTAGCAACAGTGAATGGTTGTACTATGCTTGTCAATTGGTACCTAGTAAAAGCTGGACTGCGCCACGAATACCCGAGTCTAAAGCCGAGGCGATCCAAGCGTGAGTATACGATGTATGCTCGCCAACAAAGATCATCTATTCGAATTGTTAAAGAATGTCTAGCCAAAACTGATGCGATTCTTGCCTTGTTGTATGTCTTGAAGTACTCGGGTATATAGAGTTGATGCTGTCCTGCAGTCGGGCTAGCCCAACTTCCGGATTGAAGAGGGTCAAGTGCCCAGCATCTTCTGTTATACTTTCCAGTAAAAAGATCCCGAGTGAACTCTCCGTGGATCTCAACCATAGCATCAACGACCATCTGAACATGGTCTTTCTCGGACATACTTGCCAATCGAACCCCCATGTCACCGCTTATATAGCTTGCCAGAATGGTAGCAGGACCAGTGCCATTCAAGTTGTAGGATGGGTAGCAAATGCTGCCAATTCCAGGAATATCCGTAGTTGTACTACAACCGCCATAGATAGGGTTCTCGTAGTGTTCCCAGAAACGTTCAGAGAACTCAAGCGCAACCTTGCAGGCGGATCCATAGTTCAACTCCTTGATGGCGTTGGAGATAGTTGCTGGGAGCTTTGGGAGACGCCACCTTCGGACAACAGAGAAGGGTACTGCAATGACAGCGTAGTCGAAAGTTGAGTTCTGGAATGTTGTGTCGTTATACTTGTTGCGCCATTGCAATGTGACCTTCTCATCAGTCTCACTATACCTGACACGCTCAATTTTGCGGTCCATTGCTGTAATATTGTCAACAAGTGGATGAAACGATAAAGGAAGTCTGTTGAGACCACCGTCGATGGTCTTGTAGCTGGCGGCTGAGAAATACATTCCCTCGTATAACGAGTCCCAAAAGCTAGCGGCAGACCATCCTCCATTCATGTCAGTGCTGTTGAGGCTACCCTTCAAGTAGTTGACCATGAAGGCATATTCGGACCATTGATCACCTCCCAGGCCGTTGAGACCAGTTTCGAGCCACTGCTTATGGGCTTTGAACATGTTCTTTGCCATAAGAGTGCTGAACTCTGAGCCAGGCATAAATGTATCAACCTTGGTCTGGAGATCTTTGGTCGCAGGGTCATTGACACTTGCAGGACTGAGTGATGCATTACTCGCAATTTCTCTCAGCGTTGGGGGCAGTCCACTTTGAAGTTTGAACTCGTTCTTGTAGGAGAGGCCATTCAGGCTACTCTGGATCCAAGGAATGAAGTCAACACTGAGGTTTTTGTCGTGGTTGTTGAGCTTGTTTATCTCTTCTGCAAGTTGAAACACTAGCTGATGGTCCGTGATGTTCATTGTTTCGTTAGTCTCAGGACTCTTGTAAGTCGAGGGGAACCGCATGGGTCCCATCTCTTGATAAGAATAGTCAAACGGACCCCCCGTTAAGTATTCGGTATGAACGCGGCCACCAAGTCGATTGCCGGCTTCAATGATGCTGATGTTGGTCATACCTGCTTGTGAGAGAACCAGGTAGGTCATCAAGCCAGACATACCCGCACCAACAATTGCGATCTGCTTCTCTTTGGCAGCGTCGGCATCAAGTACAGATAGGCCAGTCTTGGAAAGATGTTCAACGCCGTCGAACCATGGCCCCAGTGTATCGATACCATTGTCATGATTCATAAGAATTGGATCTGTTCCAGCTTCGTTGTCAGCCTTGTACTGCACGAAAAGGACTATGACTCACCTGTTGCTCGCTTCTGAACATTCCGGCGCCGGACACGATGGAGCTTTTGGGGCTCACTACGTCCCACGAGGTCATTATCGTTCGTCCAGGCTGAAATGCACCCATTATCGTGTGAATCATCTGGGATGATCCAAACTAAACGAGACACACTTTTGCTTTCAGTGACAGCTATGGTGTAGTGGGATTCAGATCGAGACTTGCTGTTGCAAAGTCCATAAGTGAAAAACAAAGGACCCTCTGACGCTTGATCAAACTCTACGTAAATATTCGTAAGGTGAGACGTTGGGGCCCCTCGGGTCTGTAGTTGAATAGGTAGGGAAGAGGCCATGGCGCCCCCCAGCCCAAGGACGAGATTTGCAATGGATTGTTTCATAGTAGCAGGTAACAACAGACGATAGCCAGCAGGAAGTAAAGCTCAAGAAGAGATGAAATTGCTTATTTATATATTGACTACAATAGGTAACCAACTTGTGATTTGTTTCTTAGATTAGATAGGGCAACGTGAACGTCGGCGACTACAAGCGTCCTAAATAGGTATAACAACTTATCTGCAACGGACTTTAGAGCTGCCCTTTGCCCCATCCCCTTTGTTGGTTCCCCGAAGCCATGATAATGGATGCCAATAGCAATCGGCCAACCTGGAAGCCCCATTAAAATCCCGGCTGAATAAACGCCAGACATGTTGTAAATGGCCGGAGACATGCTGCATCAAGATATGAGTTGCAGACGCGATGGTACATCCGAAATCGGGGGTTCAACGTTACTTCTGCTTATCAGCATAGAGCAAGCTATGAACGACAAATAGAGATTTGAGAATACGCTTATCATTAGACAGTGAGGGATTGGTAAGAAGACAATGTTTAAAAGCGCCGACGACCCGAAAGGTCGTTTAGTCAATGCATGGTCGCTTAGTGAAAATGGAGCAACCCCGCAGATAAACAATAATAGACTGGGACATAAATCTGCAGATCTCCATGTCAGAAGATAAGCTTCCGGCTAATAAGTCCCAATTTGTGCATACAGATAGATAAGATGCGACTTTACCCTTCTTAATATAAGTTACGAAATAACAAATAGAGCAATTTTTTCTTTAAATCCAAAAAGGCAACCGAAAGTATAATGCAGGATTTAATGTATAGGATGGTATCGTCCGTGTTTGTTTCCCTCCATATCCAGATATTATACCTATCTCGGGCAGAGACTATAGGCCTAAAACAGGTACCTGGGTGGGGGGCCAAGGAATTACTTGCTTATCGATAGCAAGGCTGCTGGGTAGACGCTATCCACGTCAAAGCTGAACTATGACAGTATGCACAACATCCTTGAAGTCTGATTAACGGTTGCCCCAGCTGGCTGGTATTCTCAAATCAATGGCCAGTTTGAGATATCTGATCTAATCTCCAGTTTCATCCATCGTCCAGTGAATCAACCTAACCTCGAATTTCGTCCTCCGTATCCTCAATGCAACATTCAGAGCCATCAGTGTCGTCCTCTTCCAACACCACACCGGCCTCCCAAAGATCATATCTATCGTCATCAGCTAGGGGTTTATTCAACTCCCCGATGACTTCTTCCATTCTTGTCAGCCAGTATCCCCGGAGAAACTCTGCTATAGGGACATTTTGTCGATCGAAAGCCTCTCCAAACTCTTCGTCAAGTGCTTGAAGCTGATCGATCAACTCTCGGTCCTCGTCCAATATTTCCTTCCATTCTTCTTCGTCTAATATTTCCTTCCATTCTTCTTTGTCCTCTAAATTCTCTAAATTGTAATAGCCTTTCCTTAGGCAGATTGGCAAGTGCCTTACCCCCAAGGACATCATGGTCAGAATATGAATTGCACATTTCGCCATATATGATTGTTCAGAGCTGCACTTTAAAAGCTTCAAAAGATCAATGGAACGCACCACAAGTTCGATGTTCTCTCCTATATTCGAAAAAAAGTACGTCGATCCGCTATGATCTTTATACCACAGAATTGCGAGCAAGATATGTGCCAAGGGTCGGCTAAACGTGCCTGATGAACACGGACATGGAATACTGCATTGGGCCTTGCTGTGGTATATTTCTGGTAGCAGTGTCTTTAAATCCTGCAGTTCAGATATAGAGACGTCCTGGTGTGGAAGATCGAAGGACTTGACCCGGTTTAAGGACCAGAAGATCCAGTTCCCGATGAAAACCGCAACGCGATGAAGGATAGAAAGTCGGAAGGGCTCTAAAGAGAGCTCTAGTTTTAGGTCGTACTGGAGTAGCCAATCTAGATAATTCATAGATACCTTTTCTAACCTCCCGGATGAAGAGTTGGGTATGATGTAACTGCCAGATAGAAGTGTTGGAACCCCGCTTTCATCCTTAGGTGCTAAACCGTAGTCGAGTGCCAGGACTGCAACCTGTAGGTGGTGAGGAAAGTCGAAAAGGCTCTGGGGTTCGATAACAAAATAGTTGCTGTAAGGCTGGAGGCTATCATTGAGGCCCACTACTAGCTGATCCCGCTGTTCCTTAGTTTCCTGCAGTTCAGTCCATAACAAGGTGGCAGTCTTGTCAGGTAAGAAGTTTGCGGTTACTCCATACTGACGCAGTGATTCCTCGGGAAGGATGCCTAGAGCAACATTCCGTAATCGCTCACGTCTGTCCTTGAGATGCTCAAAGAACAATTTTCGGGCTTTCAAGGAGCAACCAGCTAGGGTTTCAGGTCGTCCAAAACCGACAGTGACACTGCAATCGGTTTCGAGCAGAAGTTGAACAGCAACGAAGCAAGCGCAGCCATCACAGTCAGTCCACTGGTCCGGAGCATTGCAGTAGACCTTGCTGTAGAATAGAGCATAATCCAGAGGCCTGAGATACAAAAATGACGCTGAGCTCATGTACATTAAGGGACGAACATCTTGCCGTTGTAAGAGAAGCCTCAGTCCATCCGGCCAGTTGCTGCTTACATGTAATATGTTGCGGTCGTATAAATCTGTTTGCGAAATATTTGAAATACTATCCTCTTCTGCCAGGATAGCTTGAAGTCTCCCATGATCTCTCGCCATGGCAGCTAAAAAGAGCTCCGAGAATCCAATTTCTGCGTTTAAACATTAGTACTTTGAACGAAGGTGAAAAGCGGGTAACAGTTATATAACCTTCACATATCTCGGGATATTCACATAAGACATTTAGCTGCCTTACCCATTGTTCTCCAGCTTCAAACCGCAGATTTGCAGCCAGGCACCCATTATGAGCAAGCTCGGCGTGGTAAAAGTTTGAATCACGGTTCATGACCAATCTATATAGCCTCGGTAGTATCCAGAAGTTGCGGTATGAATTTATCGATAGGGTTAACACGTTACTAATTTATGTTAGATATGTGACGGAATTTGGCCCGGTTTAATAATTACGATTGACTGAAATTCGATGCGGTGATGGGAACACCAATATCGGCCAGATAGGTCAGCATCTTGCAAATGGCATCGATTGCTATATCGCTGGACTCTAGTCCCCTTTCGTAGTTGAAATAGCCCAGACAAGCCTCCAAGGGTTGTTAGTTCGAGGTCATCAGAAACCGGATAAGGAAAAAGCAGCTGACTCACCTGTAGGCACGTGTGAGCAATATTGTTACCGTCTTGGTCGACATCAAAAGGTGATGCCTTTCCGGATCTGTAGATAACTCTTAGCTCTTTGATAAGATTTTCCGCTATGTGGCTCGGACAAAGCCTAGTTCTATATTGTATGAACATCTCATCGATGTTAAAGAGTCGTAAAGCTGGGCTGCTCTTGACAATGTTGCAGGGCTGTAGTCCAAAAGAGACGCTATATGGTCCGGCGGGGTATTCTTGCGCAAGGGAAACTCTGAAGGATTGGGAAAAAAGGGATAGAAGCCCGAAGTACGTCAGTGAAGTTTTCGAAACATTTCTTCTGGACTTCTGAAAGAAAATGCACCCGGGGCGATGATTTGCTCCTACGCCTCCTTGTCTTGAGATGGTCAACCCCCCCCAAAATCGGTACGTCCGACTTGCAGGACGATTGCTAGTTTTGCTTTTTGAAGCTCCACAGGTACAATCCATGTCTGCTAGCTTCTTGCAAAGCCTTCTTTCGAGTTCGGCACTCTGCAGATAACGAGGCTTAGGGTGGGCTTTGGCAAAGTCTTCGAAAGATCGCTCACTTCCCTTGAACGAAGCCTTCGTCTCTGCGACACTCATCGCGGCCTGGTGCAAGACGATACTGTTGCTGCTGGCGGCAGTAATTCGATCTTCTATTCCGGATGGAAGTGCGGCAAGTTCCAGGGTGCCAGGTTCCACTTTGGGGCTAATGACGTCGAGTTTGGTGGTAATCGTTCTCAACGTGGTCTGCGTGTTGATGTCAAGTGCATCGAGAGAAGCTTTAAAAGCCTCCAAGTCACCACTCATCCGGATGTTTATATCACTGTTTGTCTTCAGCACAAATCCGTTCCAGCATCGCTGGAGATCACTCACAGGTTGAGGGCTTGTATAAAACTATTCAGAGTAGTGTTTGCTCGTGAAAGATACTCTTCTAGCTGCACCAGCTTCTTGCGATCAAAGGGATATCGTGCAATCAGTTTCTGTCTTCTCCAGATCTCCTTGGCCAGCGATGGATCGTCGGTCGGCATCAACTCCTTGAGAAATGTTTCAAGACATTTAAGCTGCATTTCGCAATTTATCAAACTCAATTGTAAGCCATCAATGGCTGGAGAATGACGATGGCCAAGGTTTGATGCGCTCGATTGGACAGCGAAGATATGGAATTTAAACAGGGCCAGGCTCTGAGTGGCAATTGCGATATCATCTTTTCTGTCTTTGATAGCGCTGAAGTAGGTGTGAAGGCCGTTACAAACAGTAAGGCCAAGTGAAATGAGGCCAGCGACGCCGCTGGCGATAGAGAATGGATCACCCATATTGATTTGAAGGGGTTTGGAAGAGAAGAGGAAAAGACCGGCGGGGTAAAGTGGCAGGGGAAGCTCTGACTTTTGTTCTGCTCCTCCGAGTCTGGGGCTTACGTCGAGAGGTAGACAAGGCAGATTCGCAAATCAGGCGGTCAATCAGAGAGTGCCAACACATCAGCCCGAATATGCATTGACACCACATTGGCCACGACTTGGGAATCTTAAGTGTCAATGGTGGTGGGCGGCTGAATTCCTCCTAATAAGTTAAAATATAAATGTATAAATTAGGGTAGTATTATAGAAGAAACCCATGGCGAAATGCATAGCTTCGTGCCCTCTTTCCAAACACATACATAGGGATGGTGGCCATACTGATTGCCATAGTAATGCCTCCAATCACAAAGAAGGAATTCCTCACACCTTGAGTCGCAATCCAGTCGTTGACATAGAAGCTCATGCCGAAGGCGAAGACATTCTTGGTGAAACTCATCATTGCGTAGGCTTCAACAGCCTCACGACGATGAGAATCGACTACATAGGACACGACACCAACAATGCCGAATTGGATACCCAGGTTAATCATCCCCAAGCAGACGATAACAGGAATTGGCCAGGGCTCAGCATTTGCAAGGCTCTGGCCCCAGCCGAAAAACCCACTGGCACCAAGTGTAGTCAGAAGAGCAAGAATTGGGAGACGAAACTCAGGCTCTGCAATTAAAGGCGATTAGCACGTAACTTGATGAATCTTTCAGGCAGAAGATAATCACTTACCGTAAATTCCCTCATTCTTCCTAGCCATAAGCGTCGCCAACCCATCTACCATCAGACCAGCCAGCGCCGTCGCGATGAAAGTACCAACGAAAGATGACAGATTTGTCAATCCTACCTGTGTAACAGAGAAGTTGTATGGCGGCCCAGTGAAGATTTGAGAAAAGGTGGAAGCAAGTAATACCAACCAGCTCATGCAAATTGTCAGCTGGAAACATCCCCAAATAACCACGGGCGAACCAAGCATTTTGAAGGGTGCAAAGATGCTATACCAGAACCCAGACGAATCGTAATAACCGCTCCAAGGTCGGAGTTCATAAATGAATGAATGTCGCTCTGGAATAGGTGCAACGCCACAAACTGAAGCTCTGTTTTCAACTTGAGATACAGACTCCTTCATATCATCCACGGGAGAGTTGATTGGAATGCCTGAGTCAATGGGGCGCTTGTAAGCTGTCTCAGGCATGAAGAAGAAGGTAAGCAGAAGCTGAACCCCAAAGGCACCAGCCATGGCCCAGAGGCAGGCCCTGTAGCCGTATTGGTCGATGATAGCGCCAGCTGGTAGTGGGGAGTCAGTACTGCAAGAAGGTAGAGGATAAAGAAGAGGACTGACCAATAGGCGAAGCAAGGTTGATGCCTCCAAGGACACCTAAATTAAAAACCGCGTTCCTGAATCCTCTCTGATGAACGAACCAGATGTCAGAGATTGATGCGGGAACCAAGGCTTCCATGGGAGACATGCAAAAGCCCTGGATAGCACGGGAGACAGCGAGCGAGATGAAATCTTTGGCCACTGCGGTCCAGATCGTTGAGCACAGTAGACCCACGGCGGTGATGAGGTACACTGGCCGCTTGCCGATCATCATTGCCAACGAGTTACAGAAAAGGTTACCGAACGCCAAAGCGATGAGAAGGGCCCCGGTGAAGCCCAGCGTGAAGGTCTGGAGAGGCACATCGAATGTCTCAGCAAGAGGAACCAACGCCGGGCCGAGAAGGGGCCCTATAGCACCAACGCAGCCGCATCCGATGACGATAGAAACAGTGAACATCTCCTTCTTCCATCTCGGCCAGTTGAGAGGATCGTTGGGGTCATCAGAGGGCTGGGGAACAAGGACGATCTTGCCTGTTGGATCGTGCTTGAGGTCGGCATGAGTCTTCTCAGCAGCGCCCTCTAAGCTGGAAGAAACACCTTTCTCATTGAGGAATGATGTTCCAGGGACATCGGAGAGGCGACGATCAGGAAGGACTCCCAAGCCCATGGTTGAGAGATCGAATCTTGTATGCAGTAGAAAGGGATAGTACTACAACTAAACATGGAGAGTACAATGAAGTACGACTTGACTGGTGATTTATGTGAATGGATCTGGAGAGGCAGGATATTTGAGGATATGGGGAACTTATAGTGCATTGCCCCAGCTTAATAATTGACATTGGTAAGAGATGTGCACTTAATGAGTGAGCATCGCTTGTGGAGTAAGGGGAGGGAACTGCATTGACTGAGTCGTTTGTTTCCTTCATGGCCAGCCAATGATACAGCTAAGTCTCCGAGCCGACAGTAGTCAAAGGCCAGCTGCCGACACTCAATCGTCGTCAGACTTACAGATCTAACACCTTTCCAAGACATGCCAAGGAAGCTGGGGCTACATACATGAAGCTAACCAGTAATGATGTGTTTCTGGCTCCATTAACGTTGCATGATTAGTCTCTGGCCATGTGTTGAGATGTAAATCGTGGGGTAGTGCGGGGGCGGGATGGACATCATGGGTTGGTCCCTTTGCCGCTCGCTTGGCTGTCTCAATATGCCGCAGCGGGAGTTGGAGCCCGATTAGACTGAAGTGGTCAACATCGCGCCCATACTGAGAAAACTTAAGCTTAACATATGGAGGCGTATTTGTAGGTAAACGAAGCTTAGAGACTTCTGTGAGACATTGCCTCCCACTTCGATAGCAAAATACTTCTTGCTGCCGCATGGAAGAATGGAGACAATCAGATTTTCATTGGAGTCTTGTAATTACATAAATGCTGATAAGCTCCCCGTCAACACCACAGTATCTTATGCATGACCTAATTTGTAGAACATCTTGTTGTTATGCTCCGCCCCAGCATCAGCGTAATCCGCATGAGGTCTCAGTGTGATAGTATGCTCATTCAGTTCAGCCACTTGACCAGTCCTGGAAGGGTCTGTCACGAATTGCGCAACAGCCTTTGTCAAGGTTGAGATTGGCGTGATTATCATAGACTTGAAGAGCTCCTTATCGGGAGTGATATTCGTTTCTGCGATATATGTTAGAGAGAAAACGGCGACAACTAACTATAAAGAAGCCGTGAACTTACCCAAGACTCCAGGTGCAAGAGCGTTGATTTGGATCTTCCTTTCTTCAAGCCTGACAGCCATGGACCGAACAAGTCCTATAATGCCGGCCTTGGAGGCTGAATAGAGTGGCGAAACTGGAAATGGATAGATGGCCGCGGATGACGATGTGCAAACAATAGAGCCTCTAGAACTCTGGAGGCGACTCCCAACCTCATTCTTGAGCATATAATGCACGGCAAGCCCAACACCTACAGTCGTTGTTGCCCATTAGTCTACCGAGTATAAGAAGCTCAAAAAGAGGTATAACTGACTGTAAATTACTCCATTCAGATTGATTTCCTGCATTCTAAGGTTCGGCTTGCGGGGAAACTCTGTCGGAGTGCAATCGAGAGCCCCGACTACCGGATCAGAAATTCCTGCATTGGCAATGACAATGTCGATTCGATTTCCATGCTCACGATAAGCCTGATCGAAGACTGCGTACTGCCCTTCCCAAGATGATACATCGCACCATTTGAAGCTCAGGGTGGCTTGGGGATACTCCTTTGCCACTTCTGCAACAGCATCAGGGCCTGTCTTTGAGTTTACGTCAAGAACAGCTACCATGTGGCCCTGGGCAGCGAAGTGACGAGTGACAGCCAAGCCAATACCACTTGCGCCACCGGTAACAATGATCGATAGACGTTGAGGATGAGGTGAGATGTCAGTGGTCGAGTCAAAAGACGGCGACATTTTGGACGTTAAGGCGAGAATGGCAGGGATAGGGTGACTGAACTTGGTGATGTTAAGATCCGATTAAGAATACCTGATTACGCTTTCCTGACGGATATAGTAAAGAGCCTTAGAGCGGAATGTAAAGATGTAAACGCGGGCCGAAACAATGGTGTAGATGCCGCCCGGAAATGCCGAGTATACAGGATCCCCCCACTGTCGGCAACAGCACTTACAAAGCAAGCACAGATATCTATGCACTAACGTTAGAATATCCTCCAAGACTTCTAGGAATTCATTTTAATCTCCATCAGTACAAGGAGGGCAGTAGACACTGTCGTCTTTAATATTTTGTGGCAGCTCTAACTGAGCAACTTTGAACTGACCATGGCCGAGATACGGTTCTGCTCCGAAATTGTAGATGATGTGAAAGGGAAGGTGGTTGTTATGACAGGTATTGCCCATCATCTCGCTATTCAAATCCAGCAAGTTCCATCTTATGTCTGTTACTAATTTATAATGCGTATAGGCGGCGCCCAAGGAATTGGAGCAGCAACCATCTCGTTGCTGTACACGAGAGGCGCCCATGTCTATTTCGGAGACTGGGATGATGTAAAGGGCCACCAACTCGTTAGTCATCTCCAGTCAAGCACGCCTCACGGTGGCGGATCGGTACATTTTCAGAAGCTCGACGTTCGTAACTACAACGAACAGCTACAACTCTTCAAGACGCCATATGAAGAAAAAGGGCATGTCGACATTGCAATCTCTTGCGCTGCTGTGATTGAACCCAATGGTTGGTTTGGGCCAGACCAGTTGAGCCTCGAGGCGGTTATGACCGAGCCCCAACCACTGAAAGATACTATCGATATCAACTTGACGAGCGTTGTTCTCTTTTGCCGAATAGCCCTTGCTTTTATGAAGGTTGATAAGGATCCGACGAGGCCAAATGACTTCTCGAAATCCATTGTCTTGGTGTCTTCCATCGCTGGAATAGTCGAAGCAGCTGGTCTCTTTGCCTACAGTGCTGCAAAGCATGGCATTATAGGACTGATGAGGTCATTAAGAGCGCTGGCTACAGCCAAGTTCAACATTCGCATCAACGTCGTGTGTCCCTGGGCTACGGATACACAAATGATCGATAATGTGCGTTCCATCTGGGGGAAGCATCGTCTCCCACTGAATGCGCCCAATGACGTTGCGCAGTTCATCGCTCAGCTGGCAACTGACAAGTCTTTGAGCGGAAAGTCTGTTCTGGTCGCTGGTGGTCGAGGGTTTGATACTGAGGAAGGCATTGATAAGACAATGTCAGAGTGGTTTGGACCTCTTACAGATGACTTCTGGCGCGGGCAAAAGGCTCTTGGGACGGTAAGTACCATGATTTGATTCTGCGATATACTTTTGAGAGGATATTTGCTAACATTAGACATTAGGGTGATGAATGGTCCGATATTTGAAACAGGCACATCGATATCAAGTATATCGTCATCCATATTAGCACTCATGACCTGAATTCTATTTTGGTCTAAGCATAGTATCGGTTGGTAATACCAGCCAGCTCATGCAATGGGTAGAAGGTCAGTCTTGTTTTTTTATGGCTAGGTATTTCCATAATTAATAAAAGATAGTGGAGTATATATAATGGGACCATGGTAACGTTATACAGCTCTATCTTAATAATAGGTTCTGTTTAATAATCACCCCGAACCTTTATAATCGGCTTGATAACTTATCGCAAAACCTGCAGCTATGGTAATAATATAAAACCCCATTGCCTGATAGAAACTGGTTTTTTAATGCAATCCTTCAGTCTCTACTTCATTCAGTACTTCTCTCGCGAACATGACTCCTACATTTCTTGTCGCCGGCGCCACTGGCAATACCGGAAGAGGCGTTGTCGCAACGTTGTCGGAACTTCTGAAAGACAACAAGACCTTCTCTGGATATAAGATTCTTGCTCTCACGCGTTCCTCAAGCGGAGCTGCTGCACAGCAACTCGCTCGTTTGCCTAACGTCGAGGTCATTGAACAGAACTGGGTTGAGATCACCGCCGACTGGCTTCGAGAACGCCACGTCGTCAGGGCTTTTATTGCCTCGCACAACGAACCTAACCACTTTGCCGAGGAGTCTACATTCCATCTCGCTGCTCTCCATGCTGGCGTTGAATATGTCGTGCGCATTTCAACAACCGCTGCAAACGTCCGTCCTGATTGCCCCGCCTATTATCCGAGGACGCATTGGGCGATTGAGGCCTTGCTGAGCTCGCCCGAGTTTGATAGGTTAAAATGGACTTCATTGCAACCTAATGTCTTTACGCAATTTTGGCTTGGTCCCGCTGCCGGTTTCATCAAGACGTTCCGCGAGACCGGGAAGCAAGAGACGTTGAGGCTCATGGCTTCAGAGGATGCTGCTGTTGGCCCCATCGATTCCAATGAAGTAGGAGTATTTGCAGCCTACCTTCTGGCTACGGAGGACATTACCCGGCATAATAAGGCTAAATACGTCATGAACGGGCCCGAGGATATCACTGGACGTCAAATTGTCGATCTTGTTGAGGAGTATATCGGTACCAAAGTTGAGGATGTCATCTTCAAGGACATGTCCTTTATTGAATATGCCGCAGCCCAAACTCAGCAATCCAAGAACGTCATCCTATCAATTAAGCATGCTCCAGAAACTGCATGGGAGGGGAAATGCGGAGTCGCCACAACAAGCAAGGAGGTTCTCCAGCTTGCTGGGCCAAAGAATACACCTGCTGAAATTCTTAAGACACTAATTGAGAATAAGTAAATATTTTAAATAAACTCTAGTATAACCTTTTAAGGATATTACTAGTAAGTAATACTTAAATAATAAATAATTTAAGAATTAAAAAAATAAGCCGTTAATATTAACTATACTGGCATTTATAGTAGCGACTTTAATCTAGATTGTATATTTTGGCATCAGGGTAAAATTATGCTCCAAAAGTCTCTGGACACCCCACCCTGTAGCAACTCAATCCATTTAACAGTAATAACTTTACTTATACAGAATTTAATTAAATAAAGGTCAACAATAATAAAAAGTATATCATTTTAAAGCCCTGAATTTTCTCTTTAATATTTTATATACTATCCCTAGGCGTAAATGCAGGCATTAATTTATCAGGGAAGTGAGTTAATTAAGCGGTTAATTTAATCTGGTGTAATTACTGCCTACGCCAACTTAATACATTTAATTAACTTTGCTCTATTAATATTATTATTTTTTAAGAGATCTAATTAAGGAAACATCTTTTTAATATTTAGCTTTAATTACTTCTATATATGCTTAATTAGGTTTAAATCAGGGCTGTAAGCAGGCTAGTTAATCCAGGATATGCTATATTCTAATAGCTAGTTTATTATAGACTTTAATATATAAATATAAGCATTATCTTATTAAAATTAATAAAATCCCTTATATATAGGAAGTAAACCTTCTATTAAAGCCTATTAATAACTTAAGAAGTATATCCTCTTCTTTTAGCAGTCTAATTATAGATTATAATAATAATATTAGATTTTCCTCCTCTCTAAATTGCTCCCTAAACTATAATTAATAATTAAGACTTTTTATAAATTATTATATTAACTAATTCCTTTATAAACTTCTTATAAGGCTTATAGAATATCTAGCCTTATTTATAATTAAGTTATAATTAAACTAATAATTTATTACTAAAAATAGTCTAAAGGTATTATTAGTTAAGTAAAAGATTCCTAAGCGGCATCTATCTATAAACTTTAAATTAATAAACCTTTAATAATTTATCTAAATCTTCTTTTTAAGCTTAATATTATAAAAGTTACTAATAAGTAGTTTCTTTAGATAGTAATATCCTTTATATAGCCCTTTATTTATAATTATAATAAAATTATATAACTTAGTATATTATTATTTATAAGATATAATTACTTAAAAAGTTAATAAGCTTTTTATATATAATATAATAGTTACATTTTAATAAAAGTAATATATACTAAATCTGCTAAATTATAAGTTTTTAGGGATATCTAGATCTTAGTTTATTATCTAGAGTCTATAGAGTTTTCTAGCATTAAATAATATTTGCAATTATTTAAGGCGAATATCTTGCCTTGCAAGCAATAGCTCAGTATAACTTTCCGCTCTCTACAGCTTGTATAATAAGAGCCTTAACTATGTCCGTAAATTCATGGTTTCTTTGGCGCTTTGCGCATAATATAGATAAGATTCTATCCATTTCCGATAAGAATTATCGAAGTTTTGGCTATATTTGCAGTTAGGGGTCAGTCTGATTTTGTCTGGTGGGTTATACGTTGGCGGGGCAGCGTCCAGAGACTTTTGGACACTAATTTTACCATCTAGAAATGGCTTAGCATATCTGTGAACGGCTCTGTATCGAACAGGAAATTGTCTGTTCCCTGGACCGATATCCCATCCCAGTGTATATCAGATCCTCCCAAGGCCATGGGCAGACATTCATCAACAAATGCTTGGCTTTCATCTGGTATACGCCACATACTGCTCATATTCTGCGTCGCTTCTGTTACCTGTTGCAACATCAAGAGCCCTCCGGACGATTCATCGCCCAGCTCAGGGGGCACGACTGAGGACGCTAACGTTGTCATATCAGTGTCCATATCTGCTGGAGCACTCTTTTCTTGATCCAGAACAAAGATCTGGCTGAGAAACTGCCCGTTACTCTTTCTCTGGGGTGGAACCAGACGCTCGCGGTAACTCTGCAGCGCATTGCGAAGCTCTGTCAAGACATCTAGATAGCGATGGGCTTGAGGACTTGTTCGATCCAGGTCCCGAATGATGCCAATTCCGCTATGTAGAGCTGCCTCTATCTCAAACGTTGTAGACTTTTCTGATAGCGTGGCCTCTACGAAAAGGGAAAAGGCCATAATGAGACAGGCGCTAAATATCCAAGCTCTTGATGTACAGTTAGGATAGAGTTTAAACCAGGGAAAGTAGGAGTTCTTACTTGAGTAATGTCATGTTCTGTATGAGCAGGCCCGCAGATTGTGTTCTACGCGTTGTCTCCACGAGTAAAACAGCCGCATCAATGCAGACCTGGGCCAACTCCTTTGTCTCCCGATCACTTGTATGATATGGCCCAGATGAAGCATCTGACGGGTCTAAGCGTTTCAGTTTCACGAGCATATATGATATCAGAATTGGTCTAGTAGCCAACATAACAGCATAGTAATAGAAGGCTGAGACAGCAAAGTTGCCCAACGTCTGGCGCCACTGCTTGGGAGAAATCGGAGAGCTGACTGTGCAGTTTGTCATGCTCGATGGCAGTGCTGAGCTCCAATCACGAAGTTGTCTCAGAAGTTCTTTTATTGATGTCAAATTCGTGTCCTGTTTGTTGTTGAGGTGATATGTGATCTGTTCGAGTATAGTGCAGACCCCGTAACACGCTGACATGGATGTGAATTCTGGCGTGCACGGTTCTGGGCCATCTGGGACTGAGAAGGATGGATTACTTATTCCCCTTCTTGGGGATGAGGCCGGTGTTTGGGCGAGGACTGCGCCGAATGCAATGTCTAATATCCGCAGGCTTTTCCATACCTGAAGCCTGGTGGTACATGTATGTTAGTTTCTCAACATTATTGCGCTCAAGTCCAGAATCAGTAAGGTTGCCTACCTGAATCTATGCGTTTCTGGCCTTAGATTGCGATAAGACTCGGGTAAATGTAGACCGATCGCATGGGCAACTCGAGTCGCAACACCAAGATATATAAAAGCCCCGTCTCTCTTACATGCATTCAACATGTAGATACTCATCAGCAGAAAGATAGCTACTAGATCACCGGTCGGGTCTAAGAGCATACCCTCAAAAGCCAACTTTTGTCCGCGATCGAAATGCTTTTGCGCATGATATAGACTCTTAGGGCTCGTTCTACAACCTTGTCCGCCGATAGCTATGGCCAAATCGATGATGGCGCCTTTATGATAAGGTTGAGACGCACTATTGGCGTCTGAGTGTCCCCTGCTTTCTTCCGTCTCTTCGAGTAGCTCTAACATTTGCTGGGGGGAGTAAATATATATTATGCCGGTGGTCTACGACACTATGTTAGTTCAATACTTGTCGGACTAGAACATCATCCATACCGCTACCAAGAATCTCTGGATATAGTCTCGCTTCTCTTCCAAGGTAAGCTGGCTGTCTGGACTGTCCTCGGTGATGTCGTGTGAGGCTTGAGGATACGCCGACTCGAGCATAGCCTTGGCCCGGTCTTTATCAGTGAACGGGGATGGCCCCATATAACAGAGGAACGTGTGACGTAAGAAGTCGAGAAAAGAGAGTGACGCAGAATCGCCCATTGATACTGCAAACCCGGGGATAAGCTTTTGAAGGCCGTTGGGGGCTGGTTTACTATTTCTTGATGTGAACTACTCACTGTTCTCGCTTTCTGGATTATGCTCATGGCTGCCAATGTTTGACATGCAAGATGAGAATGCCGTATCGGGGGTCTCGTTCGACTGTTGTCCCGCGGTGGACTCTGGAGTTTGAGGTGCCTGCACCTGCTCGTGTGTATCGCTCTCATTCGCGGATGATGCCACGTCGGAACAAACAATAAAGTCTAGGCTGGAGCAGCGATCACTGCTCTCGGAGGTGGTGCCACTCTGTCTTCCCATGGCTCGACGTTGTGCTTTGCTGCTCATGCGACGCGGGCGAGCTGCCTCAGGATCGTAGATGCAATAGGGGACGTAGTCTCGCCGCCGGCAATTAGCGCATGGAGATTGAGAGTCACATCTCTTCTTGCTATTTTGGCAGGGCACGCAGGCTATCACAGCGCGTCTACGATCTTCCGCACGAACTTTGGGACGAGGCATTACGAGGATGATGTCAATGGTGATACTGTTATGGTGCTGTCCATGAATCGAATGAGCATAGTGGGGATTGGATTCAAGATCAATCTACTATGCCAAGATGGAGATGCTTGGTTTAACATGGCCATACGATCATCTGCCGTTGACAGAGCCGAGACTCTAACGCTTGCAAGTTAGTGATATCAATATCTGCATCTTGTGCGGGGAAGCGAGCGGGTAGACTGCATCATAACCCAGGTTTAGCGGGGTATACCCAGAAAACTCCTCGTCTCTCGCTTACAGATGCCTGAGAAGTTACTGGACCGGGTAATGATAATCGCCCACGTGTTATTCGAGGTATCATCTGGCGGCAAGTGCACTCTTATCCCCAGCTCGGCGCATCGGATAGCTGCCTAGGCGGGGAGAAACCCGGGGTAACAAGGAAGAGTTCAACCAGTAATGGCAATGCAGAACTTGTTGCTCTGCATTGAATGAAAGTCGTTGACGTCTTAAAGTCGTCGCTTCAGCTCCAATTGCAATGGCCTCCTTTTTACTCCGCCATTTGTAAACATTTCATAATCTCCTATTCCCCTCTTTTTTGCTCCAATCATGACGATTACGCTTAACCATTCCCAACTGGGCGACATTCGAGGACTCAGGTTAGATGGTCAAGGAGTAGTGCAATACCTCGGCATTCAGTATGCCAGCCTGGCTCATCGATTTGCTGGTCCAGAACTAAGAACCGATTATGGAGGAACAATAGACGCGACAAGTCGAGGGTGAGTTCTCGCGACTTCCAGTTTATTTGTCGTGCCAGATCTGCCCGTATGGCTCGAGCTAATAGTCCTTCCTCTTCACAGCCCGACTGTAGTTAGACCCCCATTGGCCTGCGACATTGAGTTTGGCCTGATTCAGAAGACCCTTGTCAAGCCCGATTACCGTCCTATGTCTGATCTCAATGGCTTGACTCTCGACATAACTGTGCCAGAAGTGAACACTGACGAGAACAATGCAAAACTTCCCGTGCTTGTATTTATCCATGGAGGAGCATTCATCATCGGTGACAGTGGGGCTCCGCATTATGATATGGCTGCCATCGTCGCATATTCCCAATCGATCGGGAAGCCCATTATCGGCGTGTCGATCAAGTAGGACGCCTTCTTCAAATCAGGTTTTATACTTGATCTTGTTGAAAACCTCTGTTACTAATTATAAACAGTTACCGACTCGGAGTTGCAGGATTCCTGGACAGTAAAGAGATGAGAGCGACAGGTATCCCTCCAAATAGAAGTATCCTCGATCAAAAGACAGCATTTCAATGGGTTCGTCGGAATATTGGCGGATTTTCAGGCGATCCAACTCGCATCACTGCCATTGGCCAGAGCGCAGGAGGCAGTAAGTATTCCTAACAGCTAGACTTTTGTAGACAGGTCTGCTGACGATTTATGTCAGGCTCCATCATGCACCTCCTTGACTTGGATTTACCAGGAGAAATCCTTTTCGACCGCGCCATTTGCTTGAGTGGAAACAACCTGGCTGTTCCTTCATCCACCAAACACGTTGCCCAAGATGCTTATAAAACGATACTCCAATGTCTGGGGATAGACTCAACACTATCGAGCGAAGACCAGCTCGCAGCATTGACTGCCGTATCTCCGGAAGACATTCTATCCAAGATTCCGCTTTCAATTCCTCTTCAGCCGGTTGTAGAGACAGATCAATTGCCCTCATTCCGATCAGTCGAGACTCATTTGGCTTCATCTCAACATAGACCGCCTCTACTGATTGGCTCGACTGACTTTGATGCAGTCGTCTTTGAAGTTCTGGGCCTTTTTTCAGACCGAGAGCAGGGCTCTTTGGCTCGAGACTTCACCAGATCTTTGACGAAGACCATTCATGAGGAGCACCACGCCAGACTGGAGAGCCTTCTCAACTTGTATGGAATTTCAGAAGCAGACGACGATGAGAAAACCCGCGTCAAGATTCTCCAGTTCGGGACAGATCTAAAGTATTTCGCCACATCAAAACACTATGCTACCTTTTGGCCCGCCCAGTCATGGCTCTATTACTTTAACGAGTCTAACCCATGGGAAGGGCCACACCAAGGTCGCTCAGCTCACTGTCTTGACATAGCCTACCTCTTCCTCAACTACAATCGCGTCATGGGTGATTCACAAAAGAGAGTAGCAACAGAATTTGCTCGCGACGTCATTGGTTTTACAAACGGGGAAGCTCCCTGGGCTGAGTTTCATAGTTCGAAGGAGATCAGAGTGTATGGGTCAAATGGGGAAAGTCAGGGAACAGGACAGAAAGCCATGGCGGGCCCATCTCAGGAAGTTCAAGCACTTTGGTCAGCGATAGGTCTCGATAATCTGGCTCAAGCTTGGGGTGCTTACTCTGCAAAGTCGTAGTTGGTGGAACTGGACAATGGCATGGAAGATACATTGGCCTCTCGCTTAGAGCAGTCTCTAAGAGTTTCCACTGATGGTGTAACAACATGTTATTAATGGCTCGTATTATCGTTAACTCGATGCATACCTTTAAAAGCTGGTCTCGCCTTGTCAGATGTTACCGAAATGTCTATATGATTATTGTCTATTTCAATAACTATATCCTTTCGTCTTAAAGTGCAGCATTTACACAATTGACATAACATTGGTTCAATTTCTTATAGTTCTTATTTAAGCGAGTTTCGAGATAATAGTTTCTCAGAGGATTCGGATTGAAACGCCGTGGCGTGGTCTGGGCCCGTAACGTGCTATGTTGAAGGATAACGTTATCGACGATTATTCGAGCTTATGTCTGGAGGCGGCAGGGGAAGGCTTGGGAGCCAGTAACTTTCACTTTCAGCTCCAGTCAGGATGCGATGCATACAATCTGAGACTTCCTTCGCCTGTGCCCGAGGTTCCTTGATCGATTCTGAGTGCCTTGGTCTTGTGTCGGTTTGCTCTCCTTCTCCCCTACTGGCGGCATCCTTCCCAAATCCCCATTTGTCAAAGTGTTGTCGATAGGTAGCGGGTTGATGCATCAAAGCTGTGCACCGTCCTCATGATATCACGTACTTCCTGCAGTCTTTTATCCTCCTGGATGTAAAGTCTGGTAATAAGCCCTCGGTTTTCGTTCCAAAGCTCACCCATCGTCTCAGCTTCAGGGTCATCTGACGGCTCCTGAAGCAGGTCACTAGAACCAATGGGTACTGCGTTGCCCATTCCTGGGTCACTTGAACTGCTGTCATTTCCACGACTTGGCGTATCGGTATCTGATCGGAGAACCACATCGACCATGAGTAAACGTAAAGAGGATATGTTCCGCATTAATAGCAGCCCAAATTCTCTCTCAATTGTCAACCTCTTGGCGCAATCATACAGGCTGGTTAGTGGACCGACACTGGCTTAGCCAGTGAGTAACAAATTAAATCAGACCATAAAACAAAGCAGTGAGATGAACACAGTAAGATAACACTTAAGTTAAAATTAATTTAAAAAATATATGCATAGTATTATGCTTATATCTCGTCCTTATTATTGTCCTTAACTAGCAGAACTGTATGCATATGCTTCTCAGCTGACGTAATAGTCTTAGACCATCTCCAAGCTGGAACCTTGGACTCATACAGCTCATCAATCTCAGCGGCGGATCGACTATACAACCAAAAGTCAGCTCATTTGCTCCATATCTGGGTAAAAGTTTTTATAAACTGTGTTGCTTCCCTCTAATTCGGCAGATGCCAAAAGAGAGAAACTTACTTACCCCTTGGTTTCTGGGACGTAAAGCCACATAAGAACGCAGACTGGCACGGAAAAGGCGCCAAAGACAAAGCATGCCTTAATATTGAGTTTAAGCAACATGCGTGGGACAGCATAGCTATAAGAATCAGATAGAAAACTCAACTAAATAGAGCTTTATCCACTTACCTAAATGCGATTCCCAGAATAGACTGAGCAAAGAATGTAACAGGAGTGGTCTTAGCTGTTAGATCATTGTCAGTGAGTGCAACTATCATTAAGATGAAGAACCGCACGATGACTTACCTCGAAGGAGAGCAGACGGAATCTCAGCCGACATGACAAAATAAGCCAGGTTAACGATCTGGAACATGAACGACCAAAGGCAGCAAATAAATAGCTGAGATGTGTAAGTATTACACCTTGATCAAAGGGCAAGCAGGCAAAGAACAGAGCGGAGGAGTGAGTGGAACGTACAAGAGCGGTGCCAGTGGCCACATGACCAGTAGTAGCTCCAGCCCACCACAGAGATCCAGCGATAAAGAGGAAAGCACAGATGGCAGTCTGGGAGATAGTGATGAACGTGCGCCGACCAAATTTGTCAGTCGTCACAGTCCACAAGCTGACAGCAAGGAGGTTACAGCAACTAGTAGCAGCAAGATTAAGATTAGTGCTTGACAAGGAGATCAGATGCATTATGCATAAGGTATAACTTACGAAAGGATGAGAGTTGCAAGGAAGGGGTCAGAGAGGCCGGCAATGGCAAAGAAATCTGCACGGTTAGGATGATGCTTAGAATGAGAATGACGACGAACTCACAGGTCGAGTAACTCAGAATGATAGACAGACCGCCAAACGGCCCGCTGACAGCAAGCAATAAGACCGTAAGGGTACGTCTCTGTTGAGGAGTCAGTATTGAGTACTTGATCCAACGAGCAGGGAAACAAATAAAAGGTCACTATACCAAATTGAGGCCCTTGAAAACGTGTGTAACCTTGGGTGCCTCATCCAAGAGTTCCCTCTCGTGCGAAATCGTCTTTTCGATGATGCTGTATTCCTGTTCAAAGTCATAGCCTTCAACATTACCATACAGGAGCTTCAATGACTTCATCGCTTTCTCCTTCTGTCCATGGCGTGCGTAATACCAGGGCGATTCAGGAACGAAAGCCCAAAATAAGAGCATCATTGCAACAGGAGCAATGAGGATCCGCAATGGAAGTGAGTAATTATCAGGGTGCTTCTTGTTCAACCTCTGCATCATGACATTGCAGGCGATGTTGCCGATATTACTCCTATACGGAGGGTCAGTTCATGCAAGGATGTGTTGATTCAGACTAAGGAGAAACATACCAGACAGCTTGAAAGGTGAGCATACCACCGCGAATGTTGTTTGGGCATATTTCCATGACGTAGACCTGACAAGTGACCCTGGGGAGTGTTAACGACTGAATGACAAGGACTGTAGTGTAGGTAGTTCTTACTGAAGAATACCAACACCTGCACCATTGCAAAGCTTTCCAATGGCCTGTGACAATAAGTTTCAGCATTCGCACAATGCTTTTTACACAAGGTAGTAAGCGGCTTGAACTCACCCACACAGCAGGGGTCTTTGCTAAATTGAGAACAATGCAACCCTAGAGAAGTCAGCCCTGATACCTGCTACCTGCTGCTCAAGCAGCCTACTCTGCCTGTTCACTACTTACGACTGCCAGCCAGAGCCAGGCGAGACCGAGGCACGCCTTACGGCCGAATCTATCAGAGAACCTGCAAGGGTCAGCAGTTAGGCTTGATGACAGAAGCGCACAGCGCAGGCAGTATGGCTTACCAATGGATGTAGAGAAAGGTAACAATTTGACCGACATTCTGATTTGGTTAGTCTTGGCTTTGTTTTCAGTATAGGAGAAGGTGGACCAACGAGGAGGGAAGTCCATGTAGACACTATTCATGATGGTCAGCATCAGAGAATTCATGGTTATGGTGGTACATGTCAACTTACCCCAAGTAGGATCAAGTGCCTGTACACCCGAGCCACCTTGGCGACCAAACTGTTTGATGAAGCCGGCATTCGCGATGATGTTGTTACCGATTTTGAGCTGCGCGACGATATACATGTGAGCCTCGGTCACCAACCGCACGCCAATCACTCACCTCAAAACCTTCGCAGACATAACCAGTATAAATGGCGAGTGCCACGAGAGAGACCCGCCTAAAGACCCAGACGGTGCGCGGGATAGACAAGTCATCGAACTTGGACTTGACGAGTTCCTCGGGATGGTACTCAGCAGTTTGGGGCATGTTCTTATCGTCCGGGATAGTCTCGACGTGCGCCCGGTCGGGCCTGTCTGACAGGGTGTTCTGGGAATGCGCCATTGTGTCGTTAGTTGCAGCTCGTTAACTTGGCGGTGCTGGATTGCAGATGGATGGAGCAGTGTTATAGATGGACAGTGGTAAAACTGATTGGGGGGTGGTTGACTCTAAATATATTCTTTGCACTCTGCGCCCTGACTGCCGTATTGAGCCCCATTTGAAGTCTAGACATACAACCCAGATTCACAATCTGCTGGTCCCAGCGAGGGGGAAATCGTTAGACTCGGTAAGCTCTGACCCGAGGCTGGGGTAACCTGGGGTTACCTGTCAATCCGGGGCCCCAGACACGACACGATAGTTCAGCGCCCAGGCCCCGCATTACTAGAACTCATGAGCTGATGACACGCCTGCGGGGGTCCTTGCACTCCGCGGAATGCTTTGTCATTCCAGATTGATAGTTATTGCCTATTGGCCCCATTCTACTCTGAGCGCCATACCCCCGAGCCTGGCTCCGTTCAGCTTTATCTTTTAGGAATAGTCAAGTCAATAGCCCCGTTGAACATTCTTAGTCCACTCAGCACAGGTTGTACGTACAACGGACCACGCCTTAGGGGTAGCTGGGGTCCATTGAAAGCACAAAATTTGGTCTGGTTCACACAAAGAGTCACAAGATTAAGAATGCGTTAATAATTCATCCTGCGGAACGAAACCTCGGCTTTCGCCACCTATGTCTCTATGAGTCCGAGCCTAGCGTACTGATGCGTCATGGAGGGAGAAATGCTCGCGGTTTTGTTCACCTCAACAATCCTTTGGAGATAAAACGAATGGCCTGATTGTCCCCACTCATGCATGGCAAGCACACTGGTGCTGCCGCGACTGGTTATGGCGATGGACTTCGGGCGTTAGTGGCTAGAACGTAAAGTATAGTCATACTCATCAATCTACAGCGAAATGACATCAAAACCTCGGGATCATTGAGCTCGCATCAAGGACTAAAATGTATTTCTGTGCGTCTATACCAAATCAGTTGCCACATCTAGGCGCTTATCGTAAACTCTAACTGATGTCCTGTCCAATCTAGACGCAGGTCTTGGTTCGGCAGGACTATATGCAAAGGAATCGGTCGAGATACTAGCTTCTCCCCTCTAACGACTATCTTCACGCCAGCATCAAATCCAGTCCACGAAACATGTACGGCTCCCAATGTCTCACCGCCGACTGTGCCAACAGGTACAGTAGCACTTAGGCTAGAGTAGAGTCCCAACCTTGGTTGAAACTTGATAGCTTTCCAGCCAGGGCGATCTGGCCGCACCCCAGCAACTTCCGCCATAAACTCATAGAGGGGCACACTTCCCCAGGCGTGACAGTCAGAGCGTTGGGCGACAGCGTCCTCGACCCAGGTGGTGACATGCAGTGCCAGTTGATCGTGCCACGGTTTCCAAAACTGGTGGAAATGGTCTTCATAGACGCTACCTCCTGCAAGAGAAAAGGCTCGAAGCGTATAGAAGGACATGGCGACTGATTCCTGAATGAATTGTCCAGCGACTGTCCGCTCTGTGCTTTTCCGCAACAGTGTCTGTGCCTCTCCGCCACTGATGGCTCCGCTCAGCACAGCCCAAATTTGGCTATGCTGGCTATATGTTGGCATTTCGTGCTCGGCGTAAGCAGAAACCAGACTGTCGGTGAAGAACTCGCCGTCAAAACAATGCGCCCGAAGAGATGAAACAATACGCCTGGCGCGGTCCCTGTATTCGTCTCCAAGTGCGGGTCTTCCAAGAGCACTGATCAGCTTGGATATGGCGCTCAAAGTGTAGGCGTAGATCGCATTTGTGTAGGTAGAGATGCCAGTACGCTCGAAGACAGGTGGATATCCGTACGGCTTCCACTCCTTTGTCCAGTCTATAAAATGCCATATACCGGTATCTGGTCCGAATTGGAGCTTAACGAGATGCAATCCAGAATCGACGCGAGATTCAAAGTATGTTAAAATGGCATCTGCGATGGGCATGAACTGTGATAAAAACGCTTCATCACCATAGTAGTCATGGTGATCACACAACATGCAGATCCAATATAGTGAAAAATGAGAGATGAACTGCTGTCTATGAGTAGGCGCTCTGCTTGCTGTTAATCCGATTCTCGGCTGAAAAGAATTATGTAGCTGGATGATAGCTTGTCGTGCCAACGTATCATCCCCGGAGATACAATAAGTGAAGATTGCAGAGCTTCTAGTATCCATGGCGTACTGCATCTGTTCATAGAAAGGACAGTCCTCGTAGCAGTCATGCATGCAATTCACCAAAGTGCGTATGCTAGTATTCCACAAATCATCCACAGCAGCGGCAGAGTTGCTATAGCTTGGTCCTCGTGTGGCTGAAAATACTGCTCTAACGTCTAGAGGGTAGTGCGCAGTCTGGAAATCAAGCCCCCGAAAATCCAAGCCTGTAGTTCCAACAAGAATCTCGACCTTGATGAAGCGAAAGGTTCGGAAGTGGAACGGGGCAAAAATTTCATGTGCCGTCTCATCGTAATATTCGAGGCGATTGAATCCATCTACTCCTCGAAAATGATAAATATCATGCGGACCAAAGAGTTGTTTTGTTCGATCGCTACGATGGGCTTTCTTTCTCTCGCCTTTATAGTAGTCCGGCTCGTCTTCGTAGCTCTCGGTATACGTGATCTTGATATGACCGCCTCTCTCGGAAGGCCGTGTGAAACAGGCACGAATGAAAGCCGTTGTGTGATGGGCGACCTCGAGCTCCAACTCATGACGCGATCCTGGCCCAAGATGCAGTCTACGCTGCAGTGTGCCATGCTCGTGTCCAAGTAAGAATGCACTCCATGTCTCCATTGGCACATTGCTTTTCAAGTTGTGGATTCCTGTGAAACCAGCGTCTGCCGTAATGCGATAAGGCGGTATGAGACGAGGCGAGAGGTGCCAGGGGGTCGAGTTGCCAGTTGAATTCTTGAACTTGAGGACCTGAGCTGGCAACCAATCGAGCGGACGATTAGAGCCTTCTACTTGGTGACTTTCGTAGATGTGAAGAAAGACATCCTCAGGCTCATCAACTCGGAGGCGACTGACAGGATCGATTGCAGTCTCCCATGAGTCGCTGCTGGAGAGTTGCTCTGGCCAAGGTGCGGTCTTGTCTGGAAGAATGATTCTCAAACCCCCAGTGGGCAGGCGAGGAAAGGCTGGGGCATATTGTGTCGAGTAAAAGAAGCGGAGAACGTGGACGCCGATATAGTTATCTCCTTCCTTGAGATACGGTCCAATGTCAAGCTCATCATAGAACCATAAGTTATGGTCGCCTTTGACGGGGCCGAAAGCGACTAGTTGGTGATTCACATAAAGCTTGTACTTGGTGTCGGCAGTGATATGGATCTTGAGAGACTCGGGTACGCTGCCAGAGTCAATCGAGAACTGCCTCCTAAAATGGACGAATAGTCCAGCTGTATCGGATATGTCTTCGGGGAATGATGGGTGCCACATCCATGTTCTATCAAAAGTAGCTGACATTCTGGCTTGGGAGAGAAACCGACAAAGGACGAGTAGGCCAGGTGATCATGTTGGGATTTGACACGTTAATGAGCAGTATGTCATGATGCGTGGAACCAGGGTGGAATACCACGCACACTACGGAACGGGATGCACGCCGCATACGCGTATAGGGCTCGCTAACTAAATTAGGACCTTCTGCTCCCAACCCCACATTTGATACCCATAAGACAAACCGATTCCGCGGAATAGCCATTGACTGACTGCTCACTCACACTCTCACTCTCACTCTCGCATCCCACGGAGACGCAATGCCACCTGCACATGCCTGCAATGCCTGCAAGAGACGCAAAGTCAGATGTGATGGCATTGAGCCCTGCTCCAATTGTCGAATCTCGCACCTTGACTGTACTTACAGCCATCCATCAACACGGCGTAGCCAGAGAGTGCGGAGTATTCCTGTTGATTCTGGGCAAGATGACCATTCCTTTGGCGGCACCGTGGACTACGGATTTCAGAGCTCGGTATCTCCTCAATCACTACCCCCTCCAGGCTCCGAATCCGCTCGTCGTGACTCCAGCCTCGGCCTCGACTTCTACCTCGACCCTGCACATGTTCACTCAACCCTGCAGGTCACAGCTGGCGCCCTTTTGAGCCCAGAACCCATCGTCGACGCGGTTCGCAAGTGTGTTGATTTTTTCGTTCAGTATCAGTTTCCAAACACTCCGGTAGCTCATGAGCCCACACTCCGCGCTGCCGCTCTCCTCATCACGGCAGAGAACGTTCCGCCATTTGCGAGCCTGATCTCCTCAGCCTCGGATTTTCATCAGCAAGTGTCATACTTGCGAAAGTTTACCCTAGCCACAGCACTCTGCGCCTCTGTCATGTCCGTCTTGCCCGATCGTCTCCCTTCTCAACGAGCTCTGTTGGCGGCATCGTTTCTATCAGCGTCGAGAGCCATGCTTAGGAGATATGAGGAACATGACCTCGAGCATCCAGATTCGACATCTCTTGTCATCCGTATGTGGCACTCTGCTGCTATGCAAAACAGCACCGGCAGGGTCGGCACGTCATACCATTATCACGCAGAGGCGGCCTATCTAGCGCAGCGAATGAGGCTTTACAACGAGATATCCGTGCAAGAGCATTCCAAGCTTGAGGCACCTTCGCTCCGTGCGAGTTTCTGGCTCTTGTATCTAGCTGACAAAACCTCGGCTGTTTTGCAATCACGTCCTCCAATCCTCAACGAGGAATTCTTTAAGCGTGACTTTACTCTACTTGAAAATGGCCATGATGAGGAATTCCTTCTGGATACTAGTCGAAAGGTAAACGAAAACAGCCTCGAATCGCGTCTTTTTGTTGGTTTCCATCTGAAACGACGCATCTGGGTTGCTGCCGCCAGTCTGCTCGACGAGATAAGATCTCTCTCAAGTCGCCAACTGCGCGGCCCGATACAACCCGTAGACATGCAGCAAGAAATATCTCGTTTGAGCGAGTTGTATCTGATATTCACAAGTCTTGCGGATGAGTTGCCAGCTTGGCTCAGAAATCCTGACCATAGTTCTGATTGGGACGACGAGCAGGTCACTTCTTACCAGAATAAGTGCTTCTGGACGCAGAGAAGTAATATAATGACCGTGTTTCATTGTATAAGGCTCGTCATTCTACAAGAGTGTATCGACAATAACTTCCATGCTCTTGTCGGGCTCAACCGTCAATCTATTTCTTGTGCTACCCGGAAGATTGAGATTGTGAGAGATTTCCTACATGAATTACACATAGTGCCTTTTTACTGCTTCCAAGTCCAGGGAGAGCCCGCAGTGAGTGCCAATAATTATTGCATAACACTGTTAGCAGTTGCAAACTAAACAAACGCTCGTTTTATCTAGGTCGAGCGAATTCGTCGTGTTGGGACTATACTCCTTCACCTCGTTGACAACGCCGGAAACGACACGATTGAAAGGGTTGCGCGATCTCAATTTGACAACTTGCTGGATTTGTTGGCACAGCTAGACTCAAAAGCTTCGGATGAACTTGCTGGCGGGCTGTAAAACGATACAAGAGTCTCCATGTTGATCGTATTCTTGATGGATCAGGATCGAGACTGTAGCTTTTCGGTTACAAATCATGGTAATTTCATGATCAACAATACGCTTGCTACTTGTCGATTGCAACTATCGTGTCTATTCCTCGGAGTGGAATTCGTCCAGTTGAGTGGACTGCTTGTTGTTCTATCATGCCGTCATGGAATAATATTGGTCACATTATCATGGTGTAATCATGCCGAACTCTCAATTAAGTAACAGATCCCCAATGGGACTAATTTGATTGATAGTGGCGACCTCAGAGGGAAGGAATAATCGCTCGCGTGAGCCAGTCCGTGCTCATGGAGCAAACATATCATATCACAGACCGACTGCTTCATCGAGTCGCGACTGCCTCTGACAACATTCAAAGCGCCCTTACAAGGCGCCTTTACAGACAAGCTATCATGACAATCCACCCAGCTATGTACCGTTTGGAGGTTCGGAATACTTTTTGCCATCAATAGTCGTAGTCAAGGTGCCATTGGCGTTGAACTCGTTGGTCAGTACATCAATGGAGATGTGGAATCCATCAGCACTGGTCTTCTTGGTGTTGTAGATACCAGGGCCAGTCTGTGTCAGGTTAGAATACCAATCCACATGGCTCCGGGTCAAGCTGTCAGACGCGCTTGTGGCATTCTCCCAACCATTGAGAAATGTTTTGCCGTCGTCTGAATAGTTATGGTAGGTGACTGCAACCTGTGCAGGCGTAATTGCTACCTCAGCATAGCCTAAAGCTTTAGCATCAAGAGTGTATCGCCCGGGAGTAACACTCTTTCTTTCTGGCGTACTGGTTCCGGGGACATATAGCTCCGCCCATGGGATATCGTCGGGGACAGGGTCTACCGGTGTGTATTTGGTTGGCTTACGAGCGGTGAAGGTGGCTAAGACGATACGAATATCTTTGCCATCTGGTTCTTTCGACGGATAGCAAGGCAATGGATTGATGCCACCGCAAGCAGGAGCTTCAACGTGAGCCTCCCAATACACGATTTGGGTCGAGTCAGGGGACCATTGGGGGTCGGCTTGACCGTTCCACTCGGGATCACGGAGGTCACCACTGCCAGACTTGCTGGAGCCAGGGCCATTGAGCTTCTGGCCATAGTAGTTGTCACTCTGGCGGTCACCATACGTGTCGAGCAACCACGGCGAAAAGAAGCGACGTTGTCCATTGTTGCGGATCGAAGACGAGACAGTCGTCGTCACCAAATCAATGAGGGGAGGAATGTTTCGCATACCGGCCAGAAACGTTTGTCTATCGGTCCCGCGAGTGTCCATGATTGCCCACCATTTTCCATCAGGCGAAGCTTCGATTGGGTCAACGTAACCTGGGTCCGAGGTGATACGACGAACGCGGCCAGATTGTAGCCCTACTGCAAAAATGTCGAGGTTGCAGGACTCCACCGGGTATCCTACATAGACAGCTTCGTCGCCGCGCCCGCTGAATCCTCTCAGCTCACCAACACTAATGGCGCTTATGTTCAAGGTCAACTGAGCTCCTTGGGTTGCCACCGGCGCAGGCAGATCAGTTCGATATAGCCTATACACCTTGATCAAGTCATACCGTGGCGCAAGCGGCAGACCCGTCGTTGGGTTTGGGTTGAACTTGAGACGGCCAAAGTAAGCGAACTGTCCCAGCTTGGCCCCGGTGGTAAAGGAACTAAAACCAATATGAACATTATCTGGATGCAGTCGAAGTTCTCTGATGCTACCACCAGCACCAGAGCCATCTGCACTAACATCCCAGTGAATAGGGTAGACATGAAGCTGATCCGGCGTGCACTCGTCGCTGATAAGCAAGTGATCTCCGCAGTCAGCGATGTTGCTTCCAAATAAGATGCGCTTCCCATCATCAAAGGCCTGCGGGTAGTCATAGCTTGGGGTTCGTCCGACGGCGTTTTCCGCTGGCACACCGCATGTGATACATTTCCACTTGTCGCCATTGCTAAATTTTGAACCATCCGTCTTTATAATGATAATTTGGGAGCCATTATATATACTGGTCGGATCCGGAGCTAAAGGCGCACCGACGAAAGGTACCAGCGCAAGAACGTGTTTGCCATCTGGGAGAAACTCTCCCGATTGAAAAGCCCGCAAGCTCTTGACTGGCATACATCCTGTTCCGCGTGGGTTGATCTTGGTGGTACATGCTCCCGGTGTATCATCGGAGATACCTGGGGGTAGCGGCAATCTCTTCAGACGGACAGGCTCAGGCTCCGGTGGTGGTGGGATAGAGTTTGTGGAGCGTGGCTCTATAGCAGCAGCTGTAACGAGACAGCCCTGCCCAGCCAAGGATATGGCGAGAGCTGTAAGAAGTTGCATTGCAAGCATTGCAATAAGCGAACGGCTATAACCAAGGATGCGATGCTGGTATTTGGGGATAAGCTCGGCGATGGGAGCCAGAAGGATAATGAGATGAGTTCTTATTCTAGAGTAGCATCTTTTCGGATTCCCTTCATTCTTATATACTTACGAAGACTTCTATGCACGACATGGATATAATTGTTCAAGAATCTTCCCCGCATCTCGCTGCTTGTCTTTCCGGGCTTGAAACCTGTGGGGCAGTCTGGGGTAGTACTTCAGCTTCGTTACCTTACTGAACTATGTAAAGAACTTCTCATATTAGCCCCTTCAGTCAAGAGCTCGACTGAAATAAGATCAAAGCTACGCGTGAAACTGGCTTTCGCACTGCGAATTTTTAGGTATAGATAACAAGAGGACCTAACCTATCCTGGCTAGAGTATGGGCACATTTACATGCATGTACTTTTTGCCTAACGGAATACTCTAGGGCTTGGGCGTGTCCGCGGAGACAAGGAGATGAGGAGGTCAAATTAAATAGCCTAAACCCCTATAATAATATCATTCCGGGCCACACTTCCGCGGAATTATAGTGCATGATAGTGTAGTGTACGCTTAAAAGTACACGCCTTACAAGGGCATAATACTACATGTTAAACAATTAGAGCGAAATTGAAAGGCGTAGGAGTTGACTGACTTCAACACAGCGGAGAGACTGTCGAAGGCTGTCACACTTAACAATACACCCGAGTGGAATGCAGTGGTTGATCGATGTTTACGCTGTGGCTTCCATTCACCTCCGGACTTTACAAGAAAGGACTTCAGGGCAGAGTCTTATCAGTGCGTCGTGATACTACTAGAGAAGCTATACAATGACTGAAAGATTGATTAGGGTATGAATTACGGGTATGGAATTAATAGGCGATTTCCTCAGCCAAATTAGTATTATTTCATTTCAGTGTTGACTTCTTGAGACAATCGACTAAAAAGATAGATATATAAAAGAAAGCATCTTATAAGCAAAAAGAATTTTATCAGCGACTAATATGTTGAGAATAAAGATGTAAATTTAGTAATCGCAAGGCAATCTAATCAGTAAGAGAATGGTCTCGCCAGGTACTTGGGATCCCTCTCTGGCTTTCCTTCAGGCGGCACATCCACTATATCCGGGTTGACGTACCAACTCGGATCACCCTGCTCCTCCTCCTCCATGACACACATACTCCAGCCATTACCTAACCATCGAAGTCTATTATCATGCATCTCTTCAAAGTCAAAGTCTTCCCATCTCGGTGCTCTCAAAGTCTCCAATGCATGCAAGACACTACCGGGCCAAAGAGCAGAAATCTTATCGCCATATCCGTCCCCGATTTTGTACCATGACTTACAGTCGTCCATATAAACTGTCTTCTTGAAATACTGCCCAATGTAGTCTGCAAAGTCTTGAACGCGGGATGCTTTGGGCGTCATAGTTACGTAGTCTTCCTTCTGGAGTTTGCGGATGCACTTGACGATGTAATCGCCTTCTGCCTCGAGAAGACAGGTCAGAGAGCCGGCTCCAATCGCCGAGTTGGGCCCGAGCATCATAAAGTAGTTTGGGAAACCATCCACCGCCATAGTCAGATAGGTTGCAGGGAACGGATTGAACTTGTCCTTCAGTGTTATTCCCTGCTTACCGACAACAGGGAAAGGAGGAGTATAGTTAGTCTGAAAACCTGTTGCGCAGACCAACACATCCACGTCAATCTGTCGACCTTGGGGCCCAGTAAGCTTCAGGCCCGTTTCGTTGATACTCTCGATACCTTGCGTGATGAAGTTGACGTTGGGCTGGGACAGTGCCTCGAGATAGCCTGGTCCGGGTGTCAGACGACGACACCCAACACCAAAGCTTGGCGAGAACGACTCAAGAAGATCGGGTCGTGAGCCGAGAACATCATTGGTGATCTTTGAGAACATAGAGACGAACTCTTTCTGCATCTCTGAGCCTCGAAGAGTTGAGAGATGAACTAAGTTGCCGTCGTCCTCGATGCGCTTGCGGAAGCGAAGATACACATCATCACTCTTGATAAATTCTGCCAAACGATCGGCCGAAACTATTTCCGTGTTAGATTCAACCGTTTCGCAATAGGCCTTCGGTACTCACATTGAATATCAGAAGGATCCCACCCTAATTGCTTCATCGTCACATCGCCAAAGCGGTTCGATATCCACACTTTGCTACGAACGAAGCAGCTCAACTTCGCACCCTCGACCTTTTGTAGCTCTGGCACAATCTGTATCGAGCTCGATCCACCACCAATGACACCAATATTCTTGTTCTTGAAGTCATATTCCTGATCCCAGGCTGCTGAGTGCATCTTCTTCCCCTTGAAGGTATCAAAGCCAGGAATATCAGGCCAGGAGATAGTATTAAGGTTACCTCTAGCGGCAACGACGACGTCTACTTCTTCGGCGAAGCTCTCACCTGAGTTCGTCTCAACTGTAAGATGCCTAGAGTATGTCAGCTTGCGTTCAAAATACAGACAATGCCAGGAATACCATTTCTTGGCGGTATCATTCCAGGTTGCGCTCGTTACTTTATGCCCGAGATGAATGAAGCGCTTGGCACCGTACTTCTCTGCCACGTCGTCGATGTAGGCGCAAATCTCATGTGATGGAGCATAAAAGCCCGACCAGGCCTTGTTTGGGGCAAACGTGTACTGATAAGAATGGGCTATAAGTAGGTATGTCAATAGTTTGCAATCTCATAGAAAGTTCTCTTGCTTACATGGAATATCGCAGGCGCAACCTGGATACCGATTCTCCCACCACGTTCCTCCGACACCTTCATTCTTCTCATAGATCTTGAGATCAATGTTGCGCAAACGCTGCGGGATTCTAATGCCGAGGTAAACACCAGAGTATCCAGCCCCGATCACACGGACCTTGAGAGGCCGTTGGTTCTCGACTGGTGCATCCTTGCAAGTGAACGTTTGATGATACCCATTTGCATGAGCTGTGGATCCATCTCCCATCTTGTCAGTGATGGGCTTCTGACTCAAGACTGGTCCATTGCCAATTGTCGGCGCTGGCGCGGTCGCGGGGGAATGAACTGGGTTCGAGGAATTTATCCCCATCATGAAAGCGCTTGTTAAAGGAAAAGTTGTCAAGGAATATAATAATCAAGTCTTTGGTCTGATGAGAACGGTGAGTGCGGCTTTATGTGGGATTGGACTCAGGCGACTGGTTTGAATGCTGGAATATTTACAAGACAACTTCTTCTAAAATGCAGACAGTATTATGTTCAGGCTACCTCGGTTCGTCATTGTGTAACCTGCCCCTCTTTACACTCAAGAATACATCAACCGCGGGGGCCTATGTTATCGTTGCCGCTGTGTAACCCCTGGTGTTGTTGCCGCCATGCCCCCTCATAGTGTCGTTGCCGCCCTAAAGTGGTATTGCCGCCCTATATCCCTAGAGTGTTGTTGCCGCATACCATTCTCAAATAGCGTTTTTTGCCTACCCCACTGTCACTTCAAGAAGCCTCGAACATGGGACGATGTCTTGTCTGCTGTCTTCAATCTTGAAAAATCTCAAGAAACTGGCAACTGTTCCACAGTGTATCACAGAGAGGGGGTCATCAAGTTGCACCTGGCGATTGGGAGCAGCTCAGACGCGAATGATGGCTGTTTTCACAACGTTTTGAAAGAAATGGATCTGTTAAACGTACGGGTACATCTTCTTCTAAAGGTATACTGGAGCATATTTCGTCTTGTATAGTAGCAAACTGAATGGCATGGCGATTGTCTTGCTTCGTTCGTGTTCATGTCCGCTGGTCTAGCCTCACGGTATGGTCTCAGCCGAAGAATCCGTGAGAATCCGTGGTGGGGACGGAAATTCCGTAAGTGCTCAGGTGGGAACGGCCAACTTATCTCATGACCCGATGTACCCCGCAAACCCGGGGAACTGGCCCGATAAGATAAGATAAGGTTCATGCTATATCCGACTAGACACGATTATAAGGAAGTGTATTGTGACGAGTCTCAGATTGGCAGCCAAATCGACTTCTGTTCATCCCTCAGAAATCTTTCAATTGTTTCTCGATCACGATCTTTCATCAGTCTTCCGGCAATGACAAACAACAACTTCCAGGTGGCCGTAGTTGGCCTCGGTGCTCTTGGTAGCGCAGCAGCCTATCAAGCCGCCATCAAAGGAGCCACTGTCATCGGTTTCGAGCAATATGACTTTGGCAACATCTACGGATCTTCACACGACACATCACGTATCGTCAGAACTTCTTATGGGTCACCAGACTATGTAGCACTTGCTCGTGCAGCTTACAAGGACTGGGCTGAACTGGAACGTCGAAGTGGTCTTCGAATGCTGACCATCACTGGAGGTGTTGTCTTCTTCCCCAAACTGGCTGATGATGGAGCATCTCTGAATAAGTTCGAGAAAAGTATGAGTGCTTCTGAGTTTATGAGAAGCCTTGACGCAAACAATATCCCATATGAACTCCTCAGCTCTCAGGAAGTCGAGAAGCGATGGCCTTCTTTCGACATTGCGGATGGTGTTCAGACCATCTACACTGCCGATTCGGGAATTGTGCACGCTTCCAAATCTGTGGCGGCAATGCAATATCAAGCTCGCGCCAATGGAGCTGTTCTCAAGGAAAAGACGCGCGTGGACGCATTGATCCCGGACTCCAACGGAAAAGGCATGGCTATCAAGACATCCCGAGGACAATTCCACGCCGACAAAGTAATATTGGCATGCGACGCCTGGACCAACAAGCTCATCGCTCCCCTTGGCACAAACATTCCGCTCCAGATCATGCAAGAACAGGTCACCTACTACAAGCCAGCCGATGTAACGCCATTCGACGATACGAAATTTCCTGTATGGATCTGGGCTGGTAACAAATACTTCTACGGATTTCCCAGTTACGGCGAGCCAACAATCAAGGCAGGCCGTGACACATCCAACAACTTCATGACACCCGAGGAGCGAACCTTTGTTCCATCTAATGATCTGTTCAACGAATTGTCCTCTTTTATGGGCGGTCTAATACCTGACAAGGGCCAGGCCATCCGAACAGTCACTTGTCAATATGCTATTACGCCCGATCGTCAATTCGTTATCAGTCCTCTTAAGAATCATCCAAATGTCATTGTGGGCTTAGGTGGAGGTCATGCATTCAAGTTTGCTCCAGCCATTGGCCGTGTTCTGGCAGAGCTTGCGATAGATGGTGAGACGAAGGAGGATATCTCGAATTTTGGCATCCCTAGGGTAGGAGCAGATAGCAAGCTTTAGAAGTAATTAGCATGCGTTAATTAGATATCACTTTTATCTTAAAGCTGACTAGAGATAACGAAAAATTAACAATGAAAATAGGCATTGTATGTCAGTTTATATAGTGCTATTTTATGTAGTTGATGTGTTTTGTTGTCCTAAGAAATGGTTACAGACACCAAAAGCATTAAAGCAACAAGACAGCAAATGGTTACAACAGCAACCGTTATCAAAGCCTATTGGTAAAACTTGGAGAAAAAAAAGACAGAATGACAGCCGCAAAAAAGAATGAAAGGCGCTATATAGTTATTTCTCCTCGAGGAGGTTTAGAAGAAAGTATACGCCGTCGTAAGCTACTGCCCCTTATCGCAAAATTCGGTGTCTGATAAGGGGAGACCCGGAATTTTAAGCAGGCCGAGCCAGCGGCGAGCTAGGCCCTACTCCCTCTTGTCAAGTGGCTTTTACCCCCGCACTTTTGACTCTGAGCCCAGACCCGTCAGTAGCCAGACGCGTAGCATTCATAACCTGCACCAACTTTGAATGTCACCAACCGCTCTCAAGTCCCTGCCCATAAGCCATATCGATCACAACAAGAAAACAGACAGTTATGAGCGCTCCAAGATCAAGGCAATATCGACGCGTTGCTCAGGCTTGTGATAATTGCCGGTACAGTTATCTCCGGATTGATCAATGACAGGTTTGATTGCTGATGACATTATAGCCGCAAGAAGATTCGTTGTCCAGGTGAAAGGCCACGATGTTCAGCATGTACACGTTTGCGTCAGCAATGCTCCTTCACTGAGGCCAACCCTATCAATGAGGATACCACGAGCAGGCTGGAGAATCGCATGGTAAGGGCATAAACCTCAGCCTGTCATAGGGTTTACTAAGAGCAGTAGTCTAGTCGGCTTGAACAGCTTGAGGATAAGTTGGATAGCTTAATAAGCCGAGTTGTGTATGTTGATACTGCTATTCTATCCCATGCAGCTGTACCATCTAAACTAACTATACGTAGTCCTCCACCGATGCAAGAAACTACACCAACATCGACGTCAGACAGGAATAACCGTATACCATCATTCTCATCAACCTCTCCTCACACGGCCCTTCCTTTAATGTAGGTGCTACCCTTGCAGACAAGTTTACATAATCTAAACTGGAGTAGAACGTCAATACCAACGGAAATAACCACGAGGGCTATTGACTTTTACTTTCGCCACATCCACCGACAGCCTCTCTGGCTTTTCGGCGAGCGCCCTTTACTACCCTCAGATACATCTGAGGAACTGGTCTATGCGATGCTAGCTTTAAGTATGACTTATAATACGGAAGATATGCCCATGGATAACCTTCAAAGCCCTGACTCCTATAACAAAATGGCCCGGAGAGGCGTTATGCTCAAAATCGCGGAGGGCAGAGTGACTATCAGATGCGCTCAGGCGCTGTGCCTGCTAGCATACTACAACTTCATCTGTAAGCTCATATCGAGTCTTTTATAATAATGGATTGGGTTTTTCTAACACTGTTGTAGTAGGCAACGTCCCCATGGCTGGCTTTGACATAGCAACTGTTCAGAACCTGATCCAGCTTCTTCCCGGTAGTGAGCGCAACCAAAGCGGCTCAACAGTCTCGCAAGACAAGGCCCGACTCTTCTGGAGTATTCAGTTCCTGAGCTCTTCTTGTGGCAGGCCAGTCCTGTTGCCTTCCATATCAACAAGTATCGACGCACCGCAAATGCTCACGGTCGAGACCCGAGATTCTCTGGGAAGCTGTGTTCCTGCTCCAAAGGCAACTGACTCCGGTCTAAGGGAGACTCTAGTTGACGTATGGTCTCAGTCCCTCAAAGTTTGCGGTCTCTGGAGTGATGTTAGACTGTACATCGCCAAGTGCTTTGAAGGCTTAGCCAAACGTCCTTGGCATCCAGATTCAGACTACACCAGGCTTTGTTCACGATTACTTGAGGTAGAGATGGTCTATCCAATCTCCCTGAGTTATAACGCAACGAAATTCCCAGAGGTCCATCCTCTAGAAGTGGAGAATAACCGTATGGATTGGCTGCCATGGCTCAGAGTTCAAATGACCTACCATACCATTCACTGCGTCCTGAATCACCCATCTCTATATACAGTCATGGCTGAAACGCCAAAGAGTAGACTTGGGGGTGACTCATTCTGGAGAGCATCGTATCTGAAAGCTTTAAGACACTGTACCTGGGTCTCAAGGTTGATTCGAACAGCAGAGGAGAAGAATCTTCGACTGGCTGATCCTTTCTTTGCTCAGGCAGCAGCCATTGCCAGTACTCTTCACTTGTACTGGACAAGAACGAATGATAGTCAATTGCAGGCATCCTCAGTGAGAAACCTGGAAGTTTGCAGAAATCTTGTGAGGGAGATGGCTACATGTTGGCCAGTTTGCAAGACAATTGTATGGCCTCTACTCCATAAACACATTCTACTTATCACTAACGTCTTTATTAGGAGCATACGCTGGATCAGTTCATCGAGTCAACTGATCGCTCAACCCAGATGGCGACTGACAAATCATCCCCTGCCGTTGTCAGGACATCACTCATCTGGGTCCTGCTAGACGTAGCCGCACCGCAATTCCCCAACTACCACGACCAAAGCGTTCACGGTCGAGATGTTTGGGGCGGTCATGCAGCTACTCAGGACGAAGATGGACTGCCAAGGTCCGAGACAAGTTCACCACCAACAGATATGCGAGAGTCAACAGCTCAATACGCGTCACCTCCAGCTTGGGTATCGGAAAGGACAGATACAAATCCGCAAGAAACCGTGGAGACCGGGACGATCGCATCACATCATGGGGTTAATGATGAACATATGACTACTTATGATCTGGCCTGGGGACCTTGGGAGAATCTCGGACCGATGGGTGAGAACTTTAGTATGACCATGGACTGGTGGGATATGAATCAATTTTAGGAGTCAGACATAGGACAAGGGGTTCAAACCATATATAATACTATTAACTACTATTAAATTATAAAATATAAAGTAAATTTAAATAATTTAAGTAAGTTAAATAATATTTAACTATATGTTATTTATATTATATTTAATTAGCTAATTAACAATATTATAGCTATTATTATATTAAATATTTTAATTTAAAATACTTTATTTAAGGTTAATTATATAAAACTAATAAGAAAGAGAATAAACTAATTTTATTTTTAAGAAATCTAATTATTATAATTAAGCTTTATATTTTTAATTTATATTAAGGAGCTTTTATAGTTATTATTAATTATATAAGCTGTCTTAGAGGTTTAATAGAGTTCTTATTAAAACTAAAAATAGCTATATATTAAGATTATTTTCTTTTTCCTTAAAGAAGAAATAAATTTTATAATTTCTTTTTTTAATTACCTTAATATCTATTATAAAATATAGCTATACTTTAAAATAGGCTAAATAGTATTAAAGTAATATTATAACTATAAGTAAAATAGTTTAACTTAAGGCTGTTTTTGGGTATTAATTTTTCTAGAGAAATAATAGGCATTTAAGTTTAATTAAATTTAATTATATTCTTAGATATAAGGTTACTATATAATATATTTTCTTCTATTATATAATTAAGCTAATTAAGGTAGTTTTACTTATTTATAATAATAATAAATTAATATATTAAACTATATATTATAAGTAAAAAAATATATATAAGCTATATAATTTTTTTAATTAACTTAAAATTTAATATTAAAAGAATAATTTATAAGCTAGAAGGAATAGTACTAAGCACTATTACTAGCAGTAATTAGTATAATAGTAGTAGAAGTAGTAAGGAAACTTTATAGTAGGCTTTGCTAATTAAGCGTAAGTACTACTAAATACTTAACTCTTATAAAGTATAATCACTAAACCAAAATTTGGGGCAGTACGGGACATATATGTAATCACTCCAGCATTCGCGGCATCAGTGGCATCAGTGGCATTCGCGGCATCAGCGGTATTATCGGCAATACAGGCATTAGCGGCTGAAAAGGGAAAGTATCATAAGCCAAGGCAGCTTATTCAGAGTTGTTAGTCTCTGTCTGAAAGCGTTCCCATATTTTTAACCTCGACGTCTTTTTTTTTTTTTCTTTTTTTCTTTTTTCATTTAACCAAGTTTCTCAAACCACACCCAGGAGTGATTGAGACCAAGAGGGTCGCCATTCCTGAGAATGCCGTCAATCAAGTCTCTGTATCCAAGGGCCTGGGATAATCGCCCACCAAATAACAGCCCGGTGCCGAAGACTGTCCGCAAATCGTTTTGTAAGGCGGTTGGCGCCAACTTCCTCTACCTCCAGTTTCTCTTTCTTGGCCTCTTCTGCTACATCTTTGGGTCCCTATTCCTGCAGACGAGCCATATTCACAATCTTCATGTCGTCTTTGTTGATTATGATGGAGGCGCCATTGGCCGCGCTGTGTTGGGTGCTTATGCTGCTCTCCAAGGGCCGTCATTTCCATCTTTAGTCGAACGATCGCCCTCAGACTTTCCAGCCTCAATCGATCTGCTCAAAGCCGTCTGTAAGACGAGATACTGGGGGGCTCTCTACGTGTCACCAGGCGCATCAGGCAGGCTGCAAGAGGCATTGACGGATGGCGCAGCAGCATCGATATATAACAACGCTGACGTGATGGCGTACATATGGAATGAAGCTATGTATGCTCCCACCGTCGACTCGGCCATATCGGCCAGCCTTGAGCTTCTATCTGAGGCAGCCAGGGTAGCATACAGTACTGGGAACGGGACTGGCAATATTACATCTGTCTTCGGCCCTGCTACACTTTCGGTCTTCGCAGACCCTTGGGAGCTCCAATCCATCAACATTCAGCCAACAGCTCACGGGTCGAGGGCAATCTACAACACTGTGGTTATCATCTTAATTCTAATCCAAGAGTTCTTCTACCTCGGTACCATCAATGGCCTCTATGCTCAGTTTAAACTATATGCCTCCGTCGACCCATACCGAATTATTATTGTCCGCAATGCAATTTCCCTCTCTTACACGTTTATTGGGTCACTATGCGTTATCAGTACCATCTGGGCGTTCAAATCGGGCTGGGATATCAATGGAAGTCAGTTTATCTTATCCTGGGTCGTTCTATGGCTCTTCGCGCATATCAACTTTCTCACCATTGATGTATTTACGATATGGCTACCACCTCCGTTTGTCCCAATGGCCCTCGTGTCATGGATTATCTTCAATGTCACCTCCACTCTGCTGCCTTTCGATCTAAGCCCGGCATTCTATCGCATCGGGTATATATTTCCCGCTCACGAGCTCTACCAAGTACTGATAGATATCTGGTCTCGTGGTTGCAATCCCCAACTGCACTATGCACTACCGGTCTTGTTTGCCTGGGAGCTTGTGGCCCTCATCTCAAGTGCTCTTGGGGTATTTCGCAGATGTCACTTTGCGATGCTTGGGGAAGACCTGCAGAAAAAGGAGTTCAAGGAGCGCCTTGATGCTGCTGTGGAATTCGAGATGGAAAGGATGAATGAGATGAAGCAAAAGCATCCCGAGACTGTCAAGCCAGAGGCCGAACAAAAGAATAAAGCAACACGCCCTGAGAAGGCTATCTCCGAAGGTGGAGACGAAGAGAGGGTGGTGCGAGAAGAGCTGTCCCTTGTCCTCGAGCAGGTCAATACTAGACAACGACGGGAGCAGGAAAGAACGAGCACGGCTTGCAACTTTGGGCCGGCATTCAACCCACTATTCAGCCATGAGGGTGGCAATGACGCGTAGGAGACATGAAATGAAGACGAGGGAATCAAGCATGCTAGTGAAATGGAAAAATCCGCTTCAGGAACGTGCCGGGAATTGTGCTAAAATTCTTGGTCAGCAACTCAAAGTCGTGGTCCTGTGGTAGCGGGAGAGTATTGAGCAACTTAGAGACTGTGGATATTAATCAAAGCATTCGGGGACGTGGAAATAAGTGATAGACAAACTTTCTCAGTGACATGTAGGCACGCTAGTGAAATTAGTCCTCGTTGTAACCTGGCCGTCTTAGCTTTCTAACGCTTGAAAGGTGTCAAGAGTGGAAGTAATTGTTGGAAATGGATTAAATATTTCCATTCCTACCAAGTGACTTAGAATAGGAAGGGTTGCAGTTCCGTATCCTCGGATTACTGATGAAAGGTCCTATCTCGTCAGGTTGCTGGTACTTCATGCCGGGCTCCTATACCGCCTTATTTAAGACCAACTGACAATAGGGGAGATGTGTCATCACTTCACTAGTGGGACGTCTCCCCGAGACGCTAGAAATTAGCTTTCGATGCTTTGAATGGTTAGTATTAAGGGTGAGGTAGGAACCAGGCACCGGGGTACCGCTGGCGCGCCTCTAGCTTTTTGTAATTATCCACATATTTCGGTCCATAAAACGCGTCATTTGTTCATTGTGGTGGACACCATATCATGATACGGAGGAAAACAAGGAATACGTGGAAACTTCTGAAGTTTGGTACAGCTGAGTTCACATCAAGTTTGTGAGCACATCAGAGAATGCGGGGAAGTCTAACACAAATCCCAGGGAACCAATCATGAGACAAGGAGAAGTTCTAATACACCTTGTAACTACAAAATATCGGTTAGTCTAGTAGACAACCAGGTTTAGACTTCTCTCAAGCGGTGCGTGGATGTTGCAACGTCTTACACCCATTTACAATTACAAAGCTGATGACAAAGGATTATGTAATATGAAGTTAGTCCTCAGACTATGACCTTGCGTTAGAGGACCCTGGAAAACAGTGATTCTTCAAAGTGGAGTATCTTAGGTATAATATTTTCGCTAGCTCATTCTTTGAAACGTAACTTGTGGCAACGAGCAACTGTATATCAGTAATCATTGCCGAAGGCCAGATGCCAATGTCCGATTTCGGCATCCTCCGCTTACAACTTCGGGATGAAGCTGGTTTTTAATTCATCCGGAGCTTCCGGCATGCTCGCACTGTAGCATTGTTTTCTGCGTATTATGGAGAAGATATTCAAAAGACAGCACCAAGAAATTGTATGAAGCTGTGGTTGTTTAATTAATGGTTCAGTGTAATAAAACAGTAGTACGGTTTCACAAGGGACAAAACAAACCACGTTATCTCCCATTTCGTAGAATTCTATTTAATTTACTGCAGGGCCACTTTGATAGCCTGCATGAGGTTCTCCTTGTGCAGTCCTAAATGCTCCAGTTTCTCCAACTCCGTCGAATCGACCTTGGAATTGAAGTCGCCGCCATGGCCCTCAAGGAAATGTGTGACAAAGAATTTGATAAAAGGAGCCACATCGTCGCCCTGCTTGATCTTATCCTCATATTCTTTAGCCACTTCGTCAACATCTCGCGTCTTGATGTCCCAGTCCGCGTCTGTCGTCCCTGTGGCGTGCTGAACAGCGTCTAGTATCTCTCGTTGCGTTAGGTGGAACGACGGCGTATATACAGCTTTGTTTTTGTACTTGGCCAAATCAGCCTCCGGTAAGCTCAGCACCGCAGCAACTGCTTCAGCAGCATGTGAGATGGTCGCTGTATTGACCTTGGCATTAGCCCCTTGCCAGATCGTTGCCTTGCGAGTTCTCGGTTCGACACCCCATAAGCCCTGAGTAAGACCTGCATCGAGCCACGGGCCAACGGCGATAGATATCCAACTGCTGACACCGATACTTTCAATCAAATCTCGGATGCGCTTCTTCGCTATAAGTAGCTCATTCTCCTCTACAAGCTGGCCAGCAAAGGGGTCGGGGCCGAACTCAGATGGAAGGATATAGGGTACGCCAGCATTAGCGGCCGCGCGGATGGCAGGCTCCTGAAGCTCTACGAGTTGAGCTAGAGGCGGCATTAGGACGAGGGCATCTTGGCCTTTGAGCACCTCAGTGAGGAAAGCTTCATCCTTAAGGTTGCCCTTCTTGACAGTAATACCATCAGGAAACGTGCTGGTAGCCTCGGGTCGCTGAATAGCGGTAATAGTATGGGCGCCCAATCCAACGAGGGCGTTGATAGTCGGCTTCCCAAGCTGGCCGCTAGCACCAGTAATCGCTATCTTCCGTCCCTGGATTGCTGGAGCCATCTTGTACTAATTGTAAAATCGAACAGTAAAATCGTAACAGATTCACTTGGAGTAATGAGATGCGCAAGCTGATTTGTAGTTGGCGGCTGTGTTAATCTTTTTTCAAGTCGAGCCGAGCTCAACTTTAAATACTTTTAAGACCTGGAAGTTGAGGGAAGTTTAATCGCAACTGGATAGATTTTAGGTTGCTTTAGTTTCCTGTCACGAAGGATCAAGCCGACATGGCAGGGGAGGTGAGGACGATGAGAAATCAAGCCACATTGGATTATTTAAGCTAATGCATCGCTTTTCGTCGAAGTAGTCTTTAACCGGCGTTACAGTTCAGAACCTAAACAGAATGTGGTGTAATACTGATTCCTAACGATAACTGAGATTTCCAATGGCTGTTGTGGCTTGCGTGATTACTTGTTCTATTAGTCACTATGCGGAGCTTTACAAATAAAGCCGGTGCCTAAATGCAATTTATCAATCCTGGTTAACAATTGATGAAATAATTACGTCTCAAAACTTTATTAGCTAGAGGTGGTCCTTCCACCTTTGCTAATTTATTACGGTATTATGCAAAAGACTTATCAGTTACCCCACCGCCTCGCAAAATGTTAAAGTAAGTCACTTGTCCCTCACTCAGAGTACCCCCACCGGTCACAATAAGGCCTTTCATCATCATCATCATCATCATTATTATTAAATGAACCTCTACTTATGTAAGATAATACCTAGGCCATAAAGCAGTTCCAACTCGTAAAGACCTATAGTGAAAGGGACTTAGGAGGCTCTAGCAAAGGACTTCATAAGAGAGCTTCAAGCTACAATGTAATAACAATATCAAGTGTCATAATGCCAGTGGAAGGTATAAAAAATGGCAGGGAATAGCTTTCATTAGGGCGGGTAGATCAGTAATAGTACATCAAGACTTGGAAAAGTCAACAGCGGGGTTTCATCTGACGAAACTTTGCCTGGTACTATAGTAAGGCTCTTGAAATTTGTCACAAGACAAGCGGGGTAAAAGAAGAGGTGATTTCAAAGCAAAAGTTAATTCATTAGAACGACCGGAGGTGGCGTTCCATTCAAGCTCACGGCACATGTCGAGAATCTTACCGTCACCCATAGGCTTAACTTACAAAGACTCATAATCAGTAATTAATCATTCTTTAGCAAGAGTAGGCTATTAATAATTAACTCTATTCATTAAGTACTATAAAGATATTATAAAAGGCCGGGCCGCTGTATATTATAATAAAAAAAGAACAATCTATCTGTACATAAAAGGGAATAAAGAACAATATGAGCTTCTAATAGGAAACCTTCTATAGCCTTTCCTAGCTAATAAACAAGTGCCCTTAAGTCCAAAGAACCTTTCTAAGAAAACTCTATACGACACTCTTACATAAGTCTGACGTGTTATTAAGGAATCATTACAGAAGGTTTAGGGCTGCATGTTATTCTAGCTGGTTGGCGCTGCCCTCTAGGAAAAGGCCCACTGCACCCCACAGGGCCCGGGCTACGCGGGGTCTCTTATGGCCCTAGCCTATAACAGATTAATGCAACTAATGCCTAGTTATATAATACTTTTATAAATACTTAAGTTGTAATAGTTATTATATAAATATATATATTAAATTATAATTAAGAACATTTTTTATTTAAAGTATTATATTAAATAATTTATTATATAATAATAAAGCTTTTTTCTTTAATAATAAAGAATAGGATTATTACTTATTTAATTAACTTACTTATTAAGTATATTATATAAAAATAAAATTAAAGAAAATTTAAAAAATATCTTAAAGTTAAATATAATTAAAATATAAAACTTAAAGATAATTAGTTTTTAATTATTATAATAAAAATAAAAATAAAAATAATAACTTATAAAAAATATAAGTTTAGTTATTAATAATTATACTTTAATAAGCTTAGAAATAAACAATTTAAGGTAATAAAAAACCTAAATTTTAAATAATTAAAGACTTAAAATAATAAGTTATAAGTTATACTTTAAAGAGCTATTAATATATTTTAAAGTAAAAATAAAAATATTTAAAATTAGAAAGTAAAGTATATTAATAAGAAGAATAACTTTTCTATATTAAATCTATAGCTTTATTAGCTTAATTCTATTATTTACTTAAAGGATTTTAATAAGAAAAAGGACTTTTTAAAGGGCTTAATTAAATGATATATTAAAGCTATGAAGTCGAAGCTGTTCGCATTCCAGGCTTGAGGTTCCCATGACAACTTGAGAGCCTCCACTCCCTAGGATGCACTTCGACCGTATGGTTCGAATGGGAGAATAACTGAAACAATGGCCATGATAACGAACAAAGCCGCCGAAATGTACAACGGTGTTACAGTCGCAGTATCAGCAGTCACGGCGATGACAGCAGAGAGAAGACCCATGATACGGTTGAGCGAAACCGCGATACCATTGCCTGTAGTTCTGTGTGCAGACGGGAACACCTCAGCCGTGTATGCGTAAAGGGTACCATAGTAGAGATTGATGCAAACAGCTGAGACTTGTCAGTAAATCTTCAAATACGACAGACAGATTGAACTTACAGATGCAGCTGCTGATGGCGAGATTTTGAGCTGGAGTCTTGATGATGGTGTAGCAAAAGAAGAAGATCGCAGTAATCACAGCTCCAATTGCCATTGTATATCTTCGTCCAAGGAAACTCACTTCAGCAAGACCAGCTGCAATGAGCGGACCAAAGATGGCGCAGATATTGGTAATAGTATAATCGCGCCAGGTCTCGTTGAAGGACGGCTTGTAATCCGGAAGCCGGCTGCTGAGAAGGGATCTGCATCTGTTAGCTTACGTTTCACTTAGTATACTGGGCTTGATAGAACTTACGGGAGGTAGAGAAAGAAGAGAGGATATCCAAGACCGATCAAAGTCCAAGAGAGCCAGATAAGACAAGTCGACAGAGCCAGCTTCTTGGTCGAAAACAGTCCCTTGACATGTCCAACGAGACTCTTTCCTAAACCGCGAACAGCTAACCCCTTGCTTCCGCCATGTTCAGGAGTATTGGCAGTTCCGCAGGCCTGAAGATTCTCAAGCGTCAACGAGCAGGGTCGCTTATAAGTGTTGGCGAGCTTCTGCAGCATGGCCACGAGTTCCTCCTCCTTGCCGTTGGTAACCAAAAACTTTGGAGTTTCGGGGAGTCGAATGATTAGAATACGCAGGGCGGACATGACAAACATCAGCGCTCCGCCGGTAAACATGATGAGTCTCCAAGATTTGTTGTTCTGCCATGTACATGTCTCGACCGTAGCGACGCAAGTCCAATCGTTTCGAGCTGTGAAGGTGTTGAGTTAGTTACCAGGCACACGAAGGTTCAAGAGGAGTTAGAGGACTTACAGTAGTAACCCCATGCGATGAAACCAGCACTGGCCTGACCAACACCCCACCATCCAGCCATAGCAGTGATGACCCATTGCTGTTTAGCAGGCACGAACTCCAGCATCACAGTTGGGTCCAAGACAAGGTTACCACCAGCTCCGAAGCCAAGGAAGGCGACGAACACACAGAAGGCAACCCAGCTAGGACCAGCTCCTGCAATAATAGTAGCAATGGCAGCGATGAACAAGGTAGTGTTGAAGGCAATGCGTCGACCGATGATATCGGCACCGAAACCCCAGAAGAGAGCACCCATCTGAAGTCCAGCGTACAGAGCCATGGTTGATCCAGTAGGATAACCTCCATGGCCGATCTCAAGGTAAGCCTGGCCAGCTGCAACACTCTGGAGGAAAGCTACCAGGGAGTCAGCAGCAAAGCCGAAACCTGTGAGACAGCAGAGCTTGAGGTGGAAGCTGGTCCATCCGATCTCGTTGATGGTCTTTAAAGTCAGCATGATCAGCTCCCATTATTGTTCAGTGTCCTTACCTCATTAACAAGATTAATCTTAGCCGAAAGAACCGGATCCACAACGTTGCCAAGTTCATTGATAGTGCTGACATGATACGACACATCATCAGCAGCCATACCGCCCTTCTCCTGATCACGACTCTCCTTAACAGTGCTCGAAGGCATAGGGATCTCAACATTCGACATTATAATAAGCTCTCAAATCATATGAAAACGATAAGGTATGCAAGATCTTGATTCAAACATGGAGACTTGAGTCGCTTTTAAACCCAAACCAGGAATTTTCCATGATAATTCTCCAGACTTGGCCCCTCGGTTATTCAAGCTTCAGTGGAAATTGATACGCGCTACCCCACAAACTGGGAGATAGCGCTATCCCGAGAAGGCGGGGTGAAAGGATTGTGAGATATGGGCACCAATAGTGTGAGGTGTTATGATCAGCCAAGAGCGCTATGAGCGATCTAGGTTCAGTGTATTTGCTTAGTGCGGAGTATGGCTAGGATATCACTTGGCGAGACTGTTCTAGAGGGGCGATTTCTACGATTGTTTGCATGTTTTGGGTGATTGTTATGGGATGAACATTGCCATGGTATGTCTTCCATATCATGGCAGTGTTCAAGAAGAGATGAGCTTCAGCACGGAGATTCCCTTCGATGTTTTCATGATTTTCCAGCTTATCAATGCCTTTGATGATTAATTCATCAATATCTCTATGTGCCGTTCATTTTTCAAGTGCCTCGACCTGAATTGAGTATCAAATTGAGTTAGCTTCCGTGTTTATCATGATAAGCCTCATGACCGAGGCCGGATACGGACCGAACACGGATTCTTCCCGTGTCATGACTGATTGGCTACATCACCCCACCTCAACCAGCTGACAACGGACCCGGAGTCGGATTCTCCCGTCCATTGTCTCAACAGCCGGACTCCGAGTTGACAATGTCGAATGCCGTATCACATGAAGTCAGCCACTTAGAATAGTCTCCAACCATATTCATAAAGGCCCTTCCTCATGACTCGTTTGTGCAATAAGGGCAATTGCTTCAACCATTAACCTTGTCTAATATTTGCAACCATGTCTCTTTCTATTTTATCATCTTTCATCCACTATCTCTTCTCAGCCGCAGGTCTCGCTGCGCTTGTATCCTTGCTAGCAAGGTATCTCTCATCATCCCGGCCACTAAGGGAATCTGTCCCCGCATTCCTTCAAGACACCACATCTACAGCACGAGCTTTGCCTGCTTCTTGGTATAGATCCCAAGAAGTATACGAACTTGAAAGACGTGCCATATTTGCCAAGAAATGGATCCTCACAACCCACAAATTGAGATTCACTGAACCAGGCTCATGGGTCAAGTTTGAACAGGCAGGTTTCCAGTTCTTCCTGGCGAAGAACAAGCAAGGACAGATCAATGGATTTCACAACATATGTAGACATCGGGCGTTTCCTATCATGACCGAAGACAAGGGAAAGTCAAGCATTCTGTCTTGTAAATATCATGGCTGGTCATATGGTCTCAATGGCCAACTCGCCAAGGCACCGGGATATGATGACATGAAGGGCTTCGATAAGACAAAGAATGGCCTACTGCCTATCCACGTTCATGTTGATGCCAAAGGCTTCGTCTGGGTCAACCTCGATTCCTCAAAGACGCCTGAGGACTTCTCAACAGAGTTCAAGAACATCGACCAAATGGCAAGACATGAAGGGTTCAATTTCGAGGACTACAATTTCGATCATACCTGGGGAATGAGCGGCGATTACAACTGGAAGACCTTGGCTGATAACTATAACGAATGTTACCACTGCAAGACTGCCCATCCCGATGCAGCTGATGTTGCAGACCTGTCAGCTTACAGAGTTGATACCAAAGGCGGCAACATTGAGCACTTTGCCAATACAAAACCCGAGATGAAGGAAAAAGGCCTCAAGATCGTGAGCAATTACTACTTTCCCAACGCTTGCATGACTGTCTCGTAAGTCTTCCCTCATACTATATAAAATCAGCTAACATGGTAGTCCCAACTTCTTTTACATGATGCGATGCGTTCCAACTTCCCCCGGCCACTGCTCCATGGAATACGAAGTCTACCGACACAAGAACGCCACTGACGAAGGTTTCCAGACCATCGACGCGATGTTCAAGAGGATCTTGGCCGAGGATAAGTGGCTCTGCAATAACGCGCAGAAAAACCTCAACGCTGGCGTGTTTGTTAATGGTGAGATGCATCCTAAGATGGAACAGGGTCCTCTTTACTTTCAGCATCGCGTTAGAGGTATTTTGAACGAACATTATCGGTTGGAGAAGGCTGTTGGGAAGGAGATTAACCCAGCGCAGCATGTTCCGTCGGATGCTTCTCGTGGGACGGAAAATGATATGCGCTTCTGCTCGGGTTTGGCTTGTGGAAACGATGCTGAACACCTGGCTTGGTAGACAAGGAGCAGCAACTTAATGGCCATCTAGCAAAGTGATTATGGTACTGGGACGACTTCACGGGTACAAAGAAAGGATCCAGAAGATCGAATGTGAGACAAATTGGAACCATCGTGTTGCTAAACTCCATAACTAGAAATACTAAATACAACCCATGTGTCATAATCGTATACTTATCCATATTATATCCCCACCCATTTAGATCTTTCCAGAGTTGGAAGTAAAGTACTGGCTAATATCATTATCCTCACCACACTTCTGACACTTGTGAATAACAGGCTTGTTAGTTCCCAACTGAGGAGCAACAGCACCAGTGATGGGCCTGTGAGACTCAGTATCGCGATCAAGCTTACGCTCAGTCTCAGGCTCCTTGCGAGTCTTCTCCTCAACAGGCTTCTCATCCTTGTTGCGAGACAAAGCAGCAGCTGTACCAGCTCCAGTGGCAGCGGCACCTAAACCAGCTGCCTTGGCACCGAAGTGATCATCCTTCTTCTGGGATGCGTCGACGTAGGGCTTTTGGGTAGAGCGGCTGGTGTCGAGATCATCATCGTAGGCGACACCGGAGGGAGTACCGGATGCGAGGGTGTTGTACTTTCCAGCGTTGGCGTTCTCAGTGAGTGTAGAATGGTGAGAACCAGTTGAGCGCTGAGAGTGCTCAGACTTTCGGGAAGGTTCATGTCGAGAGCTATCGAAAGCAGAGGAAGAAGTACCAAAGCCAGCCCCTGTGCCAGTAGTGCCAGGGTGAGCGGCCCTGGAGTTGTCGTTGCTCAAGTATCGATCCTCGTCTCGCTTGTTCGACTCATGGGAAGCAAGAGCTCCAGCGCCGAGACCTGCAGCGGCACCAGTAGCAAGTCCAGCACCTCGATGAGATCCCTCCTGCTGGTATGACTGAGAGGTTGTGTCGCGAGTCGAAGCTTGAGTAGGCTGGTTGCTCTGAGAGTCGAAGCCCCGGTTGGACTCAAGGCCAGTAGGCTGATCAGAGTGATGATCACGACCAGAACGAGAGGCCAGGGCGCCAGCGCCAAGTCCAGCGGCAGTACCGGCAGCTAAACCTGCACCACGGTGAGAGTCTTGCTGCTGCTGCTGCTGCTGCTGAGAGGTGGGGTCTCTGGTAGAGCTGTAGCCAGACTGGGCGCCCTGCGACTCAAAACCTCGGTTAGAGTCGAGTCCAGAATGCTGACCAGTAGTCTCGTGATCATGACCAGATCGAGAGGCTAAGGCGCCAGCACCAAGGCCAGCAGCGGTACCGGCAGCGAGACCAGCGCCACGATGAGAGCTGTTCTGCTGATACTGAGAAGTAGGATTGGTAGAGCTGTAAGCAGACTGGGTGCCCTGCGACTCCAAACCTCGGCTGGAGTCAAGACCAGTATGCTGACCAGAAGTCTCATGCTCACGGCCCGATCGAGAGGCCAATGCTCCAGCGTCAAGACCGGCGGCAGTACCAGCAGCGAGGCCTGCACCTCGGTGAGAGTCTTGCTGTTGGTAAGTCTGGCCAGCGGGGTCCTTGAGAGAGAAGTTGGCGGGTTGGTCTGGCTGGGTACCATATGCTGAGGAAGAGCCCAGGGTTGTAGGCTGGTTAGAGCTAGAGTGCTGGCCCGAGTGAGAAGCAAGTGCGCCGGCACCTAGACCAGCGGTAGTGCCCTTGGCGAGACTATGGTCTCCGTGAGAGCCCTGCTGTTGGTAGGTCTGAGAAGTAGGGTCTCTAGTAGAAGTGCTAGAAGGATCATAGCTCTGGGAGTCGTAGCCAGTGCCAGTATGAGCACCAGTACGGTCATTGTCAGATCGCTGAGCATAGTGCGACGCCAAAGCGCCAGCGCCAACACCAGCAACTGCACCAGTCGCAAGGCCAGCACCTGGGTGAGAGCTATCCTGCTGGTAAGGCTGCCGAGTAGTACCAGTAGTAGGTTGGCTGCTGTAGTCCCTGGCAGAGTCAAGTCCAGAAGCAGGATACTGAGTCGCACCTCGAGTACCAGAAAGATCCTGTGTCGCTGTCGCATCACGCTGAGTCTTGTCGTCATGTCCTCGTCCAGCAGCGTTTGCGCCCCAGGCAGCTCCAGCAGCAGCTAAAGCAGGGGCTGCAGGACCAGTCTTGGAGTGACCATGTCTCTCCCGATCAGCTTCCTGTTCAGCCTTGGCCTCCGTCTCAGTCTTATCCTTGGATCCCTTTCGATGGAACAGAGCACCGAGCTTGCTCTCATGCTCTTTGGGCTCTTTGGCGTGCTTATCCTCCTTGTGGTGAGTCTCCTTGTGGTGAGTCTCCTTGTCCTTGTGATCCTTGCCAAGAAGAGGGAATGATCGTCCCTTGTGTTCATCATGGGCCTTGTCGGTGGTTTGGTCAACCTTGCTTGGTGTCGAGGTATCATCGGCATGACGTCGCTTGTTAAGCTCATGAGCTCCAAGAGCACCGGCGCCAGCGGCTCCAGCACCAGCTACGCCCTCACTGAAGTGCGAGCCAGATGTTTGTCTGGGGTTCTCCTGGCCATATCGCTGAGCGTCGTGGGGGTTGGTTGTAGAGGACGTGTCGCGATCGGTTCGGTGGAGGAATGTTCCGCTCTCGAGAGTACCAGCGGTACGAGTTGGTTCGGTCGCGCCGAAGTGAACAGCTCGGTGACGTGCGTTCTCGTCTTCAGGGCTACCGTGACCGATAACGGTGTTGTGAACGCCTTCGCTGGGAAGATCTCCCCAGTAAGGAGGATCTTGGGTAGATGGAGCAGCAGCGCCAGTGGCTCCCTCTGTGGCTGGGACCTTGCTAGTGTCGCCCAAGCCCCCAGCGGCTGTAGTAGGCTCGGTAGTTCTGTCTAGAGGATCGTCGCGTCGCTCGGAGATGGGTTCTTGGGAGGGCTTGTAGGAAGCAGGATCGTTGGACTCGGTGAAACCAACACCAGAGTCTTTGTGTGCGTGGCCTCGGGGGTCATCGGCCTTGTGAAGCTTGTTCTGTTCGTATCCCTTGGAGTAGCCTTGGTGAGTTTCGCTGGGCTCCATGTCTTCTGTTGGGAATGATCCTGGGGGATGGTGGGATGTTTCTGAGGTATCCTTGGACTCGTCGGAGTGGAGGATGTCCTTAATCTTTGCGCTCAGACTCATTGTGAATGTCGTGCAGGTGTGTTGTTTTCGGGTATGGGTATCAAAGGTAATTCGTTAGATGGTGTTTTGTTGTAAAGTCGTGAGTGTTTAATGATATCAGAGCCTACTAATTGAGACTCTCACCGCCTCATATACCACCTCATCTCTTCCCCAAGCAAGGTCGTCTCGATTGCCTACGTCGTCGACATCATTATGACTGCTACGGGAACTAACAGATCGTGTGGGGTGCAGCTAAATCTGCGATTGACGTCTGGGTTTCCCAGCTTCGACCAAGACATCCCTGTCGATCTTACCATCTTGGGCCAAGAGCCTTGCGCCATTCCGTCATCCACATACTCTAGCCCCCCATTTTGGGAGTTGTACAGCAGCTCTTGTTTGCTGGGCATCTTCGATCATAATTGCACAACGTATGATCTTCGTGGGATTACGTCTTTCTCGCTATTTCCCTGGTCTAGACCTTCAGCCGCATGCGCTACAAATGGAAATTGCATCATTTCAGCTTGACGTGATGGGCACGTTGTTGGCTGGTATTGCCGAGCTGTCAAGTTTGCGAAAACAGGATTATGGTTATTGCGTGCGGTGTCGGTGTAAATTCCTGGTGGAATAGCAGTCATGGGGCTCGTCACTTTTATTGTTGTGAGTTCAAGTGGTTCGGACGGGCAACAATGGAACGTACAGCGACATCGCATCGACATTAGTTCTAATCTATTAATGACTTCCCAACAATAAAAGTATTTTGTATTAGGATAATGGTCTATGAACATAATGTATTCAATCACGTTTGTTCAATATGTGTCTAATGTTCCTTGAGGACCTGTGATAAAAATACAAGCTACCCTAGAACTTCCAAGAACTGTGAGCTTTGAGCTATTTAATTGGCTTGTATTGCTACTGTATCCACACTGAGGATGAAATGCGTCATGGCAAAACACGGCAAAACACTGTCTACGCGTTGCAATGGTCCAATGAGCTTGTTTCGAAACCGTTTGACGCGTCTGGTCTGGATGTGCTACCGGCAGGATTACTTTATATCCCGGCCTGAATTATAAAGCAATCTCACCGTCGATTTCATCGCAGCAATTCATTTCTGTCTCACCCGCTGAATCACAACAGGATCGCCTAGACTCTCCTCTATGGTCCTCCATGCTGGCTTCCAGCGGACTGAGGACTTTATTCCCCTGACTGAACGGCGCCAAAGAACTGGACCGACCACGCCATGGAATCGACAATCTCCGCAGGCCAGGCACTTGGCGTAGTAAAAGAAAAGTCTGACACGGACGCGTCTTGCCCGTCTACACCAGGAATATGACCTCGGGAGGTCAAGGCTGCATGAGATGCTGGGAGTGCTGGATATGGTGGCTCAGAAGCCATGGTCGCGTCTCCTGGAAGATGTGTCAGTACCAGCTTGAATCAATGACATGGCGTGCACGTACTCCATCTCAGACCGCATTCCTTTAGCCCCTCCATCATGTCTCTCGCAATCCTAGCGCCCGTCGAGTTGACGCTCAGAGCTTCAAACACTCTCAAACAAGTCTCCGCATCATCAGAAATACCGGCGGCGTCGAAGCCATCCAATGCATCCCCCGTTTGCTGACTAAAGATGCTTGAGACCACCAAGATAGACCCTGCGCAGATCAAACATGAGATCATCTGCCACCATGGGAATTCTTGCACCAAGTCCTTCTCACACGAGATACAGTGCAGTAGGCGTGCTGTCTCCCGCGCCTCTGCAATGCATATCTTTTCATACATGCTAACAAGGGCCCAGTTTGCCTGGGTGAGTGCAATCTCAGCATCATCATCCTGATTGCGCATGATTGGGTAACAAAGGTATGGCCTGTGGATGAGAGCCCGGAGATGGTGATATTTGATAGCCAACATGCTTCGCTTCAATATGTTAGTAACGATCGGCGAGTATTTAGTTTTGGTAGAGATACATACCTGGCGTTTGAAGATGAAGGATTTGTCAAATGCATGTCCCAAGTCGAATCGCAACGTTCTAGGCAGCGATTGTTTCCACTGTATGAGTTTGAGGTCGAGTTCCTTAGTATTGAACAGATCACTAGTTAAATTCTGGCCCGCTCTCGGGCTATATAGGTCGCGCAGGACCTGACTGACAATCTTGGAGAAGGAGATAACTTCCAGATGGTAGTCACCAACAGAAGGCCCCTCAAACATTGTTGGAAATTCGTCGCCGTCCCAATCAATGTCCGAATCTCCAAGTCGGGAGGGCAGCGGAACATGGCAGTAGTCTTCATGGATCGCGGGGGGTCGACCAAGCTGCAGAGAGATCAGGCGATCTAGCACGTATATACAGTACCAGATTCGCCGTCGCCGCTCTATAAGTAATCTCCCTGGCCCTTTGAGCCTCTGGGGGTCGTTTTGCTCTACATGCAACCCAATGCTCTGGGCCATACGGACGGTTTGCCCCAATGTTGCCCAACAGCTGCGAGGTTAACTTTTCATAAGTGGACTGGCATCGGACTCAAACTTACCTGTCTGTTCTGCAGACTGCTAGTAGATAAAAGCATTGGGCCAGGAGCAGAGAGACGTGGTGAATTGACCTGTCTGTCCCTGCAGGCAGAGCTAACGAGAGCGCCTGAAGGAAATAAACTTCGTGACACTTGTTTGCTCCAATTTGTTCTCCTGGTAAGCTCGTATAGTAAGCCCCAATGGCACAAATGACATCTAGCTACAATGTGAGTCAAAACGAACCTTGGCTAACACAAAGGTAGCTAGTGACTTACATATCAGTGCCAGTCTGGTGTTATCCAAAGAACAGTCATCCGTTGAGTCCAAAGCTTGGTCAAGGGACCTCATAAACAGCGCCTGCGGGATGAAAGGAAACGCGAGATGCACAGTAGAGAAGTACACGTCGGCAAACACTTTAGCAGCTTCAGGACTCGGCAGCTCGACGACTCTACCAGGCATGACATTGACACTGGGGGACGCGATGTCGTCGACTTGCTCATAGCTGTCAACTCTTTGGTCAGAGTCGGAAGAACCTGGTTGGGCCTGCAGCACCCGCTTGACCAGGTTGAAGAAGCATACGTCGCTCACCTTGCCAAGATACCTCTCGGCCTGACTGACCTGCGGCCGAAAAGAAAGAGCATCAGAGCCAGTCAAGGTTGTCGATAGCCTCGTCGTCAGAGTTGAAGCATCGATACTGGATAAGGCTCTATCAGCGGCCTTCATACAAGCCAATACTGCAGATGCGTCTTTCCGATATTGCGGCGTCGGCAGCTTCGATACAACAAGGTCCAGTAACGACTCATACTGCCTGATAGCTTCACGTAGGTCTCCATGTCCTTGAACAGTACTGTCGAGCGAGCTGTCGTCGGTGGAGGCTTCCTGTCTCCGCTTGGCTCGTCCCCCAGCTGCGTAGACACAGTCATACCCATAGCCCTTACAGCGACTGCACTCAGGCCATTTTCCATCACACTAACACGCTCCTGATCAATAGGAAGCTCAAGGCAAAATACCGGGTCTGCTTGCCTTGGATTTCATGGACCGGCACTTATGACAGGCCTTGGCGACGCGCTTCCGCTTCAAGCCGACGTGGGGCACCGCCGGGTTTGAGACGTCTGCTGCGTCTTCCATATCATGCGAGTTTCAATTAATGATGCTCGTTTTTTGGCTTGATACAGCGGCTACAAGCCGGATACTTGTTCTTTTTGTTCCATGTGGGGTTATAAGCGGTATAGCCGCCCGATCCGAGTTATCCGATCATCCGTAGTTGTTGTTTCTCCGGTTGTATGGCGTGCACGGAGATTCTCATCAAAGGATATTACAAGCCATGACTTTCAATGCGTCTAATTGGATTTGAGTCTCATGCTTTACTGAAACAGGAAGCTAAAAGAGCGGCCCTGCCTGTTAAGCATACATCGTGACAGGTCGGATGCATTGAGCTTGAACTACGGATCCAGGCATTCTACATTTCTATTACATAAAAGTTCGAATTCTACATCATGCTCAATCCTACACATCCGGTTCTCCGACTTTGGTGTTCAGTACCGGCTGCAGCTGACATGCTACTGGTTTAACCCCCATCAGGAATGAGATCTCCATCATCAGATTGCTAGGTGGTTTTCTACTTGTAACGATGAACCTCCGCCTTGGGGCTGCTCAATTGTTGAGCAATGCTATTCTGTTTCCTTCTTCACTTCGGGACAGTTATACACTCAACTGCCTCTATTCCACCACGTAAACCATGCGCCTTGAACTAGTTCTTGAAGCAGATGCCAATGCGCACTCCTACCGGCCGGGGGATCGCGTACGGGGAGAGTTGCTGATCTGGGGCCACAGGCTCAAACAGTTATCAGAAATCACTGCCAAACTTCAATGTGGGTCTGCTCAAAAGCATGTTAAACTCTATGTGCATGGTGCTGAAGGCGGACGCACACAGGTAGACTAAGTTTCCACTCCAACAAGCGTCAAAGCGGTGGAACCTCTTCCTCTGCGTACACGGGCTCCCCATGCAACAAGTCAGATCATGTCGTACATACAGTAAATAGCCCACCCGAAACTCTGTGACTTATGCTAAATTGAGGGTAGCTATTTGAACAATCCAAGCAGATCAAACTTACCACGAAAAGCTCGACCTTCAACCCACCAAGTTACAAGCATGACGCCGACTACTACGCCCCCTTTGACTTCACCTTTCCGGTCAGCAGCTGCCAATGCCGTTGCCAGCTACCGCCGTCACTCGAGAGATCGTCGTCCGGACACAGAATCAAGGTCGAATATGCCATTATCGTGACGATCAGACAACGACTGCTCTGTCGAGTATCGAAAGTCAAAACTCTACGCCAAGTCATATCCTTCGAATCGGAGCCTTTGATCACCGTCTTACCAACTTCAAATATCGGGTCTCTCTCCGCTAGCAAGCTTTTCCCAAAGCTTTACAAGGGTGTGAACAACGGGGCTGTCTCTAGAGTCAGATCCGACGAGTGTCTGCCTCTATATGAGCCTACACTTCAACTCGAGGTCTTGCTTCCATCGCCACCTATCATAACCCCGGGACGTCCAACCCTAATACAATTGATCCTGCATACTCCACCAGAGCTTGTTGCCGGCGAGAACATCTACATCCGCAGCGTCGAAGCGCAGTTGGAGAGCTGTATAGAAGCCAAAGTCGGACTGGTCACAAAGACTGTGACCGAGACACAGCGCGGTTGGAACCTACAAGGTCTGTTTTGTGTTAACAGAGAACACTTTGACCTGAATCTGGGGGCGTGGGGACAATACCTTACCATGGATGCTTTGCCAACATGCAAATCGTGCGTGCTGGACACGACACATTCGCTTCACATCTCAGCGGGGATATGTATAGGTGGAAGCGAGAAGACTCAGGTATGTTTGACACGCTACGCCTTGTAGCAAATTTGGACCTCCCTGACGAAGCCCAGATTGTTGAGACATCGCTTGAAGTCATCATCATCGGCGCACCACCCAGCTATACTACAAACCCATCGGTATACGTTTAGTGGAGGAGGCATCGGTAAGCACCAGAGCTTATCGGTTGGACCAGGAGGTTCCTCTGTTTTTCTTAATGCTGTTTTTCGTTGGTGCAAGCCGAATAGGCATCAGGCATGCGAGCCGTTGGGGAGTAAGCGCTCATGGTTACGATCCGGTAATTGAGAGCACACAAACACGTAGCGATGTATATACCCCTTTTGCAATAAAACCATTTCAAGTTCATAGGCATCACAAGCTGTGACCTACGAGTGTTGCTTGCAGAGTTAAACCCAAGCTAGTCTTCCAGCCTACACTGAGTAGGACGAACGACAATTGTGCCACTGGCCTAGTTCACCGTAACTCGTATCTTCCACCCTTGAATTCCTAATTAAGCTTCTTGTGCTTTAATTTTACCAATTATGATCATGAATGTGCGCTCAGCATCCATTAGCGATGCGGATAGGCATGTCTGCGGCAACGCATCGTATTGGTATACTTGGTGAAAACAGCTTAAAATACACTAGAGCCTAGATCCCTCAGCTTGCATTCAAGGTACATTATATGTTCTTCAATAGGTCATTTCTAACTTTATCTCAACATACCTTGAGGTCTATGGCTCATTGTCTCCCTCTATATCCCCTTCCCATATCGTCAGACATGATGTACGGCTCAATGCCATTAAAGCCAGGGCCCAACCGACCCTGTTGGAGCATACCATTGCTCTGCATTGCGCCCACCTTTTGCAGGAGACACATTGTCAAGTCGTTGTACCCGGCATTGTAGCTGGACCATGTGAAGGGTGAGAGGGGAGTATCGGGAAACAGTGCATTTCCGTACATGTCGGCGGCTGCAGCGCCCTCAAAATCCAGATCATCACTCCCCGTGCTAAGACTCTGCAGCGGTAGATTCATGGCGCTCTGTGTGCCGAAATCGGCCCCATAATAGGGAAGTTCAATATCCGAGTCTTGCGATTCCGATATCGCAGTTTCATCGCAAGCCGATTCCTTGTCTCTTGCAAGGTTGGGCGTTGATGCAGCTTCAGATCTCTCATGTTCTTCCAGCTCGCGATACAGCTCCTCCATACTGTCCATATCTTCAGGGAAGACGGACTGGACTGGGAGATCAATCTCGCTGTTGGGTGGAACACAGCCCAGGATCTGCGCGACATGTTGGGCGACGGGTTGGCCGTGTTCATTGATCTGGGGCTCAGCCAACTTCCAAGGCTGCGAGTTCCTGACCATGCCGTACAGCTTGCAAACAGTTTCTATCAAGATATACTGGGACTGCTCCAGTACCTCGGCGTATCTAAACCTCTTGTTAGCGAAATGACGCAGAGGCCTGCGAGAGGTATATCACTTGCCCTTTCGGAGTCTGTTTAAAGGTAACCGTTCTCCTGGCGCTGGCTGTGCAAATCTTCTGATCGTCCTTGCACCTTCTGCAAGGGATTCTACCATCGCACTGTTATATGTATGAGCTTCATGTTCAGGTTTCTTTGAGTCGGTTTCTGATAGCTTACCTTGGTCTTCTTCATTCTGCATCTCACACATGCCTTGCGAACCTTCTTCTGCGGCTTGTCTGTCATGGACTCTTTCGTGCTAGTATTGCCATTCCTAGGTGAGGTCCTGGTGGATCTACGCTTGAAAGTATGGCAATGCTGCGCGATCGACTTGCCGATAGAAGCAGTGTCTTCTTCTACTCCCCCGCGGGAGCAAAAGCGCCGTCGGCCAGCCATGTCTATTGTAACGATTATATGAGATGGGGCGTAAGAAAAGAAACAATAATGGGGCCAAGCTGTATCTCTCAATAGAACACCAGCTTCTCCGCCACGTACACTGCTCTAGAGGGAACAATGGTTTATGTATAGCCCTCTTAAGTGGTACAGGGTGCTGTAACTTAGGGCTCAAAGCTGGTCGTCCTTTATAGTGGAATCATCCTCGCCCGAATTGGCCGTAGTTAGGTCTAGCAGGGAGCTTCTGGAGGGCGTTTGCGCCTATTGTGACTGCCGCCAGATCCGTTACTGAATACAGTATGCCACGCGACATGGAAATTCTTCCGAAAATTTTATTTTATGCATGAACGAGCCTTGTGACTCGCTTCCATTGCCCCATCGATGCAGCTATTCGTACCTTAGCCCCCTGCTTTCGCGGGGTTTGGAACGCCCTACAGCTCTTCCGTGCCAATGACTAATGCTTCCCCATGAAAGACCGGTCTGGATACTTTTACTCGGCCCGGTCGGATATCAAGAACAATCCAGAATGCCGCTAGCCCGTGGTTTCAGTATAATACCAGGCACTGCCGGTACTGCCGGTACAACCGAGAAGGATCTTGGAGGTTGGAACGAGTCACGACCATGCACTGTTGCATAATTGTTTGGTCATCTAGGATAAGTCGGCTTTCAGACTGAGAAGTGGAGGCTTGATCCTGGTCAAGCAAAGCTGTAGAGGAGCCGTCGGTTAATTAGTCGGCAGTTCAGAACGGAGCTGCATACTATAGTAAGCATTTCATCGACATTGAGAGATGACCAGACTGATGATTGTCAATATCAATGTCTCATTCTATGCCCCAGGTCGACATTTGCCATTACGGCTGAGTGTTGACCAGATTTCACGGGCATCAAAATGAACAGCCTCATACTGACGCCTGACATCATCTTTCAGCTCAAACTCCCGGCCTGGATTAAAGATAAAGCTACCCTAAAGCTTTTGCTGTCGACAGCTTGAAGCCAGCGCAAAGGTCGTTAGGAGGAAGTGAAGTATATGTAAATATAATGAGGGAAAAGAGTTCTGAAATGTGATTTCTTAGACAGCAGGTTCTGAGATAGTTCCACTGAACTAATGTCCCGTATTTGAACTCTGCTCTGCCTGTTTGCTTTAGGTCTTGACGCGCCATATCCACAATACCTATTCTGACGTCACGCGTTAACCCCGCGTTCCGAAATTACAATCAGCCCTCATCTCAACGCCTAACATCTTTCAGCTTAAACACCGATGATTCGTTCGTCTATTTTGAGGAACTACAGCCACAACGGTCAACGGTATCACCATTCTAAATCCGTGACATCACTTAACTAGACCGAATGGGGAACTCGAAACCAGTGGTCGGATATACAAAAAATTAATTGAACGGTCTGTCACTCGTGTATATGGTATAGCTCGTATTATTGCTATAAATATGTCAGCTTATGACCGTTCATCCAATGATTTTGCGGCTGTGCTACCGATCGTCACCTTGTGGAACGAGTTGAGCTGGCTACGCGCGGCCAGAGTTCTTTTTATAGTAACATGGTAATACGAGATAATATCTCCGCTCATCACGCTACAAAGAAAACATTTGTCTTTCCGCAAACCTTCTCCTGCCATCTGGATTCAATTCAACAGGCTCCTAAACTTAAAACCTTAATCATTTCCTCTTTGGTTCGATCCTATTTACTTGTAATTTCAGCATGCGCTTCCTTTCTCTAACCCCATTCTTTGCCCTGCCCGCTTTGCTGGTCGCGGGCCATCAGCCAAATGACGTACCGCCCGATCCATCATATTACGATGCCCCGACCGCCATAAAACACGGCCACGAAGCTCCCCTCAACGCGCAGAAGGTGCAGCAAGATCCATGGGAGAAGGGGCCATTAGTGCAACGTTGGAGACAGTGGGTTCGACGACAAGATACGGATTCGTCGGATGACGATAAAACCACGGAAACCAAATCGGAGACACAAAAGACCGAAGAGACTACGCAAGACGAACCAACGACGACGGAAGAAAAGACTACGACCGAAGATAAACCCACCACAACGGACGAGCCTACGTCAACGACCGAAGAGTCTACAACACAAGAAACAACTACCCAAGAATCCTCATCGACGGTCGAATCAACCTCCACCGAATCCTCGAGCGACTCGACCTCTACATCAAGCAGCAGCGTAACCGCAACCGAACCCGGCGCATCATGCTACAGCACAACAGTCTCAACCAGCGTAGTCTGCTCCATAACAACCGACGGTCGAACCGAAAGTGCATCATGCATCACCAACCGCATGACATCCAGCACATGCGCACCAGGTCTTTTCTGCGAGATCCATCCCGACTCTGGTGCGACTGTCTGCATGGAACAGCATAACGAGATTGGAACTGAGGGTATTGTTGTCGCGACCTTTTTCGGAGCGTGTATTGCAGGGTGTATGGCTGTTTTGGTGGGTATGTGTTTACGGGATAAGAGGCAGGAGAAGAAGTTTCAGAATATCCAGCGGGTTAGGACGTTGAAGCAGGCGAAGAGGGAGGAGAGAACGAATTTGATGGCTGGTACGACACCTTAGAGTGCATGTTAGATTCAGGCGAGCATGTGTTTTCTTCAACTTAATACCTGGAGTTCCCGGAGTTACTCGTCAAAGCAGTGCCAGTAATGATTTCGGGCGTTTGCTTGTCGGTCCCGTATTATGCATTGAACAATTTGACTGTAAGGAAATGCTTTCATATCTTTGAGCCCATCTCAGATCATGTGAAAGAAAGGGCCCGTTTAATACTTCTGTTCTTGAAATTCTGCCATCACCACTAGGCCGTTTCCTCCGGCTTCTGTCCAGTAACAACAAACCTGCGTGGCCAGTCAGCTCTATCAACTCATATCATCAGGGATACTCACACTTCCCAATAAGCATGAACCTTCAAATTCCTCATCTCAGCCCTAACCTCGGAAATAAACACCAAGATCTCCTCTTGACTCATACCAAGTCCCTGTCTCAGCAGAAAACTACTGATAGTCTCAAGGTTCCTCTCAATATTAGCAAGCGTCCAGAGTCCTATTTCTTTAAACTTCGGGTCCTTGGGCCAGGTGTTGGTAGGCCATTTAAAGGCCTTTCTCGTGACGTTGACAAAGCCTTGTTCTTTAAGACGCTTCTCGTGGTTGACTCCTTCGTCGAATGGTCGGCCGAGGGCCAAGGCGCCTTTGGCGGTTAGTTCATCCCATCGGTGTAAGGGAGAATTGGGCTTGAGGGTTCCGTCTTCTGATTTGGCGGGGAATGTTGGGTCGATGACTTCGAGCCAGCCCCCGGGTTCCAAGTTGCTTGACCTTGTTAGTGGGAGTGACAGATAGTGTATACAACATACTCATAGCATTGCCGGATAAGTTTGTCCCAGTCTGCTATGCTGCCGACCATCAAGCGAACAAAGATGTAGTCGAAGGGCTTAGTCCAAGTCCATTCCTTCTCGGCATCGTCGATCTCAAAGGTGCAGTTGGGAGGGACACTGAGACATCAATAAGACAGCGGCCCGTCTGGATTAAGGCTGAGACTCACAATTCTGGCTGTATAGGAGCTATATCGATACCAAAGACCTATTGTGTTCAGTAATATGCATGAGGCCAGTGGGGCCATTCATCTTACCTCAGCTTGAGGATGTTCGTCGGCTTCAACATCACATTAGCCTCTGATTCAACACGAGGATTGTCCCGACATACCAAACTCAACCGCCCAAATCCCTGTGCCCGTACCAACATCAAGGACTCGCTTGGCCGTATCAGCGTTGGGTGAAAAATACCTCTTGCCGCCAAATGTCAATAAGAGCTGGTGGTTCTGGAGATCTACCAAGTTGTTAAAATCCTCGAATCTGTCAATGTCATCTTAAACGGGCTTACCTAATCGTTCTGATTCATTCTGGGAGCACGTTAGCGAAGACATGGTATAACAAGGAATGGGAACTTATACCTGATCACTGGGGAGCCAGTATTCTGCCATTGTTGATTAGTTGGTGATACAACACTCGACCAAGTCCCCACTTACTCTCGTCTTTATGATATCCGCGACCATTGATCATATGGTACTCGTAAATACTGGAGCGCAAAGACGCAGTCGATAATTCATCATCAGTCTATTAGAGACACTGCGTCAGTTGGTGTACTCCGAATACAGGCGAGGTCAAGAACTTACAACTCCAATTGCTGAGTCGTCGTCAGCCGCTTCCTAATGTACCATGTCAATGCTTGCTCCACGGACCCTTCCGTTCCGCGTCCGACTCACAAGAAGAGCCTCTTCAGGGCTATCAGCGTTACGAGGAGGTGATTGCTCTGCAGCTGGCGACGAACTTTTAGATTTGTCATTCGCCATATTTCTGGATCGACCTTATGATGGTGATGGCCGTGCAGATAAAGAAGCTGAATGAAATGTCGAGAAGACGGGCGGGGTCGATGGCTTTTGAGATACGTTGGTTCTTGGCTGTTGGTCCGATCCTGGCATTTTATCCGCTCGTGGTCTGATTTGCGAATAAAACCTGAAGGAGCGAGGTATTTAAATGCCAAGTGCTGTGCCGGAAGCCAGCATATGCCACTGTATCATGTTCACGTCACGCACTATTGCAGATGAGTCTCTTGGCTCAAGCTTCAACTTCAAACATTTGTTGCCATGATGAGAGTCAATCCTTCAAGGAGACTTCTGGGGCCAGCAACCATTCAGAGTCGCAAACATTACGGATGAGATCGTTGGCGTACATATGTGAAGCACCCTGTGGAGGTATACCCAAAGGTGACTGCTCGTTCTGCGGGTGAATGTGAATGGCTGGACCAGTCAGAGTGGTGGATCTCTTGTCTTTTCTGCAAGGTTACATCCTCCGGTTGGACGCATTGGACACGTGGGGATGATAAGCCCGCATCTGCGAGACAGGGGAGGACCAACAGCAGCGAACTTCAGCACAGAAACAGGCGGGGTCGACAGCATACAGTGATCTGATACATGCTTTGCACAAAGTCGCGAGGTTCTCAAAAGGTACTAGCACTCTACATGGTCCATTTGAGGGATTACAATAGACTTAGTCTTGCGGCATAGAATTGCTCTCTCAATATTGACTGTACCTGTATCGACTATATGTACGTGGAACTAGCTAACTTCCCTATCATCCTCTTGATGTCCGTCTATCAGAAGCAGCTCTTTCACTGAACAAACCGACATATACAAGTCTAAAACTCAATAGCCCGCTTGAAAGGCTGACCATTATAATCCTTCTGATCATCAAAGTTCTCAGCGTTGACAGCAATGATCTTGACACCATTCTCATCAAGAAAAGGATATTCATTGTCCTTCCAAAAATCGGCAATCGCATTGCCCTGGATCATGATCACATACGCCGTTCCGCTAGACTCCCTAGCAAGAGCTTCACCCATACGGGGAAACAGCTTATCCTGCTCAGGGCCCTCGCCACATTCCTCAATCCAGTCAAGGTACTTGTTGTTGTCAAACACTTTGCCCCAGTAGTTGCCGTTGGTGACCTTTTGCTCGGCGAAGGCTTTGGCCTGTTCTTGTTTGGCGCCGGCGGTGTAGAAGATTGTGTTTTCGCCGACGCTGGCATTGTCGCGAATCCAGTCACGGATGGTCTGGACTGATGGGCAGTCTCGACGGTGCAAAGTGTTTGCCGGAGCTCCCAGGACTGTGACTGGGGCGACGAAGGCGAGGGTGAGGGAGATGATGTTTGAGAGTCTCATTTTGGCTGTGTTGGGAGTTGAGGATGGGTGAAATTGAGTATTGTGGTATGAAAGGGAATGAAACGAGAGACTGTGATGCTGCTTGAGTGCTTTGTGGATCTGACGGAGGTTGGAATAAAGCGGTCTGGGACCGTCTTTATACTATTGTCAAGGAACGCATCTGGGAGACAGACAAGATGGAGCCTTGATTGAGATGCTCCTAAGCGGCCAAGCATCCCACCTGGGCACCATCCAGAGTTTCCTCGCATCCTTTCAAGTCTCCAGCTCATCAGCGATGACCATATTGGTCTGACCGCAGTCGCTCAAAAGTCCCTCTATCAGGATCGAGATCGTTAATCAGAAGGAACTCGTTGCAGTCTGAGGCAGATGCCATCACAATCACTATCACACTCGCGATGATTATGGATCAACATGGTAACCGTCAGCATAAGTGGAATCGCGAGAAGTCAGCCTCGGGATGCCAAGTCGGTGGAATAATACCCGATGCAAGGAGCAAGCCAAACGGAAGACTAATTTAGCACCCGAAGGACCGATGTCAGCTCAGCTATGTAGATCTCTCAACTGCCGCCCGCGTCTAAATGGCCGATGGCGGGGTACGCAAAATCACAGCCTCGATGCCTCGCCGTCAATGACGTTTTTACTAGAAATTTGATTACTGCCGATCATCAAATCTCACGTAAGAAATGTACAGCCTCATGTGATGCAGGACGGGATCTTGCCACATGCCATGACAAACGAAAAATAACGTCGATCATAAAAAGTTCCGAAGGATGAGAACGGCAAAGGGCGTACTCAGACTTTGCATCTCACTACAGCTCCTCACCAAGAACTTATCACTTCACGTCGCGAATATGGCAGACACGCTCAAAGATCAGCTCATCACTTTGGCTTCGACCGGAGATGCCGACAAAATGATAACCCTCCTGTCAACAAACAAAGAAGCCCCGTCACAAGAGACTATCCAGGAGGTGCTGACGGCAGCTGCAAAAAGTTCCCAGTTTGATGCTGTCCGCTTCCTTTTGGCAAAATATCGCTCGATCCCTCTCAACGAGGAAATCGTCCGAGCAGCAGTCAACACAGGTTCAATCCCGCTTATGCAGGCCCTCGTCACCAAGGATCCATCTGTGATCAACATGCAGTTCGACATGCGGGGAACACCTCTTGTTGTTGCCTGCATGGGTCGACAGCACATTGACTTCCTTCGATTCCTTCTTGAGGCTGGAGCAGACCCCAACCAAGACCCGGATGCAGCTGCATATCCGCTTGCATTGGTTGCAGGCCTGTACAAGGACACTGCGGCGATCGACCTGCTCTTGCAGTATGGTGCTAAGATTGAGCAGTCAGGTGCACTTGGTGCTGCAGCGAGGCGCGGCAATGAGCCTATGATGCGGTACCTGCTGGATAAAGGTGCTCGGCCTGAAAGCGATGCCACTTCTACGGGAGCTGGTGCATCGCCTCTTCACGTGGCTGTCAAGGCTGGACATGTCGGTGTAGCTAGAATCTTGATGCAGCATGGAGCTGATCCCAATGCTACTGATGCTAGTGGTACTTCGGCTATTGAGCTTGCTAAGCAGTTGCAGCAGGAGGGCAAGGCTACGTCAGAGATGGTGGAGGCTCTAGAGGGCAAGTAGAATGTTAAGCCGTCAACAGAGTAGTCAGAAACACGTATGCACGGTCAATAATGGACATATCATTCAAGCCCTATAATTAGCTTCCTAATTGCCTCATTTGACCCATAAGCTGGAACGACGATCAACGTCATACTGATGTCTGCACAGCCTGATCGACTTCAGCTGTAAGCGCCAAGCAATCATCTGGTCCATTTATGCTGGTCCTCCGACATGCAGGTCTCTAACGAGTCATTTTACAATAGTCTCATGACTCAGTACCAAAGGAATCGAGATGGAAGTCTGCAGAGAAATGTAACAAAATCTCTCCCGACAAAAGTCCTTCCTGCGATGCTCAATACCCAAATATGAATGAGGCTATACGCTCACCAGTGGAGACAAAGCACCATCATCCCATTGGTTTATCGGCTCGTAAGGCGTACAGATCACCCGGTGTGCCTAGGATCGTCGTCTTACACGCCGAAGGATTACGTCGGAGCATTTGGTACGCTTACTGTAGCGGGCCGATCCATCTCCAATGCTACTAAACTTTAACCCCACGCGGCTCAGGGCCGATGAACTTTTGAACTACGCTAGACCCCACGTGGTGATCAGGCGTCTAAACGTCAGAGGTGATCCTTCTTGTAAGCAGCTGTAAGACATATGAGTGGGTAGTTGGGGGCCAGCAGCCTGCTTGAGCCTCGGGCGTGCGAGTCGGGAGGAGAAGACGATGATGCTGGCGATATCTTGATTGTCACATCCTATGGATTCAACGAGAGTCATCATGGTTGATCTTTTGGAAAGCGGTTTGCGATGCCTCTGTCAGCAGGTGTTTTGCGTGTTGATCGATTGCATAATCTGACAAATGGACAAACGGAAACGACGAGGTCGATGGATATAACTGAGCAGTATATAGAGGTCAGGTCGTTCGACTCTTGAGAATCACAACAGACATGATTCAGAAAGCACTTTACCTTCACACATTTAGAGCCAGAAATCTCGTCTCAAATCCCAAACCTTATCCCTCATACACTACAGATACTGCATATACATATTAAACCAAGGCAAACAGCACAGTACAAAAGCTCATCAACTCCAAGTACCGTCACACCTCTTTACCAACAATCCAACATGAAGTTCACAACCATCCTCTCCATCACCTCCCTCCTCGGCCTCGGCAACTCAGCCGCCATCCACATGAGCCGCAACCCCTCCTCCTCCCTCTCAACCCGCCAAGACCCAGCATGGTCTTTCAGTGTCTATCAAAGCAGCGAGAGATGCACCGGTGCCCGCGACACCTACAGCGGTGACGGAACTCAGGAATGTACTCAAGGAATCCGCAACGGGTCCTTTGGTTCTTACACAACTGGAGAAATCAGCGACAAGTGCTCGGTGTACATTTACAATAATGATAACTGTGATGATGGGGGTATTATTGACATCTTGACGAGTGCTGATTCGGAGGGTTGTTTGCAGCCTCAGCTTGAAGTCACTGGCGTGGCTAGCTTCAGAGCGCAGTGCGGTTGAGGAGTCATCGGGAACTATTGATCTGGTCTTATACTACACTATGCAGATAACATTGATGAGTCGCTGAATGAAATTCTAATATCGCCTCTGCTATTCCATCCGTTTCGGATGAGGCAGTCTCCAATGTCCCATGTGATGAACTCCCTCGAGATCAATGTCTCAGATGCCAACTGCAGCGGTTGCCAGGATGGCCGAAAGTGCTGCCTCCAGAAGACCTACCCATTCTGTTGCAGCTGTTGAATCATAGCTGTCACATCTTGGCTCGGAAAGATACTTGAGGTATGTTATATGTTTAAGAGACTGGAAATAATGATAGCATCTGATCGACTGGACAGTAGCTTACTCAAATAACCCTCCGAGTTATCTAGGAAACACAGCTGAGGAAGCTCCGCTTTGATGGCAAATAACAAATATTTATACGTTTCGCATCGCGATATCAAGCGCGCATCTCCTTTGTTTCGTGCCATCTGTGAGGCAAGCGTGAGGGATAAATCGGGTAACCGGCTGAAGAGACGCCCGTTACCATGCAGCCGTAGCCCACAAAGACCATGATGGCACCAACAGAGAACCATTCTCCCCGCCAGAGAGCAATGATGTGGATTGAAATCATGGCCAAGAAAGATGTGATGGTGATGATGAGAGACCAAATTGCTGGCCCTGTAGGGCTCGTGCTGAGTTCCGAAACTCCCTCGAAGGTACAGAAGAAACTTGATGTGACCAGCCCAGACAACTCCGCGCCTGATACTAGAAGGTCGCTCTCCTCGTCCTTGACTAGGTCCGTCTTGACGGTGGAGGTCCCTGGATTAGAACAATCAAGTTTAGCCTCGTCTGAGACTTGATGAATCCGCTGTTGGTTCTCAGTCTTGGACAAGAATGGCTGGACCTGCTCAGTCTTACTGGAGCCATTATGGGATATTGTCGGCTCCTTGCAGAATTGGACCTGCTCTCTATCGCTGAAGACGTTTGGGAAGTCGGCCGTTTCCTCGATTCACCGCGCCGACGTTCCTCTGCTCTGCGACGGGGCAAGTGACTCTAAGACACCAATTGACGTTCCCACACTTCAGCGGGCATCCCTTCTCTGCTTTTTCAGATTGGAACTTGTAGCAGTATTGAATCTGCATTAGCGCCTCTTTGATGGCGACGGCCGAGTTTCCTTTGAGGTATGCAACCGCAAGGACTCTGCTCACAGCGTCTGAAGCAGTCGACCTAGAGACAATACCGTCGACAACCTCAGCGTGGACGCCGCCGCATAGACGGATCATGCTCGTCAGATGGAGACCGAGACGCATGTTGTGTTGGCAAGGCGGCTCCGAGAGGAATCGAGACATGAGCCAGATATCGGGTGATTAGTTCCCGTATGCCATGGTTCTGGCGAGCCATTTTTGAGATCTTTATCGGAGGATTTGTGCGAGACTATTTGTTTATGAATGGTGAAAGTTCGTAGATATCCAGACATTCCACGAAGTCTCCTTCTCCCACCCATGCTTGCTTTTAGGTATTTATAACAAGTGAGTGGCCATAACTGCTTCAACCGCCTGAAAAGGTACTACTAAGTAGCTGTTATAGAGTCCCATCTGCTGCCTCGTAAGCTGATTTCAATCGGGTGACAATTCGCTGATTGCAAAACGCCATACCAACGCCTCAACAGTATTGCACTATCAAGAACCAATAACTTCCAGCTTGCATAACATACCTTACAGTAATAAATCTTACTATTTAACTTATAGCATAAATAATAAGCACCACTAAATAGTGTTACATAGACTAACTATTTAAAATTAAGTTTATTACAATCTTTTTAAATTATATATAAATTTCTAACAATATTATAAATATTTACTACATGTTAAGAAGTATCGCTATGGAGGATATATTACGAGGTTACCCTAAAGCCCCTAATAAGAATTTATCAAGCCGAGGTACTACCCTACCTACTGTTCTCTCGTCCACTCATTGCGAGGCGAAGTCCCCTCCGACGGTGACAGTCCATCGTGATAGTGATACTCATGCATATTCCCCTCACCCACCAACTCAGCTGGCGGACCCGCCTCAGCGCCACCAGTAACCTGAAATTCATTCTTGGGAGTCGTCCTCTGATGCATATCAGGCGATCGATGCTCACTCGTCAGTTCAGACGGCGGACTCGCAGGCCACGTCTGCCCTCCGCTATAAGACGGAGCTACAGGGGACACCCAACCAGTTGGACCACTGACAGCCATATCATGCCGCGGTGGTGGTGGTGGCGCCGCCACACCGTGATTCTGGCTGTAGTACTTCCGACGCCGGTAGATAAGGACGCCAAATCCTACCAGCGCAAGGATGAACGCCACACCGCACCCAACGGCAATTCCCGCTATTGCTCCAGTGCTGAGTCCTGAAGATGGCTTGCTCGTGTGAGATGGCGGCGCAGTCTTTTTGGTGCCTGTATCAGTTGCGCGTGTTGCAGTCCTTGTCCCAGACGCAGCCGTCCTCTCCATCTGCACAGCCAAGTCTGGAGCGTCAAATCCGCTGACGGGCGTTGTCTTGGTCGCGCCACCAGCGGAACTGCCCCCAACAGCCGTTCGGATGTCAATGGGCACAATGTAGGTTGTCAGGTTGGGCTGATACATTGCCCAGATTGCATCGTCTTTGTTCTGCTTGCCCAGGTTCATGTTGTGTGTGCCCTGGATAATCGGCACGTCGCAAACTTTGTCTGTGGCGTTGGAGTAGGTGCCTCCTATGACGAGCATTTGCGCATCGTCGACTACGTTGCAGCTCATCATGCTCTTGGGAAAGGCTCCGGTGCCGTTGCGGTAGGTTGGGTATGGGCCTCTGATCCATTGGAAGCTCGGGATGGTGAGGATGTAGATATCATCATAGCCTGTTGTATCTGGCGGGAAACCTCCGCCGCCATAGATGTAACTGGAAGAATTAGCTTTCAAACATACCATTTCGTCAGTTTTACTTACATATTGTAGCTTGAATGATCTTTCGCCCAGGTCGCACCGCCGCAGAAGCGACGTCTTTTGTTGGGGGTATTCCCTGATGTCTTTTGCGTATACCATTTCGCATTCGCAACATCAAACAGGAAAATCTCATTCAAAGGCTGAGGCGTCAAGGTTCCATTGCCATATAAGTCTTGAGCGCCCCCAAAGTATACCAACATTCCGCCATCTCCAACTGGAATAAATACCATAGCTCCCTCTGCTCGTCCTGTATCATCCGGCCCTGTCATATTACTCCAAGTATTCGAATCCATCTCATACTTGATCAAGCCATTTGAGGCTCTCGGCGGACCCGACCAGCCTTCAATAGATGCATTACTTAGCCAGCCCCCGTAGTAGTACGCTTCCCCTCTTGACGAGATCGAAACACCAGCTCCATAGCTAGCTGCTTGGACTTCCCGCGGGGGAGATCCAAACGACACCCATTGATTGTAGAGGATATCGTAGCTGTAGAGATCGAAGGGGAGAGGAGGAGAGCTATAGGATTCGCCGCCGTAAAGATAAAGTCGTTTATTGACTGAGTCTTCCCATAAAATGCCTCCGTTGACGCTGGGAATCGTGTCGTTCTTGGAAAGGTTGGCGTAAAACGGGGGCATTCCGCCGCTGTTTACGGCGTCGAGGTCATTGAAGGAGAGGAATGTGTCTGCGATTGTGTTAATACACTCTTGGAATTGTAGGCATCGGTACTAACTGGTCAGGTTATTCGTCGCATCCTGGTAGTTGATCAAACCACCATCGATGTATAGCTTTCGATCCACTACGGCTGACTGATGACCCCATCTCCGACAAAAGTTCTTGACTGGATCATTTTGCCCAAGAGAGGTGCTGAAGAGGAGCCATAAAAGGAGCAGAAAAGTTGGAAATGTCCGCGAAAGGTTTGTTAGAGCATCCATGGCACCGTGGTACTGATGAAACATAAATGGGGTGTCTGAAATGCTTACTACCAAAGGCTGAGAGGATGCGACAGCCTTTACTTCACCCACTGGAGAAGAGTCCTATAAGTAGTACGATACAAATAAACCGCAGTTTACTAAACTGGACCCCAGAGGGGAAATGGGTGCAGCTGGCATATTCCCAATGAAGAACGTAGATGTGACGACGGGTTGAAAATCAGGCATCACACCCAAGAAAGAATATTGTCAATAGTTCTATCTGAGATGCATTAGCGCGGTGAGTTATCCGTAGACAAGGCTCTCTCCAGGTCGAGCCTCAATTGTGGTGGTGAGTATTCGTCTCATCACACTGTGACGGCAAGACAACCTGGTAATAAATTAGTCTGGAACTGCAACAGTGTGACAATCTATGGAGGGCTGAATGGCCACCCAAACTCCGGGCTCGCACACTGCAGTGGAACTCCAGGTACAGGATGCCTTGTTCTGGGCCCGGTGAGGCTCTACTGCAAGGGCTAGATCACGCCAGCTGTCAACCTGCTGCATGAGAGTGGCCTCAAGCTGAACAACCAGTACCTCAATCACACTTCCCATGAAGCCTGGAGCATATCAACCCCGCGAAATAGTTCTCTGAAGAGTATGGCTATAGGTAAGTCATGGTTCTATTCCCAATGTGTTTATAACTGTGAATTGCCCTGTATGTCGAGCTGTGAGTGAACATTTACTTCCCGACCAAGGGACAGCCCTCTGTTGTTTGAACTGATGATGGATTTCTTTGTGGCTTATGCAGAGTGATATCTTGGCCGGGATTATTCGATTAACGCCACATAAGCCATACCATGTTGTTACTGCAGTAAGTAGTTAGCTCTAGTACGTGCCCAGGGCCTGCCGGCTAGGGCGGCATGTAGAAACACTGTGGATTAAGCCTTGGGCGTATTATCTTCAAAGCGATTAATACAGCGTACTGCCTTTCTCGTTATTAGGGCTTTCAGAGAAGGGCGGTAAGTTCCGAAAAGTTGCCTTAATTAATTATTGTAATTATTTCCGATTACAAGTGCGTTTCTAGTAAGTCCTTAGTAGTACAAATTGTATATTTAATAAGCTTAAAGCTATTAAGTCTAGAAGTAAAGTATATATAATTCATTCTTTAAAGATTATTAAACATCTTATAATAACTATTTACTAATGCCTCTAGGCTTAAATAAGGGAAATAATTAATTAATTTATTAAATATATATATATTACTACTACCTAAATTTATACTTTTAATATAAATATTATTTAAGTTTTTATTTAATTTACTTATATTATTAAAAAGATGCTTTTTATTTTAGATAATACTAGGATATATAGGGCTATTTATTAAGTAAATATATTATAACACTAATAGTTATATTTTATATACTATTTATTTTATATACCTTATATTTTATATTACTTATATATAGTTATAATAAGATAAGATATTTTATTAATATTAAAAGCTTTAATCTTAAATATTAAAGTAATATAAGTACTTATATATAAAATTATCTTATTAAAAGCCAAGCTTTAAAATCTTTAAAATTTATATAAGATATTAAGTTAATATTAAAAAATAAAAAAATAAAAATTATAAAAAAAAGGGTTTATAATTATATAAGAAATATTATAAGTAATTAAGTAAATAAATATTAATATATAAGTTATAGCTAAATTATTAAAGAATAATTATTAAAAAGAATTAAAAAAAATTAAGTAATAAATATTATAATATATATAATAAGGCTAGGTATAATATAAGAACTTATTAAGTAATTCTTAAGTTTTTAAAAATAAATTTAATAATTAAAAGAGGATCTTTATAACTTATAGGTTTAATAAAGAGGGTTAATTTATAGGTTAAGTAGGAAAAGTACTTAATATATTTATTTAATTAATATATTTATTTAGTATATTTTATTTTTAATTAATATAATTAAAATCTCCTTTACTTATTATTATATAATACTTGAGTTAATAATTATATTAAAAGTATATATATAGTTTATTAATTATTATATAAATTATTCCTAGTAAGGCTTTAATCATAATAGCGCTCTTATAATTACCTATATACAATATACCTTAAGGTATATAAGATAATGCTTAAATTAGTCTGACTTTATATATATTATGCCTAGTACATGTAATTAAACCTGGGTATAGCTATAATATTATATAGTTAATAGGCTCTCCTAAATATCTAGGCATATATGGACTAAAATAAAAGGCTGTTTTAATAAAGCAAATTATTCCAAGGTAGGCAAAATTAATCTTTACAGCTTTAGAAAATAACTATATTAGTAATCTGGCTAAATAGTTTAACTTTGCAGTTTAGTAACTAAGGGGAAAAAATACAATAAAAAAGGACAAGTTATTTATTATTTATATATAATTTATACAGGGGTAGCTAGGACTAATTATATAATAAGGCAACTAGGCGGCTTAGAATTACAATCTGTTTATATTAATAAGTATATTTATATAAGGGTTTACATAACGTCTAGGCTGGGAAGCTGTGATTAACTAGGGGGTGTAGTATTAACGCCACTATTGTCCAAAACGACTTTTAGTTAGCCATAGTTAGTCGAGATTGCTTGCTAATAAAGCTGGACAAGGGGAAAGAGCGCTGGGAAAACCCTAACTGTCCCTGACCTTCTACTTTATGCTAGTTAATAAGAGGTTACATAGTCCTCTTAAAGCACCTAGTATTAAGGATAAACTAAGAAAGCTATTTTAGAACTAGTATAAAAATTAACTTTTAAATACTTTAATAAAAAGTATATTTCTTATATTATTAGAATTTATCTCTTTTACCTTTATTTAGAATGCTATATAGTTATATTATATTGCCCCCCCTTATATACTCTAAGCCAGGTAATTTAAACTTTTATTATATTATACTATATAAAGCATTATACTTCCCTCTAGACACTACTAAGAGTTGTTTCAGCTTCTCCAACACAACTATAGATCTGGATGCCACGTATAACAGCCAGGCTAAGGTTAGCTAGGACTTTCTACAAACTGCATATAAATCCCAATAGTTGCAAGATAAGACTACTAACCATTTTGCCTGGTAATAAAAGATAACCTATAGTATACACTTTATTATATGTTTCACTTAATAAGGAGCCAATATATAAAGCTCTTTTATATGTTTGGGGAGATCCGGCCTACCGCAGGCGCATTCTAATCTATAATCGGAAAACCAAGGTTGTAGATAACGTAGAAATCGCAATTCGTTATCTAAGGCTTAGAAACAGGCCACAGACAGTCTAGCTTAACGCTATATATATAAATTAGGCTAATATAAAGGAACGGAAACATCAAGCTCAGCTTATAGGGCTTATTACATCTTAAAGTCTCTGGCCGCAGGCAAGTTACTAGATGCCTACACTCTCTTTATAGTTAAAGTCTACTTCTAATCACTTTTTAGCCGGCCTTAGAGTACCCGTGTATAGGTTGTATAAGAACTCGCCAAGGCCCAGAGAGATCCACTAATTAGGTGCAGACATATATAACTTCCTTGGTCCACGTTTATTCGGGGCTACACTGCCCTCAGACATAGCACCTCTTCCTGTATATTATCACCAGATAATACACAGAGCCTAGGAAGGGCCCTACCAATCCCAGCTAGCATTCCAGATAATCAGATACAAGGTTTTAATAATCTCAACTAGATTCAAGAATATTTTCTCGCTAAAGGAGGACTCCCGCTTCAGCACATACTATACCTAACCATAGATCTAAAAGCCATAGATTAACAAGATAAGATATACGCTGTCCTAGGCCCCCTCGACAAGCATAATAAAGGCTTTATACAACCTAACTACCGAAAACCTATTTAAAAGGTATATATAGAAGCTATAGCTGCCCTTCTTCAGAGGGCTAGAAACCTTTAGCCAGCCTGCTTATTTGCATTCTCTCGGCCTAACTCAAAGCAGATGCCATCCTAGGTACCAGACTTTTCAAACCAAAAGAGAGATATCCCTGATAATCCTCTCGCGTTCTACAACGGCGCTAATAGCGCCTTAGGTCAGAGAGGCTCCTACATATCTATAACCAAGGATACAGCACCCCTGTCAACTAACAGGCTCTATATCAACCGCATTAATAACATAGTGCCTACTAGCATTCAGGAAGAATTAATAAAGCACTAAAAGAAGTATAATCTGCCTCTATCAGGAATAGAGCAAGTCGTGCTAAATAAGATAAACTTAGTAACTAAGGCAGCTGGCTTAATAAGGCTTAGAGAAAGCGAGACTCTCTGGCAGATATTGGTTGCAAATCGCACTTCCGCTGCGCCTGCTAAGACTAAGAATTCAATATGCTACGGTCACATGTATGAGGTGATTCGAGGATATGCAAGGTGCCGGATAATTCTGCCAAGGCATTAGACGACTCCATGGATCCAGTACATAAGTATACTGGTCCGTATTGATACATACTGGCGGCAGTCTTACTAGGTCATTCCGTTTCTATAATACAAAACGGCCTTATAGGCATTGGCCTCCCTGGAGTAACAAAAGGAGATATAGTCGCCGTACTTTGCGGGGCAGGCTCCCTTTTATCTTAAGGCCTTATAGAAATATATATAAAATAATTAGCCCATCCTACGTCTCAGGGATCACGTCTGGTAATATAGTAGACCAGGCTTTAAGGAGTAGGTATCTATCCCCTATGAAGTTTATAATATACTACACTATATCTCTATTATCTATCTAATTTTTAGTAAAAGAGGAGATTTTACTACCTTTTATTAGCTAGTTTATTCTTTTAATATAATTTATATAGCTAATTTTACTTTTATAATATAAAGCAATACTACTTTTTAGGCACTTATATATAAATTAATATCTTAATTATATAAGTTTTATAATTATATTATAAGAATATAATAATATTATAAAAATGTAATAATATTATAAAAATATAATAGTATTAGAAAAATATAATAATATTATATTTAATTGCTTTTTTATTATATAAGGCTATAAACTCTAACTAGAATCTGGATAAAAGATGTAAGGAAGATAAGGATAAGCCTAGTAACTGTGATTATAAAGATAAGGATAAAGATAAAGATAAGTTCTGTAAAAGATGGTTGGCCTCTGGACTTAGAGGATTGTTAACTTTGAGGTCGCGTATGTCGAAACCTGTATCGTGAATGCGTAGACGTATAATCTGCTGCTTTAATGGTGATGATGAGCGTGATGGATAGGATGAGGCGCTGGAACCCGATATTGACGACGCCTTTGACGGGCTGCGCCTAGGGGTTGCCTTATCTCGAGGTCTCCTAATAGGCGTTTTATCAGGGTCAGCAGGGTCTAGCCGTAGTTGTTTCCTGCCAGTTGGCATCTTATCTATATCATTAGAGATAGTTAGTAGAGGACTTGGCGGTTAGGAGGCTTTGCGTTTATTACGGGTCTTGGGCTGCGATGATGATTAAAATTGCACTGGTACGTATTCGAATGATTCAGGTAAATATTTGATCTATGCGAAAACTCGTGAATCTGGCATTTTACTGTATAATTGCTGGTTATATTGAATTGTGCTTGTCTTGCGTCTGTTGTTTGTTTTGATGGAGTACCCCTCTTTGACGCAGCAACGCCACGTGAATGCCTTTAATAACTTCAATAGTTAAAGAAAGAGTTCTAAATATTACCTGAATGGTGTATCGATATAAGCTTCAGCATAGAGACAAATAGATAAGATATTATCAATTACGCCGAATGTCGTACCACCGACCGAGGCGATTAAAACATTCACATGCCATTCTGATTGGCTAAAAGATCAAAACAAAACATCAGGTGCCGAAGGCCGAATTCACGAGACCTGGGGACCCCAGATTCTCCAGAATGTTTCGATGCGCTCCAATCAAGATGAATCTCGCTAGTCAATGTAAGGGGAACGCCCCGGACCTAGAGCTTAGCGCGTGGAGCTTCCAGCGACACATGACGCGGGGAAAGACTCTTGCGCGAGTTGTCAATTGGTGCGCTACCTTGAAGGCTAGGGATATTACAATTCAGGGCAGTCGAACGAGTTTCTGAGAGGTTTATTGGCGCGTCAAGTTGAAGGTTTAAAACTAGTTGGGCATTACGAGTCTTGTTTAGGTTGGACTGAACGGTGGCATTGTGCGACGTTTGGAAATTATGGATTAGCTTAAAGTTTAGAGAACTTTGGGAAATGCAACTCCTAACCGGGAAGGGCATGCTGCCATGATGCCAAGATATTTAAACAGACATTCATCCGCCTTTCTTGACCTTGAGCAGATCACTTCATCCATACATTTCACAGTATTCTCTTGAACATGCTTGGCATCAAAGCTTCCCTGTTATTAACGTGCTTGGCTTTCCTCAGCCCTGCATCATGCAGAGCCATTGAGGAACGGGCCGTCGCGGATCATGCCGTTACGTTCCAGACCATTTACAAGCCTCCCTCCAACTACAACACTCCCAAGACGCTGTACGGTCGTAATGTGCAGCTTGCTGATGGAACCATCCTTGCAACATGGTGAGTCAATCCGGATGATCCGGTCAAGCCCTAGCTAACATAAGACAGGGAGAACTACAGCCCTGAACCACCGCTGGTCTACTTCCCCATCTACCAGAGCAAAGACAAGGGATCAACCTGGGCGCCTCTGTCCAATGTGACGGATACAAAGAACGGCTGGGGTCTTCGCTACCAGCCATTCCTTTACGTCTTACCTCAAGCCATCGGCAATCTCGCCAAGGGAACTATCCTCCTTGCTGGAAATAGTATCCCCACTGATCTCAGCAAGACCAAGATCGACCTCTACGCTTCTACCGACAGCGGCAAGACCTGGAAGTACGTCTCCAACATCGCCACTGGAGGAAAGGCCGTTCCCAACAATGGCGAGACTCCTGTTTGGGAACCTTTCCTCATGGTTTACAACAACAAGCTCGTGTGCTACTACTCCGATCAGCGCGACCCCTCATATGGTCAGAAGTTGGTTCACCAGACCTCCAGCGACGGCGTTACCTGGGATGCTGTTGTCAACGATGTTCGAGGAACTGCTTACTCTCAGCGTCCTGGCATGACAACCGTCGCCAAGCTTCCTAACGGAAAGTGGATGATGACGTTCGAGTACGGCGGAGGAGCTTCACCCAACAACGCCGCCTTCCCTGTTTACTACCGTATCTCCGACTCTCCTCTCACCTTCGACAGTGCGTCCAACCAGATCCTTACAGCTGGTAGCCGTGCGCCTAGCTCCTCGCCTTATCTTACCTGGTCTCCCTCTGGTGGATCCAGCGGCTCCTTGATTGTTACTGCCAACAGTGATAATGGCATTTATATCAATACGAACCTTGGCGCTTCGGGCTCCTGGGTTTACTATGATATTCCTCAGCCTGGTGCTTATTCGCGACAGGCTATGGTTATGGACAACCCTGATTGGTTATATGTTATGAGTGCTGGATATCTCAATGGTGATAACTGGGTTACTGACAGCGTCTTTAAACTTCCCAACCTGTCTTAGGTACGTTGGAACTAGTTCTTCTCTCTGAGAGACGAAGATGGGTCAGATAGTGGCTAGCGGTATTTAATTCATGAATCATGAGAATCTTCATCACGGCAACAATGAAACTCCCTATAGCAGACCTTATTCACGCTCGCATGACAGCTTCTTGTTCGAGATATAGCGCCTTGGCATTAGTCAGTCCGTGGTCTGACTTTACAACCAACAACATAAATAAAATTAATTCATCGCTAACGTTTCCCAAAAGATGTGATAAGTCCCCACTTTGTGGAAAATTCGGCGATACTCTAGGCAGAAGCCGACTCCATAGAACAGAACCAACAGACGTGAACTAATATGTTCAGATAACAAATAAGACTGCGTGTATTTCCACCTTCTGATCCTTCTTGTGTGTAATTTCTCTTCTTTCATCCATATCCTTATCCATTTCAAAATGAGGGTCTTCAGTTTCGCCATAAATCTTGCCCGGTTTCTTTGGGCCAACGTCAAATCAGTTTGCCGTGCTGCAAAGAGTGTTATGTGGATGCTGCTCCCATTCTACGGACTCACATTATTACTCGGATTCATCCAAGGCTTTATCCTCGCCCCGTGGTACACCGCAACCCTAGAGCAGTACGGTCGCTTCCTTGTGAATAATCTTATGGAGGTCAAGATTATGGAGTATTTTGATGAGCCTTTTGACAGTTGGGGGAATGTCGCACCTGTATTTCACATACCACAAATCAAGAACCCGCTCAAGTGGACTGCTCAATTAGGAATTGTCAGACCTGGGGACTCGGGTTCAGAGAATGTGGAAGCACTGGCAACTCTGAGCGATCTATATCGAAGAACGCGTCGCTATTCGAGGGCACCGCAATGGCATCACTGGATTTATCTGTCAGCGCAGCAAGAGCCTTGGAGACAACCTGACGGCCCGGTTCTGCATGACCCTTGGGATAAAGCGTTCGTGGAGCTCTTGGAGTATAGGGACAAGCATGATACCATGGGGCGATCAAACTTCCTTTATGTATCATGCCCAAAGAACTTTCTCTGCGGATCCTGGCGCGTTACTGCTCCGGCACTGCTGCACTTCACTACCGAGGGGAAGAAAAGCCGAGCGTCTAAGAGATCACCTGAGCTGCCAAATCATGCATCTGTTAACGTACGAGTGTTCGAACTACCCCTACGCGAAACAGCCATACCCGGTGTCTTCCCAAGCCATTTTGAGCAGATGAGGTCTCTCACGGCAAGCAACTCAACCTTCTGGGGAACAAAAGATACATACTCCCATTTCGATCAAGTTCTTGGCCAAGCAGTTCCAATGCTCAGGGAAGTAGAAAAAGCATATCCGTGGACCTACGGCTTGCTGGTCAAGGCGGAAGACAAATGGACGCACCTATGGGCGATGGAAGATACAGCCCTGCTAATGATTGTCCGTATACTGTCTATTGCGTCTTCTGCAGTTCCAACATACCTTTTCAAGTTCGCCTCGCTACGCTGGTCAGACAGTCCGGGGCCTGGACCAGAGCATAAGAGCAAAGATCCCCTGGCGCAAACGCTTCAAAGCTTGGTAGATATTTTGAGCGAGGAAGATAAAGAGAAGTTTAGAAAGACGGATCGTGGTAGAAGAATATTGGCATTGGCAGAGTCAGGGCTTGAGAGGGATGAGTGGAATACTAGGGAAGAAGTTCTCAAGGATATATCTGATGCGATGGGGTTAGATGAGCATGAACAGATAGAGGATTTGTGAGTGACAGTATACAGATGCACTACCTTGATTGTAAATATTATTCCCTATTTCCTATTTCCTCCAGCGCAGGTGAAGACAGGCCATTTTATCAGAGGTAATTCCGTAGTCTAGTGGATGAAACATTAGAGCCCGATTGGCGCTGTAACAACAGTAACTGTTATAGAGTAGCAGTCATTCTTGAGTATCATGAGCCGGGCAGTAATGAGATGCCTTGTGCGTATTTCCGTAAGGATTCCAGGTTAAAATCCATCACTGCAAACTCCCCATCTAGATTCGCCATTATAACACGATCCCCAGAAAACGTAAATTGGTGAGAACGGTGTACGGCCGGGATCAGGAGGAAATTGCAGGTAGCTGAACTACCAACATTCGTGTAACGGATCCAACCTTCTGAAAGCGAGATTGGCAAGTCGGCATGCTGCCAATCTCGTCGTTTCCATGGGCCATCGAAGGGGTCTATGCACCATTGAATACCATGCCAGCTCAGGCCGATGGCCAGTCTCTCAGATGTAGATTCTTTTAAGAAGCATACTTCGGAAGACTGGGTGGATACCGAGATATCAAGTGCTCTCAACTGAGGATCTAATGTAAGTAGGGACAGTGACCTGTCTATGCTGTCTACTTTAGGCGTACTACTTAGGGATATAATCGATACTTATATAGTTCTGGGGCATATATCTCCAGTCAATAAGATATATGCTACTTAGACCAAGTAAAATATATATAAATTATTTATGTATTAGATTTCTTAAGCTAGACTAGTTGGATCATTGAAGTAATTAACAGCATTGATATCTGAGAATAATTATGATATGACTGAATTTGCTTTAGATCCTCTCCATCATGAAAGGATGGTTCTTTTATAGCAGTTAATGCAAGGCCTGCAGCAAGGAATGGCTCGAGCATGTCTTGTATTGGCCTGTGAAAACATAGCTAGCCTTAATTAGATCACTGCTAGAGAGGCCCTTAGACAGCCTATAGTTATGGGAGAACTTACAGACGGGCATGGTTGTCCTCTGATTGCCTCGGTATCCTGAGACGAAACGCAAGCGACACGTGACTCAACACGGGGTGGCCTCTTTTAAGGGCCTTTTTGCACGCCGGCTCAGCTTTGGCTTAGTTATTCATCAGCTCCCTCTAGCTGCGCAGCAGCCTAATGGCCTTTCTTGTTTCCAATTCTGGGCTCTTAAGCTCTGAGCATTTCCGACGCCACGTATGTGTAACTCTCACGAAGGTAATAGCAACCGCAACTAGGGAGTCAGCCTCCGGCCTCCTTTTAGGACCAGGATCTCAGTATTTAATTATTTAATAGAAATCCTAGAACTTAGCTATAATTAAATCTTTCTCTGTCTAGAAGCAGTAGGCTCTATTATAAGGTTCCTTAGTCTTAAGAATAGGCTGCATTAGGTTAGTAAGTAATTTATAAGTTTTATATATTATGCCTATTTCCTCTTAGCTTTATAAAGTAAATATAATAATAATAAATAAAGCTTAGCTAAAAGAATAAGTAAATTAACTAAGTAAATAATAACTATTTTCTTTAGGCACTATTAAAACACCTATTACCTATATTAATACTTATTAAAGGTATCTAAGGCACTTATTTTATATATTAACTAGACCCTTTAGCTTAAGCCCTTTTTTAGATATATTTAATATATATATATTCCTCTTAATAATACTATATTCCCTATTATTATCTTTCTAGCAAATAACTGCTCTAGCGCAAGGTCTTGTTTTCTATATTTAAAAGGTATAGTTAAACTGAATTAGAATTATTATAATCAAAAGTAATACATTAACAGATAGGCTTTAATCTAATAATTACTATTTATGTTCTAGATATAGTCTAAAAGGTTAACTAGAGCTGGCTTCCAGTTAGCGGCCTTATCCTCCAAAGACACATCAAAGAGGCTTGTTCCCTGGAGGTAGATATCCTAGGCCGACTAGTTTAAGGATTGGGGCTCTACCTGATCTTACCGTTGATGTTACAGAGGCCACTGTCCAGGGGCATCTGAGATCACTGGTAGGTGAGGTTGTCCTCTCCCAGGCAGTCTATCCTGATGACAGCGTTATTGACGCAGATATGATGGGAGAATTTCAAGATAGACCTTATGGTATTTATGAAGGGTATTGATTTCTGTGTTACTGACGAATATGAACTTCTTTCTTGGCTGAGTTGAGATTGTAAGTGATTGAGAGAGTTGAAATGGATAATGAAGGTGCGTATTCGCAGATTTGGCCTATCTGCCCCTTGGGTGCTTCGCACTTAATTCCAAGCGCTAGAACTGGGTTTCTTAAATCGATTTCGCTATTAGCGCTAATATTCCCGCTTAATCGAGTACAATTCCCCCGAGGACCAAAGAGACTACCGGACAAATCGACGCGACCCAGGCATAGAGTAGGTGAGAGAAATGAGAGGTGTCCGATTTAAAAGACGAAAACCAACGTCCAATATCAGTTTAGCATGTCTAAAGGATCAGCCAACACCATAAATGTCGCCAAGAGAAGACTAAGCCCATCCAATGCAAGTAGCATAGCCAGACCGTCGTCATCAGGGCCAGATAGACGACTCCGTCTCTCTCAGACGTCAGGAAGACGTCGATTGCGGCGGACTTAGAGCAGGTGCCGCTGGTGGTGTCTGTGGTACTTGACTCGGGGATTATGGGACTATCTTCTAGGAGGGCGCTTGATGTGGCCAAGCAGGGACCGTCTGGTCTCAGGAGGCACCACATCGAAGCGGTTTTTCTTTTGGAGGTAGAGAAGTGGGCTGAATAACAAAGTTAGTATTATCACGACAGGCCCACTCCTCTCTGTTGGCCTGGTGAAAAGGGGCAGGGTTGTCTGTATGCTTTCAATGTTTCCGGCTGGCCGTTTTTCCAGACTAGATACTGACCGACGATTGTCATACCTATCGCCAGCGTGTCAATCTTAGGGCCATTTCTAGGTCTTTAAGACCTAATAGCTTATTATTAACCTAATTTAGATTAATTAAATTAATATAAAACCTCTCTTTTATATAACTAATTAACTAAATTAAATTATAATTAAAAATAGCTACCTTAATAAGGTTAAATCTACCTTATAATAAGAAGTTCTTTATAATAATAGTAATTATTATATATATTATATAGAGTTCTTCTTTATTAGCTGCCTCTAAGGCAGGCCTAATAGCTAGATTAAGATTATAGCTAGTTATATAGTAGGTATAATTATATAGCTATAGGCTATTTTATATAATAGGTATTAAGGCAGTATAGCTATTATACTATTAGTAAGAAGGGTTAGAAGGGAAAGTTAGGTTAGATAATATACTTTAAAAGTATAATAGATAAATTAGATATAGTATTCCTTTAGATAGGTTAAAGGAAGAAGGTTAATCTAGCTACTAAGATATAATTAATATTAGTATTACTTAATTAAGGTAGTAATTATATTATTAAGGCAAATTAACCTTATCTAACTCTGACTTTTATAATAATAGCCTAATTTAAAGGTCTTACTATTTAAATTATTAATTAGAAAGTTAAAAAGCTTAATAGCCTTATATAAGGCTAAAGGTAAGGGGAAAAAGAAATATACTTATTATAACGTAGTTGATAAGCGAGTTAGCCAGACAAGGGAGTTAGCCAGCATACTGTACAGCGAATAATAGCTTACCCTATAGCATTTTAAAGCTTAAATAAATTAGCTAAAAATTAAATAAAAGCTTTTCTTAAAATAGTATAGTTAGCTTTATTAAAAAGTATTTTTAAAAGATTTTTTAGTATTTTAATTTATATAGAAAACCTTAAAATACAGTGTATTCTACAGTGTAAATAGACTTTAAGGTTTAGAGCTATATAGGATTTTTTTGAAAATCTAGGAAAATTAATATGGCTTACTTTAGGACTTATATATATACTCTCTAGATCTTAGCTATTTTAAGCTTAATTTGAATTTTAAAGAATTATTTAAAAAATAGCTTTCAAGGTGAAAAATATACTGGCTAACTCACTTATCTGGCTAACTCGCTTATCAACTACGTTATATATTATATTAAGTATTAAGTTATATTTCTAGAATCTCCTTTTAAGTCTTTATAGATTTATATACATTATGTTAATATTAAATAAATATCACCTAGTTAATCATAGAGTAAAATGGCAGTATATAATCGAGGTAGTTGGGGTCGATCCGGAATGTGTCGGGACTTTTGCCGACCCACTGTAGTCAATTATGGCCTGACCATGCACTTCAACAGTAAGCAATAACCAAAGCCAGCAGAAGCAGGGATACTCATCATTAACAACTCGCTAAACGCACCGCTATAGGCTCGTTATCGCGCTGCTCTGCCTGAGCCTAAAACTGCAGTAAATCACATGTAATCTTCCCTCCTGGCTTTGTTTTTTGTCTCCATCAACGTGAATTCTCGAGAAAGATGACACTAACAAATTCTATCCACCTTAGGCTTCAGGCTCCGGCCCACGGAAAAATCAGGTCAACAATTCTGGATTGATACTTGGTATTCCCTCACCGCTCTCCCTCATCATATTTAATTCCCCTCCTTTAAATTTTCCTCCCGCCTGCTAGCTCTTTAGCCAATCGCAAAAATGCCGCACTGGGCAGGGCCGCCTTCGTTGCGCGGCTGTGCCCGCTGTGCGCAGTCCGTATAAGCATGTCGGCGACAACAAACCCATGTCCCGCAGTACTCGAAGCTTATTAGGTAAATCTGCACATGAAAAGTGACTGAAGATTGCAGTGAAAATGATACCTTCCGGATCTGCCTCTTTTGAACAAGCTAACTGCAAATATGGTAACGAAATACTCTGTGGCCATTGGATGGAGGGCTCAATTCATTCGGCCATTGCCACATGCACAAGACCTACAGGGACGTTCCCTAATTGGAGCTATCGCGCGCCCGAAGGGCAGGGTCCTCAGGGTCCTGTCATTTGATTGCCCTGCATTGGGTTGGATTCTGCTTAAGAAGCCCCCCGTTAGGATCCCCGAACGGCCAGCAGAGAAAGGCCGACTCCGTGCTTCCCTCGAGGGTTGTCCAGAGATTCCCGTTTGCGAAAACCCAAATTTGAATATAGCATGTAGAAGAGACCTAGCAACAGACGTAGAAAGAAAACACCCAGATGGAAGAGGTCTAAAAGGAAGTGGCTCGAGAGGAAGAGGAAGCAAAAGGAGAAAGGATCTAGTAAGAAGACCTATGTTTTCCTCTAAGCACCCTCGCCATGCCTATATTGAGTAACAGATCCGTCCGCATGCCGAGAAATCTAGAATGACCGACCTGTCAGGGGTGTTGTTCTGTCTAATAGCGGCACAGTGCATGAGGTGGATCGCCGGGTAATACTCTTTTAGTCGTCGTCAGATGATCTAGTTATCTGCCTGGGACTATTGGTACCTGTCAGACCATGCTATTACATGATCATAACCTCTCATGAGCAGCTTTTCCATGCTACGGCAGATTCCAGGCGTGATGGCTAGATAGTTATTCTTAGAGCCGGTATTCTTAAAGCACCTCGAGCCCTCATAATCTACCTATTTATTCTCTCTATCTTCTTATATCCCAGAGCGAGTAACATAGTTTCATCCCAAGCCACCAAAGTTACTCTCACCTATATTGACTATCCTATTCAAGACTTTACTATGAAGTTTACTGCATCCCTCTTCGCGATCTTAGCCGCCACATCGGTCCTCGCCAATGGGGTCTCGCCGGCGTCAGAGGGCGATCTCGACGTCTTAACAAGCAGAGCCACCGATTGGGGCAAGTGCAACGGAACCTCCTGCAAGGTTAATGGCAAGAACTATGGATGCACCAAGGGAAAGGTAATAAATATACTGGCCTAGAGACCCGACGGTGAAGGAACAAAACTTGTTACTGACGTAAGCTCTGGCTAGTGTACTGTTCAGAGTGGCGGTGGCGATGGAAAAGCGTGCTCCAAGTTGGGCGGTTCTATCTGCTGTCCTGGCGGAAGGATGAAGGGCAAGAAGTGCCCTTAAAGCCATGGCAGAGTAGCTATGGTAACGAGGCTGCTTCCTAGCCAAGGTAATTGCCGAGTATACTTTGAGCAATATACTCTGACGCTAACTGTCTACGCTAGCTTGAAGAATAAGGGGAGGAAGGTTAGGGAGATTTGGGTTTGTTTAGAGGTTCCACATAAGCTAGTTTGGGCTCAAAGACAGATTCCGTCTGTAACGGGTGGGCGTTACGCTACCACGTGTGTCATGCCCTAAGAACCATTCGCAGGCGATTCTGTCACAATCGTCCATACAAATGGGATATTGTTGTCAGGCACTACGTGTATTCGGTCCATTGATCCAGATTCGTATATTCATCTTGTGTTCTGTTGAATTCTGCCCCTTAGAGGTTTTCCCATTTCGGTTGTAATCTTAAAGTATCCCTGCTTGTAGGCCATCACCCGAAGTGACTATTGCCATAAGTATTGTCGTCGCGATTTCATCTTGCTGAAGTCTCGAATAAAGTTTGCGTAGAGAAGAACTCACCATTTTCATCCAATAGGCTCGCTTTCCCAGCACCGCAGGTGTGGTTACCCTGCTTAAACCGCAGTAATCATTTGTGATAATGTATGACAATTCAATTTTAAACGGTGAACGCATGAGCGGTAAAATGGGGACAAAAACCGCGTACCTAACGAAACAAGATTGTAGGTCCAGATAGACATTACCGTTGCACAAACGTAATACCTGGCAATACAAACCTCAAGGACTATGGCTCCTCGACCGGTTTCCGCAAAACATGCCCGGGAACGTGACCGACTGAAAGCCAAAGCCTAACCTTACGCCTGGCCTTGACCCTATCCTAACCCTAGGTCTACTCAAGTATTAAAGACAGAAACGGGCCCCGTTTCCGCTTCTCGGCCAATTAGAGCCATTTATTTTCAACAAGGGTATGACGAGCTGAAACGGGGCCCGTTTTCGCGTTGAGTAGGTCTCTGTTTTCTTTAGCGTGGTTTTATTTTATATGTGTTTTCCATTGGATTCAGACCTGTATCCGCCGCGCAGCTTGGATAGAGATCTGTCACAAAGCATAGCCGTATCCAAAAGAAAAAAAATCTCACATAGAACGGGTCTCATATTATCTATCATATTCCAAATCTGAGAGTTTCCTATATTAGACATAACTTGGCATAATCTGGTAAGAAGATATTATAGCGTCCAACTTCCTCAAGTAGTCGAGCTCATAATCAACAGCAAGGTCGTCCTGAACCCAAATCTGTTGGAGAATATTCTGCAGTCCATGAAAACTCCTCAAAGTCGAGGTTCTCATTGCTCTTTCAATATGCTCGAGAATCCTCATTCTCTGCTCATCTGTCCGAGCCTCGCATCCAATAATCAGCAATGGAAAGGCCAGATTGAAGGTCTTCAGATCGTCAAGAAGTACATGGGCCTTCTCAACCATGGCATCAATTTGAGGGGAGGTTCCTGAAAAGTTCCGCGATGCTCTTTTGAGGTAAATTAGAGCGGCTAGCTTCAAAAGATCCATTGTAGCCACCCAGGCTGTGCTCAAGTCGGACATAGTATCAGGTATACCTTTCGGTGCTAACGGGACAACACTGGTTATTTTGTTTTCAAGGCAACGCAAGGAATTTTCGTATTCGTCGCTGTGGTATAGTGAGTCTGTTGGTTTTCGAATCATGTCGAACATATTATATAAATGCCGAAGAAGTTCATGTGAACAGTGCGATGCTGTTTTGACCTGTCTCATATTAGATAAATGATTCCGTGCACGATATGAACTTGCTATTATTCAGCCTAACCTTTCGTGAGTGGCAGGTTTCTCGGTCCACAGATGCGAAATTTCTGACTCCTCTGGTAGACTCTCCATTTAGATACCAATGTCGGTGGCTAAACCGGCTCATGACCATATGATACTCTACCCAGTCTAGAAGTCTGGAAACTTCGCCTTGAAAACTTTGGCTGTCAAGGCCTGCCTTGTCGATCAAAGTTCTGGCTTCACTCAAATGGCCTAGAATTTAGAATCCAGTTTAGCAATGCCCTTGAAGAATCAGGCCACCCGTTCCATGAAAAGGCAGCAGAAGAACTAACACCGTAGACCAGATTTATCGTTCTAGGCGCGGCAAGTAGAAATAAATAGACCAGACTTCACTTACAGAACCATAGCGATAATGTATTTGGTATTCCGAGCATCTGAAACGCTGGTGAGTGGTTGTTTGAAAGAAGACATAGACCCATGCTTGAGCATACCTCAAGGTGGCACAGTATCATATTCGCCGCAATATGTTGGAAGACCGTGGGAATTTCAACACAGTGTTTGCTAGATATGATCAGTGTGCGTAGAGCGCGCGCTTTGAACCGAAAAACTGATGCTTGCAAACCATGCCGGTGGAACGACGAAAGCGCCAACGCCGATTGTAACACCGCCACAGAAGACGGCGAACTATCTGACAGAGCTAAACGCAACAAAAGGCTCAAGAACTCGCTCTTGTCCGATTCGAAAATAGCCAGGGCAGACGATGCCGTACAAATAACTGCACGTGTTAGCTTGGCAAGATTTTACAAGTAGTATTATATTTACAGTGATCAATAAGTTCTCGGTCCTCATAACCTAGGTTTGTTGGGAGCCATGATAGGGCCATCGATGGATTGAGTCTTTGAAAGACATATCCCGTATGACTAACAAATCCTATTCGCTGGAGCATTAGCTTAGCGACAGGCAAAGTCCGTGAGGGAGTAAAACCTTGATTCATCTGCAGGTAGTCATGGAGCTGGATATCCCATGACGTCGCATTGACAAAGCTCGTCTGGGAGAAACGTTTTGCAGTGCCAACTACATCGTGCACGGAATGGGTCAAGCTCCGCTTCTTGTTGATAGCCTTTGGCCACGACAGCCGCAACCCATAATGACATGGCCTATTCGACCGAGCACACCTGGCACAACGGGGGCGGACGCGATTGCACACTGCTCTGGAGTCTGTGGCGCGTCAGTAACTAGCCCCCTCGATACATGTCACTTGGACCGGAACCAATAGCATACCTCTGCAAGCCCAGCACTGATTCACATGCATGACGTCCCAAGTGAAGTTCCCTCCAACGTCTTGAGTGTGTAAGCTGAGAATTGTTCAGCATTTCACACAAAAAGTTGCCAGTTTTCTCCTTTAGCACCGAGATGACAAACGCGCCCAGCTGGGGGATTCCAAGGGGCGGCTGAAACCACTTATAAAGCCCACACTACTCCCGCACCACGGCTTACTAATGCCCGCGCATCGTCTGCATTCAGAAGAACGGCAACTTTCGTGTAGTTTACAGCGGATCCCCGGTCACACACCCGCACCTCGGCTTACTAATGCCCGCGCATCGTCTGCATTCAGAAGAAAGGCAACTTTCGCGTAGTTTACAGCGAACCCCCGGTCACACACCCGCTGACATTATACCAACAAGAGCAGAGTAGATTTGAAGTCGAAAAGCGAGCATACAAGGCTCCAATGATGAGTCCAAATCTATATAAGTACACGCACGATTGCTCCTCTTTCAGGTTCGTCAACACTTAGAACGACGTCTTAGAATCATCCTACAGTCAATCAATCTCACTTTTATACACGATAAAATTTCAGTTACAATGTCCTCTTACGTGATTTCGGGAGTCTCTCGTGGCATTGGCGTACGCTCTCATCCTGCTTCATGGACAAGACTCATCACTAATACAAAGAATCCGTCATGTAGTTCGAGCTTCTCCGCCAGCTCTCTGAAAACCCAGCCAACTCCGTCTTCGGGCTCGTCCGCAACAAAGCCGCCGTCGAGGCCAAGGTTGCCGCTGAAATCGGACGGAGCAATATCTACATTATTCAGGCCGACACTACGGACCCGGATGCATTGAAGGTAAGCGAGCGAGTAGTGCGTCATACTGAGGTGGAAACTGACTCAAAGGTTTTCTAGAAAGCAGCCCAAGTTGTTTCGGAGAAAACAAACGGCACCCTTGATTATATCATCGCCTGTGCCGCGCTTCAAGCTAAGACTGCCTTGGTCGGCCTTGATACTCTGTAGGTTCTCGGTGGGAGGATCAACGTCCCTGGTATAGTTATTTGAGACTAATTCTTCCACAGGATCCAGGATCCAAAGGCACTGGAAGAATATTTGATTGAACACTTCCGAGTCAACACCATCGGCCCCGTCCACCTATTCAGTATTTTCATGCCCCTGATTTTGAAGGGTCGCGCAAAGAAAGTGATTGCCATCTCCACCGGTATCTCGGACACTGAGATGACACTCAAGGCCGATATATATCAAGCCGTGGCTTATTCAATGAGTAAGGCAGCTCTGAATATGGCCGTTGCCAAGTTCAGTGCCGTCTACCGTGAGAAGGGTGTCCTTGTCATGGCAATTTGCCCTGGCGCGGTAGACACCGGTAGTCTGCAGATCGGTATGTAGTCGTCTGAACAACTAAAATGGTGCGCTTTTTGCTGACGTTTAGATAGAAACCGAGGAGGAAGGAAAGTTGGCTATGGCTATGTTTCAAAAGTTCAAGGACTATTCACCCACCTTCCAAGGACCTGCCAAGCTAGGCGTCAGCGTCGAGTCGGTCTTGGCTCTCGTGAATAAGGCTACTGTTGACGGTGGTTATGCAGGCGTCTTTATCTCACACACAGAGAAAAAGCCATACCTTTGAGAATCTATACTAAGAAGCCTTAAGGCTTGTTGAAAACGTTTTTATATAGATTTATTTCATAGATTCACGTTAATGAAAAGAAATGCTTACTATCAATATTCTGTCTCGAGAAGTGTTGGAAAAATCCGGGAATCCCCCTTATCTTAGGATTCAGACTATTAGTCTGAAAGTCCTAGATTTAAAGTTTACAATCTTAGATAAAATTATCTAGAGATATAAACCCAAGAAGAACTCTTATCTTAATAATAACAGGCGTGGTATTCCTTTAGGTGGGTTGAAGGAAGAAGGTGGATCTAGCTGCTGAGAGGTAACTGGTATTTGTACTGCTTGGTTAAGGCAGCAATCGCGTCATTGAGGCAGATAAACCTTATCTAATATTGACTTCTGTTATAATGGCCTGCTATAGAGGTCTCTTTGTTTATGTTACTAATAAAAAAGCTAAAAAGCTAGATAGCCTCTTATAAAGTTAAAAGTAAAGGAAAAAAAAAAAAAAAAAAAAAATTCTTAATAAAAAAAAAAAAAAAACCCAAGTTTTATTAAATATACTTTTACACAGTACAACTGCGCAATATACACAATAAGAAGCAGGGCAGCCTGCATAAAGACACCAAAAATCTACTAACCCAGAATAGGAAATTGTAACGCTTTACCGTGCAGGTCGTCTACATCGCCGACTTGCATATTAAACCATAACAACAATATAGATTAAATAATAATAAATCTTTATATCTATATTTACTATATACCTAAATACCTAAATACCTAATTAATTAATAAAATATAGAAATTTCTAGTTGCAGTGCTGAAAACCTAAGCTGTAATTGCCTACTGGAATAGAATATAATATAATTTATTACGCCCGGTAGCTTATTTTAGCCGATAGGGCACTAGTTACTAATTTATATATACATTACCTAGTTTTTATCCTCGCCTCCCTAAGCCCATGCTATACTATATATTATATAATCTATATCTGTATTTCCTAAAGCCTAGACTATACCTTACTTTTTACTATATAAATTAAAATAGGTCTCCTTAAGCCTATAATATGCCTGTTTCTTAATTATATTTTTCCTTCTATTATATTACTTTCTGTATTTTCCTATAATTTACTAGTATGGCTAGTAAACTAGCTTAAAGGCTATTCTTTAAGTATTTAATATCCTATGTTGGCGTCACGGTACCTTAGCACTCTTACTCTGATCTCATTAGTCGTCTCCAATGCTCAGTCAGACGTCTTCCATGAATGACTCAAGTACAGGTTTATTCGTTAGTGCCGAGTGGATAAGCCGATCGACCTTTGTATGCAGTGGGTCGACGCCAATTCCATCGACAAACCTTGGTACCTGTCGGCTATCCATTCTGTCAGGAGGGTCTGTCTGGCGGGATTTTAGTATATGAACATGGACTTTGGCAGTCAGTGTAGACCAACTTAGTGGTAGGAATAACCATTACTAAACGGCGTAAACGTCTAATGATTGACTATGAGGCGAGCATTTTGATCAAGCATTACAACTGATAGCTCGCACGGAATGAGGGAGGAAGGGAAAGGCAGAAAATTCCAAAGAACCCCGTATGCAAAGATATTATCAATCACGTTATGGATCGGCTTGTGCTACCTGGAAGAGAAAATATCGTCCTTGTGAAAGGGTATACTTATATTGTCCATAATATTAGAATGAGATCATTTAAACTTAAAAATCAAGTAGAGCTGTCTGGATAATTATGGGCTATGAGAATAATTTAAAAATAGTCAATGCATATAATAAGGATAATATCTAGGTACCGCAAGAAATGGTAATTAGGCATATAAAGGAGCTTCTTAGCTCTTTGATTCAAAACTAAGCAGGTGGCTTATAAAAACTTACATTAAGCTTAATCGCCAAAGAATCACAGCTAATTCGTTTAACGTCGACCTTATTGCAAGTATTGCTTTTCTTCTTTCCTTTGGCGAAGCTGAAGACAGACGATGTTATCGGCGGTAATTCCGTAGTGGATTGACCCTCAGAGCCTGATTGGCGCTGTACCAACAGCTATCACAAACTTAGCTTAGTTCTCGGGTTCTAGACTCATTCCTGCAAGGTACAACCAAAACGGCCCGCTATAAGAGTCAATAGTTATCAATTGTGACAGCTCGCTAACCCAAATATTGATCATGGGCCCTGAAAACAGCAAATCTCGACCGTGATGCTGTCAATAGTCTCTTAAAGCTGAGTCGAGTGAAGGCTTGGCGGAATAAGGGGTCCATACATAATAAACCGACAATCGCACGATTTTGTCTGGGGAAGTAAGCTCTCATTCACTCGTTTTTTGACCAATTTTGTGGTCGTTTTTATCGAGACTTGTTTCAATATGCAATCCATGCTTGCTCTCGTGGGCTTGGCCCTCGTTAATTTTGCGGCTGCTGGTCCTTGTAAGCCTAGCGGCCCAACATCGGTATCAAGTCTTTCACTTACATCCTCCGTCCCGACCGACATTTCCGAGAGCTCCGACGTTCCCAGCTTGACCGTTCCCCAATCGACAACTACAACTCAAGAATCCGATATCATCATCACCAACGCCATCGAAGGAGGAAGTTTCGTCGCTCGCAATGCCAATAACCCGCCTAGTGGACTTACAAACTTTGGTGCATCCGGAAATGCTGAGTTCCATCAAGGTGGATGCTACAAGGCCGATGGCAGTCCCGATGATGGCTGCGCTGCATTGACTGCCTCTGGAAACCCTGCTGGAAAGCGAGATACTGGATCGTTTGCTAGTATTTGGCAGACTCTCAACTCGCTGAGCACAAGTTCTAAGAATAAGTACACCGTTCAGTTTTACTACCTCGTCGCGTCGGCGGGTAGCCAAGATTGTACCGTTACTGCAGCTCTGGGCAACAAGCAGTTCTACTCGCAGTCACTCTCCTCCGTCGGAACCAGCGTGTCCTGGACTCATGTTCTTCAGCAGGTCGACGCTGAGTCTGCTTCTGCTACTTTTGCTATCTCCATGACATGCGCTGGTAACGGCATCTCTGTTATCTTGGTCGACTCAATCTTCATCTCGAACCAGGTCACTCCTCAGAACATTGGTAACTTCGTCCTCGACTTTGGCGTGCCCAATACAATCCCAGTTACAACCTCTCAACCCGAGTCTCTGCCAACATCTACCGAGCGAACCGTTGAGCCCGAGACATCCCATACCAAGGACCCCAACGAGCCAACCCGCAACCCTACCACTTCTTCCAGTTCCTCATCCGAGGTGTTTACTGAAAGAACTATCCCCGAGACCAGCACTACCTCCCCACCCAGCACCGACACTACACGACCTGCCCAGCCCACCGAAACAGCCTGTAAGCCAGAATGCGACTTCGCCAGCGGTTTCGAAACCACCCCCAGCTGGAACTGTCGAGTCTACGGTCTTTACAGCGGCCTGACGTACCAGCTCCCCAACCAGGACGACGATGAGACACGACCTTGGTACGACAGCGCTGCAGACTGTGCCGAGATCTGCAAGACGCTGCCTGGTTGCAAATCGGCGGGCTACATGTTTGCTCCTAGGAAGTGTTTCTTCTCAAACAATGTTGTTACTCAATCCGAGGTTCGGAATATGATGGATGATGGTGCTGATGTTGATTGGTACGGCATGGATTGTTTCGCATGCTCTGACTGTGACCACGGTTCTGCGGAGACAACTGTTCCTCAGGTTTCTTCTACGCCTGTCAACACTGACACTACTATCCTACCCGAGCCAACAACCTTCACTACCAGAACCTCTGAGAGCCCCGTGACTACAACCTCCCCAGCTGATGTCTGCCTCTTCAACCGCGGTCAAGAGTGCGAGTTCAACCGCTTCAAAGACCACAGCGACACTCTCTGCATCTGGGCCGCAATCTTCACCGGCACAACATGGAAAGAGTCCCGTGAAGATTATCCTTACCAAGATGGTCCTTACCAATGCGCTGCTATCTGCCAGACCCTAAAGAACTGTGAATCATCTGGTTACTACTCCACTGAGAACCGCTGCCTCTTCACATCCAAGAAACTCCAGCGGTCCGACATGATCTCACATAACGATCGGCCTTTTGATCACTCCGTCTGGAGTCACAACTCCTGCTGGACATGTCCCACTTGCTCTGACACCGCCGCTCTCCCTGCTACGAAATACTGCTCTTACGACCAAGGCGATAGCTGCCGCGCTGTCTCTGGCAAACCAGGCGCTCTGTGTAACTACCAAGGATTCTGGGAGGCGTACAACCAGCAGGATCTTGCGAGATATCCTGACCAGAGCTCGCCTGAGAAGTGTGCGGCTATCTGTATGGCGCTAGACTATTGTGTTGCGTCTGGGTATAAGGATGATAGGTGTATGTTTTCGTTCAGGGAGCTCAAGGTGGGTGATTTCAGGGCATGGCCTGATCACTCGAGAGATGGAACTTGGAGTGATAACTCTTGCTTTGAGTGTCCTGGCTGTACCGCATAACGGTTTTCGCACGTACAATAAGTATTTTTCAGACAGTAAATATTTAATTCTCTCTATGCGATATCTTAGTCTGCTCGTAGTTAGATTGATACATAACTACTGCCATTTGTTTGTAAAATTCCTCTTTATTATCTCTTCCTTCTGCATAAGTAATGCACCACTTTCCTATCACTCGACATTATTGTACTCCCTCGAGCTCTTCGTCGGCGTCTCACCACGTCTCAACTGAGCAAAGCTACTAGCGAAAGCACGACAGAACCCTCGCCAAGCAATTTGAGATACCAGCGTCCTCTCCAAATCTCGAAGGAAACGAACGCAATGGTCAGAGCCATCCAGTATTCCAACGCCAGTCAAGTGAACAACGCTATCACCCCCGGTTTCAATCCATCGTTCAACAGCTGCTCTCTCTTGCAGTTGATCAAGGCGGGTAATCAACGGCCGTGTTGAAGTTGGGGAGGTTCGTACCAACGATGCGCGCGTTTCGCTGTAGCAGTAAATATAGCCCATGGCTACCGTGAGACTCAGCGCATCATAGCACGCAAGACGACGTGAACTCCTTGTCGTTTTAAATATGCAGGCAGCGTTCCATAGACCCTTACGTGCCTTGACACCGTTGTTCTTGAAGAAGTCATTGAGGTGCATCTTTGACTTCAGCATCTGGTCTTTATTCGTCTCCCAGCCAGTAGCGGAGTGTAAGGTCTCAAGTGGTATGTATCTTAAAATCGCAATGACATGGAATATTGTATCTGTACAGGCTCCGGAAGTCGCTGTGTTTTGAAATGCCAATTGATTGATGGTTGTGTCTAGGAGAGTACTTTCACTTCGACTGATGTCAGGTCTGTGAGGCGAAGGGTTCGGCGCCTGATGATTGTCACTAGTTGATTCACAGCTCAAGTAAGACGCAAACGACGACTGTAGAAGTTGGGAAGTACGCAATTGGCGGCAATGATTCCTGTCGTCGATGTATAGTTCCAGAAGAATGACCTTGGCAGCAAAGGCATCTGGCTTGGATTGACGTTCTGAAAAAATGATCAGTCATGTAATGAACTCTGCAGTCAGTGAGAGTTGAACTACCTGTATTATCGTCCTGTCGTAACTTCCAGTCTGAAGCATTCCGAGACTGCCATATCATTTCGGAACATGGCAGTTGTCTCGTCGCGTCGCGAAGATTGAACACTAGCGGAGTACCTAGAAATAAATGCCCTAAACATTCCAATACTCGAACACAAGTGACCAAGCGTAGCTCACTCTCATTGGTGAGCCACGTTTGCCACGCGTCTCCGGTATCAAGCTCAGCCTGACGCGAGTGTCTTCGTTTATCAGCCTTGCCAAGAAGATCCCAGCACATGGTCACGAGGCTGCTTCGCTTATGCTGTAGAACGATCTTGTCTTTATGTGAGCCTGAGAATAACCACAATACATGCAAGAGAAATACGCTCTGTGCTGTTGTTATATCTATGTTCGTTATATGATCCGAGACCTGGAGTTTGAAGGATTAGTTACCATGTCATGAAGTGCGTGGTTTTACTTGCAGTGAGTTCAACAGCTCTGTCGAGAAGGTCACATAATGCAAGGTTATACTCGTCTGCGCCTTGAATCTCAGAGTAATGACTTCCAACTGCCGCCGTGGCCAGTAATAAGATCCATGGGAGGTCTGGATCTTCCAAACGAGATGGGTGCAGAAAGGGGAACTGCGAATCAAAGTACTCAAAATACAGTTCTACGAATGCGTGGAGGATATCTTGAGGAATGAGTATTGGTGTTGAGTCTCGTCTTTGTGTCTCGTAGAAGTTGTTCAGGCCCTCTACGGCTTGACGAGGTATGTTATGGATATGCCCAAAGACTTCGGCCCCAGCCATCTGCAGACTAATGGCTTGTTGTTCTGGGAATGGGCGGCATGGGTACGTGTAAGTTGAGCATATATGTTCAGGGCTTAGATAGCTCGGAGCAGAAGTCGAGCCAGTTGCTGTCTGAGGTCGGGTCACGGCCATAGTTGGTATTGTCTGTTGGGATGGGGCAGCTGAGGTTGCGTTATGAACTACAGATTCAGGATGATGTACCAGGTCTGTTAGTCCTGGAAACTCTAGTGGCATCTGCAATTCTTCCATAAACCATGGAAAAGAGAAATGAGCCATCGAGGGATTCCAAGGCATCCATGGGTTATCTGACATGGCACCAAGGCTGTCAATATCCCTGCTGAAAGGAAAGGCATTGGGCAAGGTCGGGGGATAAGCCCAGCTGGAAGGAGTATCTGGGACTGTTGTGTATATGGCGCTTGATGCTATAGTCGGGATGCCACTCGTATCAGAAGGAATCGAAGGAGGATTGTTCCATTCTTCTGAAATGGCATGAAGGTCCCCAGACATAACATCTTGATCGGCGAAGTCTGCTCCTTGAGCTGTCATAGGTGATGAAACAGGGATCTCATGGCCTTGGGGCGATTCTCCAACGATGATAGTGTCACTATCATAACGTCGTGAACCAGAGGCCCTGGCAGGGTAAATGCACTCTGACTCGCGAGTTTCACATCTAGAACAAGGATTGCCCCCATCACAACTCTGCTTCAACCTTGAACAGGGTGCACAAGCTTGACCACGCCGGCGACGACGTGTTTTAGTCAACCCAGGTTGACTACCATGCAAGGCTCGATGGCGAACAAGAGTATCGCTATGGTACGTCAACAATCAAGCCGCTTTCACGAGTATAGCAGATTACTGACTTGCGAGAGAAGGACTTGGAGCAGACGTTGCACTGGAACGGCTTGAGCCCCGTGTGTCGTAGCACGTGTCGATCACGGTGCTCGCGGCGCTGAAATGTCTCCCCGCAATGCTCACAGGACAAAGGATTCGGCTCCATAGCTTGGTTCCCCGTTGCGGTACAGAGATGCTGGCGTGTTTCTTCAGGAGCAAAGGATGGTTTCTGCTGAGAAGCGGCGGGACGGCATGTCATGATGATACGGGGGGCTAACGATATTTGGGTTGTGCACTATTTACCCCGCCGGCCCCGCTTACTTCAGGGTAATGTTTGTGAAATCACGGAGTCTTGCTATTAAATGAGTAGGTAAGAAATATTCAGCTTTAGAAATGGCATTCTTTTACTTGTTAGCTACCAAATCTCTTGTCGGAATAGGTAGGCTGAGCTCTTACACTTCAATAACGTCAAGGTAGTTGAAACTCTCTATGTGAAAACCTTGGAGCTTATCTTGTCTCATTTCCCGCTTGATTCTCATCAATATGTCTACACTTGAATGGTTTGGTATGGTATATCCAACTCATCTAGAAATGCTTAGCACTGACCTGAAAGGTGCCACGACATTTCGCTTCCGAACAAGAGGCGTCACCATCTTCCTAGATACTTGGCTCGACAGACCCTCCACCTTGAAAACCTATCTACCAGTTGATGATGTACAAGAGGCCGACTACATCTTTATCTCACATGCCCATTTTGACCAGTAAGTACTAGACCCTAGAGCATATCCTATAATACTGATGAGCACAAAGTCTCCCCGGTGCAGACCGCATCGCCATCAAAACCGGCGCCATCGTCATAGCTAACAACGAAGCAATCAATCTCCTAAGAGAAGCCGGCGTTCCTGAACATCAACTCCTCCCTGTTCAAGGCGGCGAGAGAATTCCGTTGTTCACTAGCGAGATATGGGATGAAGCCCATGCTAACCCATCGCTACTCTCCCCTGGTCCCCCTGGAGCACCTCGACGTCCATTGGATAAACTGGCGGCATTCTCAGTTGATGTTTGGCCTTCATTGCACTGCATGATGCCTACAGATCATCCTGAAGTTATTGATACAGCGACTGTATACAAAGGCTCAGCGAGTCCTTATAGTTGTACTCTTGATATCACTATCGGCATGAAATACGGTTTGCTTAAGATTGGGGAGCTCATGCCGCCCGACAAACTTACACCAGGTCATCGCTCTTTTATCGAGTATGTCAGCGATCGAAAGCGTAATGTCTTTTCTCACAGTGATGGCGGTCAATTGATGTTCAACTTTGTCATTGGCGAAAAGGCTTTGCTTTGGAGTGCACATCTGGGAGGGTATGAAGGTATTCTACAAGACTTGCAACCAAAGCCTGACATTGCGATAATGGCTATTGCTGGGAGAGCGAATCTTAACGGTAGACCGTTTGATGGCTCTGCGGCTGAGTTTGTGGCTATGAAGGTTGGTTGGCTGGGGAGCCCGTCTCAGGTGATCTGGTGTTTACATGATGAAGCGTACGTAACCTCTTTATCTTGCCCGATCAATGATGAAATGACTTGTATAAATGGATGCCTAACTGACATATTGCAGGTGTATTCCACCTTGGAGGATCAAAACTGAAGCGGCTACAAAGGCCGTCGAGGAGAATGGCAAGACAAAGGTTTTGACGATGGATTTTGCTCAGCCGGTTACGTTGGATATATAGCTTTCTTGGTTCTAGGAATATCATAGAACTCAATACTACGGGAACATTAAGAACATTCGCATTGTACTTGAGCAGATTGCATACATCATTGTACTAGCTTCTCATGGTCACTACTCCGTACGATGGAGATTATAGTGGTCTGTCGTATCTTCCCTCTCTGTCATATAACACAAATAGCAGGCGGCTAAAGGTAGAGTTCATGGTGTCTTGATACAGTGGCCTTGCACCTTTTAGTATGCTGGTATCCTTTGCAGAATATCTTGGTTTCGCGAGAAGCGATAATTCTTGTATTCCGATGCGAGAGAATTCCCCAACTTACCAAGTTTCCAGGGCAGTTCGGCTGACTTATCTTCTCTCAATTCAGACCTCAGCGGGGTCTGAACTGTCCCCCGCGCTGCCCCGTCGGTTGCTGATCAGACCTAGATTCTTACCCCATGGGGAGCTATTCTGAGACGATACACCCCCGCCGGCTACTAATTCAGACTATCATTCCCCTTCATGCGTAGTTGCTATGTCCCGCTACGAAGTTGGTCCGTAACCTGCTTCTATCGGCTCGGCACGGATCGAAACTCGGGGATTCCGTTTTCTATGGCTACCTCAAAACATATTCTTAGCAGCAGAGTATTCCCTCGATACCGTTCTGTATCCCTTCTCTTCCTCAATAAACTCTCTTTCCCTTACTCGGTTGAGATCGCCAGAAGAGTCAATCACCATGGCCCAGACCGAGAGCTCACTTTCGAACGACACAAGCTCTACCAGACAAGATGTAGACCTCGAGACATCCGAAAAGGGCCCCCATGTCGAGGCACTGCCAGAACCACAAACAGTATCTCCCACAAGTGAGACTGAATATCCCGAGGGAGGTCGAGAAGCATGGCTCGTCGTTGTAGGAGGATGGTTCGGTCTCTTCTGCACCTTTGGCCTCGTAACATGCGTCGGTGTATTTCTCGAATACTACCAGGCCGGACCTTTAGCAGACTACAGCCCCAGCACCATCAGCTGGATCACTAGTTTGCAAGTCTTTTTCCAAGTCGGTGGTTCAGCAATCGTGAGTCCCGCCGTTGACTATCCAGAACGTAAAGCTAACAGGGTAATCTGCAGTGGGGTCGTGCCTACGATTCATACGGTCCTCGATACCTTCTCCTCATTGGCGCTCCCGTATACGTCTTCGGATTAATGATGCTCTCTTTATCAACGCAATACTACCAGATCCTCCTCTCCCAAGCTCTGCTCAGCTCCATCGGCTCAGGCGCCGTGTTTACTGCTTCTCTTACGTCGACAACATCATGGTTCAGAAAGAAGCGCGGGACAGTCTTTGGCATCGTCAATTCTGGATCTTCCGCTGGTGGTATAGTGCTGCCCATCATGCTATCTCGTCTGTTCAAGATTATAGGTTTCGGCTGGACGTTAAGAGCGGTTGGATTCATGTTCTTGGCTTTTATGGCGATTTCGTGTGTTTTGATCAAGTCGCGTACTCCACCGAAACTTCGTCCTTTCGCGTTGTCGGATTATCGGCGCTGTTTAAAAGAGCCAATCATGCTGTTGACAATGCTTGGTGGCTTTCTCTTCTTCTGGGGAATGTTTCTACCGTTGAACTACATCATTGTCCAGGCAAAGGCGAGCGGCGTTTCACCCAAACTTGTTCCTTACCTTCTCCCTCTCATCAACGGTATCAGTCTCATTGGTCGTTTGACAGCAGGTGCACTGGCAGATGCCATCGGTCAATTCAACTGTATGTTGATAATCACTGCATTCACAGGCATCTTGACTCTCGTGCTTTGGATACCGGGTAGTCAGAGCACGGGAGCTATCATGGCATACGCTGTTGCTTTTGGCTACGGCTCAGGCGGCTACGTTTCAATTTTCCCTGGCTGTGTCGGTCAGATCAGCCCTATCGAAGAGATCGGTACACGAATTGGACTTGCATCACTTGTTAATGCGTTTGGGGCTTTGACGGGTAGTCCACTTGGTGGTGCGTTGATCTCGGATAAGAGCGGAAGTGGGAATAGCTTCATGGGCTTGCAGTTGTTTTGCGGTTGTACCATGATTGCTTCGGTGTTTGCATATGGAACTGCACGGTATGCTCTGGCGGGATTCAAATGGACGAAGGTTTAGAATCTTATGCAATATAACTTTTCTATATTTTATGTAGACATATGTCCCCTCATAGAGAAAAAGAAGGACATTACTATGTATACGTTTTATCAGTATCATCTCATTGTCCCAGCATAAAACTTCTCTGCTATTCTTTATATAATGGGGTAAGGCTATACAATTGGTACGGCTGAGTATCAGGGACTAGTGATCCCCATAATGAGGCCCTCTCTCTGCACGTGTCTATTGGTTTTAGGTGCGAAAGGATTAACTAATACTATATCAAAACGGCACGCTAGTCGCACGTGATAAATGGAAGTGACCGACTACGAGAAAACAATGTCTAAGAAGAGATAATAGAGAGTCAAAATGTACTCAACATGCAAAGGAAAGATCTGTACTAAACATCGCAAAGTAGGCCATGCCGTGTCGGTTCTTTGCGTGTAATTAGGGTGCTCCAATTATGTGTCTTTACTTCTCTTGAAATTGAGCTGTTATATTATCGAGTTGTCGGTTACATCGGCGCCCCCAGCATAGATTGAAATGGTAGCGGTTGCGTATCTTCAACCCCAGCCGATTACAAAGCATCAGGCCGTAACTGGCCGAACGCCAGCCCTCCTGTAAGGCGCGCAGCCCTAAGCCTGAATGGGCAGGACAGGCAACGGAATAGATTGAGTAGCGGCACAGAGCCAATAGTCTATAGCAGCAAAAGTTGCAAGAGGGGAAATGCGAGTTCTTTTAAGCGGCTGGTATGTCTCTCTTGCGGTGCGCTAGAAGAATCCCTTGTTTATCAATACTCTATCTGTACTTTATTCGTGTGCTGCCTGCCACCTCTTGGCTCAAACCCCTCTTTGAAGCAGAGTGTTTTGAGCTCAACAAATGACTCATCTTTTTAACTCTACTGGATCCTTCCGTCGGTATCATGGCACAAACGCAGTCCTTGGAAGGGGCCAATACACGCAGGAGTCAGGTAACTTATTTCTAGGTCTGCCCAGTATCCGAGGTACACTAACTGAACTTTAGCTGGCCCCGTTCTCCGTACAGCTCTTGAAACACCACCAGAATTCAGATCAGGACAACAGCTCATTGTTGAGTCTTTTCCCTGCATCTTATTGCAGCGATTCTTATGACTTGATTTCGCCCGACGGCCGTGTTTCTACCTGTATTGAGAAAGAGCTTAATATTGAACGCCTTAGCAGAATACATAGATGGTTATGGATTGCAGGAAGTCCTGTGCCCCCTCGACCACTCCATAGCCAGATCTGGAAAGACCGAGAGATCGTCATCACGGAGAGGATGGATATGCATCTTATATGGACGACAGGCAAGATCTTTATCAAACCTCTCCCGCGATTCTTATTAGAGCCTACCGTCTGGACAGAGTTTCTTTGCTGCTCAGAGAATTGTGATTGCTCGACTAGTGCGGATGACGAGACGCAGGGCTGTGAGCAACGGAAGCTTCACAAGGTCGCGTTAGGGTTCTTATATTCCTATGCCGCCCTGATACGGCATGAAAGTGACCTACTGCTAGCGAAGGAGAGATATCTCCTTCCTAATGACAACATCCGCTGGTCCGATTGGACAACATTTATACGACAGCTAGACACTGAACATATCTATCCGGACATCAACCCACGATTCCACCATAAGGAGTTACAACTAAGTCGGCTGAATTATATCTACTACTTCATCCAAGGGAATCCAGCAGGCTTTGCACGCCGTTGGCACAGATCTTCAGCATTTGTCAAGGCGAATCTTGGATGGATTACTGCGACGACTGTCTACATAGTTGTCGTGCTCACATCGATGCAGGTTGGGCTCGCCACCGAGGCTCTGGGTCAGGACCACGCTTTTCAATTAGCGTCATATGGCTTTACTGTCTTTTCAATTCTCGGGCCCTTGATTTGCGCTGGGCTAGTCGTTGTTCTCTCACTGTGTATATTGGTATACGACGCGTCACAGACACTTGTGAAGACGAACAGACGGCTGGAGCATTTCGGCCTACAAATTGGCCATGGCAGGAATTAAGATAAATGGCTATTAAGTTTATAGCTTCATAGATGTATTAGCTGCTGCTAAAAGTGCATATTGGTCTTTATTTTTAGCTAATACTTCGTATTACATAATTAATACTAAATAGTAAGTTATGACTTTAATAATATAAAAGCTAATCTTTCCTGCAATGGTATATATATATCAAGGAAGTTCAGGCGCATCATCCGTCGGTTCCCATCCAAACATCCTCAGGCAACTCATAAAACCACTAACTACGAAAAGCATGACACGCAGACCAAGAATTATGCTTCTTCCAGTCAAACTATCCAAATCCGGCAACTGTAGTATCATAAGCCCAACTCTTCTCGTCAATAGCAAAGTGAATACATACCTGCTGATTGCTGCTCTTCCTGACCCATTCAAAAGCCCTTGGCATCATAGCTTTCTCATATACAGCCAACTGGACACCGACCTGGTCATCAGTCACATTACCATGCAAGCTCTTCAGTTTCGCAAGCTCCAGTAGTGGACCGAGTGCATCGGCTGTGTCGTGGATAGCATTATTCGCGCCCATTCCTCTTGATGGTAGCATCGGATGGATAGAATCCCCTATAAGCCAAACACGCGCATTCGCAATGCTGGGGTCTGGCTTATTCTCGTGCTGGGATAAAAGCTGTCGTCTCCAATCAATAGGTGTCTCGTTCTTTGCGTATCTCCAAGGCGTCGTCATGATTGCTTCGTTGTCGACAGCATCAACCAGCTTATAGAAATCAGGATGAAAGCCAGCCTCGGTGAGTTTCTTCTTCATCAATCCCTTTTTATCTTCAACCTGAGGCAGTTCTGCGGCTTCGGGTCCTGTCGTCCATGCCATACCGAGGAACAGGGATGCTTCATCCTCGTCATAGTTCTGGGGTTTCAGGGGATCTGTGCCATCTGAATTCGAAGTCCGTTTGGTAGACATGCTTTCTGGTAGATACACTGCGGCAAACACCATAGCCTTAGAGTTGCCGGTATAAATAGTGCCCTTCTCCAGAAGCTGCCGGGGCAAAGTCTGCAGAACAGACCATGGTAAATGACATTTGCCCAAGTAACCACCATGCCCAGGCTTAACCTCGGTGATGATGTTGTCGAGTCCAATCTGCTTGTTAATACGGCTTCCGCTTCCCTCAGCAGATATGAGCACATCGCAGTCACGATGGGTATTGTCGCTAAAGTGAACTCTGATGTTGTTCTGTCCAGCTGCCTTGCCTTCAAGAACCTCGTATCTGGCATATTTCTTGCCAAACTGAATAGAATCCCTATCCTGCAACGGCTTCTGAAGAAAGTTCCGGAGTCGCGTCCGTACAATCGGAGCGCTCTTCTCATAAACGGGAGCTTTACTCAAGTCAATCAAGACCTTCAAGTCAGAAGGGCTAAAAATGCAAGGGGCTGATGACACGACGCCTCCAGACTTTCCAAAGCAGGGGAGGAGGTTCGCGTATTGTTCTTGAGTCAAACAGGCTTTAAAGCCAATGAGTGCGTGAGCTCCAAGACGGATTTGGTAGCCTCCTCGTTCTGAACCAGCTTCGTCGCGTTCGAAGACTGTTACGTCGATTTGACCGTCGGATTTGTTGATGAGGCCGTTTGCTAGACATGCGCCTGCGAGACCGCCACCGATTATGATGACTTTCAGGGTTGCCATTGGGTAACGATTTGGGTGACGTTTTGTTCGTCTAGCGAGATACTTGGTGAAGGGTAGCGATAGTCTGGGTTTCGGTCAAGTTGTGTGAAGGTGCAGCTTTATGAAGCTTGGCAAAATTAATGACTTAAAATTATCTGGAGACGGGGATGTTTTTAGTAAAGGACCAGTATTACTCATGTGTATTCAGCCTCAGCCCAGACCATGTAATCTAATGTGTTCTATAATATCACGTATCTTCATGCCGCCGGAACGGCCCCGCCATGAAAGTTGTCTGTCCAGATTTGGTTAGTACCCCGCCGGACCCGTCGGCCTCTTTATCAAGACAATCGAAGGATTCTGATGCATCGACTGGGAGATTACACCGAGGAAGAGGCACAGCAACAGTCAGACTCATGCTTACGGTCTAGTTCCCCGCTCCAACAAAAGCTCGTAGTTCTGACATTAGACATTGACAACGGGCAGTGAATTAAGACTCGACCAGGCTGAACCAGAGCCTAGTCCCGACTTATACTGATGGCAACTGTGCAAGAGCGTCACCCAGAGCTTTTCCAACCTATCAACTATGAGTCTCCGCGGGGACGGAGCCGTCAGGTCCCAATGGAGACTCTTTGTCTAGGCTTCAACCGAACCGGAACAGCAAGTAAGTCTCTCAGCTCGTTTCTCCCTTCGCCACGTCTTACCAGAGAAAGCCATGTCTGCTGCCCTAGAAAAGCTTGGTCTACCTTGCTGGCATTCGTTTCATCTCCTCACTACACACTTTGGTGACAATGAGATGTGGCAAGAGGCGATCGACAGGAAATTCTATGGGAAAGGTGAACCTTTTGGAAGAGAAGAGTTTGACCAGCTGTTGCATTGCTTCAGTGCGGTCAGCTCTGATACTCCCGCGATTGCATTTGCAGAGGATTTGATTGCCGCATATCCTGAGGCTAAGGTCATTCTTGTCGAGAGGGACATCGATGAGTGGTATAAGAGTTACATGCATTCTATCATAAACAACATGTTCAATCCGTTTACAACGCTGGTCTATCATCTCGATCGCAGCTATATCCACAAGATAGGCAAGGTACACAAGAGTGTTGTCGCCGGATGGGGAGGTATACGATCTCGAAAGGATGCAGAGATCAAAGCTCGAGACAATTATCGCAAGCACTACGCAACGATCAGACGAGTCACTCCAGCAGAACGCCTGTTGGAGTTTAGGCTTGATCAAGGTTGGGAACCTTTATGTCGTTTTCTCGGGAAGGATGTTCCAGAGGATAACTTCCCAAGGTTGAATGAGAGTGCGTGGTTTGATGAAAAGGCGAACATTTTGGTGCGACAAGGATTAAGAGATGGGTTGAAGAAGATGATGCCTTGGGTTATTGTAATAATTGGCGTGTGTTATTGGTATTTCATGCCCGTTTACTCTCCATAATCTACTCCATATAATGATTATAAGGAGCAATAAATATATATTGGTTGAAGATATGTGGCGATATGTGGACCACTTATTAAATGCCTTAAGATGTCTGCTCTCTTAAGTTGCCTACTTTCTTAAGATATCTGCTCTTTAAAGATATCCACCCTCTTAAGATGTCTGCTCTCTTAAGATACCTGCTTTCTTAAGATGCCTACTAGTTAAGTGAATTATAGCATCTTAAGATATTAAATTATTTGTTTCTTCTCAACTTCAATACCAACTATAGTCTTCTCAATGAATTTTCGGTTTCTAATGGTAGACTATGTTGTTGAGGCTGTGCAGGACTGCTGCCTAGAAAGCCAAGGCATAATTCGGCTATAAACCCCGCCTTCGCAAACACTTCTCTTTATTAATACTTCATCTCATCGAAAGCTATCATGGCAACTCTTCATGACCCCAAACTGACAATCATTGACGTTTTACCTCCCGAGCTTCTCGGTGATGTCTTCTCCTGGTTCTGCTCCCATTGCAGCGGCTGCGGCGTCGAAAACGAAGACAACGCTGCAGACATCAAATCCTTGGTAGCCTTGACTCAAACAAACAGAATCTTTCGCTCAATTGCAATGCCGGTTCTATTCCACAGTCTCGGACCTTGTCTTCCGTCGACTTATTTCTTTCGGGTGCTCGATTGCCAACCAGACTTGGCGCGTATGGTTAAGCATTTATGCTTGCCACTATCGACACCTAAAAGCTCATCTGTAATCAAGGATTCCGAGTTCTTAGCACGTTTGGCTGATAACATATCACTTGATCTTGGAACAATGAAAAGGAAACGTTTCTGTGTTATAGACTCTGAAATGTGTCTCGCCATGGCTTTATGCTCTGGTATGGAGCGCTTAAGAATACACATCTCAGGCGATCAAATTATCGGCCAAACGAGGCATTTCGAACTCTTGAATATTCTACTGGGCAAACGCAAACATGAGATCTTCCCAAACCTTCGGCATCTTGATATCAACAAGACTCAATGCAACAAGTTCAGCCTTTGTGACCCTGAGCAAATCATTCTTATGCGTGGGGCACCTCGTCTTGAGAAGTTGATCCTCAGAGGTCCTGAGGGAGAGAGAGAATCAGATCAGAATAGTGACTTAGGTATACAGGAATTCTGCTCCAGTGTCAAGAATATCATAGAATTCCAGCTCCTGGGTTTGCCTTTCTTTACAGGTAGCTGGCAAACTCTTGCACTGGAACGAATCTTGGGGGCAGCTCAGAATCTTCAGAGGTTCAAATTTGTCACTGATGACTACGGTTGCTGGAATAATCGGGCTCTTTCCCAGATCTCACCAACCCAGCTAATCGAGTTCCTCAGTCCACGAACTCAAATTACGTTACAGCGCTTAAGTCTGAACTTCGACAGCAGAATGGAACCCGGTCTACGTAACCTTCCGAAACCCAAACCCATCACACCCCAACAGATCAAGCAGTTTACAAATCTCACTACCCTCGAAGTCGATTCTTCCTGCTACTATAGCCATGTGCTCCAACGCAATAAGGACGAAGTTATCGTTGAGCAAGAAACATACCTGGTCGATTTCCTCCCGCAGACAGTTCAAAGTTTAACCATCTTCTTTAACAGATGGGCAAGATATGAGGTTTTGCATGATGTTACATATTTAGGACAACGAGCTATTGCCGGGGATTTTCCGAAGCTGAAGAGGGTGCGGATTGATGCTCCTATTCATTATACGATGCCTGGGAGTAATAGTTGGGATGATCAGTGGGATAATGAGCAGCTGGCGAAATTGTCAACGGAAATGAATGTGCGGAGGGATGGGTTCCAGGAGGCCTTTGTTGGGTCTGGTGTTGAGACACAGTTTAAGACTTGGTACATATGGGAGGAAGGATAGTGATGAGGCTATTGGCCTTGAACGATATGCCTTTACCTCCAGGAATTCTACTATAAACTGCTAAGAAAGAAAAGCTGGACAACTTTGCGCCCGGACGCCTCATTGTATGGATTTGATTTATTATCTTGAGCAGCACGTACCACTCAATCTGAAAATAGAATGGCTAATCGGAATATTCTGTAGCCCTTCTGTAGAGCTGCGCAAGCATCAGAGAGGCTCGGACAACAGGCACTTCGCACAATCCATCCAGTCAAAGCATCATCGCTTCAAATTATTGCAGGTCATGTAACATAGACAATGCAACTAAGGATAATCAGATAGCATGTTTAATAACATTAGACGAAGTAGTCATGAAAGACTTTGGGGGCAGTAGTTTTCAAGAGCATGTTATGTTAGTAAGTAGTACCTGCAGAGCGTGGTTGCATAGTGTTATTAGGATCTTCAGCCAGTTAAATAGAGTGGTAACTGTGAAATGACGAAATCAACATGAAACGTGGAAATAAGTGGCTGGAAATAAGTGGCCTAGTAACCCGTTTCTATCGCTATTTGGTGATAGTAAATCTTGACGGCAACCGGGGAACGAGCCGCGGCGATAAGCATGTGGAGTCAATCGTGGATGTGCTTTGATACCAAGACTAAACCAATAGTTCATCGTAGTGCACTTGGCATTCGGGGAGTTGTTGATAGATACGATCGATTGTTGAGTTTATGGCTAAGGTTAGCTCCGTGACAGTGGCTTGGGGGTCAATTCAATGCACTGTGAATGACTCGTACCCATTGAGAGAGACCAGTGTAACTTGCGAGACAGGCTGTTCGCAAAGGTCTAGCCACTATGACTGTGTGTGGGATCTGTTGAGGGTTCCTGTAGTCGAGACCCTTGAGGTTCGAAGGTATTTCTTGTTCGAGGGAGAACCAGAGCATAATGTAACCTACGCCGGCAATTAGGCCCTTCGAGGGGAGCAACTCGTTGTGATGCGTGGCTAACCGCACTGCCGAGCGCCATAAGCCACTAGCCTTTGGGGTAATGTCACGCTCTGGGGGCGGCACTTCTGCCGTGCCGCTGATCTTTAAATCCCTGGGTCTGCTTGTTTCCAGAGGCGCAATGCAAAAGGGGTGAGCGCTGGGGGGCTCGGACCTCTCATACTGTACATATCATACTTCAATTGCTCACCCTCCCTGGTGCGCACTCTGCCGTTCCTCTTCTCCATCTTCTTTGTCTTCAACTTCTTTCCCATGCAATAAAAAAAAGTCCCTCGATCCCGGGAGGTAGCGAGACCGTCCCGACAATCGCTCTCTCTGATGCCATCACCGACAGGTCTCGGCGCAACGATAATCGCAGTCTGTGTGTCACTGACCGTTTTATCGGGTTTGTTTTTGGGTCTCAGATTGTATTGCAAGGTTATTCGGCGTCGGGGCTTCTGGTGGGATGATTATATCTTAATTGCGGCATGGGTAAATCTTGACAGCGCCAATCTGCGGTAACCGCGTCGAGTTTGAGCTAACATGGCGCTTTCTTTTACCAGATCTGCCTCGCCATCGGCACTGGCCTCGTCATCTTCAACGTCACCCTTGGTTTCGGCAAGGACATGTCAGAGGTTGATCCAGCGGTTGTACCCAAAATCGCCCTTACCGGAACTATTTTCGGACTCTTCGCAGTTCTATCCGCAGCATGGAGTAAGACGTCATTTGCTCTGACATTGATTCGATTAGTGGATGGCTGGACGAGCTGGTTTCTATGGTTCCTCATCGTCGCGATAAACATCACCATGAACTTGGTCATTGTGTTCTCTTTTGCGAAATGTACGCCTGCGAAGAAGGTCTGGCATTCGGATCTTCCGGGAACCTGTTGGAATCCTATGGTTGCGACATACTATAATATCTTTGCCGGAGGTAAGTCCTTGCTTTACCTAGGATTCTCTCTTATTGACTGTGAGCAGCATTCTCGGGGTTAGTCGACCTTGTGCTCTGTGTACTTGCTTGGACGATTATCTGGAAACTCTCGATGCGGACACGGGAGAAAATCGGAGTTGGAATTGCTTTGACTTTTGGTATCTTGTCAGTCCTGCCCGCATCATCGTATGTTTTGCCTACTAATGGTGCTCAAGTGCCGCCGCCACTGCAGCAGCTAAATGCTATAAAATGCTAGGCCTCAGCAGCAAGAATCGTACTCGTGAGTATTACTATAACCCGGTATCAGGTTCTATTAACCAATATGTCTCGCAGTGGATCGAGTTGGAATCATAATATGGGGTACAACTGAGTGTGCCGTCACCATCATGGCAGCATCCATTCCTGTCATGCGCATACTGGTATTGCGAGTCTACCGCCGCACTCCCGATCAAATCTTAAATCAACCACTACGCACTCTTCGTATAATCAGCACTCAGGACAAGAGAGCTTCAACAAACAACACAATGCCAAGCTATAACACGGAAGAAGGTTTTAGAGACCTTAGCTTACCTTCGCGGACAATGTCAGGGAGGCAGAATGATATAGGTCTGTATGAGATTAATAGAAAGGGTTAATACTGCTTATTATAGAGATAATTATTGAACTAAAAGGACACCGTGAAACTGCACTCAAAACTTTATATAGAAGAAAGGTTTACTTCAACAGATAACATAACCAATCTGTCATCTAGGTTAAGAAAGCTCCGCCTCAATAATGCTCTCTACAGACTGCAAAGGTCTCCAGATCTTCAGAACCCTCAACCCAACACTCTCAATCAGCTCTATCCACTCAACTTCTGTTCTCTCCTTGGCACCCAGGCAAGCCATCATGGTGATATCCGAAGTCGTCACTCGCGCAAGAGGCTTGACTGAACTAACCAAACTCTCATGGATGAGGAGTTTCGAGTATCCCGGCTCCATGGCATCTGCAAGATTTCTGAGAATCTGGCTTGCCTGCTTATCCTCCCAGTCATGCAGGACATTATGCATGAAATACGCTCGGGCGCCTTTGACGGGCTGGGGAGTGAAGAAGTCGTGAGGATGCACCGATATGGTATCAGGAATGGTCAGTTCTTTGAGAATATCGGGTAGATCCTCCAGAACAAGGCTGCCCTGGGGGATGTCGGGATGACGAAGATGAAACTTGGTCAGATCGTGGCCTTTGCTACCGCCAACATCCACCACTAAAGGTCGATCAGGCTTAGCACCAGCAATCAAAGTCTGGGTTGGGTATATCTCAGGCCAAGGAGTAAGATTATACTTGGAATGACTCTCCATCGCATCGTTAAACTCCCTCGCCGCAACAGGATCAGCACCAAGGGACTGGAACAGGTTTTCCTTCTTTCCCTTCATAAACTGCCAGTTACAGTCGTTGGGATCGGTCGGATTCTTATAGCCAGTTTTCTTGAGATGTGCAGGTAGAGTTTGGAACATTGGGTTGTTGACGAAGCTGTAAAGTCCGCCGTAGACATTGGCGAGGGCTGGATCGGCGGTGAGAGCGTAGACCCAGGGCGTCGGCTTGTAGGTTTCCTCTGCAGTCTCGATGACCAGATTCTGACCTGATATCTGTCGAATCAAGCGTCCTGAGAATCATCAGCATCCATTCCATACCAGAGATGGGGCGACTCACGGATAAGAACTGGGTCAGTATTCGTGAGCTCAGCCAGTTCATCACAAGTCTTCTCTCCACCACCAGCTTCAATCCACTTGGTGAACACGCCAGCGTCGATCAGAGTTTTGGCGCATGCAGTTGTCGCTGGATTTACCCAACAGTGCTGCCATACTGTATCCCAGGGTTTTTGTACTCTGCTAGCGGCTAGAGTAAGTGCATCTAGGGCACGAACGCGCTCTGCCTCATTGACAAATGAATTAGCGTCAAGGCTTTGAAGAGCTTCGATGAGCTTGTCTGCAGATGCCATGGAGAAGGAAGGATAGAGGTGACGTTGTCGGGTAGGATGCAGGCGCCGTTATGGATTATGATGGGCAGCAACTTTTGTTGAGTGAGTTGAAGGATGTCAGGTCTCTACAGAAAGTCTCCCGACTCACCCACGAAAAAGTCAGTGCATTTCCGCGCCAATCCCGTCAAACTATGTCTGTGCCTGAATAGTGATCTGTTCAATCGTGAGTCTAGTCCACAGAAGGGTAGAACACCGCCGTACGCCCCTGTTTAAACCCGCTTAAGTTCCGAGGTAGCCGCAACATCCGCCCAGCCTCTTTAGAGCCGTTGAGTTTGTGTATGCAAGATCAAACTCAATCGCATCGATGGAATGTTCTATTTAATAGAAAATATGATATGTTACAGATTGTGACCTCCCACAGCTACGGTATTGGCACATCGTTAATTGTTGCTTCATAGAATGACTTTCGCCAAGGTCCGAGGTCCAGTGATCTTCACATGGAGTCTTTTTTTCGCGCGAAGGATCAAATCCTTGGCAAAATGTACGTACATACACCAAAAACTGGGAATGCCCACGCCATCCAGATGGATTAGCCTCAAGAAGATTCGAGCCTGCAGGCTTCTGGGTGAATAAACAATTGCATCAATACGTCGATCTAACATCATTACATGACGCCCAAGTCCTGAACAGCTGGGTCAACCGTCATTGCTACGGATTAAAGCGTCCGCCTCCGTCGCGAACTGTTGTCCATTGTCACATCAGCGTTTCGCGTAATCGTTTAACTATTGCTGTTGGAGAAAAAAAGGGAAATGGCGCAGGAAGCAAAAAGAGAGAATGAATCTCATTCTCCCCCGGGAAGGCTCGAACTTCCGATCTCCCGATTGTCTATGAATAACAGTCGGACGCTTTAGCCAACTAAGCCACAGGGGAAATGCTTTAATTGGGTGCTCGAAATCTTAGAGTGTCTTATACGCGCTAGCGTCGGCTGAGCTTACCCTACGCATTTCTTTGAGCACAACAGAACGGCGGTGGACCGATGTACGGCAGTTCAGGCTTGGCTGTTCGTTATTAATAAAAGTCGTAAGAAGATGAACAAATATCCTTTGTCTGTCTTGCTCTGTCTTACTTTCTCATAGAACAAATCAAGCCTGTTGGTAAGTGAAGACAATCCCATTTAGTCATCGTGATTAAGGTGAGTATGAAGATCTGACGTCTAGAACACAGCCAACATCGAAACAAACATGGTATAAGAACAGGCAGTCGCAAGACCCATAACCATGAACAAACGCTCTGCTCGATAACTGTTTAGACTCGCGCAGTGAGCTATCTAGGTATAAATAACTCCATCCATCTGTGATAAATTATATCTTCCTACAACAACGCATCACCATTCACAAAAGCACTCTGCAACATCCTAAATCATATATTCTCTCCACTACATACACAACTTCTATCACCTCCAGTTATCCAAAATGTCTGACCTTACTTTCCCAACCTCAGATTCATCAGCTGGTCGCATCAGCCCGGCCCCATCTCTTACAGAGTCAAACTGCAAATGTAATCTCGACATACCCCAAAGCGCCAAGCTCGCACTGATCATTCACGAGGAGCAAGATGATGTCTTATCCGACTCTGCCGAATATACCTTCGAACCAGGTAAAGGCCCACCAATCAAAGTCAAAGCCCTCCGTGCACGACAATTCATCAAGAAGATTGTTAGTTTCGATCAGGATTCAGACTACGCCAAAGCGTTCCGCAGCAACTGGGAATCAGTGAAGCTTTCATGCAGCCTTCTATATATAGTTGCGACTTTGTATGGGGAACAAGAAGGTGAGAAAGAATGGCCTATTGAGTGGGAGGATGGGACCGCTTTGACCTTTTTCCTCGAGGAGACTGTTGCAGCCTGGATAGAGGATCTTTCAGATGAAGAAACAACCAAAGTTGAGGAACTAGCTGAGATAATGGGGACGTCTTTCGCCGTTGATCTTGATGACGACGCTGCTGTGAGGAGGTATCAGAGTCAAGTGAGCGATTGCCTTGCTGATCTTTACCCTATTACTGAGATCGAGCTGGGAGGCGAAGAATTTAACAAGGCAGAGGATTAGGCGCGTGCATTTTCTAACTATTCTGTATTCAACATGACGTGGTAGGTATGGGAGCATAAGTACAGGGGTTGGGTAGCTCAGGCTAGGACTTCGACTTGAGAGGATAAGGAGGAATGTGCGGCAATAGATCTATGGAAAAACATACATCAGGACGGTCGATATGGCCTAGTTATCTATATCACTGGAACTTAAATTGATCTTATTGTATGCATTTGCAAGAAGCCAGTAGTGTGTCATGTGCATTTCATCAGCAAATCTTCGTAAAGTAAATGAACGAGATGCGTCAAGAATACATGAATCATTCTTTGTGATGTATAAATGTTTTGAACCCTCTTGCCATGTCTCGAAAACAATAATTCTACATCCATCTTGTGTGAGCCAGACCAGAACCATCGCAGACTCAGTTCCAACTAACCCAAATCACCAGTTCAGTCCGATCAACAACCCAATACAAAGCGGCGCAAACGACCAATGCTGCCACTCCCCATGTCCAACTACAGCCCTCGCCACAAGCCCATCAGTAACGCACATAGCAAGTGCCCCAAGATACCCCAAGCTCATAAGCTTCCTGTCCCCAGTGAGGCTGATGTTAAAGAAGAGGAAGCTTATAACCACATTTCTGCACCCATAGATACGTGCAAGTCCACGAACAAGTTTCTGCGCTTGAGGGTCTGTAGGAATGGGGTACTGGAAGGATTGGAGAGTTGCTTCAGGGCGCGTGAGGAGATTGATGCCGAAGAGGGCGGGGATGAGAGAGATGACGTGCGTCGCACGGTTGAGATAGAGGAAGGACATGATGAGATGCTTGATCAATAGATGGGAAGTAGAGGATTGTATGCTCGTCTAAAAGAATGCTTAGCAGGAGATAAAAATTACTTGAAGGAGAATGGCGGAGGTAAGGGACAGTAACTCCGGTAGCTTTGCGCGTCAGCACTAAATATCAGTGATCCTGAGATTGGTCTCACATAAGCAGATAAGGCACTATGAAGCTTCAGGCTAAAAGCTCTTACATCTCATTCTAAATATTGTAATATGGAAGAAATTCCCTTAATTTTAAGCTGTTGTGCCGCACTCATGTCAATCGAGATAGAAATGCTACTGTGGGTGTCGCAATTGATTCCGTCAGTGTAGTTTATGCAGCACCAAACACCTTTGTAAATCCGTCCTGTGCTAGTGGATCGTGTACGTCGCCTATCCACAGCACTCTGTTTAACATCCCCCTACATTGTATCCAGCTCCTTACACCTAAAGCACGACAAGTCTCCAGAATAGCCTGACGATGCCACGCTTGGGTAAAGTCCTCAAAAATGCAACCTCCAACAACGAACAATGCCCAGAGCAAGAAAATCGAGTTCTCCCGATCCAAGGGGACAAACTCTTGAAGTGCCATTTCCAGATTGGTCGACAGATAAAACATTCTCTTCCCCAGCCTAGGAAGACTAAACAGGATGCTCTTTATATACACAAGCATGCAGAGCCTGACAAGCTCGGAGGTCGATTGAGTCTTGTAAGAAAGCCGGAGTAACCTGTTTGGAAGAGTCGTGCTTATGGAGAGGAACAGTTCTGGTGGAATAGGCGTGCCGCTTTCATTAGCCAATTTGCTGTAGTGTTGCAGATCGACCCAGATGGAAAGCAATCGCTGATCTGTAGTTAAGCTTCGAGGATCCAGAGACGTGAACTCTGAAGCAACATGGATTGAAGATTCTGGCATATGTGAATCCCAAGATTGGATATCGGTGAGGAGGCGGGGCTTTCGCCCTTCTGTCATTGCTAGACAAATCTCTATCCTGTACAGGTCAGTCATATGAAGTGGTAAGCATAAATGCAAGTTACCTCTGACACTTCATCTCCGCTAGCGCTGCAGTTTCAAATGGTGATATTCCACCGCGGAGTTCGAAAATGCGACATAGCCCATCCATGTGCTTCCTCGCAGTTTCGATGTCTCCAAAGCTAGATGCTGCTGATGCCAGGTTAACGATCGCTCCCACTGTCGCCATGGCAGTTGCTGTGCTTTTGTCCTGGAGACTCTGCTGTATACAGCGGAGTGTCTCCCCAAGATGATACCTCGTGAGTATGCTGAATTTGAGTCCTTGGCAGACCTCTTTAAATGCTGATGCTGTGAATAGTATAGAGTGTAGAGATACCTCGTGCGTGTGCATGTCGCTGAGGCTGAAGATGTGAGACTCGGATTCATGAGCGACCTTCATGTCTATAGCATATCGACAAGGTTTTGCCGTCGTGAAAGCCGAGGAGTGTCGTCAGTTTCTGAGTTTGTGGTTGGTTGACTTAAAGTGTGTAATAATACCTTGATATATCAACTCCAGCATATACGGTTTCATTTCGATTTCTGATCGCTGTAATAAAAGCTCTGGCGCTAGCTTTCGCGGAATACTCATTGTTGACAGATTATCCTTGCCGTGCTTCTGGTTCTTACGTGTTTCTGCCGTGGAAATGGTCCTTTGTACTGATGCACTACTGTCAGTATCCATTGTATGGAGTAGGCTTGTATCGGGGTTCATTCGCGCTCGAGCCCGAGCTAGTCTATCTGCGCGTGTATTCCTGCCACGCATCGCATGACTGCGTATCTTTCTCATGGTACCCTTGTCAGGCTTTCCAGATGACGTGGTAACCACAAAGATGGCCATTTTGGACAAGGCTAATCTCCTCTATCGCAGGTTTACGAATCATATGCTCTATAACTGAAGTTATTCGCTCTTGACCCATGTTGAAAGTAAGCACTTCTGGGTAGAGGTTTCCCCGTAGTTCATCCGTACCATTTTCTAAGAAAGGCTTAGAGGATCGTTCCTAATCATGATTGGACGCAGTCGCCTCTAGCGCTTGACTGACTGTTGCAGTTTGTCCCTGACAAGCATTAATAGATAGACTGGCACGCCAAGACTGTACCTTTTTCCGATACGGGAGTAGACTATACTTTTTAGATCTCTTTTTGATTCTGACTACTGATGAAAGCTGGGAATGCGCATGAGCATTTATCTGTAACATGGTCAGATCTTGTATAAATAGGTGCAGCATCCTCTGCTGTATCTAATGCCTGAATCTCAGCATCACCTACCTTCAGTCCAAGTCGCCATCGCTTTCATTCTTCCTCTCACTCCACTGCTCGTCTAATATTTCCCAACACAATGTTCTGGGCCAAGGAACAAGACTTTGACCCCAAAGACATGCCATCTCTGGAAGGCAAAGTCATCCTCGTCACAGGTGCCACTGCCGGTCTAGGCAAAGAATCCGTCCTCCAATTCGCACACCGCAATCCCCAGCGCATTTATCTCTGCGGTCGAAGCCTGCAAAAGGCACAACTTGCAGCCCAAGATATCAAGCACCATGTCCCATCAGCTTCAATCAGGTTGCTCCATCTTGATCTTTGCTCGTTCGCCTCTATAAAGGAAGCAGCGCAGATCGTGCTCTCGGAATGCCAAAGACTCGACATCTTGATGCTTAATGCAGGCACCATGTTTGTCCCTCCCGATCGTACCCTAGATGGTTATGAGATTCAGTTCGGCACAAATCATATGGGTCACGCTCTCCTCACCAAACTACTTATCCCGCTGCTCAGCAAAACAACACATATACCTGGTGCAGACGTGAGAATCGTGTGTCTTGCATCCCATGGACACGTCTATCGGAACAAAGGCGGTATCAACTTTGAGACCCTCAAGACTAACGGCGAGTCGATTGGTCTTTATCAATGCTACTACCAGAGCAAGCTTGCCAACATCCTCTGGGCGCGCCAGTTGGCCAAGAAGTATCCAGATTTCACAGTATCTGCAATCGATCCTGGTTTGGTGAACACAGAGTTGTTGGGGAAGGCAACGGGTATTGCCTGGTACTTGTATGCAGTGGTTAGATGCATGTTGATCACACCCGTTGCAAAGGGCGTTAGGAATCAGCTTTGGGCGTCGGTTGCGCCGGGTGTTGTTAGTGGAGAGTACTATGAGCCGATTGGGAAGCATGGCTTAGCGACGGAGGATGGTAGAGATGATGAATTGGCAGAGAAGCTCTGGGGATGGACTGAAAGAGAGTTGGTTTTAGTTGAATAGCAAATCCATATTGAGGGGTCTAGCAACAGCAGTAAAGTATATACGTGGATTGTTATTGCCTTTATCTCTGTTTGAAGTTACAGAAATTGACTTAAGATATCGTTTTCTGCGATGTGTTCTATTTATACCATGCATTTCTTTATTATTAATTGCACATCTGCAATAAACAAAACACTGTCTTATAAAATAATACTTAGAGACATAGTCCTCTCTGCCTTTGTCTACGATCAAGTAGTTGTCAATCGCTGTGCATCTCTCGAACATATCATGTCCCTGACAACCTGCCATCCAATACTCTGATTATATAGCTTATCATACTCCCTCCCCATAAGCATGCACCACTTCTTCAAAAACCACGGCGCAGCCTCCCAACTCTTCATATCCCAAGGCGGATAAGAGTCCCTCGTACTAGATCCCTTCTCATGCTTCAGTCGCCATATGGTCAAGCCGCCGCGCTCATAGATATCTAGTTTCAGTTCCCAGTTGTTAAATACATGGGGCATTGCGGCTGATAGCATTATTGCTCGTTCGCGTAAAAAAGGAAGGGGAATGAGGTCGAGGCTTGTGTGATGCGGGATGAGGATTTGTGCCATTGTTGGGCGGAGATGAATGGGGATACTGGTGTTGCTGAATGATGAGATGATGGTTGACCCTGCTTGGATGAGGGCTGCGTGATCAAGTGTATATGAAAGGTTGGGTTGGTAGAATGGTGAGATGTGTTCCACGCCGCAGTTTGCGATGACAGATGGGTCGATACCGAGTGAGACTGCGTTGGTAAGGCACGAGGTGAAGATTGCTGTTGGTGAGAACTGAAGCATGTTCAGGTAAAGGTCCGGGAAATTATACTCAGAGCTCCTGTCTGAGTCCTGAGCAGCTTGGCTTGCCATTTCCGACTCCCAAGTGATCTTTGGCAGTACCTGTGAATTTTCCCGTAGTTGCTCATCTCGTCGTTGCGGACTTTGGGCTGAGTCTTGATTATTTAAACTCTGGTCTGTGCATGCCTTGTCGCGCTTCAACAGTGGTCTCAGGCTTTGCCCATGCTTGGCTTGAGCCTTTTCTTGCTTCAATCGCAGCCGCTCTCGCTTTTGACGTTCCCCTGCAATCAATGATTCTGTCAGCTTATTTATTGTTGAAAGACAGCGGGTGACATACGAAACGCTTTCTGTGCGAGCCGATTTTGCTCTCTTCTTGCACTCGTCAGAACGCGACGCTTGGCTGGTGGAGCGTCATCATCCTTGCTCCTCGTCCGCTTCCGAGACACTGATCCAGCCTCATTGGGCACACTATCTTTCAATGAATCGCGCATAGCTCAAGGGCGAATTGGCTAGACATAAGTCCCTGGGATTCTCTCATCAGAGGGTGTCAGACTCGAATTCTTGTTTGTTCTGGCGGAAGTGAGATGATGCTAAGTCCGAAGTCCGAGGGGGGCGAATGGCTTACGGTTTTTCAACCAATCACAGATGGCAAAGTCAGTCAGCCAAATCGTCGATCTTGAGTGGCTTACGGTCTCTGGCTCCATTCAGCGATTGAGGTTATAGTCATGATTAGTGGGATGATCAATAAGGAAGGAGAAATGAAGGGACATATTGTTAACGCCGCAATCAACGCCTCAATGTAGATTACTATAAGTATCCCAGCTGGATATACTCAAATCGGTCTCTATCACTCGATCACCAATAAACTCAACGTTACCTTCTTCATTTTACACTCTCATCATGTCTACCAAGACGATCGCAGTCGTCGGCGCTACAGGCACCCAAGGAGGCTCAGTCGCCAGAACATTTTTATCCCTTCCAAACTGGCACGTCAAAGCCCTTACTCGCAACTCTAACTCGCCCAAAGCCCAAGCTCTTCAAAGCCTTGGAGCCGAGGTCGTCGAAGCAGACATGAACGACCCCGAGTCTCTCATCAAAGCCTTCAATGGTGCCCACGCCATCTTTGTCAACACTGACTTCTGGGCTCCTTACATGACCGCTCTCAGTCAAGGCAAAGACCAAGCTACGGCTCAACAAATCGGTTATGACACTGAGGAGCGACATGTGAAGAATGCTACTTATGCTGCTTCCAAGACATCTACCCTTGACAAGTATATCTACTCCGCTCTTGGTCCTATGAAGGATGTTTCGAAGGGAAAGTATTCTCATTGTCATCACTGGGAGACCAAGGCTGCGGCTGTCAAGTATATTGAGAATGAAATACCTGAACTCGCCAAGAAGACGTCGTATGTCTACATGGCTGCCTACGCTACAAACCCCTTCTTGTACCCCAAGAAGGATAATGAGACTGGCGAGTATATCCTCGCAGTCCCAGCTTCCAAGAACTTGAGGCTTCCTATCATCGACATCGAGGGTTCAGCTGGATCATTCGTCCGAGCCCTCGTCGAGGATGAACCCGCTGGAACAAAGCTACTCGCCTACGACAGTGATCTGAACATTCTTGAGATTATGGATACCTGGAGCAGAGTCACCGGACAGAAGGCTGTCTTGCAGTCAATGACCGAGGAGGAAATGCATAAGAAGACAGGCCTGCCTTATGAAGTCCTCGACGGACCAGCCTACCTTGATGAGCATGGATATATGGAGGGAGTCGAAGGGGCTATTACACCGGAGCAGTTGAAGAAGCCTGTCAAGACGGATAGCTTCGAGGAGTACCTTCGCAAGCAGGACCCAGAGGCTTTGCTGTCATTTGGATACAGACTCCCCGAGCCTCCGGCGGCGAAGTAATTGCACAGGGGTACATGCTTGGGGGCGAAAGGACCAGATATTCAACGGAATTGATCGTCAAGAGAAAGGATTGAGAAGGATTCAAGTCGAATAAGTAGCATCTATCATCATAGGCTTGAATACGAGAGCTGAAAAACTTCCCTCCAATTGACCAATCGAATAAATTACGCCAAGTCCCCATTGCAACCCGAAAACAAGCTCCGCTACGCAAGCCACGGAAAAAGTCTTCCTGCGAGGCTTTGGATAACTGCCAAGAACTGAATTATGCTTGAAATCGGCCGACTTGCTAGAATCTTGGTACTTGCCCTGCTGGGCGGTCCTTGCGGCTTATGCCAAGGCTCGAGGTGCAGATATCGTGAGTTGTTGTAGGCCCAACGTGGTTAGTCGATTGTTTCCTAGATGAAGGATCTGCACTGGCATTTCATCTGCCGATTTTATCCTGTAGTGTTTACGGTTGGATGATGCTGATAGGGCGGGTTGACGAGAATGGGCTGCGCATCGATTGCTGTGCCACGATGGTGAGATTAAGTAATGCGAATATTGCGATGGACTGCCCAGCTCCTTATTCAATTTCCCTTGGAACCACCATTTATCATAGTATGAGGACTCAATTGTTCAAGCAATTCTGTTCAACTTGTCCCTGACCGCGCTGACTGAGTACCGAGCAATAAATGCAATTGCTATCATGAGGAGCCCAGGCAACACACGGGAAAGCTTACAGTCAAGTGCATCAATTGATGTCATTGAAACAAAAAGAACGAATAATGAACCCCAATCTAAACTTACCATTTTGTCCTGCGTTCCTTCGCGGCGAAGCATCATCGTGAGCTTCTACTCCACTCATCTCAATCGGGGTATAGTACGGCTCCTCCCGCGGCCGCCGGAGGGTCGGAATAGCTTATAACTTGTCCTCCGTACCAAGATTCTTGTCTAGCCGCTTATCGATACGATTGACTTCATGCCAGGAGCCTCAGTGTAACAGCAGACAATGCTCGTGCCCATCGTAGGATTCACTAATAATAATTAGACGTTCCAATTGATGTAATATCCATGTGATTGTTTTCTTCGGATCATGATATAAACCTCGTCTCTGAGCTCGAGTAAATACCTTGTTCACTCAACTTCTCATCATTCTCTTACAATGAAGTCCACTACCGCCATCGTGGCCCTCGCCGCCGCCGTTCACGCTTCACCTCTCACCAAAAGACAGGACAACAAGGTCCCGGATGTCTGGGAGAACAAAGATACCCTTTGTAAAGGCTGGGTTCTCAGTACCCCAGAGGAAGCCGACAGACTCTGGATGGAATCTAAAGCCGGCGATGAACTCGATTTCTTCCTCCGTGGGCAATGGGGTACGTTCTATCTCCATCACGAAGTGCAATAACTGACCAGCAGAACACCAAAACAACTGGCTCATCAACCTCGAGGATCGAATTTTTGGCGGTACAGATGGAAAGTCTGGCGCCGCGGGGTGCAGTGTTCTCGACAACGATTGCAGTCCCATGAATAACATTGAATGCACTCAACAGTACGATACCTACGGCAAAGACGACGACATCCTTAGCAAGAACTCGTACTGGATATTCCAGGCCGCCAAGGGCATGCACTCCAAGCTGAAGGCGCTCAAGGCAAAGATCACTGAGAAGACCATCATCAGCGGTCTCAGGATCGGTCAGATGGTGACCGATTTTGGTGGTAATGAGGATGACACTGGTGATATGGTCAAGTGGTTGGCTTCTGCTAGTGCAATTGGCGGTGCTCTCAGTGGACTCTCTGCAAACGTACGTAAAACCCCTGCACTTAGACGTCTAGAGCTAATCCCAACAGCCTGGTTTCGCTGTCGGCTTTAACCTTCTTGGCGGAATCTTCTCCAGCTTTGGTAACCTCAAGCAAGAGGAGATAGATCAAGGTAGCATCTAAGCTGGCTTGGCCGATCTCTTCGAGGCAGCCGTTGACCTACTCGACGAAACCATGCGCGCTGTCATGGGCGGCGGTACCGAAGGCCAGTACAAGGCACTCAGCACGCCCAACCCCGATCCTTACAAACTCCCAGTCGCAAACTTCTTCAACGGCGGTTGGTTTCTGCTTAACGATAACTCCGAGGCTGTACAGCTCGCGCTCAACTCTGTCTACGGCAACATCCAGCCCAAGGTCGCCAACAACGTCATGAAGGCTGCGCAGTTTTACCTCGTTGCTGATAAGCGACGCATAAGCCGAGAGGACTGCGGCTATGCTACTGGTCGGCAGTGGATGGCTCTTCGGGGGGATGAAGAGTACTGCTTCTACATCATGGGTCATGATCCTAAACCCAACCGTGTTGGAGATTGGGCTGAGGTTTCTGGTGAGGTTTATGACAAGATGGTTAGTTATGGAGTTGGGAACAGAGAGGTTTACTATCGCGCTATTTTGGACTGTGCTCTTAGTCCTAATGACAATGTTGACTTGGGTAGTTTGGTTGGAGGCACGATCCCTACTTGCTACTTTAATCTTCCTGCTGTCTATGTTGACAGGGATCAAGAGGTTGGGTGCGGTGATCCTTTCAGTACTGTTGAGTGCGACTACATCAGTGCCACCGACATCAAGTAGGAGAGATGGCATCACTGGACAGTTACTATTCAACTTGTATATATTTATTGCTTGTATCAAGTCTAAGCATTAGCCTCTAATTAAATATCCTATGTGTATAATATGCGCCCTTGATCCATGTGAACAAGCTGCTAGAAAGTAAATTGTATTGCCAGGCATCCATCCTAAGCCCTCTTAACACCACTTCCCTTTGGTACCCGGAACAGCCAGTAGATTCCCAAAGCACCAGCAATATTGACAAAGATGTACACCCAAAGAATTCCAAAGTGCCACCATCGATCATCATAATCGATGTTGAACCGATGCAAGAACTCCTCCGTTGTAGCAAGCGAGCAATACTTGCAAACATCAGTCGATGATCTATCAAGAAGATAGCCACCAGTTGCCTTGATGAAAGGGCCCAAGTAGTCGTCGCAGGTCATGTTACCGGGGACAGCCATCTGGAGAACCTCGTTGTCGGCGCACTTGACGTTGGAGCCCCAGACACAAGTCGACATGATACCGCCGACGATGTATGTCGCTGGCGAGACGCGGTACATGAAGGTCCAGAACTTGGGGATGTCCTTGTAAGTAACACCAACACTGTAACAGTTAGTATATGCATGATAGATCGAAGGGAGCATGGCTTACCCGCAGAATGCAATGGAAAGCATCCACACCAAACTCGAGATGACACCGGCCTCCTCAGCAGTAGCGATGCATACAATAGCTGCATGAGAAAAGGTGCTGGTGAAGAGCATGAACATCCAGAGATACAAGAAGACAAGGAAGCCTCGGATAGCTTGATCATCAGATGTAGTGTTGCGGACGAAGCCGACCGGGTAGTACCAGCAGAAATAGATGAGGACGGCCATGAAGGTGTTCCAAGCTGCTTCGACGATGATATTGGACAGGATGTATGCTGGGAATTATTAGAGAGGACTTTGAGGTGGGAATGAGGAGGACTTACTGTTCCAACGGTAGATCTTGGATGGACGTTCGCGGACTTCGTATAGGTCGCGCTGGGGTAGGAACATAGGCATGATCTGATCGTTCAAACTTTGGAAGAGAACCATGTACATGAAGATGGCGTAAAGCTGGTTCTGCAAGCCTTGAATGGTATTCTTGGCTTCGAATGTAAATCCAATGTAAAGAGACTACACCTGTTAGTCAACGTCCACGTCATAACACAAGACAACATACCGCTAAGACAATCAGAGCGACCTTGGACCAGATATACGTAGGCGATCTCCAGAAATGCTTCCAAGTCCTGATCAAAACCTCACGGAACTGCGTCGAGAACGAAGCCACAAACTCCTTATGCTGCGACGCATCACCGTTCTCCAAAGCATTCGCCTCTGATCCTCGTGTAGCTGGAAGAGAGTTGAGTCGTTGAAGCTCCTTCTTGACCTCTTGGAACTCAGGTGAATTCCTCCAGATCTGATGCCAGTCGATCTTCTCGGCTTCTTCGTCGTTGGAAGGCTTGATGATGTCGAGCATGTACTCTGCGGGGTTCGCGTCTTGGGGAAAGGGAGGAGCGCCGTTTCGTTCGAAGTAGTTGAGAAGAGTCTGAGATTGCTCGCCGAGGTCTGTAGTTGTTAGTAAGATGTCAATCGGGGTGATGAGGAACTTACCTCCAAAGTAAACCGTCCTTCCACCGGGTGCAAGCAACAACAAGCGATCAAACCTCTGGAACAACATCGCAGAAGGCTGATGGATCGTACACAAAACCGCCTGTCCACTAGCCGTGAGCTTCTCAATAAGATCACAAATCGCCCAACTAGTCTGCGAATCCAATCCACTAGTCGGCTCATCCAAAAACACCAGCAACTGCGGTCTAGCAGCCAACTCGACACCAATCGTCAATCGCTTCCTCTGCTCAACGTTCAACCCCTCACCGGGGGTTCCGATAACAGCATCTGAATACTCCTGCATATCCAGCATCTCGATGACGTGCTCCACATAGGCGAGTTTCTCAGATCGAGATATCTCGGCGGATTGGCGGAGGAGGGCGCTGAATTCGAGGGCTTCGCGAACGGTCATTGTTGTGAGGTGGAGGTCTTGTTGCTGGACGTAGCCAACGCGATGTTGGAAGGAGGAGTCGGTTGAGAGGCCGTCGATGTGGGTGTTTCCGGATACGACGCCCATTGTTACGCGGGTTGCTAGCACGTCGAGAAGGGTTGTTTTGCCAGCGCCGGATACGCCCTGATAGAGTCAGTTGGGTTGCACAGAAGCAGTGGGTGGGGGGGGCATACCATTAAAGCTGTTGATTTACCAGGCTTGACCCATCCATCAACGTGATCCAATAATCGACGGTCCTTACCCTTGATCTGGATATCGTAGCAGAGATCTTCCCAGTGAAACACAGAAGCGCCAGCAGTAAGTCCGCTGGAAGGGTTGTTGTTGGTCTTCTCAGCGACTACAGGTCGATCAGTCGCTTGAGTCTCGATATCGCCGTGATCCTTCTCAAAGTTGGGAGGCATGCGACCCTTGCGGAAGACCAGAACCTCTCCCTTGTTCCTGGGAGGCTTCGCATGTTCAGCTGCAATGATGTACAAGATGAGGAAGCCAAAGAGAAAACCGAGAAGGATACCAATGTTGCTGTTACAAGTCAGTATAGGTCATGTAAAGGAGAGGTGTTGCATACCGCCATTTGTTAGAGTTGTAGTAGTCGAAGGACATGTTGATATACCTATCGCCATCCACCATAGACGATCCAGGCTGGGCGCCAACAACAGAGCAAATTCGAGCATTGGCGGGAAGGCCATCATAGCCCGGGCCCCGGGGAACCATACCCGCGCAGGGAAACTGTCGATTATGGAACTCACTCGCCATCAATGCCTCAAAGGCATAAGCCAAAGGATTGATATAGTTCATCCATCTCGACCATCCAAGCATGTAGTCTGTCGGCATAGTAAAGCCCGTATAAATCATAAGTCCAAGACTTAGAATCGATACGGGGATCATGGCTTGATGGGTCGTGCGGGTGATGCATGCGAGGGTGCGGTAGATACATGACATGACTAGTGTTGTAAGGTAGGATGTAAGACAGAAGAAGAAGAAGTGACCGGCGTCGCGGCGGAGATGAGCCATGAAGTAGATGAGCACGTTGAAGACGATCATGTTGACTGTTTTGTAGGGGAGATCGATGATGTAACTTGCAATGGCTTGGGCGGACTGATGGTAGAAGGCATAACGGTTATGCTTCTCAACGACAGGCCGTTCGGCATACACAGTGAGGACCTAAGCTGTCAGTAAAGCTTCTCATAATGGAAGGACGAACATACCTCGAGCTGACTCGCAAAAGCATTAAACAACAACGCAAAAAAGATCAATCCACCACGATAGTAAAAACTCGAACTATCATTCTTCAAATTAAAGAACATCGTCCCCAACACAATCGCCATGATAAGGTTAAAAATCAACGAAGCAATAGTAAATCCCGGATCAGCCAGTAATCGCCTCCAACCCCTCCAAAGGGTAAGTTTGATCTGCGCAAGGTACGAGATCGTATATGGGGACTTGGATCGCTGGTTCTTGGACTGTTCCGCGCGACGGGAGGATTTATACTCTGCGAGACGCTGCGAGGGAGGATGGTTCTGCTCGTAGGCGGAGATTTCTTGCAGCAGGGTTTTGCGCTGGGGGCTGGATTGCCAGCGCTCGGCGAATTCCTGGGGGGTTCTGGGCGCGGTGGACTCGAAGCCTGGTTTCACGCGGCGTTCCTTGGGGCTCGTCATCGAGGTGAGGAAGTCGGGTGTTGTTTGGCGATGGGGGCCTGGGATGTCAGCTTGGGATGCAGAATGTGGTGGAGGAGGACTTACACTTGAAGCCCAGGTTCTCAAAGTACTGCTTCGCTTCGTTGATGCGGCCAAAGAAGATCTGATGGCCCTCATACAGAACCGTCACACGATCAAACAACTGCCCTTGTTAGTCGTGGTCGTGTGTGTCAACGGGGAACTTACATCGTACGCAGTCTGCGGAGCCTGATAAATAGCCACCGCAGCAGCAACACCAACCAAATCAGCCTGCCGTCTCAAATTCCTACAAAAGTTAATCGCATTCCCACTGTCCAACCCTCGCGTGGTATTATCCCAGCACTGCAACTTGGCTCCTGTAAGTGCAGCCTCAGCAATACTAACACGCTTCCTCTCACCACCGCTTACACCGCGCACAAAGTCACTGCCGACACGAGTGTCCACGGTGTGGCTGATGCCAAAGATGGCCATCATGACATCGCGCATCATGGTGTCGGCTTGAGAACGAGTTACGCCGCCGGGGACGTGGCGTGGTGAGTGCGCGGATGAAGCGAAGGAGAGGGTCTCGCCGACGGTGAGATGAGCGAGATGGCAGTCGATTTCGGCGTTATAGAGAACGTCGCCTCGAAAGGAGCGGCGTATGCTCTTCTCGTCGATACCTAAACCTGTTAAGAAAGTCTTTAACAAGAAAGAAATAACATACCTCGAAAGTTCATGTAGGAGTCAGGTCCAACTTCAAGACCAGCTGTCTCACCAGCAATAGTCTTCAAAAGTGTCGAACATCCTGATCCAGGCGGTCCAAGAACAAGCAGTAACTCTCCCTCATCAACAACGCCCTCAAAGTTCCTCAAAATATCAACCCGTCTCTTCTTCCCGCCGCCAACCAAGCCAACAAGATACTTGACAGCATCAATAGGATAATCAACAATCGTCTTCTGATGTTCCGCACCAGTACCCCACCCGTAAACATTCAAGTTCTTGAACGCAACGCCCAGACTGCGAGGTGGCGCTGCTCCAGCATCGGACTCGACTAACCTCACAAAGGCTTTCACCCAAGCTCTTGGATCAAAGGTTGGTGAGTTGGGGTCGAGCTTTGTGCCGGGCTGGGGTGAGAAGGCGTGGAGTTCGTTGCCGGCTGTTGTAGAGACGCGGGAGAGCTGACGGGCTAGATTGCTGATTTGTTCGGTGATGTTTGCTTGAGGTTCTTCTGTTGTGGTATCGGCTGTTGATTCTGACTGTTGGTCGTCGTGGTTGCTGTGAGTGGACATTGTCCTTGAGATTTTGGTTGTCATTTCGATGAATTGTTTGAGTAAGATTGACTCAATTGAGACAGGGAGGTCTATTTAAGCTAGAATCATAGCATGGAGTGCGGAGTTTCAGTTATGCTTATGTATATGAATCAAGATCCAAGAGCCGCAGATGAATAACATGGAATTAGACCGATTGAGTCAATGTACAGTCTTTCCAGAACATGACGGACAAACGGAATCCGGGACAAGATCAAAACTTTTTGCGAATAACACCCTCTCTGCCCCGGGTCCCCGCGGACAATCACCCCATGAAATTCCACGTCTTGGCCTTTTCTATCAAATCGACCCGGCCCGACGGACACGGCGATTGTCATTGGTGAAGAAGTGGATTTCTTACCCACTGTACAAGGAACCCGCGGGTGTCCGAGCAGGACTGACATTCTCGCTTGTGAAGAGAACCCCTGATTCGGAATAGCTTCTCGGAACGCGAGTTTTGCGGTTTTGCGGCTCTGATGGGGTGAATGCGATGTGATGGATGGGTGAATCTGACGCAATTGAGGAGTTATTCTCTAATGGAATTGCTTGTTTCACTTTTCATCTTGTCGCGCGCTGCATCACAATGTAACCGTAGTCTTATTCTCTGTCGCTCTCGCTGTCCGCGGTTGACGTGACGCGACGCGACAGCGAAGAACGAGTGCGACCTGTGACATGCACTCATGCAGGTTTGATTAAGCTATCGAATTGTTGAATTGTTATGTTGGTCAGTTATTCTCACTTTCTTGAGATGCCAAGAGTCTAGGCTGATAAGATGTCAGCCACGTTACATGTTATTGGCTGAATTATTCTGACATAACCGGTCCATCATACGGTTTTTGTTAGTCTTACTGTGTACGCAATGCAGAGAAGAAGAGTCGGGATAATCGGGCTAATTTTCCGCCTTGAGGCTGGTTGATCGGAGAGATAGATCTGCCGTCTTTGGGTCATGGTTGCGATCGCTTTTGGAGCTTGCTATTGGTCCATGGGAGAGACGCGTTACCCTACACATCGCGATATGACTGATTAATGGCAAAACAGGCAGAAACAGGAACTACGCAGAGAGGGAAAGAAGTACAGATAATAATTGAGAGTATGGGTAGTTCTACTGAGTCGCGTCGCCAAGATCTGTTGGCAAACCACGCGTTTCCGTTGGCTAAGACAGTTCGTCAACTTCTGGGTTCGCAAAAATGCAGTGAAGCTTGAGAAAAATTGAGATCACAGTCCGATGGGCCACAGCAACAAATACGCAACTTACAATCATTAAGGGACCAGTGCAACTCAATTACAAGGCCAGATATTAACATGATTAACTGCACAAAAGACAGGCACGTCACCAAGCATCTCACACAGAGTCAGTTGAAGGTATCTGGACAAGACATGTCAAGCCCGTGATTGGGCCAGATTGCACAGTCAGCGGCAGAGTGATCCCCCTTGCTGACTTATCCACCTGGCCAATTAGCTTATGACTCCATTGGGCAAACAAAAAACTAATCATTCCGTTGAAAGCAGAAAAAGGTCCTCAGCGATCATTTGCACAGGCTCTAAATATTATTTTGGATTTTCCCCTCTGTTTTGCTATACAAATACGCCAAGTTGTAGATATTGTAAACCTCGGCAAAGTAAAGGCGCAAAGTCATTGTAGTTTGGGCTGGAATATTTATTAATCCGCTTTCTTACAATCAACCAGAACAGCTGCCCCCAGTGCCTCTTGAGACAAGTAGAATGTAACACTTTGCCCGAATCGTCAAGCAGGCAATCAAAGAACGCGTTACGGTAACGCAGCTAATTCTGCAATGCTACGCAGCCACGCTGTTGCATCACGATACATCATCTTATCGAGATAAGGCACAAGATCTCAGATCCACTCTTGAAGTAGCCGAACCGAGGTAGACCCACTTGTTCCCGAGCTTAATCATTGTTATTTGAAGACATGAGCATCTCCCAACATCAACATATCAACTCCATTCACTCTCCTTACATCTCTCATACCAAATTAATAATATGGCACCAACACTAGCAGAACAAGTGGCAGTAGACCAAGTCTCACCCGGCGAGTATGTCTCCCGCCTCAACCCCATCAGAATGGGCAACGCCATGCCCATAGCCTACGGCGGGTGTACAGCTAGCATCGCCGTCAACGCAGCATGTCACACAGCGCCACCCTCAATGTCACTGTACTCTGTCCTCGGCCACTTCCACGGCCCAGCATCAACCGATAAAAAACTCCACTGCAGTGTAACCAGCATTCGAGATACACGGTCTTTCGCTACACGAAGAGTTCAAGTCAAGCAACAGCAACCTAACGGGAAGTTCCGTGTTTGTATGGAGGTTCTCGCGGATTTTCATGTTATTGAACCGTCGGGTTGGGAATACTCTGAAGCGACGTGCTCAAAGTGGCCGAGGGCGGAAGATTGTCCGAATTTGGAGGAGTTGGTGAAGGGGTTGTTGGAGAAGGGCAGTATTACTGAGAAGCAGGGCAAGGAATTTGCGACATCTTTCGCAGCGAATGCAGATTTCTTTGAGACGCGATATTGCGTCGACGGCGTATCTTCCCAAAACCTCTCAGGCGCAGCAAGAAACACCATAACAACCCAAGACGACCGACCCATCACGGAAAAAGTATCCGCCGAATGGCAGCGCGCCCTCGGCGATCTCGAAACACCAATCGCCAACATGAGCGCCCTAGCCTTTCTCATGGACGGTGGCCTTTCATTCTTGCCATTGAGTCATAACCATATGTGGTTTGACGACACGGCTGCTTGTTCGACGCTGGACTTTGCGTTGAGGATTTTTGTGCCGGAGGTTAAGATGGGGGAGTGGCATGTTAGAGAGAGAAAGACGAGTAGAGGAGGGGGGAATAGAACGTATTCGGAGGGGAAGCTGTGGGATAGACATGGGAATTTAATTGCGAGCAATACGCAGCAGTCTATTATGAGACTTAGAGAGGGCGTTGTTGTGCCTAAGCTGTAGTGTTTGTTTGACTAGACTAGTGTACAAGAAGATATTAATAGAGTAATGTGTATTTTTTCCTAGATCCAGTCCTCCCTCAATTGCGAGTTTCTGTTTAATCGGTACCGTCACTGACGAATGGCTGTCGCCAATTACGTCTCCTGGCAGCTGCGTTCTGGATGTCTATCTCACGGTCGCGCGTTACCTCGGTCGCGGTCTGTGACGGTCCTTGAGCTGGCGTCATCCATCTCAAACCACCATTCCCTGCGACATCCGCAGTCGTGTTTGCGGTATAGTCAGGAGATAGATAGCCATACAGCTCCAATGGAGCAGAATTCTCAAACGCAGCCTGGTTATTCATGCGTGCGAATGGAGCTGACGTGCCAGGTCCATTTGCGCCTCGAGATGCAGACGGAGGATGATTCTGATTCCCAGGAGTCATTACGGCTTCTGGGGCACGGGGACCAGGCTGTGAGGTTTCGTCGATAGGAACAGTTTGCTGCTCTCGCGAGGGGGTACTCTTCCAGCATGATGCTAGAAGATCATCGTATATCTGTCTACTGGGTCTGGGAGGTGCACTAGAGGAGGAATTGTTGGGATTCTCGACCGCAGGGGTGTTTGGTACCGCAGTATTAAGCATGCCGTTGTTGGCACCAAGACCCGAACCCGAGTCTGGAATCGTCGGCGTACGACTGGTGCCATTCCACTGATGACCCGCGTCGTCTGAGCCTATCAAATTGGCTTGTATTTGCGTCGCAGCAACATCCGAAGTCTGTGTCGGAGCTTCTTCGTTCGTTTTCTCAATCTTGACCCGTGGCTCCTCCAATGTCCAGTCGGCGTCTTGGGGCATCATACCCGGTCCTTCTTCAGTGTCGCTGTCGTCGTCCGGGATCTCGATCGCTAAACGCATGGATGATCCTAACGGTGGCTGCTCGACTTCAGTGTTCTGCTGCTGATCCGAGACATTACCCGGAGCCGAGTCGGTAGCTTGATGTTCTGTCAGGCACAAGATTAGCCGTAACTCATGCGCGCCTTCACTCTTTAGCTTAACCTACCTGTAGCTACCGATTCTTCATCGCCATTCCTCAACCGATCCCGCTCCTCCATGCAGAGGATAAACTCATCAACCTTATCCTTATGAGGAATCCCCTTATCCTTGGGATCATAGGGATGAAACTCGTTGACCGGAACCCACCCGACAGCACACTCCCATGGAAAAACAGGTGCATCGATGTACATCACTGGATACTTCCGCCTATGGTGGTACTTGCCACCAGCTCTGTAGAGCTCAGTCCACTCAACCTTATCCGTGGCAGGATCGTAGTCGTAGCACGTAGGGATATCCTTCTTCAAAAGGCCCGTGTTATCCTTGAGATTCATGTCCCAGCCAAACGGGCGGAAACTACCCCACGGTAACACAAGGATAGCGTAGAATCGCTTCGTCTTCTTCCAAAAGGTAGTATACACCTCACCGGGCTGTGGATCAATTCCAGTGAGGAATTGAGTACTTCTTGTCTGAGGTCCCTCGTTGTTGGAGTGCGCTGACCCGGCTGAGACACTGCTGAGAGGTCTGCCATAATGCGCATAAGTAGGTCTCTGCGCGGCCTCATTATTCAACTTGGCCAGATCTTCATCACAATTCACCACTCTTGTTCCGAGCAGACGAACTGTGTCGTCGTACTTGGCGTTCAAGGAGCCATGTGCTTCAGCAGTCAAGTGTCTGCGAGCGCCATGGATAGGGTTATTGCTCATGAAGTGCAGGTTGTGCTCCTTGCACTCAAGAATATACCAGAAGCCCTTATGTTTGGTGATGATGTATTTTTTTTCGGCGTTGCCGTCCTGGTATACGTCGTCGAAGTCGATCGATCGGTCGCCGGTAAGAGGTCCTCGTGGTTGAGGTGCATTCGACCGGGATCGCTTTGCAGGGCGGGAGGTGTTTCCTTGAGGGGGGCTCGCAGGTCTTTTTTGTTGGGCTTTCGAGGACCGTTGAGCTTCGTCTGGAGATCGGTCGGCCGTGCGTGTTCCTTGATCTCTTGAGCTTTCTGCAGTAGGAAAGATGGGAGCGGTCTCATTCGTAGCGTTCTGCGTTGTAGGATTCGGTGGATGTAGTGATTGCAAGACAGGACTTGCGTTTGGGGTAACATACGAGTTAGTCGTCACTTCAACTGACGAGCCAGGGACAGCATCCGGCTGGGCAGGATTGTTCAAAGGCAGCTGAGCATGCTCTCGCCACTTCGTGCACAATTCGTCACCCAGCTGAGGACCGAATGTATCCAGCAACCTAAGAACAAGAGCCTCCTGCTGATTCAAGAATAACTGCTGATACTTGCGCTCTTCATCTTCCTTGTGCACTTCACGCTCTGCCTTGAGTCCTTTCAGGCGGTTTATGCAGGATAGGACATGATCCAGATTAGTTTCGAACCTGGCTTGATCCTCCTGTTGGCGCGCGACCGCTGTAGCGTATTGCGCTTGCGCTTCCTTATACTTCTCTTGGAATTCTTCTTCTGGTGACTTTGTCGGATGCAGAAGAGGCGTCCATTGCTGGAGGAGTGTCTGTATTGCAGGGACGCGCGATGAATGGAGGTTCTGAAGACTCCCCATGGTTGGGGCTGTTTTGGGCTTGGTCCACCGTTATAGGGCGAACTAGCTAGCGTCTCAGCAGTATCAACTATCAATACGCCACACTATAAATGAGTTGAAGAAAAGCGATACGGTCAAAGCATCAGCAATCGCCAGAAGAGATGGACAAGCAAAGGACCACCCAAAGAGACATGGACATTAGAGGAAAAATAAATGAAGAACAAAAAAAAGAAAAGGAAAAGGAAAAGGAAAAGGAGGCCCCTCGAGCACGTCTTTGTTTTTTCTATAATTGACAGCCTGACTTCTCTCTCAACGTCCAATCAAAATACTGGTAGACGGGGATGTTTCCCGCTGGCCCTACAACCAACAGACCAACCAATTATCAGCATGATGGGAATCCCTGCAGCATCAGCAGGTTTTGTAACGGTGGCTTGCATGAGAATAGTTTAGACTTGTTGCCTCTTTTCGAAACGGTTGCCTTGTTGTCTCATAATACTGTTGCGGACCGTTAAGCGGTGAGATGATTGCAGGCTATCAGCTATAGTCAACGCCACCTAAATAAAGTGAATCTGATTAAAGATGGCGCTCTCACTGCGACAAATGTCATCGTAATAAAACAAGGCAAAAATACCAGCTCGTCCTTACTTTTCGTAAATTTAATGGGGCTGTTTAGATGAAGCTGGGAACAAACGACTTCTTGCCGATACCACGATAGTACATCCACGTAATGATGCGGAAATGAATTTCGCACTATGCAACAAGATCCCATGGCCTTCATCGTTTGTCCACGGGTAGGAGCATAGCATCAGGGCTAGAAAACGGAAAGACACAGAGAAAAACCTGATTCTTGGAAAACTTTTGCTCAAAAGCAACATGTGATGTATCAACAAGCTTGGCGATATGTTTACCTCCGTCGCTGAACTCAGAGGACAGCCAGTGTAAATCGGGGATACTGGTAAACGCCAAGAAACTCCCGTGTCCACTCAGAAGGGTGATAAAAAGAAACACCTAGGATTATGCAGCTGCCACGATAGCATGCAGTGGTGAGGATACCGCACCAGGACGGCCTCTTGGTTTGCGCGTGGGTAGAGTCATGATAACATGGCTAGAATACGAAAAACTTCGAAGAGCACTTGCGCTAGAATGATACGTGGTTCATTACCAGATCTTGGCACTGTATCGAGAGGAAGACCGGTTAGGGCACTCCATAGAGTGCAAGCCGACGGATATGGGTCAAGGTTTAGAGGGGAGGCAACGCCCATTTACCTTGTGAACTTGGTCCTCGTTTTGTTATCCGGCGTAATTTTACTAATGGTTTAGTTGTTGAGGCTGTTGTGATGTAATAGACCTAGCTGTGCTCCTCTGTCTGTCCTCTGTTGTGTACGGGTCGCAAGCAACGTTAAGCCTAGTTGACTGGGCTTACGGCCCATCCATATATATTTTGTCTGCTCAGGTGGGGTTAGCAGTAGGAAAGGCTTTGTGGCTTAAGAGCAAAGAGACAAGCGACGCCGTTATTCTCATGATTGGAGCCATTAAACATCTGTATACTATTGAAAGGTAGATGGTATCATTGCTTAAAGTAGAAGTATAGTGAGAAGACTGTCATGCTCATACGCTTCGCCCATCATCAGACTTATTCGGATTAGCCAACTCCCTCAGACTATCTGAATCTTCCGTCCTCGAATTCAACATCGTCTTGAGTTTACTCCTACGCCTTCCACGCTCCTCATCAGCCTCCCAACGAGCCGGCTCATTCAATCTCGTTCTCGAACCCCAAAGTCCTCTCTCTTCCAGCAACGCTTTGCACGCGGCCCAAGACGTAACAGCATAAATGACCGCATTCCAGAATCCTTGAAGCGGAAGAACTGTCGCACTCATGAATTGCAACGGTTTGCTGACTTGTGACGGATGAATATGCGAATACATCCTATTAGCGCTAGACGGAATCCACGTAATGAGAATGACAGCGAAGAACAGCATAGCGACTTTTGTGTAAGCCCATGCTGCACGGTATACATCGTTACCTGGGCGGGCCTGCGGGCGTTGGACAGGTTGGGGCATGGTGCTGGTTACACGAGCGATGGGCTGAGGTGGCTGGGGCTCAGCGTGTTCGCCAATAGCGTGGACGATAACTTGATGACCCATGTTTTGCAATTGGATCTCGTCTGGTTGGGTCGCTGCTTCGGAGGTGATGGTCACTTCGGTGGTCTTGATGTTGTTGACGGTGCTTTGGTTGGCGTATGATAGACCACCTGAGCCTGAGCCTTGGGCTTTGAGAAGTTGTTGGCGCTTTCGGTAGATGGTGCCGCCGGATCGGATGTAGATTGCGAGGGTGATGGCGATGATGACCCTGATGACATGTCAGTACACTATAATGCTCTGCGCGGTAGGGAAGACGTACCAGATTGGCCCGTAGAATGTTGCGATGCGTAGAGTATCCCATGATGAGGTGATCCAGCACCATTGAACAGCGCTGCCATAAACACGAACACCGTCGCCATTCTTAATGAAGATGAAGATAAATGCAGGTAGAAATGGGATACCGTAGCAGAGTAGTAAGTACGGAAGCTCCATCTTCCGCAGTCGCTGCGCATCGAAGCGATAATAGAACGCGAGGTAAACATTAATCGCCATTGCAAGGGTCCACAACGCATCAGCCCCAACAAAGCTGCACAAATTAGCCAAGCATAAAACAACCGATAGTGTCTGTGTAACGTACGTGTGGAGTAAGAAGGCTTGTATCTGACATCCAGCTCCATCAGGTGAGTCAATAAACGAATCAGCCATGATGAAGCAAATACTCGCCATGATATTCCCAAACGACGCGTAAAATACAAGTCGATTGATGGGTTTGTGGAAGGCATCGCAGAGACAAAAGGTTGTAATAATAAAGAGACATCCTACCAGCGATAGCACGGAGCATACTTGCTGGATGATGGTGATGAGCTTGACATCGCTGGTTGTTAGCCCGAGCTCCATTTTGTCAGGCCGCAACTGCAAAACACAGTATGGAGAAAAAGCAAAAAATTCGCAGAAATCCCTAAAAGGACATTCGTGTTTTGCACCGGGGATACAAGCCATTGTCAAGGTTTTAAGTCTCTGAATCAACACCTCCTTTCATGTGACTTTGCCGAAGGATTGATCTGCAACAGGGGAACCCCATATTTGATCTTCAAGGGGAACCCGGGACGTTGCAAATCATGGACCTAAAGTAGTATAAGGCTTAAATAGTCGCTGTTTGGTAACAAATTCAATTGGTGTAGTGTCAAATTTGTTGGTGGAGAGATGTAAGACGCCGGTAGATGTTTTCGTTTGCGAGGCTGCATTTTGAGGGATCGGCATTGGTTTTTCTGGAAGGAGGATGTTGAACCAACGCGATGGGGATTGATATGAAGATCGGAGGGGACGAGCGACAGGTAGCTGGAAGAGACTCATGAAACTTGTCCTTATCTGATCAATTATTGCGACAGGCAGAGTGCTTTGATCACAGGCTATCCTGGATTGAATCCCTGTTCAGACGGCCGTCATGCAGAGTAAGTATCCAGTCTCCAAACATTAACCACGTTAACACAAAAGGTCGACGTCGATAATACGAAATGTCCAGAAATACCTCCCGAAAACTATGCGAAAAAGTATCTCTTCTCCCCTGTTGATGAGTTGTTTTGACTGACTCGCGCCTGAGACGCGGCCAGCCTGATTTTCGTTTTACCATGCAAGTGCAAAACAAGAACCTTTTCCCAATTCGGAAGGTCAGCAAGTGATATTCCCGCCATGTACGCAATGCTGATGGATTTAATTATTCAGTTCGTACAGAGTCGTCGGCATTGACTGAAATTGACTAATTTCCAGTGGTGACATGTTTATGGGGAATGGCCGAGGGCGCGGCGAGGTTGCTCCGGTGGATAAGGGTAGAGCTTGCCTGGTGAGCAGTGACCGGCTTGTACGGCGAGTAGCTAGAATTAGCGACAAGGGCCACTGTAAGCTTGTGAGACGAGCCACTGAAACTTGCTGCATAAGCTCATATCGTCCTACCAAGCCAACATGCGCAGCGCGTCTCAAATGAGTAAAGCAAGGGCAGTTTTCGGTGATACACAGGATTAAGTGTCACGCGGCACTCGGCATTAAATAATCACAAACGTAGTTTCGGCAGTTGTCTGGAAGATTCGGCCAAGGGAGATAGTCATTGACAAGAGGCATTTATGCTAGTGAGCTGCACTACATCAATTGGGAAGGTCCAGACTTCTAGACCGGCAGTTCAGATAACAACAAGACCTTAAAGAAATTTCATGATAGGGAGTAACTTAATAGTTATAAAGAGTTTTATTAAAATCTAAGAATTAATATATATTACTTAACAGCTTGTATTATAGTTTTAAATTAAAATTATACCCTTGACCTCTCTCAGGCGTTCCTCATCATGCATACAATAGTACTCTAAAACTCCATGCCGGCAGTATACCCCCTTTCCTTCATTAGGCAATTCCTGCACTAATAACCCCACTACAGATGAACGTTCATTCACTCCTCGGCCTATAGGCAGCCACAATACGTCAACGCCATCTCCCCATTCCGCGTCGTAGTCAGGAGTTTGAGCCATGCTATGCAGGACATCACGATTTGTGTCCAAATAATACTCACATTCGAAAGGCTCTGTATGTCCTGAATCATATCCAACGCAATTTCTCCTAATCAAGAGCTGGATAATGGGGGCTCTGATATACAACCTCGAGGTAGTGCTTTCTACCGTGCTTATAGCCTCAGAATGTGTAGGCAATTATAGAGGCCGCTCCGGGTGATCATCTCTGACAAATACGGATGTCTGACGAATTTCCATATAATCGACGGGACAGATAGATGCGCAGCACCAAGATGGTAACTGCGCGTTCTTTGGTCTCTTGTATGCTCCCTGCCCACTGAACTCATTGTACCATAAAAGCCCCTGGGCAAGACTCGTTCGGAAGAGGCCATTAAATTATTCAGCTTTCAGACGTTGAATGACTACAGACGCAAGACCATGAATGGCGTATAGGCGATCCGTCTCGTATGTCAGTTGCATCTTTGAGAACTGAGAAACAAGCTGATACCATCCTTCTGAGAAGAGGATGTCTTTATGGGGCATCGCCATGATTCCTCGTGGTGTAGAGCTTTCGTTAAAGAACGGATCCTCCCACGGGACTTTTGTATCTTCCAGGAAGAGAGAACTTTGACATTCAAGGTAAAGTCCTTGAAGAGTCCAATGAAGTATCCGCTTTGCTAGTACCGCCTCTTGCGAGCACCATCCGCGTTTCGTCAGCGGCAACTCAAAAAGGCTTTCTTTCCGACATGAGCTGTTGTCAATTGCTTTGAATATGGAATGTCCTGGCTCATCTGTATGAGGTCTGGCAATCCTGATGGCAATACCGTCCATGGGAAATCTCGCGAGCGGGCGTTCAGTCAAAAGGCCTTTTTGACTATCATTCGCGGCCGATGCAGAGATACAGCAGGCCGAATTTGAGTAGTACTCTCCCATTTTAGGTGCTTCCGAGTGGAAGTCACCACTTGGTCCCTGTACAATGCACATTGCATCCACCCATAAGTATCGAAATCCCATCATTCTCGTCAGAACGATGGCATCTCGGATAGTTTTTGGAAGGGCCGATACAGCAAAGCCACGCAGCCGCGTCTCGAGATTGTTCTCGGTCGTTTCGGAATTTTCGTTTCCATCTCCCCAACAATAGCTGAGGATAAGGTAGGAAAAGTCTTGGGAGTTTGTGCAACTCTTGACCTCCACAAGCTTAACCAAACGATCATTAATCTCACCAACATCAACTAGTCGACTTGGTAGATTTGATGCATTGTATTTCGTGCCACAGCTTTCGTGGTCTGCATGCTGTTCGCGACAGTTCTCCATCCAAGGTTGGATCTGGTGCTTAATGAGTTGCTCGAGTTCCTGTTGGACATTTTCCCCATTGAAGGCTAAAATGGGTTGATATTAGTATGGAACTAGTTTCTAAGGCATGCAGCATATGATTACTTTTAATCTGGCGGGTCTTTATCTTTCCCAGCAACTCTACCTCGCCAGACTCAACAAGTTGGAACCTGGTTGCGGCACCGAAAGAGAGTGTTTGGCCCTCACGCTGTATCACCGCTGACAGAGCCAAGTCCTCGTAGCACATAGTAAGGATTAGTTCAGTTGAGGCATCTCTCAGTGACTTCATAACGTCATAGGTCACCGTACAGTCGTTGACTATGGATAACCAAGCAAATCGACACAATGAACAACCTCGATCTGCTGACTCTTGAAGAGAATAGAACGTTTCGTGGAATGGTAGACGTTTATGTAGGCTTTTGTTGGAATCAGGTTATGTTGGCCACGGAAATGATGCGCAGCAGGTGCAAAGTTGTGGGGAAGGATGTATAACAGCAACAATGTTGGCATCGCTAGATTCAGCTGGACCGATACTTGCTGCCATTGTAACCAGAAAAAGGTTATTGACAGTCAACGTCAGTTGAAAGTAAATAAATAACCTTTGGAAGTTGTAAGAGAGCAGAGACAAAAACTCGACATTAAAACATCGGGTTTTAGATTCCAGATGGCTCCGCTATTGAGCCACGTGGAGGACGAATGTGCCGCTTTAAAAACTGTAAGAATTGGGATACGAAGGAGAATATATAAGGGATTAAACGATTGATTGCTGGATCAAGTCCTTGATGTAGCTGACATGGCAGTGCAAGCCGACCCACACAATTGTCACAGGCCTCATTCTTTAAACAAACCAATTGGGCTTCATTCAGCTGACTTTCTACTGCTACGTGACAGGCACTTCAGCCCAGACTCAGCCTCACCCTGTGCCAAATCAGCCAAGAGCAGCTTCAGCTTTTCAGGACTTTGTTCTAATGTGTAACCCGTAGCAAATTACTAGGCAGCTAGGGTAGAGAAGATACTAACTATATCGGGCCAAATAGAAGCATCTTTAATTCTTAATTATATATTATTTAATTTATAAAGAAGGCATAAAGTTAACTATTTATTTAAATATTTTCTTATCTTAAGATTTTATTTTATCTTAAGATCTCACTTAGCTTAAGATTTGTTTCATCTCAAGATGTCTCTCGTCATAAGAAGATATCTTATCTCAGTTATCACTATCTTATCACTTACCTCCACGCCGAGGATGGTCTTCAGCCGAAGTAACCGTCACCTCTCGAAAGCGGAAGTTTCGGAACGATTTCCGTTCCGTGCCCCGCGTTAGCCCCCGCATCACTCGGGATTTAGCCCCGCTAAGTCGGCTTGCGGCGGCTCCATCAAAGAGTTGTAATACAAAATAAAACTGACGTCTTCACACTGCACCTCTACACGAATCTCCCCATCTCACTGTATTCTTTTGTTCAAGTTATCATGTCGTGGCTATCTATTCCCTCAGAGTCTCACTTCTCCATCGCCAACATTCCCTTTGGCATCATCTCTACTTCATCAAACGCTAAGCCTCGACCTGCTGTTGCTATCGGCGATCATGTTTTAGATCTTGACGCTTTTGCAAAAGGTGATGGTTTCTCGGGTAGTTCTGAGGTTCAGAAGCATGTTGATGTGTTTTCTCAACAATCCCTCAATGCATTCGCTGCTCTCGGTCGTCCATTCCATCGCGCGACGAGGAGTTATCTTCAGGATGTCTTTGCAAAGGACACCAAGAACCCAGTCCTGAAGGATAACCAGAAACTTCAAGACGCTGCTTTACTTAAGCGCTCTGATGTCAAGAATCATCTTCCTTTGACTATTGGGGATTACACCGACTTCTACGCGGGCAAGAATCACGCTTTCAACGTCGGTTGTCTCTTCCGTGGTCCTGATAACGCTCTTCAACCTAACTATACTCATCTTCCCGTCGCTTACCACGGAAGAGCTAGCAGCGTTGTCGTATCAGGTACACCAATTCGACGACCTTGGGGTCAAATCTTGCGTCCAGGTAACAAGGTTCCTGACCTTGCGCCATGCGAGAGGCTTGACATTGAGCTTGAGATGGGCATGTTCATCTGTCGTGAGAATGAGATGGGAAGTCCTGTCCCTATTGATGAGGCTGATGAGCACATCTTTGGTTATGTTCTCATGAATGACTGGAGCGCACGAGATATTCAGGCTTGGGAATATGTGCCTCTTGGTCCTTTCACGGCTAAGAACTTGGGTACGAGTATTAGTGCTTGGGTCGTGCTGGCTGATGCTCTTGAGGGAGCCAAGGCAGCTGGTATCAAGAATGATAACGAGATTCTGCCTTATTTGAAGGAGAAGAAGGAGAACAATGTCTTGGACATTGACCTCGAGGTTGAAATCATCAGTAAGTCTACCAATCCTACTAAATGACAACAACTAACCAAGTGCAGCTGCCGCTGGTAACAAGAACCATCTCAGCAAGACTACATCGCGAAACCTGCTTTGGTCATGGCCCCAGATGATTGCCCATCACACCATCACGGGCTGCAACCTCCGACCTGGCGATCTTCTTGGATCAGGTACGATCTCTGGTACTGAGTCTGGCACTGAAGGTAGTATGCTGGAACAGACCAAGGGCGGGAAGGTGCCCATTCAATTGAAGGATGGCGAAGAGCGCAAGTTCATCCAGAATGGTGATACCCTCATCATTCGCGGTGCTTATGGAAGTGGCGATAAGAAGGTTGGCTTTGGTGAGGTTTCGGGACAGATTCTTGAGCCTCTTCCCCTGTTCAAGTGAAGCCAGTTTGAAGAGAACGAATAGGTAGTACGAAAAGCTGAATAGACTTTACTTGCATCACTTCGTCTGTCATGTTTGCGTACATTTTATCCATATCTTAGCATGTCAGATCATGGCAGCGCGACACTCCCTCAATGTTTGAGCTTCTTGAAGAAGCCCAAGCTTTCTTTTTAAACTACCGTAAGACTACTCAGACCTTGTATATCAATTCTGTATCCATCAAGCCTTGAGATTGTCAGGCGTGTCAGGCTGATTCTGCCAATGCGCCTTCACAACAGCAGGGTGATCCTTCAAACCCTCCACAATCTTCCCGATCGTCGGAAACAGCGTCAAATCAACACCAAACCTCTCAGCATTCCACATAGCAGGCATCAAACAAGCATCCGCCAACGTCAACTCATCACCAACACTACACTTCCCCGCTGAGTCCTTAACAATCTCCTCATAAGCCTTGAGTCCATCAGTCATGAGCTGACAATTCCACTCTTCTGCATTTCCGCCGAGTTCTCTGATACGGCGCATGATACGCAGGTTTGTAACGGGTTGGATGTCGGCGCAGATGATGTTGACGAGGGTTCGGACTGTTGCTCGTGCTTCGGGGTTGGAGGGGAGGAGGGGATGGGAAGGGTGTTTTTCTTCGAGATATTCTAGGGCTGCGACGGATTGACCGATGCGAAAGGGTTTGTCGCTTGATGTATTGGAGATGAGGACGGGGACGGATGCTGATGGGTTGAGAGTTTTGTGAGAATCGGAGAGATGCTCATTTTTGAGCAGATTAACAAATGCTAGCTCATAGGGAATTCCCTTTGCGTTGAGAGCGATGCGAATACGCGCTGAGCAGGAGGATCTGAAGTAAGAGTAGAGAGTATACGGAGAGTCTGACATATCGAACGATGCAGTTTGATCACGTTATTCCTGTAGATATGAGCAATATAATTGAAGAGAAGCAGAGAACCTCCTCACATTCACCCCAAGGCCACGCCCTTCTTATGTCACCAGAATGATTGTGCAGGTATGCTGTCATTGTGTAAAACGTTACCCGTCGCTAGCCTGGTAGTGCCGAACTCAGAGGTCTTGGGGGTCGGAAGGATTCCGGTGGAATGCGGGGTGAGTGTGACAATCCGGGGTAGTTCGGGAGATCAACGGCAATGCTGTTATGGAAGTGAAGTAGTTCCGCTAATGATAGCCGGCAAAATCATGATTCTGATCGATGGGAGTATAGTAACTACGGTATGAGAGTCAACTTGTGCCTTGTAAACGTGGACGAGTGATAGTTAAAGCTTATGATATCTCAACGAGGTAAAGTGCATGAGATGAGAGTGAGTTACAAGGCTTCAATGTGATTCATGGTCAACTATTGGTTCATATGGAGATGATAATCATACAGGTCATTACATGTCAAGGATGGCATGTGTTTCAAAATCTTGAGTCTATGTTTGAGAGAGAAATCGCGATCTGTATTCATTGGTCTAATTTTTATATTGCATGGACCAGCCATGACTTGTTCATACCGCTTCTGATCCGAGTAAGGTATCATGAAGGGCAGAGTCCACAATAAGCCAACGCCGATAAAAGGATGACAAAACCACTGCTGAACCATTAACAAGACCGCTGTTGAAGATGATTGAAAGTCGCTGATAACAAGCTGACAGTAGATCGATCGCTAGCAATAAATCAAGCCGCTCATGACATTATAGCCAGGTATATAAGACTGATTCATGCTTGGAAACTGTAATAAAGACTGGCCGCGGATCACCCCATTCAAGCCGACTGTCTGCGGATATGTCCAACTGGCCCTTAGGCTCTGTTGCTGCAACAAGTATTGTTGTTGCTGCGCTGCAATGGCAAGCGCTTGTTGTTGTGTAATCTCGGTCAGCCCATTATACTGAGATTCTCCGTAAACTCCTGGACTAGCAGGCGGAGATATAGAGAGAAGAGGAGGTGACGAGGGAGGAAGAGATGAGGAGAGAGAAGATGAGGGGGATGACGGAGGTGAAGGTATAGTCGGCATAGCCGTACAACCAGAGATCTTTGCCCTGTACCCTTTAGGTCGGTACTTCGCCTGAAGAAATCTCCCTTCTCGCTTCCCGGGATGATATATAACGTCATGCCCACCAGGGACAGACGGATTGACAATGACCCTCGCTGGTCCTGGATCTTTGGAATGTGAATATGTGCCATTTAGGCAGAGAGGATACTCCATCCACGGGCCGGCTACCTTTAGCGGTAGTGCCTCGCTGTTGCGAAAGTTGTGGGGGTACGTAGCCCAAGGGCTGTACTCAGGAACATGCTCGCTTTGCTTTCGCACCTCATGTGCAGGGACCTTCTTAAAAGATACGTCCTCCACGTCGGAGAGGGAGTAGTAGGAGCATGTTGATGAGTTATCATCCATGTCATCCTCTGACCTCCTCATGTGGTCCATCTCTCCTAAGTCGGCAAGGGAAGGCATTGTTCCAAATTATACAGTGCCAGAGAGAAATTAAGAAATAGGAGGCGAGCGACCTGACTTGAGAGTATAGTTGAAGAGAATGAGGTGTCTCGGTAGGGTTGACCAAGTAGTTGTAATTGTATTGATTTGCTTTGCAGCTCAAGAGCGCATGTAGCAACACTATCTGGTAATTGACTAATCTTAACCAAGTAAGTATGGCAAGTTCTTCAGAGTAAGACAGAACGGTACTGAAATAAGTAACCAGGAGACCCCAGTAAACAGGTAAGTGCTGAAAAAAAAGAAGTAGCTGGAAGAAAGTGTCGCAAAGATTGAAGTAAAATATGGTGACCAAAAGCAAGACTGCGGCTAGCAAGCTGGCTCAAGACTGAAGACGTGCTGCAAAAGTGATGATGAAGGATGAAGAAGGAAACTGAAAACAGAGGGAGGGGAGAGGGATACTTATAGACGAAGAACAAGAGAGTTTGGAAAGATGAGAGCCTTACGGGTTGTGTTGCCCTGAGTAAAGAGGAATCACAAGATCCAAATTTAGAAAGGGTCTCCTTTGTGATAGGACGAGAACTTCAGTCTTCTGGCCGTGAACGATCCTGAACTTAAAGGGTAAAACCTTAAAAGCTTAGCAGTACAGTAAGGTTATTGCCCTGGTTCAAGTCTCTGCAAGTAATATCGTAATGGGACTGTTGTTTAAGTTTATGCATTGCGCTTTCAGCCAGTAAGAGGGTCTGCCCTTTCCCTGCATACCACTCGAGTCACAATTTAATTTTGCAGGACTACTGAATAAAGTTTCATGCCGACTTGCACGTGGATCAGGTAATAAGCATAGTAAATGCTCGGTGGTATGAAAAGATTAAGTCGATTAAGTTTGAACGCTGACTTGGCCAAAGGTTCACGATCTATGCAAAGGGTATCGACCAATCATGAGTAACAAGCTGTCATTTTGTTCCCCATCGAAGCAAAATTTCTGAACGCATTTAGCTTCGCAGTGATATTCAGAAGTGAATTAAAGGCCATGATTGCGCTTTGAGTAAGTTGCTATTCGTCCTACCCTTCTCGAGGATGCCCGTGATCTGTTCACGCAAGCGAGAATGTAGCGAACACGAGATTGTAAAAGTTTACATCAGGGACTCAGCCTCTAGAGACATCACCCTCCCGCAGTATCCAATGACTGCCTTCCAAGGTGCTGGGAAGCTGAGTTAAGCTTACGTCAAAAGACAATGCACAGAGGTGACGTCTCCTGATCATGGTTGCTGTTGCTACAGTGATACTCCTCGTAGCCCAAAGAAGTTTCTCATGGGATAGCTTCGACTGTCTTACTCTTAGCACTGAAGTTAGTATAATGTGAGTCATGTTGCGTGAAGAGGAACTCACGTGGCTTGTGAAATGAGCGTCAAATGAAAGGACAGCAATACTCAAGAATGAAGACGTGGGAACCTCTTGTCATGTCCTTGGTGTGGCGTAATAAAGAGTATTCAGCAGTCATCGACGAGAAGAAACGTCAAAAACACTGGAGGACTTCATCGACGCAGAGAAGTACCTTTGTCTATGGTATTGCTGGGCTTCAGGCACTTGGATCTTAGCTCCTCAGAGCAAAGCTGCGCTGTCAACCGAGTTACTAAGGCAAGGTTTATGAAACAACCTATCACCAGGGCTGGTCCTATGTTAAACTGCAAGCTTGGTTTGTGAATAGGACGCACGCAATCCTTTAACACCTTCGATTATGGGGTCGACCGTCTCTTGGCTTCTTGCCTGAGTAGTGTACACTCATGAATCTTACTCAACGTTGATTGGACAGACAGTTCTCAAAGTCTTTTAACAGCATGTAAATGGTTGATGTTTAAGCTGAAAAGACGTATAGTTCAACAACAATGATTAATGTTATCACTTCTGAGTCAAGTTACTTCATCATGCCGGAGACAAGGTTAAGCTCTATACCAGAATGTAGCGTTAGTTAGAATGGCAATATACGAAAGGTCAGTGAGTTGACAGATAAACATGTGTGCATGTAAACCTTTCCGCCACGAGCGAAGCAATTTCGAGCGCAGCAGTGGCTTAGTCAAGCCCTTTTTGCATAATGAATTGAAGTCTAACTTGTATAAAATTAAGATATCGTGATCACGCTGTCTATGACGTGTTCGCCTTCACGAGGTAGCTAACTCAAAGGTGATAGTCATCGGGTCGCTGGACCCTTTGTCCCCTTCTCTCCCAAACTCCCTCAATGTTCATATCCCTCGCTCCACTGTGACATGTCAGTATCGAATTGCCAGGAAGGTTTTCAGGCAACTTACTCGTCTCTCCAAATGATGGTAGGTTCTGTCTGACCCTTCCCAGGGTTTCTGAACACAATGTTCTTTTTCTATGCAAATGTTAGCCACCACCGCGTTTACGTGTTGAAGTGATACGTACCAATCCAAGGGATAGGTGAATAGCAGGAGGATCAACCGTGACCTTCTGCTCAGGCCGTCCGCCGTTCACCATAGCAGCAATGTTCTGCGCAACAACCTGGGCCTGTCCAGCTCCAGGTCTCGCAGCCTTGTGAGCGCCACTATCGGCAATATCACCGCAGGCATAGAGATTCGTGTACTCCGGGTCAGCGAACTGCAGAGTTGGGGCAACCCGAATGAAGCCGTTGGCGGGGTTGATGATTTCGTATCCTGGCGTGGGCTGAAGATCGTTCAGGAACTGGTTGTTTGGTGTTTGGCCTGTTGCTGGAATGACGAGATCTGTTTGTATCTTTCGTCCGTCTTTGAGTTCTAGTTCGAATGTTGATCCGTCTGTTGGGAAGCCCTTTGACGGGATGACGGCTCGTGTGCCGGTGATAACACTGCTCCGTTAGTATTTCTAATTTCTTCGCGTAAAGGCTTACTTACTCAACACCAAGCTCCTGCAATCTATCCCGAAGAATAGCATCCATCTTCTCATGATAAAGCTGCATAAGCCTATCCCTTGAATGAACCAACGTAACCTTCTTCTCCGGATAAACCTCCCCTAGATCCGTCGCCATCTGCACCCCAACAGCACCACCACCAACAATAACAATTGACTTTGCATTCTTGATTCCTTGCTGATAAGCCTTGAAGTAATCGACAGAAGGCTTCTTTTCATCGTGCTGCATGTTACTAGGTGCTTGAAGTCGAGTTCCTGTAGTGACGACTGCGTACTCAAAGGGGATTTCTGTTGAGCCTTGCCATGGTCTGTCGAGAGTGAGTTGGTTCTTTTGGAGGGACACTGCTCTGGCGCGAACTATGGAGTGGTTGGAGGCGTTGGGGAGGGAGGAGAAGAAGCCGGTGTAGGGGATGAAGGCCTTGTGTTCGTGGTCTGGCACGATGGCGAATCGAGGCTGAGGGGTGTTAGTATGAGTTAGAAGGGATTGAGGCGTGACTTACGAATGCGAAGAGATGATGGAAATGGCTGTGAGGCTCTATTAACAGGACCTAAGCTATTGTTAGCATGTTCTTTTTGAGTATACAATGCGATGCGGTATTCGTACTCGGTGAGTAACTGGCAGAAGCGTAGCCAGTTCTTTCACAGCAGCCTAGATTCTCATGTCAGTCAAACCATCACCATTCCCAAAAGAATAAACTTACAAGCCCAACATACGAGCCCCCAATAACAATAACATTCTTCAAACCAGCAGTCATCTTGAATAATCTTTAATAAATGTCTTCAACAATAACAAGAGAAACAAGAAAGCGAGAATTAACAGATGAAAAACGACGAGATCTCGGCTTCTTTTATCTACGCCATCTTATCAATCTACGGGGTCCCCGCCTCCGGATGTACGCTTTGCCGGTTATCCGAATTTAATTCCGAAATCGGCTTTTTCTTTCGGCATTTTATCCTTTCTTCATCAAAACGCGAGTCAGCGCTAAAGAAACGCCATGATTTAGTGCCCGGCTTGGAAATGCGGCTTTTGGACCTGCATGCGAAGGTGACGAGTTCCCCAAATTGGATGGGGTGAACGTTTGGTTGCTTGGCAGGGATGGGATCTTGGATGTAACGTCGACTCTGGGTTGAAGTCATACGAATCTATTGTTCGGCCGAGTTAATGAAACTCTATATAGAGAGATCTTCATTAAAAAGATGGGTGAGGTACTGATGCCGATGGGTTGTGACTCGTAACGCGCGGCTCGGCTCGGCTCGGCGCTTAATAATCTTGAGCGGGATGAGATGACGAAGCAGGACAAGGGAAGCGTAATAACAATTAGTTCCAGGCCTTGCATTTACGTAGTAGCGTGGCATTGAAGCATAAACTATCTTTTCTAGACTTGAATGACTCATACAGCCTGCTGAACGTCCTTTGTTGAGATAGGGCTGCGTCGTCATCATTGGTGATTGCGTGCTCCACTTTCATCAGATCAAATTGGAGATGTTGAGGTGGGTCCTCTTCTATGTCAAGATAGGACGACATTGCGCAATGGCTGATGTAGTTGCCAGGTAGTCTAATAATTCTCTACCGATGATTATTATGTACTGTATTATCATGAATGTGATACACTTCATCGAACTTAGGGCTGGGCTCACGCCTTGGTTCTATACAATTAGACAGGGCGATGATAGAGTCGGATATTTGCAAATGACAAAGCAAGTTAAAACGATGCAGACGTGGACCGAAGGCCTTGTCTATAGACCTGGAAGGATCTTATAGTAACTATAATCTTATCTTCGTATTCTAGGCAGTAAACATAATTTGTCGAGTTCTAGAGGAACGTTTGAATCATAGGAGAATCTCAGTCAGAACTATCGAGGATGGCCGATAGTACTGGGGCTCAAATCTGTTGTCTTCTCGAGTCTCCCATAGCCTGACCTGCTTCGTCTCTCATGTTCAGATACCCTCAAGTGCAGGGTTTTTATAGAGATTGGGTTCAAGATGCAAAGGTTCGTGGAGTAATAGAATACTTAGCAAGTGAGAAGAAGATGGCTATAAATATAATACGTCAAGGGTTTTCCTCCTGTTAAATCTTGCGCTGTAAATGGAAGACTGGTCTTACCAGTACCAATCACCGTGAGCTTATACTTCGTTCAGATTGTCCCAAGACACTCATTTAACATACAATCGCCCATCCAAACGCCTACAAGGTCCTGGCCCAAAACTAATTCTCAACCATAGAGCTCAACTTCTTCAAATACTCCCTCCCTCCCTCAACAATCCTCCTATTCAAGATAACAAACTCATCCTCCTCACTCCCCTCAACAGCCAAATACGTAAAGAAAGCACCCAGCTCCTCATTCCGAATAACATAATCATCACCTAACAGCAACTGAGCTAGATACCCAGGCACTCTCATTCTCTTTGTGATAACACCACCAGGTCTTAACATCCAAGCCTTCCAAACAGCCGCGTGCTCTTTTGCAAGCTCTAGTGAGCGAAGCTCATACAAGCCCTGTAGACTGTTAGGAGGGTTTGAGGTAGGATGAAGGGAGGACTTGTACTTTGAGTTTGCGAGGATAGTCGTTTACCCATAACTTCGCATCTTGGTCTTGAACAACCCACTTCCCACTGAGATGAATAAACCGAAATGGGTCTCTTTTAGGCTGTTTCTCGAGAAGTGGTGCGAAAGCGAATTGGAAAGCGAGGGGGTACTCCATATCAACGTTGACGTTTCCTCTATACGAACCCATGGCACTTCAACTATCAGCCTATGCATCTTCAAACACCATCATTATCCAGAGGGAGATCAAGGGCAACTTACCAGATCATAGCAGCAGCATCAACATGCGGCAATAAAACATCCTCCGACCATTTTGAAAAGTCTTTTATCATAACTGTCTGAAGTTTCGGATGATCTGATACTTCAGCGGGGAGGGCGCGGCGCACGAATGCGACTACTGATGTGATGTTTGGATGGGAGAGACATTGGCGGAGGGCTTCACCGCCGATGGAGCCTGTTGCGCCTAAGAAGAGGACTTTCATTGTGAATTGGGGATGTACTGTGAAGTTTTGTTGGGAGGAGAGTTGAGGCTCAAGTGACTGTTATATACAGGAATGTAATGTTCGTTTATGGAAATACTGGTTGCGGACTTTCAAGGATGACGATCCCAAAGTCCGCCAGCCTCAATCAGCCATTTGCGTATCTTTAGTTATCTAATTACCACCTAAATAAAGAGAAAGGAATTGCAAAAGGTGGCCAATTGGAAAGGAGATTAAAACTGGTCAATTCGGCTTACGCTTTGGCTTATTTTACAAGCCAATACGCTATACGAAAATGCTGGGAGTCGAGATTAATTCTCCGCAGTGGTGTCGTGGCTCACATCAGCCAAAACATTCCTTCAGCGGGTCATCCAGTTCGAGACGCCCTGCAATAATGATAATATCGGATGGACTAATAGGTCCTTATGTCGTGTCAAACTCGAAAATATTGTGTTCAATTTGACGCAGTAGCAGTGGTAGTATTGTTAGGCAGTCAATCGCTATGCGCGCCATCAACAAGGCCCAGCCAGCCGATTGCTGGGTTGCTCCTCATTGACACTTGACTCGCTGCCTACCGAACCGGCCCGGTCCTCATTGTCATTGCAGACGAGCCATTGACTAAGTATGAACGTGAGGAATCTCAATTGAATCCCATCTTTGTAGTATCATATCCGTCAATGGCGCCAGCTGATCTCATCTGTCGTCAAGAGAGCTCAAAGGGCAATAATCATGGCCGAAATAATGCCCGAAATACTGCCCGACCCTATATTCACCTTGTCAGACCTCACGCTCACTCGCGCCCAAGCCGACGACCTAGCTTCGATTCAATACATCGTCAACGCAGCATATGAGAAATACATCCCTCGGATTGGCAAGCCTCCCGCCCCAATGACAGCGGACTATGCATCGCTGCTCACAACCCATGACATGTTCATCCTGCGCACCGCTCAATCACCCATCGGCGCGCTCCTTCTTCATCACGACACTAGCGCAGAAGCCATGAAAGTCGAGAACCTAGTCGTTGATCCAAGTGCGCAAGGCCGTGGTTACGGCAAGGTGCTGATGCGCTATGCAGAAGACTTTGCGCAGTCGCGAGGTTGTAATGCGTTGGAGCTGTATACGAATGTCAAGATGGTGGAGAATCTGAGGCTGTATTTTAAGATGGGGTTCGTGGAGACTGGGAGGAGAAAGGAGGATGGATTTGAGCGTGTATATTTTCGTAAAATGATAAAATAATGTGCGAATGAACTTTTATTCAATTGCGATGCATCGATTGATCGTCATGTACAGATGAAGGCGACGCGCAGATGAAGAGCCTGCTTCACATCGCGTGCGCCAATTGATCGCCACGCTCAAATGCTTGGTATGTACAATTACATCGGGTATCTCTATCGCGACAATACAATGCTTGCTGCCCTGCCCTCACGAACCCTTCAACCTCTCAAAACTAAAGTTCCAAACCTCTGCCCTTCTCGGCCCATCACTCGACTCAACCAGCCCAACATGCTGCAAAACACTCGGATCAAGCGCCCACTTGCTCAACCCATTATCCCTCGCGTAATCCTCCATGATCATATCCCCCGGGAACTGATACGGCGGCTCCCGCAGAAAATCCTGCAGGTTCTGCAAGTGATGGTTCGGAAACACCAGCCCTTGTGCACAGCATCCGTACCGTGGCATTTCGCGCACCGTGGGCGAGCGCGTGAAGAGTCTGTGGAGTGTGATTCGGCCGGTGACAAAGGCGAGGGCTAGGCAGGCGGGGATCCAGAGACCGAGGAGTAGAGCGACTGTTTGGGCGAAATCTTTGGTTGCGAATGATCCAGCGTGGCGGCGTTGTCTGCATCGCAGCGCGAGTAAGAGACACGCTATCAAGGCGGTATATCCCAGTATGACGACCTTTAAATAGTCAAAGATCTCTTCGTTGTTCCAGCCCATAAAGATCTCGGAGTAGAATAACCGCAGGTACATCCAATCTTTATGCGCATCGGTCGCCTTCTGTTCAACTTCCATAACACCCTTTTTGAACCTCGTGAACCAATCGGGCGAAGCTATGATATCGTCTTCGATGAGCGCAAAATAAGTCGGATCGCGTTTTCGACACGTTTCGAAGAGGACCGAGTGGTCAAGTCGTATGTTCTCCACGCGATCGTCGCTTCGTCCCATACCGCGAACATCGTGAGGAAGAACTTTGTAATTGAGCTTCGACTCAGTTTTCGTATCGTTCGAATACACTAAAACATCGTCGGCCAGACCGAACAACCAATCCTTCCCATAAGCGAAGTGTCTCGTGGGATCTTTATCCGCTAGCAGAACAACAATGTGAATCTGATTACGCTCATTCGGCGTCAACGTATCAACAAGACTTCCGACCGTATGCGCCAAAAAGCCCGATGTCGTACGATTGATACTGGGAATGCCGATGCAGAGAAATTCATTGTCGACTTGTACTTCGGTGCGTTGTTTATGCGCGACGGGATAAATCTCGCGTTCGAGGAAAGCGTCGACTTGTTTTTCGCGGAGGGCTGAGTAGCGACGGTTAAAGGCGATGCGGGACTTGTAGAAGAAGGATGAAGGGTCGTCGTAGGAGTTGCGGTAGGACCAGATTAGGGCGGTGAACCACATCAGCCAGAAGCCGATGTTTGCGTGGGAAGGGCGCATGTCTTCATGTCGCGTGCGATTGAAGAGAGGATGTTTGGAGAGAGAATTGATGGGTTGGGGGGAATTGAATCGGGTTTAGGGATTGGGGGAGTTTGACTTAGGGCGCGGCCGCTGATGTTACAGTGTTTACCCCGCTGTACCGGAGATACGAAGTGTGATGATTGGTGCGTTTGCGGGGCCCCTTTTTAAGAACGCTAAGCCTTACGCTTTGATTGGTGATATCACTACACGTGCTGAATCCTTTGAGATGCATCCGAGGCGCAGTTTTTGCCAAGGTATTCAGGAACACGCTGCTCTGTTCAGAGGAGGAATTGAGAGCAGAAAGGGTCTGCGTTTCTCTTGTGCTGTCAGTTATTTCTGAGAATTTGGGATTCTCAATCAGCAACACTGAAGCTTGTGTTGCTGCTCTGTAAATCACGTCGGTGCCAGTCAGATATTTGTGAATAGCGCCAAGTTGAGAATGCGCTGGTGGAGTGAATGTCGCGCATCACCAGATAGAGTGAATGAGCACAGATCTGAAGCATTGGGTGTGATTAACTTCAGTCTATGAGCGTGAGAAAGACACATATCTGGCACTGACAAGACTCAATCACGAGCGAATGAATCATGCCTCCTCAGTCACAATGGAGATATATACTCCCTACACGCCCAATGTCATGTCCAAAGTCACGCTTCGGCATACAGAAACAAACACTGCATTACAAGAACCAGAACACTTAACTTCACAATGGCTACAACAACCAAGAGCATTATGTGTCACCATGGTATCATGCCCCTTCCTCCTCTCGCAGACGAGGATATGACTCTGAACCCGTTACTCAACGACCTAGCATGCAAACAAAACGCCAACATTAGATGCGAATGCACAATATGCAGAGACTACTGCGAAGAGATTGTCCTTAAGCATAAGGCAAAGTACTGCACTGACTGCCTTATGCAGTGTCATCCGAAAGCAAATGTGTTTTTGGATGTCGAGGTGTAGCGGTGCAACCTGTGACTGAAAGACATGGGAGATAGATGGGTTGACGAGGGAAAGATACTGGCTAAAGAAACTCATAGAGAGAAATTAATGAATTGGAACTTTTGTCAAGATGTTTACTTTTGGTAACTCGAGCTAATAAGAGAGTGATAAAGACAAGGATGGCGAGTTCCGCCATGACCTAGAGAAACAAACGTGTTATTCAGAGTGATCATTCACAATCAATCCATTTCAAGTAGCACCTGTAGCTAAACGTGAGTCGAGAGCGTGAAGATATAATAATAGAAATCTCAATGCCAATATCAAGGTATAGAAGGTCGCAGAACATACAGTATTACCCCAAGAGGTGAGGCTTCAACAAACCTAGGAGTAACAGATCCATTAGCAACCTAAACATTCTAAATCTCACGAGAAAAGCCTTAACGTAGTTCGCACACTATCAGTGATATTGAGGTGTGCCTGCCAGCTGGTAGATCTATGAATTACTGCTCTGCCTGTTAAGTCTCTGCAGGTGAATGTGAGTAGTACGGCAAGCTGACAGCAAACTGGTGAAGGCAGTGCTGCGTATAACAAGCCTTCACTGGAAAAGGTCTCACTGTAGGCATTGGCCGTGAATCTGACACCTTTTGCACGGTGAGAAAGAGCATCAAAATGCCCGTGATAAGACTAAGCAGCTGGGGAATGAATCATGCTTGTCAACACGAAGTTGAATATAAACCCGCGGCTGGTCCAACCTCGGCTGGAAATTCACACCTCAACCAACCGCAACACAGACACTACTACAGAAACATCCAAAAAAACGCCCCATCTTTCAGTCAAACACTATGCCTCACCACAACACCACCCCTGACCCCTCTCCCTCCCCTTCAGGCGACAGGATAAATCCCCACCACCAGTCCATCAACCACGCAGCCAACAAAGAGGGTGCCATGTCACTTTGCGCCTGCCCCATACCACCACAATGCACGAATTTCGTCCTAATTAGGGGCTTCAGGTGTCGTTTCTGTGTTGAACATTGCCCAGTCGAGGAGTCGGAAGCGCCATGATCGCAGCGGGAGGAAGATCATAAGGAGAATGGAGTAGGAAGACCACTATAATTGGGTATTGATGATACTCATTGCGGATGGTTATACATGATACTTATACAACTTCCCTGGAGCGGATTTACCAGGCGATAATAAAGAGACTCTCTTACAACTTACGTATCAATGTGTCGGTGTATGAGTGAAGCATTCATAGTTGCGGTTGTATTATTGAACAATGGCAAAATCACAGTGACACCCGTAGCTAGCTCAGCTCATCGTGAACAACAAGCTCCATAAAGACCATCAAGTAGACTTTGGAGTCTCCCAATGAATTAACTGTCTCTAAATAGCTATATAAGCTCGCCATCCATGTAGTAAAGGATCTTGAAGTCACATTTTAACGTAGCAACGTACAGACAGCTCATTACGCTAACCAACAACCCTTCGAACTTGCACAGTCACAAGACTAAGATGCAGGGAAATGTGCAATGACGACCTAATCTCTCTTCCGAAGCTGGCCATTCTTCCTTCTGAGGCTCTGAGTATTGTTGTTTCTGATTATGAAAGAGAGGCAAAGCGCTAACCAATCATGCGCATCCACCATTGGTGATAACTGCCCGAATGTTGTCAAGCAAACTAAGAGGAAGTTATGCGAAACGTGTACTGGGGGTATACATAATGCTCAGTAATGGGGTAGGGTCAATGGGACTTATGGGTAGTTGACAATTGGTGCGAGAGGATTGTCTAAGCCATCTAGCATCGAAGAGCGCCATTCTCTATAGTCGCAATTTCACGATACTGCCTTTCTGTTAACGTTACCTCTTGGCAATCAAACCTTTTTATGCAAAGCCCCTGTAATGACTGCTTCGAGCTGTCTCGAGTTCACAGTAACCGTTAATGTATGATGGTCTACAAGCTGTGAACAGTTGCGTGTTTCAAGTCCATCAGTAACGGGAGCACGTCCGATCATCAATGAGCTTGCACAAGACTCCCAGTCACAGTACATGTTAGATGCCATCACGGCTCTCGTTGTGAGTGAAGAGTTAAACCCGACTTTCACCCTCACTGAAACATTGGGGCAACTCAGGGACTCTACAATTGAATATATGAGATTGCTTCACGCGCAGTACAAGTCGACATAGTCACTAAACACACTCAGACGAGCCGCTAAAGAAATTACTACACCTCAACCACTCATCACATTCAGATCACCATGTCCCAGAACAGTTCATCCCCTAGTACCCCTCCCAGCAATTCTACGCCTGAAGAAACAGCGACAGATATTGACCCTTCGAACAATATCAACGGTCCTAAGCAACATGCCAATATAGTTTGTCGGTCTGATGATTACTACTGCGATCCGTGTATTGCTGCAAAACATAGCTATTTACCCCCTGGTCTTGATACCTCAAGCTGGGGATATGAAGCTATAAACTAGGCTATGGACTAAGCATCAAAGAGAGACATTCGTTACAGCCATGCTTTTTCCTCGTGACATCAATCTAATCTAAGTTGGCTTACTAGTGGCAAGATCTACTACCGGACATACCATTATAATTATGTCCATGAGAATGGCTTTATGCCTGCCAAGACGGCCTCGACCCGTAAGGCACCATCAATCCCCTAAAACGTACAGAGCTTGTCCCGTTCCACTGTAGAATAACAGACGTTTCCATCTTAGCGCCATGGTTGGCATGTTGCCAAGAAAGGTAAGACACCAAGAATTGTCGGGGCCAAACTCAAACTCAAGCCATGTTATTTCTGGAGCCTGCTTTGAGAGGGTATAAGAACAGCCACGTTGCTGTTATTCCATTTTTTTTTAAGATTATGCTTCTTGTAAGAGAGGCCAAATGCTATAAATAAGATATTGGGGCACCTGGATCACAAAGAAGGCCCAAGGCATGCTGGAAAAATGAAGAATTCGGGGGCAAAGGATATCCTGGTGGGTTCATCCATTCTACAAGGACTTCTGGTGCTAATGGTTACAGCTGTCTCAAATACTCGTCATCATAGCGACAATCCTCGTCATCGCCCGTCTCAACCTCCGTCTCCGAATCCAAAAGCGAAAGTTACTCCTCAGCGACATCTTCATGATAGCAGCCTGGGTCTCTGGCGCCATTACAGCTGCATTCAGTCCCGTGTTCGCCCTGCTTGATGCATTTAACCCGAATGTCCATACCACCTTGAAGGGATACAACGGAGGGTCTGCGAATCTGGTCTTGATACTAAAGGTGAGTAGTAGACTCGGTAATACGGACGGAGCTGACGTAATGTAGTTGCTCTTCGCATCGAGCTTTCCCTTTTATTCGACGCTTTACTTGTGCAAGGCTGCGCTTCTTGCTGTTTATCTACAAGGGTTTCCTGAGTTTATGGTCAAGAGAAGAAGGTTTCTCTGGGTGACGATTTGGTTTGTCGGGATAAGCTATGTTATCACTATCGTGATACTGTTTTGTATTTGTTTGCCCATCGACAGAAGCTGGTAAGTCCGTCAAATGCAAGCACGAGGAAGGATGGAACTGATCGGTACCCAGGGATCTTAGACCTTCCAGGACCTGTCCAATGTGGACTTATGCTGTCACGTTCCAAGTCGGCTGGGGCCTATCCTTTCTAGGAGACATTTTGGGTGAGTTGAAGTGATTTACACAAGTGTCTTGACTAACTTCAAGAAGTCTTCATTCTGCCGTGGTTGATCGTTCCGGCGCTACACGTGAGAAGGACACTGAGAGTAGGCATATACTTCACCTTTCTTCTCGGCACCGTCAACATGGCAGTTAGCCTTGTCCGCTTCGTAATGATCTGGAAGGCTGGCGCCGATTCCAGCATCTCTCTGAGCACAATTGGTACAGCTGTCCCCGCCTAACCACGTTCACAAAGCTCACTATATCGCAGTGCTTTGGAGTGCTCTAGACGTCAACATGGGTCTGGTTATCGCTTGTCTCCCTTCACTCCGCCCATATTTCGGATCACGGACCAAGTCCGAAGAACCAAGTCGAGATAACAACAGCTGGCAGTCTGCAGGCAATCACTCTGGCTTTGGGAATAGAACTATATGCTTCCATTCCAAACAGCGTGATGAGGCAGATTGGCCATCATCATCTAATGGCCATGCAAGGTACTCGTCGGTGGATCAAACAGTGGTTGGATCCTGGGATGAGGCGGAGAGGTTCAAGGACGCAAGTGATGTTGAGTTGACAGCTCTTCCGGGAGCGAGAACAAGAGACGTTAAACATGGCAGATAGAGGCAGGAATAATAGTTGGGTAATATTACTGATTCCACTGAGACAGGCAGGTATTTCACGATATGTAATATTGATCAGATCAAAGTTATGTACTAGAGAATGACAAGTCATGTCTCCACGTATGGAGAAATGCCTCGTGCTGAAAAGTATATCCCCCATGAATTGACACCAAGTCGAAGACATCCTGATAATTTTCACATCCACCATTCTTAAGCTGATGTCTTCAATACCCTTGAAAGACTTTTGCCCCAGAGCTTCCAAGCCAACAACCTCTCACGGGCAGTACGGCGAAAGTCTTACTTAGTCTGGACATAGATGGAAGAAGATCCACTGCTCTGGTATCCCTCGGTAGCCAGAATCTGGTAATAATGGTTTCCAAGTCTCATACCAGCCTGAGCCCAAGCATTGAAGTGGTTCTGCATGTTGACGGCGCCACTAGTACGCTTGTTGCGGCGGATGGACCAGTACTGGTTGAAGGTCTGGACACCGTCGATGGATGGCTGCTGCACGCGGGTGGTTTGGTAGAGATCGTAGGTGTCACCGTCGGAGTAGACGGTACCCTTGTGCTGACCAGCAGAACCAGGGTTGTAAGTGCCGTAACTCTCGATGACCTGGAAGCTGTTGTGAGTAGGTGAATCTGAGTTGAGATGGGGTACGTACGTAGTACTCAACGAGAGGGCCGCGAGTCCAGCCGTAAACGCAAAGGTAGCCGTTACCCTGAGGGCTGAAAGAACCTCCATAGTTGATGGTTCTGTAGCACTATTAGCAAAGCTTTCTTCTCAAATCAATAACATTTCCAACGTACCGTCCAGTACCAGGGTTCCAACCCTTTCCACCAACAAAGTTACCAGTGTTGCGCCAATCAACCTGGTAGTGACTACCCTCACCCATGCGGTAGTTGGCATAACCACCGCCGTCAGACCACCAAGAGTAGAAGTATCCGTTGTGGTAACCCTCAGAGTTACCGGTGACCTGACGGGCCTCGAGGACTGAGGTGGAGTTGCCGTCGTCTTGCTCATCGAGGAAGTCAAAGGGACGAGCGAGAGCTCCGGTGAGTGCCGAGGCGGCGAGGAGAAGAGACTTGAAGGAGACCATGATGGCTTTCGTAAGAATTGCTGGATGGTTGAAGTGAAGATTGAAGAACCCTAAGAGCTGGAGAATCAGCAATACTGGCGAGCTAGATGGCCTTTATATGTTGTAGACGGCTTCATTTCGTCTACTGACCAGTCAACTGCCAAGCATCTAGTGATTAATGCCAATATCATCAGGCTCATCAGACTTTCTAGCTTGGTGCCCTACCTCGGAACCTGACTCTCCGTCACTGGCAAAAGCAACTTTTTGCATTCATCTTGGACATTTCAGCCTCTTCTTCCCCACTCGCATAAAGGCCAAGACGGTAAACACTGGAGCTAAGACGGTAAGAACTCTCCTGGCCAATGACACACAGACAACCCCTTTTGCCCAAGAGTCACTCTGTGATGCGATTGGCACGAAATTCCTAACGTGATGTTTCCTCCGCAAATTTCGATCGGTGACATCCATCTTTTGTATTCCGGCTAAAGTGACATACCCCAATTCCTCTTGTCCGGGGCTTGCGATCGTGACTTGGGATGCCAGCGGCTTATTGCGGGGAGGCGGGGATGAAGTGCATCATGGGGAAAAGGGAGTGCACGTGGCAGACATCTCATATTAGGCTGCTATGCCGAAGGATAAACATGCGTGCCAAGCTTCCTTCTAAGAGCGAGTAAGAAAAGCAGGATAACTCGGTGTTACAATGGGGCCACTTCTAGCAGCCTGCTTTTCATAATGTGTATCCAGGATGTCAATACTGAGAGCCGAATCTATTGCCGGGGCTGCCCAGAACATGGATTCAATAGTGTGATTATACTTGGCATCGGCTGCTTCCACCTTGACGGGTAAAAGAAGCTTTAAGACCCTATATAGTTCTATAGTTTAAGTCAATTAAACTTAGAATGTCACTACGTTGGAGCACTCACTTATTCTCTAGCGTTTCTCTTGAGCAATACTCTAATATTGTCCTTGAGTTATAGCTCGCTAATCAAGTCGATCTTCAGATCGAAGTAGTATTAGATAATGAAACGCGGCGTAGAGGAACGTCAACTAAGGTTAATTTTTAAAGTCATAATGCTTCATCCCGTCGGGTCAATCCGGCTCAACATACTTGACCCGATGTAAGATGGCTCTTCTGATCATATGCACGATCCATGTATGCCGTATTCTGGCTAAAGTCCACGATGCACGAGATTTCACTTTAACCTCGGGTCGTCTCCGTGCTTGGTAAAAGATCGACGTCAATCTTATTCCCTGAGGAACTTATTCCCTAATAAGGTTCTTTGTGTTGACTTTTGGCGGTTTAGGCTAATGGCCGGTTAAGTTGGCAGGAGGATATAAGTGCTGTAGTATAAGTATAACGTGTTTCATATGTGAGTGCTTAGATTAGCGAGTGCATTACTCCACTTTCTGCCAGACAGGCGGTCTGCTGCCGTGTTGAATGGGTAAAGAGACATATGCTGAACTTCCCTCGCTTCTCTCCAAATGGCCAGATGGGTATTCCAATGTCCGAACCTTTCATCGCGGTGTAAGCCGATTTTACCTCAAGTCGGGTCATATGTAGATTGAAACATATGTTATGAAAAACCTGAGCCTTGAAACTCGTATAACTCTCCGCGTGAAGTATTGTTGGTCATCGAGAACACAATTCTTGAGTTTGGGAAGGGACCCTTCCGATCGGCTAGTACAGGTTAACTTGTCTGTTGGTTGACGACGTTTTTGCTCTGGTCCACCGGTACCGGTGGCGGGCTGGAGAAACCTTTGTTTATTTCAACGCATAGAAGTCTACTCTAATTGTAAAGATCACAGTATAGATACGATTTGCTAAAATGGTATTTTCCATTGCCCATGTTGAACTGGGGCACGTGTCTTGGATTGAAGTCATCATAGTTGGGTTCTGAGCATGACACACAGTAGCGGCTTTGGAAGAATTTGGAATGTAATGAAAATGGAGAGACGTAAAGTTATTTATATGCTCCATGATCCCAAAGCTCTTCATTGTCTAGGACTTAAAACTGTGTTATTGCTGATTAAATGCTGCATCGCGATATCTACATGGTATCTACTAAGATAAGATAAGATAAGATAAATGACGTCGTCAGACGGATAACGCGGCATATCGAGAACTCAAGGTTTCCAACTTAATCAGTAAGACGCGTCCCTCCATTTCCGTACCCAAAAACACGAATTAAACCAGTACCGAGATGTCGTCAACGAGTATTGAACAGGCGGGCAGCTCGCTGGAAGAGCAGCCGCTTCTGCGTCCAGGCAGAAGAAGACTTCCGTCCTTGAACGTCCAACATTGGCATTCTCATCCTTTCAGAGGTGATCCATGGACCGTGAGAAGTACGAAACAGAAGACTGCGCAGTTTCTTTCGTCGAAAGCTGGGCATTACTCTGTTCTTACTCTGGTTTCGCTTGATGTTCTTAGCATGATTGCTGGTACGTTGGGCTTGCCGAAGCAATGTGCACAATAAGCTAACTGGAGAAGATTTTATCCTCAATCTGTTCAAATGTGAGCAAGGCAGAAAAGGCTCAGATTGGGACTTGGCTTTGGAGATCCTTGGCTCTGTTAGTCTGGTGTTCTCATGCCTCTTCGTCGTTGAACTCATTGCCTCCGTTTGGGCCTTTGGCTGGAAGTCAGCCCTGCCCCCCTCTCACTCAAACCGCGTAGACTGACATCCATAGATACTTCAACTCTTGGTTTCATTGCTTCGACGCCTTCATCGTCATTGCAGGCTTCATAACTGACGTTGCACTCCGTGGTATCATCGAGGAAGTCGCCTCTCTGATTGTCGTCATGCGGCTTTGGCGAGTCGTGAAGATTATCGAAGAACTTGGAGTTGGGGCTCAAGAAGAGACTGAAGAGTTGAATGTTAAGTTGGAGAAGTGTAGAAGTGATAATGAGGAGCTGAGGGATGAGATCTCGCGGCTGAAAGGAGCGATGAAGAAGGCGGGTTTGGACCAGGAGCTGAATATGGAGGCATCTCGAACTGAAAATTGAGGTCTTAGCGAGAAAGACTTTACGGCCTTAATAGTCTATCAGAAACGTATCACGGCAAAAGTGAAGGATTTGCGCTACAGCCGCTGTGAGCCTGCCATTGGGATGCTCCTTAAAAGAAAATAAAGCTTGATAGGTATAATTGAGTTCCGAATTCTCAGGAAAATGAGACTATGGGGAATTCTACCACCCTACGGTCTCTAGCACTCTTTCCTTCTTTCCTCCGATCCAGAAACAATGCATCATGGACGGTGGAGCTCCCCACCTCTTCGTCCACCAAAGTGATGTCGATACCCAGTTTAGGTAATTTTCCCCGCCGGGGGGAATATACTCGTTTTGGACAGAAGTGACCTGACGGAGAGATGGCCGATTTAAAAGTCGCTCCAGAGACACTCAAAGAAATTGCGACGTTTCCCTTCCGTAACTTGTTTAAAAAATAGTCTTGCATCATCGCCGGTGAGTTCCCTCAGAATGGTAGTCATCAAGCGCTTCCGAACAGTCTGGGGTGTCGAGTCTGGGAAAGACTTCGGGAACTGGATTCCCTGGTTTGCAGATCTCAAAAAGCAAGGTTACGGTATGTATAGGCATGGCAGTTTATGAATATCAGTGCTGACTCGATGTAGCTGGCGTTGAGGTCGATATCACAGATCGTGATGCCGATAACCTTCAGCAACTGCGAAAGATCTTGGATGATGTCGGCCTGGAAGCCACCGTGTTGTAGGTTATGCATAACTATTTTGTCGACAAGAGCTCAACTTCGGTAGAATACATACAGCATGGGCGGGTTACGTCGGCGGTCGGCCCAGAGATCTCACGCCAGATGTCCACCTTGACATCTACCACCACAACCTCGAGCGCGCAAAGATCCTGAAGCCTGTTAGGATCAACGCTCAATCTGGAGGGTAAGTCCAATCATCCATAGGGCTCGTTCTATAGCTCACAATGATAGCGATTACTGGACTCTTGACGAATCAGTCTATTTCTATCAGAAGACCTTTGACATCGACAGGGAGCTGGGTCTAACAGGTCTCGTGAGTCACGAGACACATCGAAATCGATCATTATTCACGCCATATGCTGCCAAGTACATTCTACCAAAGGTTCCAGAGTAAGTTCAGGCTATCATAGCCTCCGCAGACGTAGGCTGACCGGGCGCAAGGCTTCGAGTGACGGCAGATATCTCTCACTGGGTAGTCGTATGCGAAAGACTCTTGGACCTTGGAGAGGAAGATAAGGAGATTCTAGATCTGCTGATCCCGAGAGTAAGAACTTTCTTCCCCAATAGCCTGGCGAAATGGCTCACGCTGTATCTAGGTCACCCATATCCATACTCGCATCGGAACTACTCAGTCCTCTCAGTGTCCTGAGCCAGAAGATCCCGTGTTCAAGGAGGAGCGAGAGTTCTTCGAGAGGCTCTGGCTACGTATTGTCAAGGCGCGAAGCAAGGATAGCGACCTTATCACCTTTGTACCTGAATATGGGTATGTCCGACTTCGATGAATTGAGGTCTGATTTACGCATTGCTAACATGTTTAGTCCTTACCCTTATCACCCATATGGAAGCGTCAGAACGCATGGGCAGGTCGCTGATAGTGAAGGCGCGAGATTGCAGAAACTCTTCGAAGAGAGCCTGAATGAGTAAGAGACTGCCGGAGACACATCATGGTGAGAGGCATGTCCAAAGACCATGATGATAGACTTGGAGTTCATGCAGTTAGATCGTATTGATATCTATTCGTCTCTACCAGCCGCTAGCTCTAACCCATACGTCAACAATGTTTGTCGCATCTCCCTCCGAAGAGTCGACAACCAGATACCATCCATATAATGCTCCCGCAACGCAAGCATGGTTCGGAAAGATGATGACATCTTGTCCAACCTCCAGAGGAACGGGTGATAAGGTAGAAGTATCCTCATTCTCACCATGCTCCCAAGCCGCGATTGAATGTTCCTGGCTGATCCTGTCAATGATCAATCGCCTTCCCTTGTCGGACGCTGCGGTATAAGAAGATTGACTAATAACACCCCAACCTGGGTACGCAGCGCAAGGTTCACGACCGAGTCCGAGGCATCCAACCGCGACGAGAGCCTCAGGTTGCGATCTCTCTTTGTCATTATAGACACTGCATACTTCGGCGATGATTGAGATAGCAATTTCGTCCTCAATGGATCCCAATTCTCTCCTCGAGTTAGTTGAGACTTGTTGCATGTCGAGGATAGAGTAAACACCCGCATGGAGCTCAAGGTTGGTCTGAAGTCCGCCTGGCTTCCCGGTTGTGACAACTTGGATGGACTTGCGTAGAGACTCAGCTGCTGGCGACAAGTCCCCTTGTGATGTCACCAGATTCTCAATGGCTGTGACCTGGGGCGAGGCTCCAACACTGATGACTAGCTCCTTATCCTTGGCGAACAGATGAGTGTGCGCATTGACTGCATCAAGACATCCTTGGATCTCCCCTTCAAGATTCGCCATAGCCTGTTCAGCTGTCGTGTCCTTGTAACTTAGACTACTATGGGAGTACAGTCCAAGCAAATCAGCCTCCCTGTTAGCTTCAAGCTCTGCAAGTGCCTCGATCAGACCATTCTTGTTCATAGCAGATGGTGGTAGACCTGCGCGATGATATCCCGTGTCGACCTTCAGAAACACTCTTGCGGGAAACTTGGCATGCAGCGAGAACGCCTTCACAGAGTCGAGCTGCGATGGGTGATCTATGAGAACAGAGATACTTCCTTGCCCTAACTCTAAACCAACTTTCGCCAACCTTGGGATTTGCGAGCGGGGTAGAGGAAGGCCGTAGAGGATATCTAGACGACGACCGGCATCTTTGAATTCCTTGAGGAGAGGTAGAAGATGCTCGATCTCTGCTAGGGTTGAGACAATGAGCTTGACATCACCGCTTCCCTGGCCAATTTGAAGACGTGTTGCCTCTATCGTCTGAATCCCGTTAGCGCAAGCGTTACGTATCAACATGATGTAACTGACTTTATGAGTCTTGACGTGTGCGCGAAACCCAAGATCAAGAGTATTAACAGCCTTGAGCATGGACTGGCAATGACGAGTCACCCTAGCTCTGTCTAGGATGACCGCGGGCTTGGGAACACCATGGATGCTTTTGCCAACATAGAATTGGCGAAGTTCCTCGATCGGAGGGGTTTGCCGTTGAGGGGTAGCCATGTTGGAAGTATCAGACAGAATCATACATACAATATAAAATTGATAGTTGTCCAGAGAAGAGGCACGAATAAATACTGGCCGAAATGAGGCTCATGGAGTTGTTTTAGGTCAGCAAAGTTATCAGAGGGCGCGGCGGACTTAGAAATGTCCGCTGGTGGAGACATGACGCTATTCCCGGAATGACAGGAAGCTCCAGCTTGAGCCAATCAACGATAACGGAATATTGAAGGATTCACTGTGACTCACTGAGTTGATAGTTCTCTAATGATAAAGGAATAGTAATCTGTGCGAGCCTTGACTGATGAAGTGTATTGTTTCTACTATATTGTCATAGAGATGATCTCATGAAGCCGTCGAGACTTACAGCCTGCCGAGCGTCTTACCTTCCTATACATATACAGTCTTCACAATGGCATCCAGGGTAGTGGCTATTTCTTAAAATATTTGCTGTCGCATCGATATATCTCGTTGAGATATCATCAACTTTAGCTGTCAATCAATCTGCGATCGCATGCGGGCAGCTACAGGCCAATTAACTTGATTTAAGAAAAGCTGTTTAAGTTAAGTTGGTTCTGAGTAGATTGTATCCTTTCACACTTTACGCCGTCTAGATAAGACTTCTCGAAAGAGGCTCTTCTCCTAACCCGCTTCTGCTCCCGCGCCATACTAGGAATATTGCCTAGTTTACAAGTGCAATAGTGAGATTGCCCGATGCAGTGTTCTTTGCGTTAAAGTCTTCGCGTACCAAAAGACAAATAGGCGTTATAGCTGTAAAATCCTTGTTATATTCTTTTGTCTCTACTTAGGTAGCGTATTTATTGAGATACAGGGGATTAAGTGTATGCGTTCATTTTGTGTAAGATATTGATGTTATGTTAATCTCATCTTGCTCTGGAATTACTTGTTGGCCATAAGATTAAACCTTAGGCTGCTAACACAGATAGAGCGACTACAGAACACATGGCAAGTCAGCCGGAATGCAACGCGGCGCTCCCTTGTCGACTGGCCTCCAGGGGCTTCAATGGTAAATAGTGACACTGGCTGATGCTAAGGTCCTGAAAATAACTATTCTTATTATTCGTGTGGTGAAACATTATATAAATTTTATAATACAAGGATGAACTCCGCCTCTACACTCTACCAGATTGACCTGGTATTGACGGAATGTAGGATAAATCATACACCGGAAGGCACTCTTTTTGGAAATTCCAATCAGCCTTGTCAGACACAACCACGTTCATATGTGTTAAATTCCCCTCATTTCCCCAGCCTCAAACCGTCGCAACCCTGCCAAATCAACATCACTAATACTGAGATTATCGCAATGGATCAGCAAGAACAGAGTTGCAAAAAACATGACTTCTTTATGCAATCGACCCGCGAGGCGTTCATGAGGACATGTCTGTCCTGCGGATTTGTTGAAGAGCTCCAACTTTCACAAGGAAAGCGAAAGGTCGATCCGTGGCAAGGTTGGCTCTCAGCTAAGATTCAGCCGCTGTCATGGCCCCCTTGCATTAAATACTCTGGAACTCTCCAAGTAACCTCTCTGCAGAGAACGATAGATAAAATGTCCTCGGAAAAGGTCTATAGCTACCGCCCAAACATGCAGACCTCACTTCAGAGTCAACCTCAAATGGATGTAAGATTATTTTTGGTCTCATGTATGAATGAACAGCATGCTAAGCAGTATGGATAGAGAAACCCTTACATCTACCGTGACCTACCCAAAACTTCCTGTATTCGGCTATTGGAGCCATTGCAGGGCTACAGACTCGATGCACTCAGCGGGCGTCTGTTCGAGGTTCGTTGGGAGCAAGAGACATGTCCTTCATACTCTGCCCTGTCCTATACTTGGGCAGATGACAAGGGCGATATCTCACCTTCAAATCTCATATTCCTTGATGAAGAACAGAGAGTCCTACGTATCACTCGTAATTGTGATAGAGCATTACGAGGCTTGCGCCAGAAGAATAAGTCAAGCTTACTATGGGTCGATTCCATCTGCATCAACCAGTCATCTGCTTCAGAAAGGTCACACCAGGTTGGGTTGATGAAAACCATATACTCCAAGGCAACTACTGTTCACGCTTACGTGGGAGAGAAGGAGTGCAGAGAAGACCTTACAGGAACCGAAGCCATCACTCTATTAAAAGAAATCCAAGGCAATGGAATCTCTAGCATGCTGTCTGGCGAGACCAGCAACATCGCCATTCTTAACAACTTCTTTTCAAGGTCCTATTTTGCTCGATTATGGATTGTCCAAGAGCTTCTTCTCTCCCAATCGATTACGTTTCACTGTGGGGAAGTTTCACTCCCAGTTTCCAACCAGTCCATCTCTCAGCTATACGAGCAAGGTATCAAGGTTCCTTCATGGGTCCGATTTGCTGGAAAGGCGAAATCGAATACGGAGCGTACCCCTATGGACTTGAAAGATCTTCTTATTGCCACCAGTGTCTGCCGCGTGACAGATCTACGTGATAAGGTGTTTGGGTTGCTAGGTCTTGTTAGCGATGTTCAAGCTTCAGACTTGAGTCCTGATTACGAGTTGATGGTCCGCGAGGTTTACATCGGCGTTGCTGCATACTTGATGGAGAATTATCGATGCTGCGATCTCATTCAGCATATAGATCCCCACCGGAACCAGGAAAGCCTTTATGGGATGCCGTCTTGGGTTCCTATGTGGAATACAGACATGCCGCTGCAAGGTTCTGAGAATATCTCCAGACATATTCAGCAGATTGAGTTGGACTGCAAACGACTACCTACATACGATTCGCGAGTCGATAATTTTACGATACGCGCCATTGATGGCTGGTCCCATGACAAGATCTCAGATTGCAACAACAGAGGAAAACTCTGTAAAACAGTGCATTCTGGGTCAGGCTTTCTTGCAAGCAACATCCAGACAATGTGTTAGTTGGAGTCGTATTTTTACACCGTCAGACCTCAGACGAGAACAGCCAATGGACTGGAAGATAACAAGTATATCACAACTTTCTGGCATCTGAAAGGCAACATTAAAATTGCAGTTCGGCGCTACCGGCGGCCATTTTGGGATGCAAGACCCCTGGGCTGTGCTCATCTCATACGAGTCGATGGGTGCGCTTTATTATTCTTAGCGTGCAAGACCTCTGACAGCCTGCAGTATCGCCTGGATAGTTCGTGTGTTGCAGCTATAGTTTGTCACATAAGGGAGCCTAGCCCTGGTGGGATCCTCAAGTTCGATGACCTCCGGCGTTTCTCACAGTTCATCCCTCTTACACTTGAAATGGTTCAATTCATAGCAAAGTGGAGAAATGCAGTGCTCACAATCGCAAGCTCAGATCCAGCAGATAGGGAACACCCTCCATCAATCGAGGACCAAAGCTGCCATCATTCCTCTCTGAACGAACAGGAGATATACCGCCCAACTTGGAGAAGCTGGGGGCCTTTTCTGGCCCTGGAAACTTGGCATATGTCCGAAAATGATATAGAGCTGCAGAGACAACTGCCAAGCCTAGCTGAGTTCTGGGACAAGGCCCATATATTGCATACTTGGGTTCGGAAGTGGACGATGAGCGCCTTGAACTTGAGAAAATACCGTTTCACTGTCTTGCGACACAGCAATGGTCTCTACCCCCTGGAAAGAGCACTGAGAGACTGCCTTGGAATGTCAAACGCCTTGGCAGGAACTTTCGAGAGTATTATTGGGAACAACTTCACCCTTCAAAGCTTTCGCCTGCTTGAGCAGCTAGTTGATGCCCTGACAAACCCTTGGCATGAATGCGTAGGCAGCAACCTTTTGGGTTATCAAGGAACGATAGAGGGTCTCACTGAGGACATAGGCACTCTTCTTGAACTTTTGCACAGAGATCAGTTGTTTTTAGACAAGGCTTTCCCACTGGAGCTAAAGATATACACCCTGAGTACAGTCATATCAAGCAAACCATGGAATGGAAGAAGGTACTTACGGGGCTAGTAAGAACAGATACAGAGATAGAGTATGTAAGTTTTATTTAGGCTTTTAATACGAATATTAGTGTTTTAGTATAATGTAAGACTTATTTGTAATCTTAGAGTAGGTTCAAAATACCAACTTACCATATTGTCTCTATATACCCAAGATATCTTATGTATTTTAATGCATGTGGTATTAAAAGCTTATCCATAGCATAGCGCTAGACAGAACTAACAGCTAACTATATATAATAGAACAAGAAAGTATATCAGTCATACAAAACACTGTCGCGCATTGTAACTGTTGTCTTTACGTTAGATTGGCCTGAGAATTAACTGCGGAAAATGGATAAGCCGTTCAGGCCACCGAACATTTAACTTAAACTGATCAGTCTAACCTACCTATGTCAGCGAAAGCTTACAAGAAGCCTACCGAAATTCAACCTTATGGGCTAAGAATCGGGTCGCTAAGTTCCGTGTGGTGATTATAGGCTCTCAGCCACAGGTCTCAACTGCAAAGGGGTCTCAAGCATCGTTTCTACCCGAAAAGCAGGTATTCTGCCGCCTTACTAGAAGATCATTCCTTCTATGCCATTTCCAATGTTAATTACCAACTGTTTCGCGAGCAAGCAACGATTCGCAGAGGTAGAAACGGACGTTCTTCATGGGCAGCTTCCAAGATCTTAGTGAGCACCAATGATCCGGAAGCCAGTGCTTAGATGAGATGGACCTACGGAGACTGAGTTATCCCCCGCATTACTGTTTAGTAGCTTGTTAAGAAGAGATGTACAGCTTGATATATTCCTGATTTTGTGTTTTGCTGACACATTGTCGGTTCGTCGGCTCAACGTTATCATATTCAGTTCAAGACTATTGTACCATGTTTCATTTTTGAAAGAGATAGTGGCTGTGTTGTGAATGAAATTTTCTTATGATCAGGGTACCTACCAATCGATCAAGAATGGGAATATAGCAGTTAGCTTTCGGCGTTCCGGGTATCGGTGATAGACCCCATTCAGCCTTACACGGCGGATGTCAGCGGCCCTGTATGTAAGATCAGCACTAGCTCCTCCAGGCGGCGAGTAATTCTGGCAACTTCGGATAGCGCCTGTTCATGGATTACGCATCTTGTACAAGATATGCTACTAATACTTGCGACTTCATACTGTTGATCTCATGACTACTGAAGAGAAGCGATCACAATTCGTTTATACAAACTCACCTGGGCAATGGAGATGAGATCATAACTGGGCAGACTATGATTCTGGCTCTGGAAACCGGCTCTGAGGGGTCCAAGAGTTGGTGAGCACTAGCGTTTAGCGTTTTCCCAACCATTTGAGAGCTACTGAATACCCTCACCTAGATCCACTTGACGATGCTTACGGCAGATCAATGTAAGCTTCAAAGTCGGAAGAGCGGTGACTTGAGCGGCATCTCTGCACGGGCCAACATAATTGGAAATGGCAAGGCAGCTAGATGCGAGCTTGTCCACCATAAATCCTTGCGGCCCCCAATAGTAAGGCATCGCCACCCTCCCAAGGTTGCCCAGCACTCGTAAATGGCTGGATAGATCCTTGTATGATATTGGCCGTCGAGCAACGGACCCTTTACAACAGGTCTCATCCGAAGACAACCCACGCCGGAGGCATCTCAAGGCCAGTGCGGCAACCATTGAGGCCCTCACTAAACACAATTGGCCAGTCTAACTATAGCTTTGACATTTGGGGTCCGTTCTCCCACTACACTTCTCAAACGGCGTCATAAACGGGCTAATTCCTGCTCCGCAGCCCTAAAATAGTTATTGACAGCGCTGCAACGACCCTTTCTTGCACATTAGCTTGACATCAATACCATCCCATGTGACGAGGCTTACGACGATCCCTTCCCTTTTGAGTCTTGATTCGGGCTGTCGGTTGATGATTGTCAGCGAGTTCCGGTGTAAATGCAGTTCTTTGGTGAGAGTTTAGTTCCGAGATCCGGGGAACAGGGTTGAAGATCCTTTGGTCTTACTTGCATAAGCTGAGGATACGAGAACTTGGAATAGGTTGAGGTGATGGATATAAATGAGGTTGGGTCCGCCATGTGAATGAGGGACCCTTTGATGTTTGCTGACACAGGATCGTTTTTTGTACTACTATAGTGACCAATATGGCTGCAACAAACGGAACCAATGGCAATATGCCGCAAAAGACTCGTGAGGAGAGTAATCATCACATGGAGTCGTCTATCTGGAATGAAGTCAAGTTCAGACCTGATGATATCATCATCACAACCTACGCCAAGTCCGGCACGACTGTGAGTTACTCACTCTCCCCACGACGCATTAGCTAACTGGAGGCTTAGTGGGTTCAACAGATTGTTTCCCAACTCATCCACCAAGGCGATCCTACGATCCCAGCAGGATCTCTCTCACCATGGGTCGACTTGCGCATCGTCCCCAAGAACATCATGCTCGAACTCATTGAGTCTCAAACTCATCGTCGTTTCCTCAAGACACATTTACCTCTTGACGCTCTTGTTTGGAACCCTCAAGTCAAGTATATCTTCATCGCACGCGACGGTCGTGATATGGTATGGAGTATGCATCACCATATGTATCACGCGACACCGACCTTCTACAGCTTTTTCGAAAACACAGGTTATGAAGGCCAACCTCCTCAACGACCTAGTGAGAACCCGAAGGATATTTTTGATCACCTTGTAAAGGATGATATGCCAAGTTCTCTTTGCTGGCCGTTCTGGAGTCATATTCGAGGCTGGTGGGAGCATCGTGACCAACCTAATCTGCTTCTTGTTCACTTCAACGACCTCAAGGCTGATCTTGAGGGAGGGATTAAGAGGATTGCGAAGTTCCTTGAGATCCCTGATATGTCGGACGATAAGTTCAAAGATGTCGTTGAGCATTGTACGTTTGATTGGATGAAGGAGCATGCGCATCTTGCTGCACCGCCTCAGGCTGAGGTTGCGTGGGTAAATGGTGCGAAGGACTTTGTGTACAAGGGAACGAACTCACGATGGAAGGATGTGCTTTCTGAGGAGGACTGTAGGGCATACGAGGAGAGGGCGAAGGCGGAGCTTGGTGAGGAGTGTGCCAACTGGCTGCAGCATGGTGGTTGGTTGAAGTGATTCATGATTGCAAGAGGCCATGATATGGGGATGTTCGAGTTTCATTATTGGTGTAATTTCGCATTTATCGAGGCTGCCTTCGAGCTAATGGCTATTAGGCATTCTGTGTCCCTCAATCAGAACATAGCGCTTTTGAAAGCTGACTGTTTAATTTGGTTATTCCCTTCTCCTGGAGACATTCCTCCTTACGATGTGTACCTACTACTGGTGTTTTATTGCCAACATGTACATAGTATCGCGAAAACGACAACGATTTATATGCACTGTCTAGTCAAGGCAATGGCGGAACTTCAAGATCATCCCGTAGTTAATCAAGTAATTTAATGTCGCATGTCCATTAATCTCTATTAAGCGTTATACTGTACTCCCAAATTACTGCGCCAGACTATCATCAGGTCATGGATCCAATTGCCTACCCCTGCTGCCAAAGGACAGTCTTGTCTCCAACAATGCTAACCTTGTCAATCTCAACCATCTCACTATCCGTAAGTCTCCATCCAAGCGCCTCAATAGCACACTTCGCCTGCGCAACGTTCCTAATTCCAACAACAGGGAGGACTCCCTTGCTAATATTATAATTCAACGCAACAGCGGCAATACTCTTGCGCCGTCTCTCAGCAACTCTCTGTAGAGTCTCAAGTACAGGTTCCAGATCTTCCATCTTGTAGCTGCTGAAACGGTGTGATTTGGGTGGTGGATTGTCCTTGGTGTACTTGCCAGTCAACCTTCCTTGCGCAAGAGATGAGTATGATTGGAAGATCATGCCGCTGGCTTTGCACTTCTCGATGTTGCCGGTCAGTTCGGGGTACCGTCTAAGGATGTTGTACTCGCATTGGTTCGTAGCAAGAGGGATGTTGAACTTCGCGAGCTCGTCATTGATCTTCTGGACGTCTTCGACATCGTAGTTGGCTACGCCGATTGAATGGGCAAGGCCTAGCTCGACGCATTGGGCCATACCCTCAGCAATTTGGGGGATGCTCTGCGGATGGATCGGGCCATGAACGAGGTAAATATCCACATATTCGAGGTTCATGCGCTGAAGACTCGCCTTGAGACTTTTGACAGGCGCATCGACAGGATGAATGAAGTTGGCGGCCTTGAGCGGAGTGCTGAAGTATTTCGTCTGGATAACGATGCTTTCACGAGGAATATTCTTAACCAGTTCTCCGATTATCCTCTCACTCTCTCCATTGCCGTATGCCTCAGCAGTGTCAATAAAGTTGATACCAGCCTCGTAAAGCGTCTTCCAAGCCAAGATGACATCAGGAAGTTGCTTCTCGTCCCATTGCCATGTCGACTTGTCGCCCCACGACCAAGCACCAATAGCGATATGCGAAGCCTTCACGGGTTTTTGAGGGCTTGGAAACTCGACCCGAGAACTAGGTTCGGGACAGTATGATGTAGGAAGGACGTTGGCGCCAGCTGTTTCTGGGTCTGCCCAGTTCGGCTTCTTGGAGTGAAAGCCGGAAACAGCGGACATGCCTGCTGAGAGGCCGGCTTGTAGTGCTTTGTCCATAGTAGATGAGTCGTGAAGTCTTGGCGTTGCGCGGAGAATAAAGTGGTGAAGAAACTTGGCGAAAAATACCAAGAAAGAGATTAGGCTACTATTTAATTATTTCTGCCATTATAGAGTATTATAGCCTCTCAGTTATCGTTGATGAATTTATGATGGAACTGTCAATTATGCTCTGTACAATCGTGTCGAGGTGTTTATGCACGAACAGGGATCTATTGGAGTCATCATGACGCTACTCCAGGTCTGCTATGACTTCTCATCATAGTCATACGGTAGCAGTCTGAAACTAAAACCAGGCATGACAAACGAGAATGCGGCAATTATTAACCGGATGATTATAGAAGCTCTTCTTACGATTCAATGACGCGGCGGCGTATCAACAACGCGCGTAACAGAAAGTCGAGCGATTGTTATGACTTGGCTCGACACAATGACGTCACATCTTCACATGCTTTATCCTCGCAAGCCAAATGAAGGCTGGAAAATAGACTTCAGTCCCAACAGCGGCATAAATATAAACCAGCCTCCTACACCTTACTTTTCATACCCAACGACCTTTGACGCCATATTGTTCTTTCTAACCCGCCAAGATGGACTTCAACGATCCCAAAAACACAAAGTCTTATTCTGATGCACTGAAGGTCGATCCTAATTCTATTATTGCGAGTTCAATTGATACAGCTCCCGTCACTGTTGAACGAAAGCCATATCAGCCGGGGATTGACAAGCCCAAACTGGCCCATGCAGGTAAGCATTCCACAGGTGGAATTGGAGACCTTCATTAACTCGTAATGTCCAGGAGTTGCGAGAACCAATCTTGCTGCTACCCATGAGCGTCCAAAGGGAACGACTGATGATGACTGGGCTCATCGACATCGCCATCAGACTGTAAGAACTTTGCTACTACTGCATCAATCGCCATTCTGACGTCTTTCAGGTCTTGCAGCAACATTGCGACTTCTTTGACAAGGTGCCTGTCTTCTCCCCAAGTTTATCATTGTGAGACTAATTATTCCAAGGACCACGATGGCGTGATATGGCCAATCGACACTTACAGAGGTTTCTGCCAACTAGGCTACGGAATCATCCTATCTCTCATTGCGGTATTGGTGATTCACGGGAACTTCTCATATCCAACGCAGTCCTCGCTGCTCCCTGATCCTTTCTTCCGGATTTACATCGACAATATCCACAAGGATAAGCACGGTAGCGATACTGGAACCTATGACACAGAAGGACGCTTCATCCCTCAGAAGTTTGAGGATATGTTCTCCAAGTATGCGGATGGACGGGACTACTTGACGATATGGGACGTGAGTAGGTTGATGAAGGGGCAGAGGTTAATCGCTGATCCGGTCGGATGGTGCGGTGCCTTCTTCGAGTGTAAGAGATAACTATTTGCATTGTTTTGTAGCTATGTTATGTAATATGTTATGTTATGTTATGTATATTTTTCGTCCGGGGGGCCGTAGGCCCCGAAAGTCTCCTAATGGAGCACAGGACGTGCTGAGCTAGAGAAATTGGGACCTATCTACACACTAATTACAGAATACTATGACTTCCTCTCGAATTCCAATTCTGCAGACGCGTCGATAGACCTCACACTATCCAGCATATCAACGGCACAAATGGCGCATCTTATCTAGCCTGTTACCCGTCAGCGGGATGATCAGGCGCGGCTGATGAACGACAGCCGCAAGGTAAGCCCGTTGTTAGGCGATCGTGAGCCTCTGGGCGCGGTAGCCTCAGGGCTGCCTTCAAGTGGTCACGATCAGATAGAGGGCGTGCTAGCGCCCTTCATCTGGCCGAGAACAGGTAAGAGAGAAAGGTAAGAAAAAGGAAATGTATAAGGGTAAAAGAGGGGAGGAAGGATGCGAGTGCGTCCCGGGTCGTGCTCGTCTAATAACGAGGACAGATCTTTCCAAAGAAAACGCTGGCTTTAGACAGTTCGGTGAACTTGGTGAAGTCTCTTCCTGTTGCCAGGTTGACTGCTGCATTCGGTGAGGGTGCCAACCTCATCCGATGACGCGGCGGTACCTTTCTGCAGTAGAAGATGTGGTCCGGTGCTTTGCGTCGGTTGCATGAGCAGACCAGGCGTGCATCACTATGGTCGAATCTCTCGTGATATGCGGCGAAGTCCCCATGAAGCGACCTTGCTGCCAGCAGATGGTGCAAGGCTGCACGCGGGAGCGACAGCTCCGGCGGACAGCCTGTAGTCGCCTTGAGATTGAGTCTTTTGTACTGCTCAGGAGCGGAGGTGGACCACCACGCCTGGAACGCTTCTTTCGGCTTCTGTCTTGCGATTCTTCGTAGGTAAGCCAGCGTCGGTTGAGCGCCTTCGGGCTCGGGGAGCGATGACGCTGCCTTTGCCAGCTTGTCGGCCTGTTCGTTGCCAGGGATGTTGGAGTGCCCTGGCACCCAGCGAACTTGGATGGCTCCATGCGATGTCGTCAGAGCTTGGAACTCGAGAAAGACGTTTTGAGAGGATTCAGAAGGAGTGCCTCGTAGACACGTGGCGGCTGCCAGGTTATCTAGGCAGATGAATATATTCTGTGTTGCTAATTCTCGCAGGTTTAGAGCAGCCTTCAGGCCCTCTAAAGCCCCGGTAGCTTCAGCATCGAAAACCTCAGCAGGTCCGAGGCGACCTGATCCGTCAAAGATGGGGATATTGTTCTGATGGATGGTGAAGCCATAGCTGGCAGCCCCTTCTGAGGAAAGAGAGCCATCCGAGTATACGACCAAGGTGAGCGGGTCGAGAGACTCGACCCAGCGGGAAAAGGCGTCAGCCGATTTCTCTTTAGACGCTGTCTGCAGTGGGGGCAACTGTTCTTGATGGAAGCATCGATAGACGAGTTTCGGCCGCGTGCAGGGTGCAAAGAGTTCGTTTGCACGTCGAAGGCGCGTCCTGAAGCTGCTCTCTGCCTGTATTTGATATCTTCGTTTGATGAGGTCGTGGTAAGTAGGCTGTCGGGGCGGGCGCGTTCGGATCGCCAGAGGATGAGCCTCATCCAGCGATTTGAGTCGTGCGGAGAACCTAAGTCGCCTCGCGTCAAGCAATTGATCGACTGGTGGTATCCCGCTTTCTCTGTGGAGGACGGTGATGGGTGTCGTCTTCCAGACGGGAAGAATGGCCTTCATAGCCTGTTTCATGGCTTTTGTCATTATTTGCACGAGATGCTGGTTACTCGATGGTAGATCTTTCGTAGGATGGGTCCACCGCGGCCTGGTCTTGCCCGGGTACCACGCCTCTGAGCCGTGGAGCAGCACTGGCTCGACACATGCTCTGACGGCGCCTCGCACGGCGCTCGGTAGAGGGCCGTGTACCGTGTTGGTGAGCCCCCGCAAATGATAAGCCACTGCCTTTGCTTTGGCCGCCCACTTTTCGACATGAAGTCGAAAAGATAGTCTGCTATCCAACCAGATACCAAGCCAGCGTAGAGCTGGTTCAGGGTATTTCTCGACATCGCCGTGGCGCACTGCCGGCGCAGTCCTGAGTTTGCTGCGGGAGAAATGCATGACTTCGGTCTTCTTCGTGTCGAAGGACACGCCATTCTCCGCGCCCCATCGCACCATCTCGGCGATGGAACTAGATGCCATGGCAGAAGTCTCGTCTACTGTGTCGCCTATGGACAGGATGGCCGTGTCGTCTGCATAGCCGAAGCGACCCTGAGGGTTCCCTAATCGATAGATTGGCTCAGTGTAGAGCAGAAAGAGGATTGGCGATACCGGCGACCCCTGAGGGAGGCCGCACTGAAGGGGAGAAGAGGGCGTGACTGTGTCTTGGTACCTGACACGCGCCGACCGGCCGCCCATGAAGGAGCCGGCCCAGCGAGCCAGATGATTAGGCCAGCCTTGCTCACGAAGACGCAGGACGAGCCTGTTGCGCATGACGGTGTCGAAAGCACCTTGGACGTCCATTGTGACTAGAGTCGCCACCTTCTTGCGTGCAAACGCTTCTTCAATATCATGGACCAGAGCAGTTACCAAGTCTGTTGCCGACCTCTTGGGGAGCGCCCCAGCTTGCTGCGGATGAAGGACGCTGTAGTGAACGGCTGCCCAGGCTAGGCGGCGCGCGATCAGTCGTTCTAGTCCCTTACCAAGACAGGAGAGCAGTGAGATGGGTCGCCATGCTCGTGGTTCGGTAAGGTCTCTCCGTCCCGGTTTCGCGATCATGACCACCTCCGCCTCCTTGAATGGTTTTGGATGATGGCCTATGGTAAGGCATCTTTCGAAGAGACGCCGGACGTGTGTACCGATGGTATGCCATACTGCTTCAAGAAGTTTGACTGTGATGTTGTCTGACCCTGGGGATGTATTGCCTGTGTGACAAGTCGCATATTGCGCCTCCTCCAGAGAGATTTCGGGAGAGAATGGGATCGATCTAGGTGGGAATACTGGCGTCCATGCGTTTGCGATGTCGTCCTCCGCAGTTCTTCGTTCAAGCGTGGCCTGTCGGAGTGCGTTGGCCTTATCCATCTGGCTTTCGTACACGACGTTATCGACCTGTAGAGGTGGCGGCTGGAAGGCTCCTGGGGACTTTAGCCACCGGACAGCTTTGAAAACGTCGCTACTGCTGGAGAAGCCATCGATGAGGTTACGCCAATAGCGCCTCTTGGCCCGACGGACCACACGATGAAAGCCTCTTTTGGCGATCTGAACGTCCTGGTTGAAGCCGAGTGGGTAGCTTCTTCTGATGGCTCGAAAAGCAGCCGCGGCGTCGGCGCACTCCTCCGTCCACCAGGGAGCCGGGCGTCCGCCTTTCCGCGCGGGCCTCCCAGACGCTTTTGCTGCTGATGTTAGTAGACTCACGAGTGAAGACGCAAGCTCGTCCAGCTCCTCGGGGGTCGAATCTGTGAGGGGGATTCCTGTAGCGCCAAGCTCTACGATCTCGACGAATCGTTTAAGCTCGTCTTCCGTCGTCACTCGAATCTTGCCTGGCTGCACCGGAGTCGATCTGACGTCTGGGAAGGTCAGGCTGAGCGTGAAGTGGTCAGAGCTGGTGGCGAGATGGTCCTCGACGATAGCTTCAGCAAGTGGTAGGTTAGTAAAGGCAAGATCGATTGTGTTGCCGTACGGGTTTGTTGGGATATCTAAAGTGTTGAGAAGGCTGAGGTCATTCTCAGACACCCATCCTGCTATCTCTTGCCCCCGGTTCGTAGTTTGGCCTGTTTGCCAGCTACGATGTCTGGCATTGAAATCGCCAGCTACGAGGCAACGTTCCGGGACAGACCATTGAAATAGCGTGTCTAGGGCGTCCCTCTCGTCGTTCTGACGATAGAAGTTGACTATGGTCATGCCGTTGATCGCGAGCCAGAGAATGTCTCGGGTCTGGAAGGGCCGAATTTGGTCGGCAAGGAGTCTGGGGTCTCGCCGGACATATGTCATCACTCTAGGCCGAGTATCGTTGCTATTCCACATGTCGACCGGCGTGAATGTGTCGTATGCAGGGTGAGTCTTGGTTAGACAGCGGGTCTCTGTGTGAGCCGTCCACGGCTCTTGCAAGAGCACAATGTCATATCGTTCCGAGTCGGCCAGCGCCAGGGCGCAGTCGTGGGCCGGAGGGATCTTGCCGACGTTGGCCTGGAAGATCTTGAGCGGCTTCCTGTCGTTCTTTCGTGTTTGAGAATATCTATTCCCGGTCATGAGGACGAGTGATGAGTACGATTCGGCGCTTTCGCGGTGAGCCTGGTCTGGGCTGTTCGGGTTCTTCCTCTGCTTCATAGCCAGCATGAGGGGTCGTGGCCACCATGATGCACGAGGGTGCTCCTGATACAGCTGGGCTGGGAGCACGATGGTTAGGCTGTTCTTGTGATGTGACATCCACGCTTCGTCGCTCAGCCATGCCCTGCTGCGTTTCCTGATGCGATTCCAGATGCCGTTCTCGATGTCGTTGTCGGTATGTCTCCGCACCTACGGTCCGGACATGCTTTCGTTGCTCTTTAGTGAGTCGGCGGAGCACGCCGTGCACTGTCTTTGGCCGAGCTGGGCACCTACGGAAGTTGGCCTGGTGGGGGCCTAAGCAGTTGATGCACTGTTCTCGTGCGATGCAATCGTCTACAAGATGGCCAGTCTCACCACAGCGTCGGCAAACTGGCTGTCTGTGACAGTTGCGGGCAAAGTGGTAGCCCCAGCACGTCTCACACTGTCTGGGTCGGTCGGTTTTGTCAACAAGCCTGGCTGCGCTGCTGCCGAAAAGAGACCAGAATCTCTTTGTGGGCTTCAGAAAGGACACGAGCAGGGCCTTGGTCAAGGGGTTATCCGAGAATTGTCTTCCGGTACGTACATCAATGGGCTTGATCCCAGTCTGGACTTCTATCTCGTCGCTAACGACGCTGTCACTATCCACCTCATTACCGTAAAAGTCAGTCAGCCTTGCGGGAACGTCTGAGACCACATAGGTGAACCATTCCTTGTTCGTTTCTACTGCTGTAGCTCCCAGTTCAGCGGCCCACTCAGCTTGTTTATCTACCAGAAAGTCGCGTGTGACAGAGTCGGCGGCCAGGACGGCCCATCCCGATCTGACCGGGAACACCTGTCGAATTTTGTCCGAGACGGCGCCGAGTTTTTCCCGGATCAGAGTCCGGATGGCATAGCTACTGTGGGCCCTGGCCGGAGCTCCGGCTTCTAGACGGATGAAGACACGGAGGTCTTGTCGGGGTGGGGCGATAGTCGTCTGTTGCCCTTGGCGATGAGGTGGATCTGTTTGTCGGCGTCCATGTTGTTGTTGTTGTCTGTGGGTCAGACGGTCATGGTCAGTGGGAGGCGCGGCAGCAGCGACGCTGCTGTATGTAGGCTTTGGGGTCGCAGGTCCGGAGCAGGAGAGCTCTCGTTTCCAAAAGCCGAGGAAATCATCGGCAAATTGCTGAGCGAAACGTCGTTGCGGTCCGGTGACGAATTGCTGGGCCGCTTCTTCAAATTTGGCACAAAAGGCCTGGAAAACCCCCAGCTTGATGTTGTACTCTTCCACGTATTCTCGCGCGAGATCGTTGGCTGATTCAACGATAGAGATCGGTCGTTGTTCAAAAATGGATGCGGGACTGGCACGCTCAGCTCCTTCCGTAACTGCGGCGATGGTGGCGGGGTTGAGTGGTGAGGATGGTGTCTGAGCCATCCGCCTGGGACCGGGTGAAACACCAATGGTGCCGTTGACGGCTGCCGGACTGTTCTGCAAGAGGGCTGCACGGGCTCCCCGGTTCAGGTTGACGGGAGTGTGGATCCCCAGATCGAAGGGATCCAAGGCAGCGGGCGGGATCGTCGTAGACGAGGCCATCGCCGCGGTTTGCGACTGCGCAAAGCGCAGATTGGAATGTTTGTTGTGCACTTGTTAAGGATTTAGGTGTAGACAGGGCCACTTTCTTAACACTTGTATGCCAAGAAAGTGTGATGACAAAGGAAGGTGTTGTTTTGTAGCTATGGACTAACTTACTTGTGCTATAGGGTTGGCGACTTACATATTGCTTTGGCCGAAGGATGGGCGTATGATGAAAGAGGACATCAGAGGCATTTATGATGGCAGTCTGTTTTATAAGATTGCTGCTCGACGAGCGACGAAGTGATGTCCTTCACTTGTCCTACGAGAATCACTGTGCCCAGGAACGTTGAGCTATGCTCTGTGTAATGCAAAAGTCATTTATATTAGGCAGTACCGTCCATGAGATCAAACAGTCAAGCAAATCAGTATTAGAACAATTTATCATAAAGCATTTATTCATTACAAAAGCTCCGGAGTGAAGTGTACCGATCATTCAAGAGCCCTTTGAGCTTTGCTTTGAGTTTCGACGCGTCCAGGACGCTTATATCAGATCATTCCAACTCGAGTGGTGTAAAACTTGACTAACCTATACTTCGACTTGCCATCAGCGGAGTTCCATGAAGTGCAAAATTGCGTAACTCTGAACATGGAGTTAAGCGGAATATATTATTCTGAAGAATCATAAACTGCTAATACCGATGTAATTAGTGAAAGGGGCGATAAGAGTGAGTAATAGAACAGTGACAGGGGCTCAAAAGACTGAAGTCATCCAATCCTGAGTTTTCGCTCCACGTTTCTTCATGAAATCAAGTCATCCTGCCACCGATGGCAAATTAGTCAGAGACAGGAGATGGCCGTTCAGTATCTGGCTTGTGATTATGCGTAGGGCTGTGCAGTGCGGCTACCTGATCCTTCTCGGTGATTTCGTCTCGGCTTATTCGATGTCATGAATAAGCAGTATTATTCCCGCGCTACAACCGTTACACCGGGCAAATGTGGATACAGCCACAGAAATATCCCGAGAATGCGACGGACAGTGAGATTGGGTTTGTTGGTCATGATAATACGAAAATACCGAGAGGGAAGATGATGGAGCAGAAGAACAACACCGAACGGATGGGGTCAAAAGTTATAAAGGTCAGTCAAAGTCCCTCCAACACTGAAACACCATCAAGCACAACGATCATCTCTTACAGCTACATTTACAACAACTCTTCACTCTATCATCAACTCGGATTCAGCAACGGTCAAAATGGTCAGATACGCTAAGGACAAACCTGCAGGCTTCACCAACGCCATTGAGAGAGTTGCAATCGTGGGCGTAAGTACTCCCAGGCCTCTTCCCACCAAACCCTATTAACAAGTGACTCAGGCCGGCGGTACAATCGGCTCTCATATCGCCAACGCCCTTCTCCAATCCGGCAAACACACCGTAACTGCCTTGACTCGCAAAGGAAGCACCAATGACCTCCCTGATGGCCTTCTCGTCACCCCAATCGATTACAACGACGAATTAACTCTTATCGCTGCCCTGCACAACCAGCAATTCCTCATCATAACCATGGCTCCCAATGCTCCCAAGGACACGCATAGTAAACTCGTTCAAGCAGCCGCCAAAGCAGGTGTACCCTACATCATGCCCAATGGGTACGCCGGCGATATCGAGCAGGTCAAGCTCGGCGAGGATACCATCCTTGGCCCGATCGCGAAAGCGAACAGAGATGAGATCGAAAGGCTTGGTATGATGTGGATCACTGTTTGTTGCGGATTCTGGTTCGACTATAGTCTTGCCGGCGGTGAGAATCGTTTTGGGTTTGACTTTGATAAGAAGTCACTTACGCTTTATGATGATGGGAGTGTGAAGAACTCGACTTCTACTCTTGCGCAGGTTGGAAGGGCTGTCGCCAAGGTTTTGAGCTTGAAGGAACTCCCTGATGATGAGAACGACGAGAGCCTCACACTTTCTAGGTTCTTGAACCGGGCGATTTACTTGAACAGCTTTGTCGTCAGCCAGCGAGACTTGTTTGAAAGCGTCAAGCGTGTTACTGGTACTTCTGACTCAGACTGGACTGTTACTCATGAGTCGAGCAAGAAGAGGTATGAGGAGGGTATGGCGCAGGTTAAGCGAGGAGACATGAGTGGATTCAGCAAGTTGCTCTATGCCAGGGCGTTCTTCCCGGGGGATCCGAGCAATCTGTCTACTAAGTCACAGAACAGGTTGCTTAGCTTGCCAGAAGAGGATTTGGATGAAGCTACGAAGGATGGTATTGCGTTGGTTGAGGTTCTGAAGGGTCGTGGTGAGCGCATGAAGCATTAGATGATGGTGATGCTTCATCAGCATGTCCGCTCCATTATATTCCGTCACTCCACTCCACACTAGCTATTAGTAGGGCTTATTATAAACGCTTGTTGCACTTTAAATACTCTGATAAAGTTGACAAAGACGATCTGTTACTGTAAAACGATGAAGATAGAGCTGCCTAACCTAGATCATCTCTGCCATCGCCAATGATCCATGTTGCCAAAAGTTCAACATTTCTTAGCATTTTACTTATATTATATTAGTCTGAGTAGTTATATCCCAGGACATGCCAGTGACTGATTGCTGGCTTGGCTGGTTGAGCTAGAACCTCGGAGTTACGCTCCTGGCAAATCTACCCATCACACGATATACGTCAAGTATAATCAGATCCCAATGAGAGCATGAACATTTTTACGAGTAGTTTATGTAAGGAATAACTTGGCGCCCTACCTCGGATGTTGTTCTGTCCCCCGCAATTGAGATTTCGGATTCCATGATCACCACATACCAGGTCTCGGTCACGTCAGTGCAACTAGCGAATCACCAACCTACCCCGACGTTACAATCGCGGATACATGACTCCTACTTTGGGACTTATCAACGCTGATCCGAGTAATTTCGTAAATATTCTCGTGAAACACAGGCTGACGCAATTGATGTGCAGAATGAGGAGTGCATTGTTCACTCTTTCATTGGCCGGGTTATAGCATACTGTTTATGCATCCTGCTCGCCACGCATGATACTACATCGGTTATATCGCGACAAGATTACTTGAAGCAGTAAGTAATGATAGCGTGGGGGAGATAGAGCGGCAGGGAGTTATAGTCGTAGCGTCATCTGTGAAAATAAGCTTAAAAGAAAGTTTTCTCCCCGATCAGCCACAGTCTTTAAACCCTACCCCATTCTCGACCACACAATCACAATGGCAGGCAATAGCAAACAGGTCTCGAGCGAGAAGGTCCAAGGCGTGCAAGAACTTACCCCCGGCTCGGACTCAGATGCACCTGTTGTAGCTGTCCTGCAAGAAACGCCCAAGAGGAGCTGGAAGTCGTACATATGGGATACGTTTGACAAGTCGCCTGAGGAGCGCAGGTTTCTGTTTAAACTTGATGCTGCTCTTATGACTCTGGCGTCGTTGGGATATTTCATCAAGTACTTGGATCAGGTGAGTCTATGTTCACGGTGTACGAAGTGTGACTGACAACATAGGTCAACATCAACAATGCTTTCGTGTCAGGCATGAAAGAGGATATGAATCTATTCGGCAATGAGTTGAATTATATGCAGACATGCTGGACCGTTGGATATGTCATTGGCGAAATCCCAAGGTAACTCCATACCTCATCTCATTGATCGACAACGACTAACTGGTCAGCAACATGTTGTTAACACGCATCCGACCGAGTATATGGATTCCCGCCTGTGAAGTAACCTGGTCCGTCTTAACAATCCTCCTCACAAAATGCACAAACGCCACTCAGCTTTACGTCCTTCGCTTCTTCATCGGCCTCGCAGAGAGTACTTTCTACCCCGGAATGCAATACATCGTTGGATCATGGTATCGCAAAGACGAACTTGCAAAACGCTCATGTCTCTTTCACGCAATGGGCAACGTCGGTTCAATGGTCTCAGGCTATCTCATGGCTGGCTCGCATAACCTCGATGGCGTTCATGGCTATCACGGTTGGCAGTGGCTGTTCATCACCAACACAGTCGTATCTCTTCCCATCGCCATCGCGGGATTCTTCTTCCTACCAGATCTACCTGAGATCACGAGGGCTTGGTACTTCACACCAGAGGACATCGCCCTTGCAAAGAAACGCATGGAACTTGAGGGCCGAGCACAAAGATCACCGTACACGAAAGCCAAGTTCAAGAAGATCTTCACTAGCTGGCACATCTACACCTTGGTTCTTCTCTACATCCTCTTCAACAACGGCAACGGCGGAAACTCCCAACCGGCATTTCCTCTCTGGCTCAAATCAGAAGGCTACTCTATCCGCGACGTAAACCTGTACCCCACCATCGTCGAAGTAATCAGCGTGATTACAACACTCATCTACGCCTGGACATCAGACAGTCTCTTCCGCGGCGCCCGGTGGCCCGCCATCGTATTCTCCGGCTTAGTAAAAATAATAGCCTATGTCGGGTTGACAGTCTGGAAAGTCCCTACGCCGTTTACATGGGTATGTTTTATGCTCTGTGGTTTTGGAGGCGGGATAAGTGGACTTACGTTTGCGTGGGCGCATGAGATTTGTAGTGATGATAATGAAGAAAGAGCGCTTGTTACGGGAGCGATGAATCAGATGGCGTATGTGTTTCAGGCGTGGTTGCCGTTGATTATATGGCAGCAGGTTGAGGCGCCGGTTTATCCGAGGGGATATCCTACTATGGTTGGGATGGCGGTGGGATTGATTGGGATTGCGTTTACGATTAGGGCTTTGCATAAGAAGCAGATTAGAGGGCATAGGCATGCGTTGGTGGGTGAGGCGTAACTTGGCAAAGGAGGATGCATGTATGGGTTGAGTATAGTATGTAGTGAAAGCCTCTATCCTCCGTCTATCTGTCGCAATCTGTGTAACCTTCCCAGACCAGTCCTTAACTGTGGTATCATACCCCCAACGAATTCACGAGTCAATGCTCATGTAGACGAATACCCTCCATCAACAAATATCGTCTGCCCCGTCACAGCAGCACTAGCATCACTCGCCAACCAAACCGCAACACCCGCAAAGTCCTTGGGCAGCCCATTCCTGCCAATCATGGTCCTCGCAGCATGAGCTTCAGCCTTGCCTGGATCATTGAACGTAACACGGGCCAAAGGCGTATCAACAAGACCTGGCGCAACGGCGTTACACAAAACGCCATGCTTTGACCATGCTTCAGCTTGTGAACGTGTCAGACCCAAAAGACCTGCTTTAGAAGCTCCGTAGGCACCACTGTTTCCAAATGCTCGGAAAGATTGCTGGCTGATGATGTTGATGATACGTCCCCAACCATTCTCCGCCATTTTCGGTCCAAATGCTTGACCGAGTGTGAATGGAGCGGTGAGATTCACAGCGATAGTTTCATCCCACGCTCCTTGCGAGAGGTCATTCATATGAGGTCTATAATTAACCCCAGCAGCATTGACAAGAATATCTGGTGTTCCAGCATTCGTTTTAATAGCATGAATTGCATCGCGAACAGAAGCTTGGTCTGAGAGATCAGCGACGATTGCTTCAGCTGTGACGTGAAGATCTGCGAGGTGATCGATGGTATCTTGAAGAGGTTTAGGTCGTCGCGCGACAAGAACAATTCGACAACCTGCGCGACCGAGCGCAATTGCCATTTCGCGGCCTATGCCTGATGAACCTCCCGTCACGACGGCGACTTTGCCGGCGAGGCTGAAGAGGCTGGATAGGTAGCTCGAGATGGCCTGGGGGCTTGGAGCCATGGCGGTGAGATGACGCTAAATCTGATGGAGATTTCTGTAGCGGAGGAGTGAAAGTTTGTAATGACAGTGGTTATATGGACTACAAAAGTAGTCGCGTGTCTGTTTGGCTGGGATGCGAGTCTTGTGAGCGGAATCGGCTGACGTGTATTGGTGCACGAGGTGTAATGATAAATGCACGTATGCGGGGCGGGGTAGATAAATCGTGACTCAACGTTATTGACTAAAGCGGCATTTCACGATAAAACATCATGATTGCACAAAAGATTGAAAAATATGTCTATAAAAACTGCAAACCCTTCAAAGCACTTTGTTCACTTTGAACATCATGTAAAAATCGCTAAGCAGTAGCTTCAACCCTCACCAAAACCAACCACCAAGTCTCAGCCCCAATATCAACAACCCCAGGCCCATTAATCTCAAGATGAGCAATATGATCACTCAGCGCACTCAAAGGTCCCAGCGGTCCAGCGCTCTTATCACCCTCTGCTGAAGCTTCCAACAGCGCCTTTACAGAAACACCGACGACCTCCGAGAGTTGTTCTGTGTTGACCAAGCTCGCGTGCAAGCCTCGCTTGTTCAACCAATCGTGATTTGCGACAACGACATACGCGACCGCGCGTTCAGCAGGTGTTTTCGGTTTTCGCGTAGCTGCTGCGATTGTTCGTCCCGGAAGACTAACGACTGTTCCTACGGCACCGAAAACAGCGCCTAGAGGAATGGATATGGCGCCTCCGACAACACCAACCGCTGCTCCAATAATGTTACCGCGCTTGGTGTTGGCGGCGATGTTCTTACCAACGCTCTTAGCATGGTTTTGAACATTCTTGACGTAATTAACAGGTTGTTGTCCAACGCTCTTAGCGACATCTCCAGCGTGGTTAATAGCGCGCTCTCCAACCTTGGCTGTCATGAAGGCGGAAATGGTATCGAGGAACGAACCCCATGCTTCTTTTGTGATGCCATGACCGAGGAGAGCGGGCGCATAAGCTTTGAGGAAGGGAGATGTTTGAGTGGGGTTTTCTTGGGGAATGGCGATGGGGGGTTCTTGGGCTGATGAGGCTTCGGAGTAGCTTGGGAGAGGTGAGGAGGAGGGGAAGTTGAAGGGGTTTTCGGCCGTGGGGATCTTATCGGATGATGGTTCGTTTTGAGATGAGGGGCCTGCTTCGGCTTGGTAGGCTGGTGAGGGATCTGATGGGTGGGAGGCGTTGGCGAGATGCTCTGCTTCTTTGCTTAAAGACATGATGAGAAGAAACCTTAGATCAAACGTTGAGTTTGGGTAGAGATTGACGAATGAGGTCAGAGCGAGATGAGAAGAATTGAATACGATAAACAATTGAGCGACCGTCAGATCTTAAATAGACAATAAACACGGCTTAAATGCCACTTCGTCATCGGTTATATCGGCATCGTCTCAGCCCTAAGATCTGAAATTAACCCAAATAGTGAACCAATAGGAGCCTCCGATATACGCGCGGCTGAATTATCTCGAATGAGTTGACGCAATGGGCTTAGTTCGTCAGCCTCAGGACCTAAGCGAGAGCGAGATACTCCATTGTGAAGCTACGTAATGAGGCTGTGCTGGCCTCGAATGGATTGCTATCTCTGAAGTTGAACAATTGGGCAGAGCTTGGAAGAGATGCTGCATAGATCTATCTTGTCGAGATGTTACTATGGTCTACGTAAACCATTAAACTGACTCATGGTGAAATGATTTAACTGCCTGCCCAAGATAAAGGCAACTCGCCCTTGTTCTGTATTGTCTTTCATGTATTCCTAGCCCTACTCACTCGCATCTGCTCAATTCTCCTGCTCTCGTCGACGAGTATTCCCTCGGAGATAATAAAACCCTCTTTCTTTCACAAAGGCACAATCAGCAACCGTTCTTCTACCATAATCACTCTCCCTCCAGAGTCTCTGCGCCTCCAAGCATTCGGAAAGATGCGAAGCAGCATTCTTTTCGGAATATGACATATCGCGAGTTCGACACCATACGGTAAACATATTTCGAAATGTTGGCAGTGGGACGAGCAATGAGGGGCCTTGTCTCATGTGATTTACATGACACCCTTTGCAGCTAACTCCCGTCTCAAGCTTTCCCGTGCGAGAATTGAGGGAGGGGAAGATGAGACTTGCTGCGAGACGATAGTGAAGCCAGCCTGGTTTTAAAAGGGCTTGGCCAGTTTTTTCCAGGACTTTGTCGACTTTGATGTATACTGCTAGTAAATCCTTTGCCAGAACGCCACGAGTCTTGGACATTTTCTGAACATCATCCCAGTTATGCGTCTTGAACGAACACATATCCGCTGTCTTCAAGGCTTCGGCAAGGTCCTCGGCACGCTCGTTGTATAAATATCTCCACTCGTCCCTCTTGCTGATGCGTGCTTCGTTGACAACAGCTGTTTCAGGTGATATGCGAAGACATTCGAAGCAGCAGCGTTTGGCGGTCGGAAGGAACAGAAAATTGCCGAACAAACCGCAGAACGCACACGTTGATGTCATAAGTGCATTATAGACATCTGCATATGAGACATAACAGCTAAGGCCTGTTCTTCTGAAAGCGTTGAGAGCGTCGGGGGCGTAGTGCAGAACGCGCTGGTAGATGGGGAGATCAGTTGCTAAGCAGCGCGCACGACGGCTGACTTGTCTGAAGCGGCGAAACGAGTCGATGTCTAGCTTCAGGACGATATCCCCGAGTAAATCTTGAGGTAGGCAGGCTAGAGCACCGAGGTCTGAAGTTGGAGTTCCGAAGCATTGGGAGAATAACTTGTGGACCTCATGGGAGAATTCGTGGACTTTTGGATCGACGGTGGGGAAGTAGTACTTGCTTCTTTTGTAGAAACAAGTACGAAGAAGTGGGCTCATGCTGGCTGTCGTGTTTTCTGTGATGCTGGAGGGATCCGACATTGGGTCGGTGTTTGGTATAATGATGGAAGCCATTTTGTTGACGAGGTGGGAGATGGATGTGAATGGGAAGAAGAATCAAGAAAGGTGTGAAGACTTTGTTTATATACTGTCATTATTGCAACCTTAAATTCTTGCTTCTGTGATTCGCAGGTCTTAGGTAAAGTAAGAAAAGGAAACTTTGCCCCTGGACATGAAGCACGATAAGAGGTATACTATTTTACCAGTGTGATTTGAGCAAATTTTGTATCATATGCATCACAAGGTAAACTTCATTAAAATGTATTATACTTTATGAATGCAATATCTCTGCATCTGTGATTGGGTCCATGATAAGGTTAAAGGAGAAGTCTGTGTTACTCTCAGCCATTCATATGTGATAGCGTTGAGATACTGAACTTAACCCTAACTAGCTTTTGACAAAACACATGACCTTACGTACCAGAGTCTTGAACTTGATTAGGTAGGGTCAGGCCTTGTCTCCGCCCACGTATTACGTCCCAAACTCGCTCCTGCGTATGATCGCATCAGTCTATAGCCCAGAACTGCAAATCCAACCGTCTAACTCTTCTTCACTGTCTTCATAGACGTGGGAGTTTTGACCAGTTTAGGATACGCCAAGGGACTTGACATGACTCTACCCTGTTCCTATCTACCAACTCTATCACTTTGCTATTCTTCACTCTCGCCATACTCATTCAGTCTGCCATTCATCACGACAGCATCCAATCTCAACCATGATCTCAAAGTACCAATCCTAAACTCAAAAGAACCCTGCCAAATCTCCTTCTTCCAAGTATCAGCATCTCTCTGCTCAAACTCCACCAAGGCTAGTCTCTTGACTACGCATGTTTGCATAGCAGATCAGAACAATGATGTAGAATGCAATTTGGACAACAACGCCGACCAATACCTAAAAGTGCTCGTCGTTCCAAATCGGCATCATGTCTACATATCGCTGGCAATAGTCTGCTCGTTCGCTCAAACCCCAATACATGCCCCCATTCGCAGCAAACCAGGACTCTCGACCAGGCGGTATGCGGTTTTTCCAGACTCGCTGTGCATGCGCACAAGTCTCAAAGTGCTTCTCGAAGTCTTTGAATGTGTAGCACCGGTCACGGTCTTCGGCATCCGGGTTGATTCTCCCATCACCAAGGGGACCGCCTGCTCGAACAAGTCTCCGTTCGAAGGCGTCGTGGCAGCCTTTGCAGCTACGTCCTTCCTCCGTTTTGCCCGTGGAGGTGTTGAGGTAAGGAAATTGAATGGAAGCTGCGGCACGGTAGTGAAGCCACTCTTCACGAAAGAAACTTCGGGTTGCATCTGACATTCCTTTACCTATGTCTGAGGCCAGGATGTCGTCTACCAAAACGCCTCGGACATTCGCGCACATTTTACCAGGCTTTGACCATTTTCGGACTTTAAGAGAGCGCAGGTTGGATTGGTCGAGAAAGTTAATCAAGTGTTTCCGATTCTCCCGCTTTCCGTAAAGCTGATACTTGGGACTGTAGGTGAGGAGCTCCTCAGTCCCAATGACCGCCATACGGGGCGATATTTGCAGGCACTTATGACAGACGCGAGTGCATGTTGGAAGAAAAAGTAATGATCCGAAGTCGTCACAAAATTCACACTTGGGAGACGTGAGCGCCTTATGAATATCCCCGATGGCAACATGGGCACTCAACCCGGTGCGGATAAGATTGACCACAGCGGTGCTAGCATACAACATAACTTCCTTGCAGTCTAGAAGCGTTTCCGTGATACGGTGTGCCTTTGCGTTGACGATTCGGAATCTGCGGAAGGACTTGACATCGAGAAGACGAAAGATTTTGTTTGTAATCTCAGCGGGGAGTTTTTCAAAGAGAGCGAGATCCGCGATGGGTGTGCCGAGACTTTTGTCTAAGGTTTGGGGAATAGGGCCGAGGTTCTGCAGCATGGGAAAATACCATTTCGTCCGAGTGTACGAACACTTGCGGCGGATTTTGGCCCATTGATTCGGTGTGAGGGCCCAGTCGCTGACAAACGCGGATCCGTCTCTGTCAGCGAGATAGATATCTATGTCAGACATTCTATGAGGAGCTGAGTTAGAAGACATCTTGTGAGATTGGCTCAGGTGTTGGCCGTGTTTGAGATGATGGATGAGATGCGTAAGTGTCGGAACCGAAGACTGTGATGCGACAGATCAGGGTTGGAAGTTCGGGTTGGTCGAGATGGGAGTTGCTCCTGTTGAGACTGTTGACATAGCGCGTATGTCTTGAGATCAATGTTGAAGGGTTCGCTGGTGATGATAATGCGGAAGGGGATGCGCGGCAGAGTTGTCGAAGACTACTCGTTGCTGTTGCGGAGGGGTAAAGACTCAAGAACCGTTTAGAGCCAAGCTCTTTGCTATGCTGTGAAGATATTTGAGGTTGCTCAAGTTTCTCAAGGGATCAAAAAGGGTAGATAAAGTAGAAAATGAATCCTAACCTAGTTGCGGGTTACTAGGAATCGTGAGTCAAGAAAGGAAGCGATGGTCTCGATAACCAGCGAAGAGAAGACGACGATTTCGTGATCAGTCAGATACCATGGTCGTGAGGGTGAGGTGAGATGGGAAGACTGTTGTGAGAGAGGAAACATGGGAAGAGTTCTGTGAAGGGATGAGGTTGTTGTGACGGAGAGGAGGTGATGAAGCATTATGATATGAGACGGGCAGGCATTGCGAATGTTTTTCTGACACCAAGGGAACAAATCCTCCTGGCAATGGTGGAAACCTCTGGCACACGTTGCTTCGTGGCACTGGCACAGATTTAGCAGCTAGCACTGCCTTTATCATAGGTCTGCGCGTTTCTACGTCCCAGCGTCTTGGCTCAGAATGGGCGAACGGTATGAGCTGTTTGAGTTGAAAGTGGCCAACACTGAAACATACTCGCATGCTACAGATAGTCTTGTTTGGCGTTGACGAACTAAGAACTGACGCCCATCGTGCACTCTAGCCCGTGCTGCGGCTTCGTCGAACTCGTCAAGGACCATATATACTGTATATGCGAAGTAAGAAGCTAGTTTGAATACAAAGAACGCTACTGTACCCAATTGAGCGAAGGACAGAACACTTCCTGCGAATGTTCCCGAGTAAAGACCAGTACAAACTCCAATGAACGACCGAACACGTACTCCGTACTCCCAATACAGAACTGCCAGAGACAAAACCAACTGCACATTTGTCAAGTACTATCTCTCTGCCTGGCCACTCTCATCAAGCAACTTTCTGCGTCACCCCAGATCCCTTAACGCGCGGCACCAGAGCCCTACCATTCCGATACTCGTACTCAAACTCCGTCCTCGAACCACGATCCTCCTGGAACGATACCTGGATAATCCGCATAACAACTTTGATAATATCTGCGTACTCCGGATAGTCCTGTTTAATGTCGAGAGTCACGAGCTTGAGACTTTCGTTATCCTTCCGAGCACCGCGAGCGAAACGACTGATGATGTTCATATCACGTTGCGTCTCAAGCCCAGCCTCCATGTTAATCCAAAGAATGTTACTCGCTTCGGACAGACTCTCATATTCGCTCAAAGAACTGGATCCATCATTGAGAACGACGTAAACGAATCGCGACGAGATATCCTCCAGACGTGTTGGTGTGATGGTAGACGCTGTACCATTCTCTGCCAGTGCAGAAGCCAATTGATCCGCAAAACTGAATAGTTCGCCCTGAGAGCCTGGCAAGATGTTGACCATGAGGCGTTGGGTTGATGCAACTGCTGTTGAGATGATACAGTAGCAAGATTGGCCGATGTAGTCGAATGTCTTTGTTGCTGGTTCAATACCGCTGAACTGGTTACCCTGTAGTAGTTTGGTCCATTCGTCGTTCGACGGGTATGGCAATTGTTCATATCGTTCATCTAAAGCACTGGTAAGTGATTTAAAATGGTGAATATGAGTAGTAAAACACATACCTGACCATAAATTCTCATTCATTCCAAAGATGAGGCTGTACGCAGGTGATATGTCCGAGAGCCCGACCAAGGCAAGCACACCGCCAGGGACGAGAAGCTTGCGTAGGTTCACCAGCGTTTCTTCTAGTGAGTTGGCTGTATGAAGGATGTTGTTGACTAGAATCGCGTCGTAGCTGTTGGGACTGAAGCCTTGCTCAAGAGGATCACGGTTGATGTCGAGGCTCTTGATCTTCAGGAAGTCTCGCGTGATCGAAGACTTGGTCTGCTGCAGTACTGACAGCGACGAGTCGGTGAGAGTGTAAGCAACGTTCTTCTGTTCCCGAAGCGCATCGAACATTGTCTGCGTGTTGTTGCTCGTACTGGCGCCGACTTCCAGGACGTTCAGAACTGGCTTCTTGGTCGCATAAGCTGAGAGGTATTGTCTGAGATGCGCTCTCATCTTCTGCATCAACTCCATGCCGTCTCGCATCCGATTGAACCTATCGCCTTCCAGCAATAGTGGCATCGGATCAATGGTACCTTGCAGAATGGCTCCCAAATTCGGTCCAATCTTTGCCAAAATCTCTCCCTCAACACCCATTCGCGTAAGCGACGATAAGATCTCAATCGTAACAGTCATGGTTACGTCGCCCAGCACAAGCTTACTCGCCTGTGACGAGTTGTAAGACTGCATCCATTGATACAATTGTTTTCGGAAGCCGGTGAGCTTCGAAGGATCGAAGTCCGGGATATCCAGAGGGATATTGTTGAGAGATGCGCGAATAATGAGTGCTGCGGCGCGGGCTAGTGTGATTTGATGATCGGCTGTCGCTTTGCATAGAGGTGTTCGAGGTCGAAGTTCAGAGCCAGTGAAGAAGTTGGCGTCGGGTTCCCATTCGACGTGGAATACTGAGTCCCAGTCGTCATCATCGTGCATGACGAGTTGGTCTCTGATGATAGGCTGTACTATAGACATGACTGGAATGTGACTATCGTGTCAAGTGTACTGATAAGATAAGGATAAGTGTAGGAGCTTGGTGAAGTTCTCTCCAGGTAAATGTATGGAGTACGAGATGGAAAGTGTTGGCGCCAAGCAAGTCCTTATATCCCTCCAAATCCCCAAAATCTCACCACTTATGGCGGGGAGGGGGGCGATGGCATTCGTATCTCCGGGGATACCCCAATATTTCTCGGAGCCGCAAAGCATGTGAGACCCTTAACCCCACGGGGAAATAAGCGGCCGAGCTTCCGATACGTGCCCGCGTTTGGGGTAGTGGTGTCATGACATGTTACTGTGACATTTTATCTCCTGATTAATATGATGCGATGAGATTGAATTGGGAAGTTGGGGAAAACCCCGCGTTCGAGGATTGGAGAGTGAAATGATGCATTGGGGGTTTATTGCTGGGGCTTGGGCCCAACAAGATGGGGCACCTTTGAGGAGGAGAGGGAGCCGTTGATCCCGCTGCGATAGACAGCCATTCAACGTTCATCCGACCAATACTCTTTGTCATTTTCTTCAATAAACTCCACCTTTCCAGTTGAGGTTACGTTGAGGCTCTGTAAAGGAACAGATGATCAATGAACTAATGCATGTGATTACGGGAAACTCCACAAATCGCATCCGCAATGGTAAGCCAGATCGGAGCCGTCGGTTTCGTCTTCTGACCTGTAGGATAACCTGATCTGACGTAAAGAGCGGGTTTCACAAGCGGAGGGGATATCTCGGACCGCCGGCGTTGTTTTCGGATGTTCCGGATTTGATCGGGAATGACATAGCGACTGAGGGCTTTAAAAGCCTGCATCACGGCATTATTATTCAGTGTTGCACTGGTATCTCGCCACATCTTCTCCAGTCTGCTAAATGTCTCAGTGTCCATTTTAGTAGTCGGGCCATTTCCTTCTGTGCCGCAAGCATGAGTGAGGCGGATGCATGTTGGGGAGCAGATGCGGCATTAAGTTTCAAACTGCAACAGTTCATCCTTGTAGTAAAACTGAAGAGTTTGGATGTTTGTAGTCTACTTCTGTCGACATGGCCCAATGTCCAGAGCAACTAGCAGAGCCTTTTTCCACAAGCCCCTCTATATTACCTGAAGAGCCACGTTGGAATTGTCACTGTAGACTAGGAATACTAGAGCAGGGCGTCAAGAGCCACTTCTGCCGCACAGCACTAGTCCCGTGTGAAGGGAAGAGCGTGTATGAAGACAAAGGCAACACAACCTTGGTTCCTGAGCTCACCGAGATGGACTGGAAGAACGCTGGCTTCAAAGGGCATTTAGTCCGTCCTGACAGGACCAGGAACGGCTTTACCGTGTCTTAGAGAGACTGTATCAACATGGAACTTCGTATCATAGCCCTGGGCTATCATCAAGGCAATCGAGTTTATACTACAGCCAGTATAGTGCAAGGTTTGTGAATGCTGGCGATAGCCCGAGTAAGCCGGAACCTCCGTCCTCCGTATGACAATACACCATCGGCATTCAGCTCAAACGTGTCCGTGTTGGTCTCGCAGTGACTGCTTTTTTATCGAAAGCTTAATCTTATCTGACATACGCTGCGAAAATGTATTCGTAGCCGCGAGGGGCTTTGATGCGCTGGCAGACCAAATCTACTTTGAGTAGAGAGGGCATGAGATAACCTTATGAGGCGCCAGCAAGTTTTGCGAGCATGTACACTGTTGAATTCATATTTGTACTGGCCTTCATGACATCGATCGCTGGTCGCAAGTTGAGCCGAAGAACCTTCTGAGCCGCCGAAACGTTGTACGTAGAGTCTTCGAGACCGCGAATGGGCAAGATCCGAACGGTTTGCATGGAAAAGTCTTCTTGTCATGGTAACCTCTTCAATGGTGCTCGTGGATGCGGCTGATTCCTCGGTCTCGATGCTAACCTCAGTGGTCGAACTGTCTCAGAGCACTCGACCAGAATTAGTCGTTGCAACTAGGGCAGCGACGTCGCTCGTGAAGCTCGCGATTTCGCTGGCATGTTTCGATACTGTTGTCGTCGCCGGTTGAGAATTGGCACCGTAGACTAAATTTAGTTAAGCTTCATAGACCGGCGGAGTTTTACCCAAGCGGTCGGTACCCAGCATTATAGAGCTGACATGTTTAGAGATCCGCATCGCGATGGGGATGCAAAACGAGGACAGGATCCGGATGGAAGTTGTTCACTAACTAAACGATTGACAGAGAGCAGCAGGAAAAAGCATTGGAAAGCAGAACAGCATGGCAGGGAATGCTTTTATTATAGTTATGAATGCACCCAAGTGGCGAGTCAACTCAACGACGAAGCCCCTGTATCTTTGCGTAAGTTCACAAGCTTATATCGTGAAGCAGATACACTCTCCTTGTTTCCTGAATTAGTTGCCTGAAGTTTGACCATATGGCCTGCAAGTGCTTCCATAGTTGGGTAGTTTCACTCTGACAGCAGCACACCAAACCCATCATAGTTCGTCTTTATCTGCCTATTAATCGGCTCTTTTTGCAATTACGTATCCATATGCGAATGGGGACTTGAATAGTATCGCTTGAGTGTTTTTTGGTAGGCCGCACAGAGACATTGGTCATTAGCCACTCGCCTTAACTCAACGAGTTCCCTAACCACAATGAGTTCTGTAGGATCTTTCTTGAGCAATCTGATAGGTTGATGATGTATCAACGGAGCACATCAGGGACAAACATGAATCGTATTCATACATTCGATAAAGAGTGAGGCGAGAATCAGATATCTACTATGTTCAGCTTGAAACTGCACATCAGAAATCAGACTCCAGTCAGCATACCAATTGCCAACACGTCGTACAATTCTGTAACTAGCATGGCTTGCTTGTACAAATGTAATTCTCATAACGGACCTATCATTTTGGAATATGTGTTTGGTGATGACTTGGCTATTCGTTATTACGATGTATGGTAAGAGCCTAGGGATATATCTCTCAATACAACTGCAACTATGGAACTGGTACAGTGCTTGTCCTTCTTTGAAGAAATCAAGATATTCTTTCTTCTGCTTTTCTTTAGTAACTTGTTACCCTGGGATGTCATAAAACTTCCAAGTCTACAACAAGTGTAGGCCGCATGCGCGCCAGAGCTGTTTGCGTTCGCTGTCACAGATCTCCAAATACGGGAATTGACTTGAAAACACCAGCGTTCTTTCACAGCGAGTACAGATCATCAAAGGTGACCAGTAGATCTGTCCCTCGGTGTTCCAAAGGCGCAATATACCGTCTCTGCAGAACTCCAAAAGCCGAGGGGACTGACCCTCAGGTGCTTCCTCGCTGGACCAGAAGACCTCATCCTGTTCGTCAAGTACTTCAAATCTACCGTTGTTCTTTAAAACAAACTTGACGCCATTCTCAAACTGCAGAAAGGCCGACTCAGAGGGCCTGACCTTAAGGGTACCACGCTCAAAATTGCAAGAGTAGCCTGGTAAAGAGGTTATTGACAGTACAAGGTTGGGGAACAGGATCTGACTTACCTGGCGACTCAATATCTTTGTGCAGAGTGATCTGATATTGTTTGGCTTTCTTGTAATTCTCCCCAGTGGCTTCGAATGCAATCTCCCTGGCCGTCTGTTGGGTGAAATTGGCAAGTTGTCGTTGAACAGTCAATAGGCATCCAGTGGTGCCCATGGAAACAGCGCACTGAATGCCCTGAGGTTCTGCAAATGTATAAAAGACAACACCCGTCATGCCATCTTTACCCAAATGCTCATCCCTAACGGTGTAACTGTTAAAGTGGATGTAAGGCCAGTCCCCTTCTCCCACGTAATCAGCATTGCTTATGCACCGTTGTAGATCTTCACGGGAGTTATAGATCTTACCGCCATGGATTACACTCAGTATTGACCAGCCACGGCCCCGATCTCCAACAAATTCGACTCTCTGGCAGTGAGACTCGTGAGTGATCTCCAATACTTCAGTTGACTCCTCATCATGGTTAAATAAGCAAATGCGCATAGGTCCATCATTATACCTGTAGATGAAACATAGGTTGATCATATTTCCAAGTCTTAAGCTTCCATAGGAATCGTCATCTTCAAGCGTACTGATATCTTCGACAGGGATGACCAGCCGATCTCCAGTTTGGCCAGGACTCACCCATTGCTGGAGTGTTGCTGTAACATCGTGGATTCCACATACAGCAGCAAGAAACTCAAGCTTTTTATACTTTTCATCGGTCGCTGGAACGGTCTTGGCTTGCTTGCTGATGAGGCTGGTCGAGCGTCCAGTCTTCACAGGTAGCAACTCCGCCCAAACTTCAGGCGGGACCAGCAAGTCTAGCTTCAGATCAGTGGATGGCCCAGGTCCGTTGAGCAACACAAGAGATCTCCCACTGAGGCTAGTAGAGTCCAGATCAGATGTTTGAGGGGTATGGATCTCCTCAACTCCGCTACTCGTCTCGCTCGGCGAGTAGTCTGAAACATAAGGCAGGGGAAAATCGTCTTGCGCTGGGGGTTCTTCTTGTGAGACAGATGTACAGGACTCCGAAAGCGCTTCCTCGATAATCCCTTGCACGAGTTCGTCCTTGCAATTTGTGTTGAAGTAGTCGACCTCGGGTAGAAGCTCTGGCTGTCGTGCTAAAGTGTTCACCTTGTTGGGAAAGGGTTAGATCGTACTGCCGCGATGACAAATGAACTTACCACTGCAACTATTTTGTTAACCTCGTTATCGAGCGCGGTGCGAACGGCCAGGAGAGTATGGAGCTGAAGCGAAATAGCCTTAGGCTTATCGACTTCACCTAAGAAGCCATACGTTAGTTCACTTGAGTGTCTTATGAGGATGGTTCAAGACATACTATACTTATCTCGGTGAGAAATGATATCCTGAACGTTCCTGTACAGGTGCTTGTACTGCATGTAGTTCTCAAAGAGCCTGGAAGTGTATGACGCAACACCGTTATAATCAAGCGACCGTAGGGTCTGATTTGTTATCCATTCGTTGAAGCTGCGATTTGCCTTGTACTTGGTAAGTTTGGCCCTACAATCTGTTAGTTGTTGTTCAATTGTATGATGCTGGTTTGTACCAAGTTTTGTGGGGATTCCTGGCAACGGAAGCAGGGAATTTGTTGGCTGCCTCGACAACGGATGCGATATCGCAAGCTGACTTTCCGCCTTCGAAATGCCCACCACCTGCGCAGATGGTAGAGATCGAAACCTTGACACCCTGAATGACGGATATATCCACAAGTTCTTTGCAAATCTTGTCCAAGTCCATCGTAGAGTAGGCTGAAACCTCTTTGACACTAGAGATTAGTTTGGTCTATCATGAGGGGATAAATTCTCATGCTTGAATCATGAGCTCCTTGGTTTCAGCGTTCAAAGAGCGAAATGAGATAATCATAATGAAAAGCCCGCCTCTAATGAAACCTACAACAGTCAGCTGGCCAAGACGCGACGTGCGTGTAATGATACACACCAGAAATGTAGGAATCTCCAAAGACCTCATTGAATTGGGGCGATCCAACCTCTAAGCCATCGATTGGGAGGAATCTCACCAAGTTATTGAGACTGACAGTTTGTTTGGTTACTTGTACTGATATCATCAAGCTGATGTCGGCATCGTCGATCCTGGCTTGATCAAGTGTGTTAGCGTGTCCGTGGACTTCCATCCTGCCGGTCTTGATGGTATCAGCGCGTGAAGTATCCATCGTGTCGACAATATCAGACACCCGTTCAACGGGCTTAAGGGAATATGTCGTTTTCAGCGCTGGGTTCTCCGACGTGACAGTGTTCTCATCCATAGCTTCAACGACGCTGTCGATGCACATGGTCTGGGTGTAGGAGTTAAATCCCATGCCCTAAAATATATGTCAACATTTTATCTTAAAGCAAGGTAAGTGATGTCAGATGATTGGTCAACAGTTTTGGTGTGTTTTGCAGGCTATCAGGTTTTCATAAGCCCTGTGAGAGGAGTATGACCTACCAGACGCATGGCATCATTGTATGGCGCGAGTAAGAGCGGCATCGCGATCTTAGGTCGTATAGCCTGCAGTGGAAATAAAGTGAACACTGAATGTTGCGAGAAGGTTGGAGTAATTGTAGACGGACCCGGTTCCAGCAAGTTTTTATGGAATTATGGGAGGGCTAGGCAGCACTGTGCCCTACCCAAACCCAATACTGCAAGATTGGCCTTGCACGCCAATGGATGCTTGCTTGTCTCGGGCCTCTTACTGTGATAGGGGCGGTGCTCACTGGAATCGAAAAAGGGTTTGAGTGACATTACTACTTATTGGCATATATCTAGAACTCTGGACCCAAGCAGGAACATTTGCTATTGCTTGACTGGTTGTTGTGTAGAGAAGGTTAAGAGGTTAAAAAGGGCTTCCAGCCCCAGCACACAAGCTGCGGCGAAGAATAAAATTATAGAAGTTAAAACTAGGTTTCCAGATAAGATACACAATTGGGCATTACTGCTGCTACATATTGAGAGGAATGACCTGCATCTTAATACCGCTGTTAAGACATTCCAGTTTTATTCCAAGCTTTACACTATAGTATTTAATATGAGGTTTTAATATCAATTGAAGACTATCTGGCTTATTGCCCATCCGCAAGATATTCCTCGAGTGGTAACACGGGCCTCCAGTAGGTGCTCTACCGGGAAAAGCTCGGTGTTGAAGTTAACAGCCAGTGGGGTTATTTCTAACGCACAGAGGGCCATGCTTAATAATCATCCGATATCGGCCAACCATCATCTATATCCCTGTTTTATATCCTTGTCGTGGGTCAGTCCAAGCGTTCTGCTCCACAACCTTAATTCAACCTCGTCGCCAACACGTGATATAGATCTGGGGCACGTGCGCCCGAAGTGATACGAGAGCTACCCTAGACCTGTGAGTTTAGAGGATAGTTCAAACAATTCGATCTCATGACTCCATAACTTTGACAAACTTCCGGCTCAACACCAATGGGTCGGGTAATTGACCCGGTTGATCTGCAACGTCGATCTGACCAACGCTTATGAGATCATGGACTGTGATGACGTCATAGATCTTGCATGGCTTGACGTGACCACTATAAAGTAGGTGCACGCTTGTCGCTCTCATTCTCTCACAATCATCCAACACCAGTATCACTCGTAGCACTCATCCATTCTATCGCATTTTGCTCATTACCATTTATCGCCAACATGTCCGACAAGCCCACCACCAGCCTACCCGGTACCGCGCCCAAAGCTATGGATGAGCAAGGCACTGTCGGCAAACAATTCACTGGTAAGTTTTCCTTGTCTGTTTACATGGTGCGATCCTAAACGCAAATGCAGAGAATGGAGCTATTGGAGGAACAGCTCAAAAGATTGGTGGTCCGTTTGACAAAGAGGGCGTGATTGGAAAGCAATTCACTGCCGAGGGAAGCATTGGAGGAACTGTTCAGAACAACATGGGAGGAGAAAAGAAGGCTTAAATACTACTTCAAACTAGTAATTATCACATATGAACACTCATGCCCTAAGGTATAGCGATTACTTGAATCGCCCAGTTGATGTTGGTTACCCTGTACCACTGTGATGCTATCACCACATCGCGAGACGCGACAACAATGAGTATCAAGATAACCAACATCTCGCGCCAGCAACTCGTTGCAATTGACAATTATCATCGCTTTTTCTCTTCTATCTGCTGCAACCTTGCGCGGGGTTGGATTAACTCCCCGCTTCGCAATGTCGATCATCATTGTGACGTGAATATGACAGCCAAGAACAACGACGTCAGATTGTTGGCATTGCGTTTTCAATGATGCGCAGAAGGACCAATTGCTCCGCCATTTTCCCTGCGCCCCGTGTCTCAATTCCATGCATGGGATATGTAATGGAAATAGTGACGACTTCGTGATGTGAAAGCTGATGCGGTGTAATACCAGCCCCGACAATTATTGGAGCGACATGCATTTCTGGCAAGTGATACAGCTCAATTGGTCTCGATTGCCAATTCACTCTATTTAATTCGTCCGTGTTTTATGTTGTACGGTTCACCATCCAGCCTCAACTTCTGTCACCTCCATGATATAGACCTCGTGAGCTCAGTACAGCCCCTTCACAAGCTCGTTCCTCATTCATATCCCCTAGGATGCTCTTCTCTCTAGCATCAGCATCATTCCGAGTCTCTCGTATCTCACGTCGCTGCACAATCCAATTATCCTTCAAAGCCTACCAATCCACCATGGCGTCTTCCAAGTCACAGCAGTTCTTTCATACATCAGGCGCGACGGACTCAGTCTGGGTGCATCAAGATCCCGTCTCCAATCGGCCATCTTTCTCCAAGCTCAACCAAGACATTGAAACCGACGTTTGTGTCATCGGGGCTGGAATTGGCGGTATTTCTACAGCCTATGAGCTCGTCACTCGCGGTCGCGAAGTCGTTCTTCTTGAGGCTCGTCAGGTTCTCTCCGGAGAGACAGGTCGCACTAGTGGCCATTTGACCAACGATCTTGATGATGGGTATACTGAGATTGCGAAGAAGCATGGTGATGAAGGCGCCAAAGTTGCAGCTGAAAGCCATGCTTGGGGACGAGATCGCGTCGGAGAAATTTCGAAGGTGCTCGGTATTGAGTGCGAGTATCGCAAACTCCCGGCATATGAGGTTTCTCAGTATTCCACCAAGGATGCGAAGGAGCATGAAGATGAGATGAATGATCTTCGCAAGGAAGAAGCTGCTCAGCGAAAGTTTGGCATTGACGCTAGATTTGATGTAAGACTCTCACCTATCTCATTCTTGACATGTTACTTATTTTGCACAGGAATCGCTGACTGTTCGTGGCTGGGACGGAGCAATCGACCAACGCGGCGGACTCATCGTCAAAGACCAAGCAACATTCCATCCAACAAAGTATCTCAACGGCATCCTCAAATGGCTCACAACCCAGCCCAACTTCCGCTGCTTCGACGAAACACGTGTCATGTCCGTTGAAGAGAAAGGCATTGAGATTCTCGGCATTGGCAACAAATCCGTCAACGTGTCAACAACAGATGGCTATACCGTCAAATGCAACAACGCCGTCGAAGCAACTTGCGTTCCCCTCCAGAAGCTCAGCGTCATCGCTCAGATGGAGTTTATGCGGTCCTACTGCATTGCTGCGCGTGTACCCAAGGGCGCTATTGAGGATTGTCTTTTGTATGATCAGGCGGAGGAGTATAAGTATATTCGACTGACGGCTTGTGATGATGAGCATGATTATCTTGTTGTTGGAGGCTGTGACCACAAGGTTGGACAGGAGGATACGACTACTGAGTTTGGTGAGCTTGAGGAATGGACGCGTGAGAGGTTTTCACAGGTCAAGTCTGTTGATTATCGCTGGAGTGGACAGATCTTTGAACCTGTGGATTTCATGCAGTTCATTGGTAAGAACCAGGGCAACGATCACATTTACATCATCACTGGGGATTCGGGAGATGGTTTGACGCATGGAGTTTTGGCTGGGCGATTGATCGCAGACGAAATCGACGGTATCAAGAACCCATGGGCAGACGTATACTCCCCAAAGCGTATCGCTTCAATGGTCAAGTCCCTCCCCAGCATGATCGCACACGACGTCCAAATCAACGCGCAATACAAGCGCTTCCTACAGTCCGACATCACAGACATTGAAGATCTCGGCCGTGGAATGGGCGGAGTTTTAAACAAGGTAATTTCCCTTTGTCCTTCGTTACGTACTAGCTAACCTGTACCAGGCCGGGTCAAAGCCCATCGCGGTGTACAAAGACGAAGAGGGTAACGTCAAGCAGTACAGCGCTTTGTGTCCTCATATGAAGGGCGTTGTGTGCTGGAACAGTACTGAGAAGAGCTTTGACTGTCCTGTTCATGGAAGCCGATTTTCACGAGAGGGTATTTGTGTTATGGGGCCTGCGAAGGGAAACCTGCCGCCTGTTGATGAGGCTGGAAAGGCTGATCAGGAAACTGTCGCTGGTAGCTAGATATTGGCCAAATGTAATCAACAATCGACGATGTTGTTATGTAATTGAGATTGCTGAAGTATCCGCGTATGCGAATGAAACGAGTGTGTGTATTACGTGCTCAACCGCTGCGACGTTATACGCGTACACATCATCAGTCCATCAAAAGGCGACATCCTCCACGCGTCAGCTCACCAATAAAATCGCTACGTTTACGAGTAGTCCAATTATTTGCGTTTCGTAACACCCTTGCCTCACGTAAGACCCGAAGAAGCCGAGCGTTGAAGGTGACAAAAAGGATGAGACACATTTAGCCTGAAAGCTCACGTCATCTTTTCTTACATCCCATGCGGGGTAAAATACCTGATGACGCCAACATTCATCGCTACTGGTCCGTCATAGACGTTCGAACGATATAAAGTCAGAGCATCATTGACCGGTTTTCATCGTTGTGTAAGGACGTTGGAGCGGCTGATCTTGAGTCATTCATACTTCCATTGAGTTTCATTGACAGTTTGATTCATCATGAGGTCTCTTTTGGCTCTTACCTTGGCTACGGCCACTTCGGCTTTCGTCATTCCCGAAGGTTTGGACGCCTTAAATACCTGGAAGGATGATTTGAAGCAATCGCTTGAAGATATTCCCACGCGTCTTCGCAAGTCCCTCGATGAAGCGACCGAGCAGCTCTCCACAGAGTTCACAGCAGCAATTCACAACAGACTCCAGGATGAAGAGGTTTTCCTCCCCGCTGACGCTGTAGACGATGATGAGTCTGCGGATATTTTTGGGCGAACGGGCGGTGACTTTACTGATCATACGACTTATGAACTCATCGCCAAGAGCAACCATACCAAGAAATTCTTCAACCTTGTACAGAAACATGAGAAGTTTGGCAAGCTATTGAACAGCACTGATGCGAACTACACGCTTTTTGTCCCGATTGATGAGGCGTTTGAGCATATTCCTCATCATCATAAAGACAAGCCTAGTGATGAATTCGTCGAGGCTGTTCTTAACTACCATCTTGGTATCGGGGAGTATCCTGCGTCGCGAATTCTCTTTACGCACACTATTCCTACTACCCTGAAGGAGCCTCTGCTCGGCGATAAGCCTCAGCGACTTCGTACCAGCGTTGGACTCTCTGGCGTGAGGGTTAACCTGTACAGCAAGGTCATCGCAGTCAACTTCGTAAGTGCATCCCGGTCGCCAATTGATCGCCTACTGACCGTTACAGAAAACCAAGAATGGCATCATCCACGCCGTTAACCGAATCCTCGTCCCTCCTCCCTTCATCGGCAAAGAAATCAGTCTCTTCCCCGCCCAATTCTCAACCCTCCTCCTCGCATTCGAAAAGACCGATTTCGTCAAGTATATCCATAACATTCCCATGGTCGGCAGCACCGTCTTCGCTCCCTCCAACGATGCATGGCGCCGTCTCGGTCCCCGCGCAAACGCCTTCCTCTTCAATACCGAGACCGGCAAGAAATATCTCAAGGCACTTCTCAAGTACCAAATAGTCCCCAATATTACTCTCTACAGTGATGAGGTTTACTACGGCGATGAGAAGGTGTCGAAGAAGCTTTATGGTCATGGCGATGACTTCCATATTGAGCTTCCTACGCTTCTTGAGAGGAGTGTTGGTGTTGATGTTCATACTTTCAAGAGCTGGACTACTATTGTGCTGAATGGGCATAATGTGATTGGGTTTAATGATGCTGTTGGTAAGAATGGTGTTATTCAGGTTCCAAAGACTATTCCTATTCCGCCGCATAGGAAGGGTGAGCATCCTTCTGAGATGGAAGGTGAGATTAGTGTTGAGGAGCTCAAGGAAAGATTGGAGGAGTATGTGGAGGAGGAGGAGGAAGGTGAATATCAGGACGGCGAGTTGTAAAACATGCGCTTCCAGAGCGTCTTGATGAAAGATAATGGAAAGTAGTAGAAGTCGTCAGAACTGTATGATACAGATGTTACCCTATTAGAGGGCATAGGCTAGACAACACGAGACTGGGACTTGATGATTTGAAAGATTTTAGTGCATTGATAATGATTGTGAATGTCCTTCCATTACCAGATTTTATTGTATAAGCATTCATGACTGTCGACTCTTATGCTTGGCTCATTGGCCGATGTCGTAACAACGCATGGGTCTGTAAAAAGGGGGATCATGATAGCAAACAATGAAGAAGTTGCTTGAAAGATTTCAGTTCGAGGCATTACGACGGTCTAACATGCGAGAATATTGTTGACCAATTCATCAGTCTTCAAAGTTCAAGTTTGGAAGGATACAGGGTATCTGTTTCCGTGGGTTAGCTAAGCTTACTTCAACGAGAACTTCAGCATGAGGAGCCATATGTCAACAGTAATAAAATAGAACTTAGTATTTTGACGAAGACGAGGATCTCACGTTGTGAATGCACAAAGTTATGACGGAAGACGAATCAATTCTTAATCTAGAGGTCTAGTCTATTCCATCCTTTCATCGCAAAGCCCAGTGACTATCACTTGGGGGTCTGGCATCTAGCTCAGACAACTTTCCCAAGACTCTACCAAGTCAAGAGACAAAAACAAAAGCAAAGATGAGTGGGGTACTTTTCCTGTAACTCGCGCACTCGGTCTGGCACTTCCAAGCTCAGACAATCCTTCCCAAACTCCGAAAAAAGAAAACAGGGGTGAGATCACACTTTTGGACTGGACTTAGTTCTCAGCAGCCTTGATGATGTACTGACACATGCCAGAACCCTCAGCCTTGCCAAGAGTCTCAATCTCAAGACCAACCTCGTTGGTGAGCTCGTGGATTTCGGCCTCATAGCGCTTCCAAGACTTGAACATCTGGAACACAGTTCCAGAGGCGACGTTGATACCTAACTTGGTGCACTGCATGTCGTGGTTGGCAGTTACGTCGAAGTAGTGCATGGCTTTGTTGAGCTTGCTCTCAACAGTCCAAGCAGTCTTGGGATTGGCACCAACAATACCAGCGTGATCCTGAAGACCCTGGAGGTAGGTAGTAAAGAATGCATCATATTCGACAGTGTTGTAGGCAGCGTGCGTCTGGCTGCTCTCGGCGCCGGTAGGTCCATCCTGGCCGACAATGAGACGATCGACGGGAGTCATGTGTTCCTTGAATTCCACGCAGCGATCCTTAGCCATGGAGTCAGGAGCATTGTAGAAAATGCTTCCAAGGGAAAGGAAGAGGCGTGCAGTAGGGCGGGTCTGCCGAAAATAGACGTCACCTTGTTGAAAAGAGCCCCAAAGTCCAATACACTTGACACCGGGGAAAGTGGCCTTGGCCTTGGCGATGTGCTCAACAAGGGAGGCATGAGACAGATCAAGAGCGACGTAAACGCACTCCTTACCCTGGGCGATGAATTCGTGAACGTAGGGCTCAAACTTCTTTGAGTTGGCAGCACCGAGATCGAGAATGTGGGTTCCAGACTTGAGTTGTTGGACAACCTGCTTGGCTGTGGCCTTGATGATCGACATTTCGTCGGTGGTTTGATAAGACTTATCAGCGATGGCGTTCCACTGGGCCATGCCCGTAGTGTAAGCAACTTCCTTGGGGAAGTCACCCTGACCGAGGAAAGCCCTGGGAAGCTGGTCGTCGATGAAGGTCAGGTTGATGGACGAGCCACCGATGTCGATGACCTGTCCGTCAACGGGATAGGCAGTCGAGAGAGACATGGTGTCTGTGGTAAGAGTTATGATTGTCGTGTAAGTTGGTTTGCTGTATGAGTGTATGGTTGAGAGTTGTTGTGAGTTGTGATGAGTAGACCAAGGTTGAGATGTTGTGAGGTTGGTGAGGAGGAAAGAAGAAGGATGGATAAACAACAAGAAAGGGAAATATATATTGGGGGAATCAAGGTGAATAGTTTCGCAATAGCTCTCGTGGTGGCAGCAAGCAAATGCCACTGTCAACGAAAACAACAGTCTGTTCGTCGTTGTCCCATAGTGACTGGCGGTCTTGTTCAGCTTGGTGAGCTGCCCAGCTGAAAGTAACTGCCAGAGACAGAGTGAACGAGCTGCCAGTCCAATAGAACAAACAGTTCGCAGTGCCAGAGAGCATGGACCAGACCCATTGTTCATCTAGGGCCATGATTCATCCTCTATAAGTTGCTTAGGAACATGGACGAACTTCAATTGATCAAAGAGACGGATTGGCAAGTCTTGACACTGTCCCTATGACTAGACGAGAGTGATAATATTGCTTCACGGGTTATCAATACGGAAGCACACACTTGGGAAGATATTGCAAGGATCTTCAGCTCATATTGTTGTCTGGGCAATTGAGCTGGTCTATATCAATCCCTACATCCATCATAGTACTCCGGACTGCAGCAATAGAAAGCCATTCGCGCTAAGCCACTTCTGGAAGCGTCAACATGCGTTTCACGATATACATATTTCAAGAAGAATAAATAAGAGATGACTCTAGAAACGACGAATAATGCTTCAACACTAACAAATAAAATACCATATGTCCAAATCCTACCCACCGGGCGTCCATCCACTAGCACTCCAGCTCTCAGGACTAATATCAGGCCAATACAACCCCTGCGCCCCATCATGATACATCGACGCATCAATAAACTGCAAATCCAAAACCGGCTGCGACAACAATTCCTGCAACGAAGGCTCCGACAACGCCATCCCCGCCGTAGGATTTAACACATCCAACCCCAACAACCCCGTATCCTGCACCACAAACTGTCCGCGTCTCGCCTCAAGCGCCCTCATACAAACCTTCATAGCATCAACATGTCTACAAAATTCCTCCGCCGCAAAATTCCCATTCTCCTTCAACTGGTGCAGAAACTGCGCCGCTGACTCGAACTGCTCTTTGTCGCTGCGACATTCCTTTCCGTCGATGAGGCTTGATATCGCGAGGACTGTGGCGGATGAGAAGAGGTATTGCGTGTAGAAGTAGTCGAAGGTTGCGAAAGAGCCGTCGATCCAGCAGTCGATCAGGAGGCGGCAGGAGTGGCGGGCGCAGCGGATGCAGGCTTCGGAGAGGGTCATGGCTGATACGGGGATTTGGGGCTCGGTGCGAGGTTGGGTGTCCCATGCTGAGACGTGGGTGCGGAGGACGTGGAGAAGAATGGGACGCGTTGCGGTTATGGCGACCTAAGCTGTTAGATATGTTTGTGGTAATGAGGGGCTACTTACCTGGTTGAAGTATAAGTGCAGTGAGAGAGGCTTTGGGCTTGGTTCCGGAGCATCAGTCGGTTCAATGTGAAGATGAGGGGGCAACTCCTCCACAAAAGCCCTCAAATCTCTCAACGCCTCTTGAACCCGCTGCGACAGTGTTTTCTGCTGCGGTCTCCTCGTATAAATCGCATTAATAACCTTGGCCGCCAATCTCGCAAGTCTGAGGCCAGCGATGAAATATGATGAGTCAGCGAAGTCATCCGACGGCGTATCCAAAACTGGATCAGTTGGAAGGTCAACTTCAATATCGTCATCTTGAATAGCAACAGGATGACCAAGACGAGAAGCCCACATCCGATCGAAGCTATATGCCGTCCACCATACGCGGTTCCTATGTTCTCTTGCGCCAGCGTCACGGAGTTGGGATTCAGGTACGTTTAGGTGAAGACCCATTACGACGGAGAGGCGGACTGATGAGCCGGCTAAGGCGTAGGCTGTATAACGTCGGTTAAGAGCGAGGGAGTAGAAAGACTAGAAGATTGTCAGCTCAGTCTTATGAGAAACCGGTGGACTTACGAGAAGAAGACGAATCTCAATGGCGTCGATTCGAGGTCTTTCGCTGATGATCCGAAGAATACGAGTCGCTCGCGCAAAATACGCCATACCAGGAAAATTCCTATCCTTGGCGGCCGTACGCGTAGAATACATCTCACCAATCGCAAAAAGAACCCATAATTTACTCCTCAACAACGAATCCGCCGAATGAGGATTAAGAATCGTCTGCTCCAAACCCTCCAAGATCTGACTCTTCCTCACAATGTAATAATTCCGACTAACATACTTCAACGCAACATTAACAAGCAACCGTGCCCTAGAGGGTATCGGCCACGGACAATCTTCATCCGAAAGAGCTAGCAATCTCTCGTCAGGTGCATAATTCACTCTCGGAATGTGACTATGCCCCGGTTCAGAAATAGCCTGTCGAAAACGAGTTGCAAAGGCGGCGTCGGAAGCTTCGCCGATGAGGACGGGGGTGTGAAGAACATTCATGTCGAAGAACCAGGGTCGTTCTTCGAGGAGTGTGCCCTGTAATGACGAGGATGTCTCGGTGCTCTGTGAGATGGAGACGTCGGGGATGGTAGGCTCAGACCGAGGTTTAGCGTCATCTTGACGAAGACGTTGGTTCTCGGCGATGAGATCGTCAATGTATCTGGACCAATTGATAAACATGAAAAGATTGAGAGGAAACAGAGGGGACATACTGTTGGCTGACTTTGACGAGACGGTTCTTTCGGGGATAAGAACATTCTGCGCCTTTACTTGCTTGACGGCAGTTTTCACAGGGCTGGCCACCCGAGCATTTGACCTTTCTCGCATGACATCTCCGACATCTAGATCAATTAGTCAAACTCCAAAAACAACATTCCAAGTACATTATAGAGTCTTACGCTGTAGATTTTGCCTTGCGCTGTCGCTTTCCCGGACTCAATGGTGTAATAGTCGATGATCCAACATCCTCCTTCTCCGACTCACTCTGATTATCAGCCATTGTCTCAAACCTTAGCAACAGGTGATCTTCAGGCCAAGTAACACAGTCTTATCCATAAAACCCACCCGATATCTTCCTGATTGGATACCCGAAGTACCGATACGATCTCCGTATACCGAAAGCTGTCGTGTGACTCCCAAGAAAAGGTAAGAAACTCGGTTCAGTGACGCCGACAAATCGGCGAGAATTTTAACTTTCCCGCGCTTACTCAGCGACGATCTCGTGCTAACCTCGGCAGAAAAGTATGTTTTTCGGTGGTTTTGGGATTTGGCGCCGAAAAAGGTGAGCGGGAATAAGACGGGTTGAGACAGAGAGCGTCCGACACCGCTGGGGAAGTCATAACGGTCCACTATAAGTGAGCCAAGATGCAGGGAATTGGGGGTTTTAAATACCTGATTAAGAAGGTGAAGAAAACTCTTTCTGGTAAAAATTTGTATTGTAGGTTCAATAGATTAACTGAGCATTCGCTTTGTAATATTTGCAGTATTTGAGTTACGCCTCGTTTCGTCGTGTAAATCCATTCGTTTATTCACTATGACAGCCGAACCAAAAACAGGTCTCTCAACCTCCCCAGATTCCCCATTGCCGCCAATCGGTTCAATAGACGACGACGTCGCTTCAATCCCCTCCTGGCGAAAATGGGTGATTCTCTTCGTGGTATGCTGGATGCCTCTGCCCATGACATTCTGGAGCACCGCCATAATGCCCGCGACAATCGAAGTAGCCTCCGATTTAAACATCCCCGTTACTACCATCAACACCATCAACGCTGGTGTCTTTGTAGCGCAGGCGTTGTCGGGGCTGATTTGGTTGCCGGTTAGTACGATTATTGGACGAAAGTCTGCGTATCTTGCTGCGAATGCCGTTCTTTGTGTTTGTGCGATTGGGTGCGCGACTGTGCCGAATTTACCGGGGTTTGCGGCGCTGTGGATATTGGGAGGGAATACGGGGCCGTTCTTTTTGGTTGCTGGACAGACGATCTTGGCGGATATATTTGATCCTGTGGGTACTTTGAAGCATTGGAAGTTATTTACTGACGGTTATAGACGTCTCGTGGGACTGCTGTTGGGTTCTTTCTGGGGAGTTGCGTTTCTTTCAATTCAATCGGTAAGCCAACCCGACCTCGTAATCGTGACCTTACTAAGATTATAGCACCTCTTCTCGGTAGTATCATCGCAACATTCACCAGCTGGCGAGTCATCTATGGCGTCGAAGCCGGAATGTGCCTTTTTGGTCTCATTCTTTCTCTCTTGTTCATCCCGAAAGCTAGCGAAGTTGAGAATCCCAAATTAGCCGAGACGACACGTCCCCGAACAGCCAAGGAAATCCTTCGGACGTTCAACCCGATGCACGTTTTCTGTCAATTCAAATATCCAAAGGTCATCCTCGCTGTATGCATCCTTCACCCAATTGAACAGTACACCACTAACATTACAGAACATCGCCTGCGGTCTCCTGGGCTTCAACCAATACGGTCTCCTCTCCTCCATTCGACGCGTTATAAACCCTCGCTTCAATCTCACATCCCCTCTTGCAAGCGGTCTCTTCTACCTTGCACCCGGTGCAGGATTTCTAATTGGAAGTACCGTCGGAGGTAAGATCTCCGACGTAGTAGTCAAGAGATACATGCGAAAGCACAACGGACAGAGAATTCCTGAAGATCGATTGAACAGCAGTCTAGTCAGCGTTCTTATAATTCTTCCTCTTGGAACGTTACTCTACGGATGGAGTGTTTATCATAGACTTGGTGGTATGGCGTTGCCGATTGTGAGTGCGTTTATCCAAGGATTTGGACTCATGGCGTCGTTTAGTGGGTTGAATACGTACGCTGCTGGTAAGTCAATCAACCGTTACAAAGAAACTCAACTGATGGTCTTCAGAGGTTCGACCTGCGCATAGAACAGCTGTAATCACAGGAAAATACGTGATTCAGTATAGTTTCGGTGCAATGAGCGTTGGAGGCGTCGTCCCCATGATTGACGGCATCGGCGTAGGTTGGGCATTCACCGTTAGTAAGTACATCTCTCCACTTTTACTTAACTCTCCACTAACAGGTTAAAGTTACTTGTTTCTCACTACTCGCTGGTAGCTTAGTTTTGCTCATTGCAAGATTTAGTAAGAATTGGAAGCAGTAGATCAAGACATGGCTTAGATAAAATTACGGATAGACATACCGGGAATGATGGTCTCTACGAAAAACAGTCCGGGATCTAGACGCGGGGAAATTTAGATCTACGCGGCGTAGAAACTTGAATCGAATTACTTACCATAGAAGGAATAGATAAAAGTTATTCTTTGATGCAAATCAGCGCCTTAATCGATTCTAGCTACAGTAGTTAAAACTCACTCCTCAATCGTTTAGGCAATTTAGCCACGAAATCCGAATAACTTCGGCATACATTCCTCCGCCAAGCCTCGTTCGCATTCGGTCCCGAGAGGCTAATAATTAAACAGCCGTAGATTCTGATGATCGGGTTGGTTGGAACAAGCCACTGAGTTTATGGTGGAAGTTTGCGCTGACATGAGCTAAGATAGCTTGGGGCGAGGGAGGTCGGATATCGGCATGGGAATGTCCATTGAGGGAACAATAAGACGGGAGAGCTGCTGTTTCTCGTCATTGGGATAACAAGAACTATTGAAGAGTTTTGACAGTATTCTGAATAGTTCGCAAGATGTATTACGCTTCGCAGCATTTGTTGCTTCTCACCACGTTCTTCAGCTTCACCCTCGCTCAAAGTGGAGCTGATCCCTACGCCCCAGTCTACACAACATGTCCCTCCTCCCTCAAAGTCCGAAAAGCATCAGACGTACCCATCCCGCTCCCTCTTTCTCCCTCTTCTCTAACAAACGCAGGGCCTATCCGATGAAGAGTCATCCTGGCGAGAACAACGCGCCAAGCGGATAATTCCCAATCTCGAAGACTACCTCAAACTCGCCAACATCACCGGTTTCAACGTCTCAAACTATATTGACAAGCTCAAAAGTGATGATGTTCCTATCGTTGGGCTTTCTGTCTCTGGCGGAGGTACGCAGTCTGGCCTTGGAGGGCTGGGTGTTTGGCAAGCGTTTGATGCAAGGTCTGATGCGGCGCGAGCTGCGAGGACGGGAGGGTTGACGCAGCTTCTTTCGTACATCACTGGTTTATCCGGCGGCGGCGCCGTCACCGTTTCCTTACTGTGAGTCAACTTTATCATTACCTCAATTGATACTAACATCTTAGGGCCGCGAATAATTTTACTACGACTGACGGGGTCAAAAAAGCCTCCAATTTCTCCCTTGATTATTCATCTGGTCCAGATGGTAATCAGACGGAATTCTTCACAACAATCTTCGAGAACATGGGCGCAAAAGATGAATCCGGTTTCCCTGTCTCCGTCGCAGACACATTCGGTCAATTCTGGGGAACATGGCTCCCCGAGGATAAAGTATACAGCAATTACTCCGACATCGCCTCCAAAAACACAGCCTTTACGCTCGGCGATGCACCAATGCCAATCGTATGCTTCGCAGAAGTCATACCCGGAAAATCTCCGGAGATCGGAAAACTCATGTACCCCGGCTTCAATAAATCCGAACGCTTCAACTTCACAGCGTATGAAGTAACACCCTTTGAGTTCGGAAGTTGGGTCGGCGGCCGCGTGCAGGCGTTTATCCAGACCAAATTCCTCGGAACTTCCATGTCAGCGGGGAAGCCGCAGAATAAGAGTGAATGCGTTGAGGGGTTCGATAAACTTACTCTCATGCAGGGAACGACTGCTAATGCATTCACCGCATGGTTTATCGATTCATTTTATGGAATTCCCGTGTTTGCGAAGAGATGGTTGGAGAAGAGACAGAAAGTTAATCCGGATATTAACGACATTCCTATTCCGGAGGATCAGTATGATAATCCGTTGGTTCAGCTTGCGAATATGACGGCGGAGTACTTTGATTTGACGTTTAATGAGACTTTGTGGGCGACGTATCCGAATCCGTTTGAGGATTATAATGAGGATATGAAGGGTGTTTCGGAGCTTCTTTTGGTAAGTTCTCATACTCAGATTATGGATGATACTAATGTTTTAGGTTGATGGGAGTCTTACGCTTGAGAGTAATCCTCTCCGCCCGCTGATCATTCCTGATCGCAAGCTTGACTTGATCATTGTTTACGAAGCTTCATCCGATGCACCAAACTCTTGGGTCAACGGAACCAATCTTATCAGTAAGTTATTTCCCCTTCTATTAAAGGCTGTACCAACATCTCAGATACCGCCCTCACCGCATCCCAAGGCAACATCCCATTCCCCAAAATCCCCGACGTAAACACCATCGTCGCCCAAAACCTCTCCTTCCAACCAACCTTCTTCGGCTGCAACGCCTCATCCTCAACCCCCCTCCTTCTCTGGCTTCCCAACGCCCCATGGACAGGTTACACCAACTATTCCTACACCCAAACCCAATTCACGTCTAACCAAGTCGACATTGCTCTTGAAAACGCGTTCCAGGTAGCCACGTACGGTAATGGTAGTGTTGATGAGAATTGGCCTGCTTGTTTAGCTTGTGCGGCTATCAAAGGATCGTTGAGAAGATTGGATATTGAGATGCCGAAACAGTGTGAGGAGTGTTTTGAGAGACATTGTTGGAATGGGACGACGAGTGATAGGAAGGCTACAGAGGGGGATTTTAATCTGACGCCGAGATTGGATCCGGAGTTGAGCTTTGCGAAATGGAATGAGAGTGATTGGGAGAAGGAGGAGAGCAGTAGAAGTGGAAGTGGAACGGACGATTCGGCTGGTGTCAAGGTTGGGAATAATTTGGTTGGGTTGGTTTTATCGCTGGTTGCGATGGCTTATCTGCTGTAGTCATGCTTGGTAATGTTGTCAAGGGATGTCGGTTATAGGTAGTCAATTGGTGAGCGCGCGTAGGTAGATTAATGGATGAATTGCTTCATTTGAGGTTTTAAGCGCGAGATATGAATTAAGTAATTGAAGAGGTGATGATAAATCTCATCGTACTCTGTCCACTGTACTGGCTGGCTCGTCCGACTGAACCGTAGTGACCGCGTTACAGAGGGTAAGCGTCCTGTCCACTGAACTATGCCAAAGCAGCGGGTCCACCATCAATCCAGTCGCACTCAACATCATGGCTCAACACAGTAACAACCTTGAATTAATTATACAACTATACAAACGTCCTAATTCTTCACCTGCACATTCTCCCTCATAACAGCAGGTTCAACCTCTCCATCAGTAGATTTATTCTCCTCGATCTTCGCCTCATCAACCTTTGTCAAATCAACGGCCTTGAGCGCAAACATGACAATCAACATGGGCGCAAGAGAGCACGTCGCAGCAATAGCAAGAAGTCGCTGTGTCTCGCGATAAGCTTGGTCAATGGCTGCGCGGATAGGTGTACCCTTTACGAATTTTTGAGCGACGACAATGGACTTGTAGATCTTGAACGCGTTGGGCTTGGCTTTCTCGGGGAGGTATGTTGTGAGTTTTTGAGGGAGGATGTTGTTCCAGATGGCACCGCCGACACTGTAATTGTTAGTAAGGATTGATGAAGAAGAAATTAGAAAATACTGACCTGGTACCGACGGCTCCGCCAAAGTTCATGGCTGCGTAGTAAACACCCGTCACGACAGGGACATCTTCCTTGGCGACGAGGGCCTGAATGGAGACTTGAGCGGCTGTCTGGTAGAATGCACGACCAACACCGACAAGAGTCTTTGCAGTGATGAAAGAAGCTTCGTTTGCGTGTCCGCCGTTCATGTTCACAAAGTGAATCATCAATCCTTGACCGAGAACACAGAGCGGAACACCAATAAAGACAAAGATCTGACTGCGCTTGGTATACTTCATCAAAACACCAACAAGCACCGAAGCGATCTGAAACGCGACACGAAGAGCGTTACTAATAAAGTCAGCATATGTCAAGCGTATGAGAGAAGAACTTACTCAATGCGCGTAGCATGTCCAGGACTAAAACCCCCAGCGACCTGAAGATAACTTGGAAAGAAAAGCGTAAAGCAAGAATAATGGAAGAAATCCAACATGGACAAAACGCAAGCCGCAACGACAGTTCGCTCCTTGATCATGCGGAACGGAACGAATGGAACCTTTGCAAACTTTGTATCCCAGACGAAAAACACGCCGACGACGACAACGCCAATGACAAGCATGGCGATATAGCTCCCCTGGTCCCAGCGATCACTATTCCTCGCGCCCGTAAGCGAAAGCGGAATGAGCGTGAGTCCAAGACCCAGAACAAGAAGCACAGCACCGAGGATATCAAGATCAACCCAAATGAGGTTAATTATCCTCTTGCTCAAAGGCTGCGTCTTATCAGCAGCGTCCCAAGCGCCTTTGCGTCTATACCCAGCCTTCCTCGCGCGTCGCTGAAGGACATATAAAGTAATAATAAGAGGCGCTGCGCAGAAAGGCAGGATGAGAGCCCACATTCCATAACCCCAGCGCCAGGTTGAGTGTTTGAGAACACTGTCTGCTACAATGGAGCCGAGGTACAGCGTTGGGATGGAGGCGAATGATTCGGGGAGGGAAGTCCAGAGACCGCGGTTGATGAGGCTTGTCGTGTCGGCGATGAAGACTTGTTGCATGATTACGTAGCCGGTGTCGCCGATTGATTCGAAGATGCCGCCGGCCTAGAGGTGTTAGTTGGGTAAGGGAAGGGCATGGGATGACGTACGATGTAAGTTGCGATGTTTTGACAGGCTGCGTACATAACTTGTGATAGAACGAGGAAGAGAATTGAAAAGGTTAAACCCTCTGCTCTACCAAAGACCTGTGACAGTTAGTTTTGAGGGTTGGGATTGATTGGTATACATACGTTGGAGAACTTTGCCATGATGGGATACGTGACGAGACCGATGATTGTACTGACGACATTAGCTGTCGCGAGCGCTGAATGGCGCTGGAACGCGGAGGTAGCATATGCATCGTAGACTTTTGTCGCGTATTTGAGGAATTGGGTTATGAACGTGGTTGCGAAGAGACTGATTTGTTAGATGCAGAACAGCAAGAGAGAGAAAAGGAACATACCCAGTAAACGCGACGATCAAGGCCTTCTTAGACCAAGACTGTCTCAAAATATCTGTATTCGTGACCTTCTCTCGCTCCTCCTTCGGCGCCGCTTCCACGTCGGAGCTACGATGAGAATTATGATCTGCCATATTGCAACAAAGATTAAGAAACAGTGAATACTGGGTAGTTCAAAGTCCAATGCAACGTTGACTGTTTATATCGTTCCAGCAACGGAAGACATTCCGCGCCCACAATCCGGTGATCCATCTAATCTTATCAGATTTTCATCCATCGCGTGATATAATTGGTCTGCCAAGCCTTTACATGGGCTGACTTTAACCGTGATCTGATTAAAAAAAAAGCCTCATGTTTTACAGGGATTGGGAGAGCCGCTTCTTTTCTGGGAATAGTGATGGAGACTTTTAGGTAAAACTTTTGGTGGAAGTGCTTGTTGGATCACATGAAGATATCTGATTTGAAGTTCGGGTAGGTGTTGAACCAGCTGGTGGATTATTTCTTAGCGATGTTCCGATAACAGGCGATCTCCCATGACACGTTTTTCATCCCTGCTCAGAGTTTTCGCATCTGATCCATGATGAGATTTTTGGCGTTGGATGGTTTATAGAGTGCTGCCACCAGATGAAGTGACATCGACCGTATGATCAAAAGTTTATTCCATGAGATTAACTTCTTATCAATCTGATCAGTAACGTGGGGGTAGTGATCTGAATCCACTGGTCTTGAGTACGGATATGCGAGATTAGGGACATGGAGGTCGGAAGCGACCGTTAAGAATATGTCTGTGCGAATGAGTTCTCTCAGGTTTGATGAGCAACGGTTCATGCAGTGTATTGAAGTTATTCCCGACGCGACGGTACACGGAATGATCCGCTGGTTGGGCCCACTTAAGGAGCAAAGGCGCCGACGCAGACGAATTACCGCTTTTGGAACAGACATCCGCTCTCTCACGATGAATTTTCGTACCCCTTGTAGTATGAGAATCACGTTGCTGAATGTTCTTGAGCAATTTAAGCGAATGATATTCTATGAATGAGGACATTGAGACCTCTTAATTACAAATTCTAAACTATATACTAGCTGTTTACCAGACAACTGTTTCTATATCCCGAATCCCCTCCAATCGACTATTGTCAAACTCTGTTCCCGTCTAACCAAGGTTGTTCGGGCTCTTGGCTCGAATCTTAGGCCCATACAGAAAGAATATAACGGGAACAGGCACAAGAGCCAGTGCCAAGAACGCAAGGATACTGTTCCCCCAACCGAGACCGAGATCGTCGTACATGGACAATCCAGCGAGAGGAAGTAATGCGCCAGCGAGAGATCGGAGGACTGTCATTGCGGCAACGGCTGATGCTGCGTAGGTGATGTACGCGTCGACGAGGTAAGTTTGAAGACACATCTATACTTATTAGTTCATCATGTCTTCATCAGTATGGGGAGGACTCACCATAATTCCCATAAGACCAAAGCAAAACAGCGCAACGCCAATCATGGGTACGATCCAATGCACATTCTGATCCGCCGCCCAACCATACCAAAACAACGCCCCCACAATAAGTAACCCTGAAGGCAGCGTCATCCAAATCGGCAACCGATCTTCAGGTACTGTCTTACCATTCTGTTCAATCTTCTTCTTAATAACAACATCCGTCATGACTCCAAAGGTCATTGTACCAAACAACATTCCAATACCGGTAGGGAGATACGCAAGGCCAATTGTACCTGTTCCAAAGCCGTATTGTTGCGCAAAGACGAAGGTGAAGGTGCTGAACATGAGGTACAGCACGCCGTAGACGATGGCGACGTAGAGCGAGAGGATGAAGACGGGGAGATGCGTGAAGAGCATTCTCATTGGGCGGATGGAGGCGTTGCTGAGACGTTGTTTGGGTGTGAGACCGTCTTTGTCGAGGATGGAGTATAAGTCTTGGTTGCCGGTTTCTTTTTTGAGTTTGTTGGCTTTTGCCCGGAGTAGGGTTGGGGCGTAGGTCTCTGGGGCGGCGAAGTAACAAAGCGCGGCGATGAAGCCAGTCTAACAATTAGCAAAGATACTCGAGGGCAAAGAGGAACTTACAAGAATGGCAATCAACCAGAATACCCATCGCCATCCAATAGCCTCAACCATATACCCACCCGCCAATGGCCCAATACACGGACCCAGCAAAGGTCCCATGGCCCAAACAGCCATGGCCTTACCTCTCTCCTGCACCGGAAAGATATCCGATATAGTTCCACTACCATTAGTCACAGGCGTCGAACCCGTGAAGCCCATCAAGAAGCGAAAGACAATCAGCATAGGCATGTTTTGACTCAACGCTGTAGCGACGGTCATTATAAGGAAGAGAACGTTAGCGACGTTGAAGACGATAGCGCGGCCGTAGATTTCGCTAAGTGGCGCGGCGAGGAGGGGACCGAACGCGAAGCCGAGGACGTAGACGGACACGACGAACGTGGCGATGTTGCGGTTGGATGTTTCGAATTCGCGCATGATGTCTGGGACGCCGGGGGCGAACATTGAGGAGCCCTGGATTGTTAGAGGGTAGTGCAACTGGGGGTCAAGGTTATGGACGTACGAGAGGTCTGGAGGGTTAGCTTGAGTATGAGGAAGAGTGAGATGGGACTTACGTTAGGAGGGTCATGACTGAGAGTGCGCCGATGCAAGACCATTTCTTCCTTGCAGGCCAGTTCATGGGATTGTTTGGATCATCGGGGCCATCCCAACCAACTGCATTCGGATCCTGAGGATGAGTGATGTCTTCTTTCGTGCCTGTAGCGGTCTCTTCATCCTTCCTCACCGCAGCGCTGCCAGGTTCAGAAGGCGTGAGCGTCCGCTGACTCCCAGGCCTCTCAATATCCATCGAGGCTTTCCTTTGCGCCATGATCGTCGAGTTCACAGAGATTAAGCTTATGCTATTCAATGGAAGGGGTAATGAAAGATATTTAACCTAGCCACGACTCAGCGCAGCATAACCAACGAACCAATGAGGTACAGAATCGAAAGCGAAACCGAGAAATGGGGGAGAATAACCAATCAGAGGGTTTTTTCGGGGCCGTTCTAGAACCCGACACCCGGGCCTGTTATGCGGGGCCCCACACGGAAGATGGGATTTCCGTACCGTTAGTTATGCAAATGGACCGGTTTTGTGCAGGTTTGTGCAGAGCACGGCCGGATGGCCCCCTTTAATTTGATCCGGGACGGAGTTGTGAATACGCAGATTGCGTGTCGAGACGGTGAGGGGACTTTTTTAATATTGGGGGTAGTTGTGACATGAGGTGAGTTTTGATGAGGGATCACTCACTCCGTTGGATGCGCTTGTTCGAGAGGACGGCATTCGTCTGTTGTCCAATTGAACAAGTGATGAACGGTGAAGGTATACGCGTATTGCTTATTCCCTGTAATTCCCCTCTTGTTTGGTTAATCTTATGTTTATTTTTATCCTTATCCTTATCATCTTATCGGCATTGCGATAACCCCCACCAACAAACACGTAGCAGCAATTGAGAGCGCAACACAATCAATTCAATCTATCATTGCAAACTAAGCAATCTAATACTCCTCAATCCATATTAAAACCAAGATCCATTCAAACCATCTGTATCTACTTTCCACTTCCTCAATCTAAGACTTCCTCTTCTGCAAAAGTCCCTTGAACGGATTCTTCCCTCTAAACCGCATCCAAGTCGCAAAGTAAACCACCGCATAATTAAACGCAATAAAAGCGCAAAAAATACCAAAATCCCTCCAGATATTCCTATAGTACACACTAAATCCCGCTCCAAACTCATCGCCAGTAGCATACTGGCAAAACTCACAGTATCCATCTGATCCAGTGCGCACATAGCCGCCAGCGCGCTGAATAAACGGTTCAACGTACTCATCGCACGATTGACCACTGGGCGGTTCAAAGCGCGCAAATTCGCCCTCTTCGCAACGAACAGGCTGGTCGTGAATCGCTGCGCCGAGGAAGCCTTCGAGGAGATAGTGGAAGGGAGTGAGCCAGTACATCCATTCGCGCCAGAAGGTAGGAAGACCTTGTGGCGGAACGACGACGCCGCAGAAGGATACGACGAAGAGGAAGAAGATGGGGACAAGGAGAGATGCGAGGAGTTCGTTGGGTGCAAAGGCAGCGATGGCTTGGCCGAAGGAAACGTAGTAAAGCTCAAACAGCAGAACAAGCAAGAATGCAAAACCCGATGTAAAAGCCGAGGCACGCCATCCGAAAACTCCCCACCACCAGCAATTGAAGTAAATACCACCCGCAACGATACGATACGGAATCTCAACGACAACAACAGCCGTAGTCCAAGCGACCCAGCTGTAAATCTTGGCGTTATTCTCTCTCCACTGGAATATCTGCCGTGATTTGAGAAAAACGGGCTGGAGCTGCTGAATAAGAGGCGGACTAATCGTGAGCGTCATGAAGATGGAGAACAGCCTGTTTTGGTAATCGATGGATGCGAAACCGATCTTGTAGAAGGTGAAACAGTTGAAGAGACCTGTTGCGATGTGAAGCATAAAGTTACCAAAGATGTAATCGGGTGAGCGCCAGAATGAAATGAAACTGCGACGAACAACGGCGTATGTCTGTGTTGATAAAGGCATGGCGTACTCGCGATCATCTTTGAGACTTTTTGAGGGTTCGACGTTACGTCGGCGTTCAATCATCTCTTCAATCTCCTGCGAGCGCTTCTGTCGCTCTGAAGAGTCCGCCCAGACGTCGCCCCAGTCTTGACCATCGTAGTCAGGATTTCCAGCACCAATTGCATCGAGCATGTACTCCGCTGGATTAGCGTGCGGAGGACATTTCGGTCCGCCGTTGGACTCAAAGTACTTGATCAAGTTCTCTGAATCATGCCCCAAAGGACCGTGATAAACCACGCGCCCACCTGATTTGAGAAGCAAGAGTTCATCGAAGTTTTCGAAGAGAACGGCAGAGGGTTGATGGATCGTACAAAGAACGGCTTGTCCTGCATCAGCCAGCTTTCGAAGGAAGCGCACAATATTGAACGCAGCGCCCGAGTCAAGACCAGAAGTCGGTTCATCCAAAAACATAAGCAACTCCGGCTTGGACGCTAGTTCAACACCAATCGTCAAGCGCTTCCTCTGCTCTGCGTTAAGGCCCTGTCCAACTGTACCAATGATCGCACCAGCAATATCGCGCATTTCAAGAAGATCAATAATAGTCTCGCAGTACTCCATCTTCTCCTGCTTCGATACTTCTTTTGGTTGACGAAGTAGTGCGGAGAATTGGAGGGCTTCGCGCACTGTGGCGGTGGGTTCGTGAATGTCCATTTGTTCAGCGAAGCCAGTTGCGCGTTGGAAGGATTTCGGAAGGGGACGGCCGTCGACGAGAAAATCGCCTGTTATGGTGCCGAAGTTGAGACGTTGGGCGAGACCGTTGAGAAGGGTTGTTTTACCGGCGCCTAAGACTGTTAGATATGGTGGGTCAATTGAAGGGAATTGAACGTACCAGAGGCGCCCATGAGAGCTGTCAATTTACCAGGCCGAACGTAGCCTTGTACATCGTTGAGGAGTTTCCTCTCTCCTTTCTCGTAGGGAATCGTGTAATTGATGTTCTGGAACGTAAACACCGTTTCATTCTTTGCGACTTCTTGGGTAATCTGTTCATCGCTCTTGGTACGTTCAGCGTCACCATTCGCGGCGGGATCACTGCGACCAGACTCTTCATCGTGCTTGTCGCCCTTGGCTCGACCACCGGTTGCGATAGACTCCTCAACCTTTTTAGGAACTTGTCCTCGCTTAAAGACAGTAATTGCACCGCCTCCGACGTTGGGCTTCATGAGTTCCATACCAAGAGCAGTGAGGAAGACGAAAAAGATGAAGAAAGCCCAGAGGAAACCGAAATTGCGCCAGAGATGAGAACGGGTATATGTGAAGGATTGTTGAATGTATGACGCGCCAGACACAGAAGTTGAACCAGGCGATGCACCCGCGAGAGTACAGCCCTGGTTCTGAGGCCGTGCATTCGGGCCTTGAGGCACGAGATATGGCGGCTCGCATGAGAGAGTGAGATAAGCGAACTCATTAGCCATGAGACACTCAAAACCGTACTGAATCCAATTAATCCATCGTAGCCACCCAAACCAAGGATGCATCGAGTCCGGCGGAATGAGATAGCCCGTATACACAACGAGAATCTGAATCGCAACACCAGTAAACCTCGTCGCGACATCCAAAGTCCCGCACCAAGCTGAAATAGCCCTGAAGAACGCATACGTCACCATAGTGACGAGCCAAAGAATAAGACACGAGATGAAAAACTGCGACGCCGTTCTCGCGAGGTTGGCCATGAAGTAGATGATGACATTGAAGATGATGACCTGTATAAAAACAAGCGGGACATCAACGACAGTCTGCGCGATAGCGAATGCAGAAGGGCGATAGAACGAAAAGGATTTATGCTTGAGAAGAATAGGCTTCGACTCGAAAGCAGCTGTTTGTTCAGCGAGGGCCAGAAGGGCGTTGAAGAGAAGAAGGAAGAAAAGGGCACCGCCGCGAGGAAATGCTCCGGCGGCTGTGTCGGGGAGGTTGTAGAAGAGTGAACCGACGATGAGGCCTTGGAATAATAAACCGCCCCATTTTCCAAAGAGGGATGCCTTGTCGCCGAACATGACGAGGAATTGGCGGTGCGTGCAGGCCATGACTTGTTTGTGGAACGCAATCTCGTAATTCTTCTTCTTACTCTTCTCACTCTCATTGCGTCGTCGTTCTTCAGCTAGCGTTTCAAGTTCAGCCTCGAAAGCGTCAATGTCGCGGAGATTTTTCTGATAATCTTCGCTGCGGCGGTATGCGTCAGAAAACTCCCCCGCCGTACGCGGGATACGATTCTCCCAACCTTCGCGGATACTGCGCTCATGCTCATCCGTAACACTCGTCAGAAAATCAGCTGTAGTCCAACGCTCAGGACACTCGAAACCAAGATCGAGAAAATACTTCTTCGCATCTTCCGCGCGTCCGTAGTAAAGACACTTTCCCTCATCAATAAGCAAAACCTTATCAACGAGCTCATAAAGCGTCTCGCCAGCTTGATATAGCGAAACAGCAGTCGACGTATCAGCCATATTCGTCATGGCGCGAATAGACTTGACATACTCAACCGCCGTACTCGCATCAAGACCTTTACTGGAATTATCCCAACCCTGCACCGAAGCTCGCGTTATCATAGCTTCAGCGATAGAAACGCGTTTGCGCTCACCGCCCGAAACACCGCGGATGAATTCGTTGCCGACTTTTGTGCCGAGGGTATGTTCGATCCAGAAGAGTTTTGTGACGACGCGCAGAAATTCGCGGACGTAGTCTTGACGTGTTTCGCCTTCGAGACGGGATTCTTTGCCTGGTGTGCGGGTCTGAAGAGCGAATGTGAGGGTGCGCTTTACGGAGAGCGTGGCGTAGTGGAGGTCGTCTTCGGGGTTGTAGATGATTTCACCGCGGAAGTCTTTGGCCATTGTTGATGCGTCGGTTCCGCCGTATGTTACTTGTCCTTCAACGGATTCGAAGCCGGCGCGTTGGTTGCAGAATGTTTTGAGGAATGTACTGCATCCTGCGCCTGGACGGCCGAGAACAAGAAGTAATTCACCGGGTCTAACACAACCGTCGAAATTACTAATAAGTTCTCTAACAGGTGGTTTCGCCATAGCTGCCTTGGGTCCTTGAGTAACCAGCTTTCCCAATTTTCTCGGCAGCCCAAGGAAGAAATCTCCAACGGTCGGTTGAAGACTTGAACCGAGACCAACACCGCGAACAGTGAGGCCACGGAAGATAACACCGCTATGGCGCGTTTTCTCCTCTTCACTCTGTTGTTGGCGCTTTTGACCAAAGATGCGAGACATGAGACGGTCAAGTTCTTCATTATCTTGGTGCTCTTCATCTTTTTCGGCGGGAGTTGAAGCGTTGGTGCGACGACGGGATAGCACGCGGAAAAGATCATCTTCAGTGCGATGAGATTTGCGTTTCTCGAGGGGAGGTTCCGCGGTGGTTTCGGTGTGAGATTTAATCGGGGCAAAGATTGGTTCGTTGGGGGAGTTGGAGGAAGAGCTGTCGCGCTTTTCTTCGGTGGATTTGCCGCGAGGGAGAACGGTGCTTGATGAAGAGTTGCGATCGAGAATAGGTGCGTGAGGCTCAGAGGCTAACGCCCCAGTCGCGCCAAACGAGGCTGAACTGGCGCTGGTGACATTATCGTACGTCGTAGCCGCAGGGCCTGTCGCAGTATCACGGCCCGCAAAGCCGGCCTCGAGGCGTCTATCAGTGACATGTCCCGTTGGGGTAATCTGATCAATCGAGTTCACGCTTGGCGTAACAGGAAAACCGCCCGGGATATCTTCATCCCTAGGCGTAGGTCTCTCATCAGCCATTTCGACGCAAACTTCTTGACAGTATTGACGATGAACACTCTATTCTTGGTTTACGGGCATTGACCATAATAAACAGACATTTTTTCCACTTGTGATTTATCTATGACGACATCAAAGGAATCGTCTAGTCGGTCTTTCGGACATGTTGGAATTGCGACGAGGCCCGGGCGTGGCGTTGGGTGGAGATTGGGCGTCATGGATTGAAGAAGAGCTTACCCTGTAGCTTCTCGGAGAGATTAATCTTGACATCGAGTTACGCATGGCGTTGCAACGGCGTTTTTAACTATCCGATGGTGGGCATGCGTCGCAAGCTAGAATCAGCTTGTAATACACTTTTAGCTTTGACCTTTCGGAGTATTTGTTAGATCGTAATCTTATCTTGGCAGTTTCGGTCCCAAGCGGATTGCAACCCAATCTGAAGAGACGAGGTTAGGGCTGATTGATAATTAAAAATATTTATTTCTTCGATCTGTGCGATTGACTGCATTCAATGTCTTTCATGCGTGTAAGATTTTGTATATGCTGTGTAACTGCACCCGTGGTGAAATTCGTCACTGGCACGAATGTGGTCTCATCACACTCAAAGCCTCATCTCCCCAAATCTCCACTGCCAAGCTACAGTAGCTCCATCGTCAGAAAAACACGCGATCGATGGCACTAAAACGTTCCGATAACCAGGAATTCAAGCATTTCAAGCAGGGGAAAATTGAACTAAAACAATGACAAGACGCTGAAACATGACCAGGTAAAAATCAGATCATCATCTCCGTTAATCATCGGGCATTCATCTTGCCATTTCGAGACTCTTGCAGCCATGTTTCAATGCCTGTCTCAGTCCCGACCTCTTAAATCTCAGCGTCAAAAGGCGGGCGCCAATTAACCGCCGATAAAGACAATTCACTAAAATGCTGCACTTTTTACGCTCGGATATGAAGAGCCGATTGTGATCAAGCGGGAAGTGTACCCCGGGGTTTATCTGATCTGGTTTAACTTGTACCCGAGTTAATCGTGAAGCTAAGCTTAGCTTGATGCTCAAACACCATCACCAAGGATGTAAAAAAGGGAATTAATCACATAAAATTGGAATTTAGGTGAAAGAAATGGATGGAAAGTGCTGCGACATGTGCCACGCTCATACCATCACATTTTCATCCCCCTCAGCCCAGACCAGCCCAAATGCAAGCCTCCAATGCATAGAAAGCCCTTGTGCTACACAAACCTCAAGGGCATTCGATGCCCAACAGCCTTACAATCAATCTCGGAGACCTCCAGGGAACGTGATTGGGCGGAATGACCTGCATTTTGCTTCTCTTGGCAAAAGCAGTCTCGCATGCATAGTCCCGCTGGTCAGAGGTATATGAAGACCCAGATCCCCCAGGCTCACTGAACGATAAACCATCCCAATAACACTACTCTTCATCAACTACGGCCCCAAACTTTTATTAAAAAGTCTACCCATCATGTGTCAAACGGTTGAAGAGAACGGCAACAAAGTAAAGCAGCAGAGTCAGAGCTGCTGCATGCAATCCTCGGCTACAAGATCTACGCAAGGATCTGCAGATCACTCTCGGTATCACGTCGAGACGTTCCCCATCCCCGCCCCCCAATCGGAATATGACTTTGATCATCGGAGAACTATCACCATTGAATCCCAGCAGCGACAATGGCCTCAGGACATCTGGGTCCACAGTCCACATGGACGACAGCTGTACCAGCCTGTGCTGATGTTTGAGACGGAGGTTACTGCTCAGGAGGGGAAGACGGAGACGAATGGGCATGCTTCTAAGAGCGGGTAATGCCTTCATCACCAAAATGGGCCTGCGGTCGCGATGGGGTTTTGTTTGGAGGAGTCGTGATGGGAAAATGGGACGAATGAGTTGGGGGTCTCTTATGACATCGCCAATTAAATTGGGATTTATTTGCATTTCGACAAAAAACCACAAAAGAGAAATAAGGGCTTTCTACGTCTGTACCAACGCATTGGGGTCACTGTACTAGCATAGCGAACACGATTGATGAGAAACAATGCATCATGATTAATTCCCCAACACCTTACTCTGCTTATCATTATGAATTGAACATGCAATCAATTGAAGCATCAACACTCAAACCTCCACTCAACATCCTCCCATCCCTCCCGTCTACTAATCGTCGCTCCCAATCCAGCGCCGTACCTCTCAGGCCGTACCGTCCCGCCCGCAAGTTGCGGCCCCAACATGTTGACATCGCCAAACCCCATCCCAACAGCTTCAATCTCAAAGCCTAGCAGTAAAGCAGACGCGAACCCGATGATCTCTGCGAAAGCAAAGTTTCGTCCTGGGCAGAGATGGCGACCGCCGCCGAAGGGTATATACGCTGCTTTACGCTTTCGCTCCTCTTCGGCATCTCCCTTGGATGAGGCGAGGAAGCGCTCTGGATTGAAGACGTTGACATCAGCGCCCCAGACACTGTCCTCGTAGTGCGCGACGCCAGCGGGGAGTTGCATGTCTGTTCCTTTTTTGAGTATGTATGTTATTCCTTCGGGCGTTGTAACGCTTGTGTCTTTGAGGATCCGACGCATGCTGACAGTTTGGTTGGCAAGACGCAATGTCTCGCGATAACAGCTCACAAGCAGAGGAAGCTTGGTCTCGAAATCCGCTATATTGAATGTCACGCTCCGTTTCCCGTCATTGCGCTCTACAACAGCTGCGTCTTCAGCCTCGACTCGTATTCGTGCGAGAAGATCCGGTCGATCAAGGATATACAGCAATAGCCAGTAAAATGTTGGCACAGCATTAAGCGTCGCGACATTCGGAAGAATAACCTCAAACTTCCCAATCTCGTACCCTGAGAGACCGTTCTTTCGTAGTGATCCGGCGCGGTTTCGTACGAGGGCGGAGACGCTGGGGTCCGAGATGTCGTGGTCTTGGGAGTACCATTTGCACACGATGTTTTGGAGCGTGGAGCGCGCTTTGTAGGCTTTTGGCATTGTGATCGATGGGAAGAGCGAGAGGAGGAAGTAGGGGATTGATTCTTCGAAAAGCCTGGATTGTTAGCGATGCGTGGCGATGGATTGGGGGGCATACCACATGTCTTCAATCAGCGAGGGATCGCGATTGAACGGATCAGTGTCGCCGTAGAGAGATCTCGTTGTAGCGAGGCTCATAACATCGCGACACCAAAGATATAAATTCTCCACGTGTAACCGTCCATTTACCAGCGTTTCTCTCCCCGCGTTGATCGAATCAGCGCGTATCGTCGCGTGATTCAACTTGGCAGAGATGCTATCCAGGAAATGCACATTCATCTGATGCAGGTGCCTAACCTGAAAGCTCGCATGTATCGCCTCTGTAAATTCATCGTAAACACCCGGAACTTTAACTTTCGCGAACGTTTCCTGCTTCAGCGCGAATGTCTTTTTCGCGTAGTCAAAGACAAAGGGTTCGAAGGACGCGGTTTTGTTGCGGAGGAGGGTTTGGAGGAGGGCGGGGTCGAAGACAGCGTAGAGTTTGCCATTGAGCATGGGGAGCGTTGCGATTTGGACGTGAGGGTTCTCATTGCTATAGATGTTAGCGATTGGGTTAGAGATCAAGGGAGGGAGAGGAGAGACGGACTGGATTATTCTGCTGTAATCTGCTTGGTGACGAATTATCCCGATGATGTGTCCTACCCAGGGAATCGACGGTTTCACGACGGGCGGTTCGCGTGGGTCAATGCGGGGAGTTAGTAGGCGGTTCAGCAGTGTGAAAGCCACTATAACCGCTAAAACGGCTGTACTCAAGAATGTGACATTTCCACTGCGATAATCAACGAGATTTTGTAGTAGAGATTGAGAAGTCATTGTCGCTGGGGATGTGAGAAGATGGAGGAATTCAGGCGGATTTAATTGACGAAAACTGAATTGCTAATGGTGCTGACTGTATTGGGGCCTGGCATCGTTAGTGCTGAGGCCGGGAGATCCGTTGGACAGATCAGCAATTGACCAGTCATGGTGTATTTGCTTCTGTATTGGCATTGTAAGGACTTAACCTGAAGGATTGATACGTACGGGCGAATGCAAAAGATGCGACAATTGAGCTATGCTATCGTCAATGCCCTGGGCTCACAGTGTACTGTACTGTTTCGTGGCTAAGAAACGCGAAGTTGGTCCTGTTCCAGCAAAGATGCACTGAAGCTTATCCACTAACAGGACCAGCGTTCATCAACTGCCGACAGTACAAACGGTTACTCTATTACAAAATCAAACAGTCCAGACTCAATAAAAAGTGAGTAGATCTATATACCCAATTAACGCGAAACTCAAAGCTTCGCAACAGCTTTCTCCGCCTTGATCTGCGCCTTCAAAACCCTCCTCAGAATCTTCCCACTCGGACTCTTGGGAATAACATCCAACACCCTAACACCGCCCTTCAACCATTTATGCCTCGCCTTATGGCTCTCAACATGCTCACAAACAGCCCTTACAACACCATCTTCCTTCAAACCATTCGTCTTTTTACTCTTAACGATAAAAGCTAATGGTACTTCGCCCGCGCGCTCGTCGACAATACCTATAACTGCGCAGTCGTCTACGTATGGATGATCAAGAAGATGCGCTTCCAGTTCCGCGGGTGCAACTTGATGGCCCTAACCGAGTTAGCGAGGTACGTTTTTGGTGAGGTAAGGGGTTTACCTTGACTTTTATAAGTTCTTTGATCCGATCAACGATAAAGAAATGATCATTTCCACGTGGTGATTTTCGCACGAGGACTTCATCGCCTGTTCTTAACCAACGCCCATCTTCCCGCCATACAAACGTCTCCGCATTAGCTTTCTCGTTATGAAGATATCCTAGCACGACATTCGGTGCTTGAACGTATAATTCGCCTGGTGTTTCGTAGGCTGTGACTTCAGAGCCGTGCTGGTCGATGATCTTGACTTTTGCCCCGGGGAGGAGAGATCCTGATGAGCCGAGGAGGGGATCTGCTTCGCTTGTGTGAAACACCGACGGTGAAGCCTCCGTTAAACCTGCTCTGTTAGTTTATAACTGAAATATGGGAGGGAGACATACCGTAGCCTTGACTGATTCTCCATTTGGGATACAACTCTAGTAGTTTCTGAATCGTCTCGCCTCCTAATGGCGCAGCACCTGAGAATACTAATCTCACAGAGTTGAGATCGTATTTCTGGCATTTATCCTGATTACTCAAGATCTGCACAATGATCGGCGGTACAACACTAAGTTGCTCAATGCGGAATTTCTCAATAGCGCCGAGCAATTGATCGAGTTGAAAGCGCTGCAGGACGATTATCTCATCGCCGCGGTACTGTGCGATATGGGCGATTACAACGAGGCCGTAGATATGGCTGAAGGGTAAGAGACCAAGGGCTACTTGGGTGTCGATGTTGTCTTGGGCGCGGGTTATGGACTCGAAGGTATGGATCATGAGGGTGCATGCTATGACGTTGTAGTGAGAGATCATAACGGCTTTCTATGCTTGTTAGAAAGAATATATAACAGAGGATGACACGTACGGGAAGACCTGATGTACCGCTTGAGTAGCACAAATACGCAACCTGTCGTTTTCCCTGTCCTCGTGTCCAAGCTTGTAAACTTAACGGCGGGAGATTTTGACCCTCTGAGACGAGATCTTCAATCGTTTTGAAGGATTTCTCAGATGGAGCATCAGGTAAAGGGAGCAGAAAAATATGCTTCTCTGGAATTCCAACGGCAGAAGCTGCTTTGAGAGCAGTGCTGAGAAGAGGAGCGCATGTAAATAATGCTTTGGCACCAGATGATCGAAGTTGATGCTCAAGTTCAGAAGCAGAGTGCGCTGAACTAGCAGGCGTGACGATGCCGTCTACGCGGTGGATGGCATGTGTAACGGGGATGTAGTCAATCTGTCCAAGCTGTTAGATCTGCGAAATCCCGTAGGATTAGTGTATTTACCGTATTGAGAGCGTAAATGGCTACGACTCTATCCCAAGCCGTTCCATCATTCGGATCAAACCCGACAGTTTTCGCTAACCCGCGTGCAAGGAAGTCAACGCGCTGTGCAACCTCAGCAGCCGTACGAGACTTTCCCGTTACTCCGCACGTATACGGCCTCTTCGACCTATCAAAGCTCCTTCTTCCTGCATTTTCAGTATTAATAAAGTCTGCTACACTGATTGAATCAGGTATATCTATTCCCATTAGCACTCCTCCTTGAAAAGCGGGGCGCTAGCAGTACCAGGCAGGTTAGGGACCCAAGAAGGAGGATAAAACGACATTTTTGGAATATTTAAAGTGAGATTGGATAATGGGGGCTGTTGCTGATGAGATTGGTATGGTTATTTGAACTATTTAAGCTACGTTTGGACCGAGGTTTGCCTGTTCAAGTTCCGCGGATGCGATACCGAGCTGTTGATCTGGATGTGGAGTGGGCCAATGAGAGGGGAGGGGATTGAGGAGCGTGGGGAAGATCTGGGGAAGACACGTGAGGGATCTTGGTGGGTTTACCATGGAGAATTAGGTTTAGCGGTATTGGGCGATAAATCGACTCTGGGGAGTGAAGAACGAAGAAATCTGTAGGTTTAGTGTTGTTTATTCATGTTGTTTAAATATATGTCATTGCGAAACAATGAATGCAGGTACAGACCTGAGAGTTTCGGGATAGAGATAAGCGATGAACTCAAACTAGATCGCCTACCAATGAATCTTGAGAACCATCCTCAGCCAAAGAGTAAAGATTGCATTACTCACATAAACTCTCAACAGCATGGCCTCAATGCCCAACGCAAAATTGAATTAGATATAAAATGGTAGTCTGTTTCACAAAGAAGTAGTTGCCGCTACCAGATCGTGCTGAGTAACAGGCAAAAAACGTGGTTCCGCCCGGGATCGAACCGGGGACCTTCTCGGTGTTAACGAGATGCCATAACCAACTAGACCACGGAACCGAGCTTTGGCTTTGATTGGTTGAAAGACTGCCTGCCAATTAGCGTTCAAGTCACTGAGACTGTGAGCACGGATTGGCTAAAACCTTGGCCGCATTAGGTTCCCAATGTTGAAGCTTATTGAGTGTTCACACGTCGCTATATTAATTAGAGATAGATAATTATAGTTACTAGAGCGTTGCGGAAAGACTATCAAATTTTATTCATGACCTATGCCTTGACTAGTATGCCGACATTGCCTACAACACCAATTACTCCATCAATCCTAATAATTCATTACCATTCTGGTATAGCATCAATTTCACCCAAAACTCCCAATCACACCGGCAACCTCGTCTTCGCCCTACTCAACGTCTCAGCGCACCTCCTCGCAATATCACTCTTCTTCCCCAAAATCCACAAAATCCTAATACACTCCTCCCCCCTCCCCAACCTCTCCTCCAACTCCTCCCCCGCCCTATCAACCTGCAAAAGCTCATTAACCTCGCCCATCCAATAATTCGCCGCCTTCGAAAACGCCCTTATCAAAATAACCGTCCACGGTTCTGTTAAAATCATGCACTGATTAATAGCGTGGTGAAATTCTGATAACGTTGGCACGATAGAGGCCGTGTTGTCTGGGGCGGTCACGCGCGCTAGGTCGGATAATTCTTTGGCGCTGCGCTCGCGGATCCGCATCACCCATTTGCAGTTGTTGCGGGATTGGCTGGGGGAGGGCAGACCGAGGGCGTTTTCGTCGATGTGGTGGATTAGATCGGCGAGGAGAAGAACGCCGAGATTCCAGTGGGCGCAGATGCAGATGAACCAGCTTTGGATACGACCTGGTATGGAGTTGTAGTTCTGAAGAAGTTCTCTAAAGAACGTGCCACTGAACAAATTAGTACAAGCAGTGATTCAGAGGTAGTGCAGACTTACTATGTCGTGTTCCAGTATCGATAAACCCTCGCAGACCGTTCAATAAACTCCTCAACCTTCTCCCCCGTCTCTCCCTGCCTCAGCAGATTCTGCAAATACGCTACATGCCGAAACATCAAGACTTTAACCGGCGCTGATCTCGTAACAGCCTCAGCAGCCTCTTCATACGAACAAGGCCAATGAAAATTCTGTCTCGGCTTCTCAAGACTATCCTGAATAAAAAGCGGAACATTCCAATCCGTATCACCGCGCGCATCATCATGCTGACTATTCGCATCCACAACAACAAGCGGTCGTTCACTCATCGTCGAACTAACCGTATCAAACATGACTGTCAACCAGTATAATAAACTCACGGTACCGGCGTCTTCACTGCTCATTGATGACACGAGATTGGCGCGCTTGCGGCCCTTGGTGAGACCTTTTCGCTCGGCGTCGTAGCGGTATTTCAAGGTGTGCATTTTTCGGGCGGCGCGTTCCATGAAGATTGGGGGACCGTCGTTTTCGATGATACTGGCGATTTCGTCGGCGACGGATTGCATGTCGTATACGTCTTCGAAACAACCCGATGTATCTACGTCGCTGTGCTCTGTGTCTTCGGGATCAAGAGGTTTTTGGGTGAGACCGAAGATCATCTCGGCGCAGACGACGCGGTATGATTCTACGTCTGCGACGTCATCTAGAGCGCGTCGAGCTTGATCCCAGATATTTCGTTGGAGATGACGATCGAATTCTTCCTTAAAGTCATCCATGTACTCATTCAATGGGTTCTCTTCTGCGATATCATCTAGTGAGGGATATCGTTCCCTATGCCGTCGTGACCCTTGAGCCCATTGCGTCGCGAACGCCATGATAGAGAGATGAAGAGCTTTCGCAGTCGCTGAGTCCTGTTGGCGCGTCATGTGGATCAATTGCGTTGATTGAGCCACGCGGTCGAGATTCATGGTTCGTCGGAGAACTCGATTCGTCCATGACGATCCCCATTCTGCAAGACTTCCTGCTTTAGTCAAGTTCTTCTGCTGCTGGCCGAATGGACATGTAACTTCGTTCAACCAGCACGATAAATTATGCTCCAGGACATCGTGATAAATCTGTAAAAGACTCGTTGAGATCATCTGGTTGTTGGACTTTGTCATCATCGATTGATCCATAGTGAACGATGACAAAGAACTGCTCTGCGTATCGCTCCATGCAGTTGACACGCGACGTCGTTTCGTTCTTCTCCAGTCCCTTTCGTTATTCGGACTGACAGCGATGAGAGATTGTGCAGGTTCCGTAGGACTAACGATGGGAAATTGCGACATGGATGCAGCGTCGAATTGAAGTTCAGGCGGAACAGTCGAATCTTTGAAGAACTCCCAAGGTTCACTCAACGGTTCTTCAGGCGCAGTGAGGTCCTTGAACTGAATGCCGTAAAAATTAGAGTCAAGCGGCTCGGTCTGCTCAGGCACAAATTCAAATGGTAGCGCGTCGAGTGAATTGTCGAGAAATGAGGGGGCGTCTAGACTGGTGGCGATTTCTGAAAAGACCGGAACGGGAGGGAGGGACTGCGAAACAAAAGATTGCGCATCAAAGCTATTGTTATCATCCGGAATAATAGAATTCGGTGTACCGCGCGTATTCTCAGTCGATGTCGATTCTCGTCGTGTAGAAGTTGAATCCCGTCTCGAGGGGACAATGCATTCAATACCAGGTTCTCCACGCGCAGCCGCAGCAAGAGCATAAGAAATCTGAATCTGCGTCCACGCCCAGTTCATAGTACATTTTTTATGAGTCTTAGTGCAGTACGAACACGGTGATGATTGAGCTAGGGGTGCTATACCATCTCTGTCAGTTCCGTTGGGGACTGCGGAGGCGGGACTTACGCTTCTCTCCTACGATCATCTTTCCATCACGGAGAGGGTCCATATTTCCAGGAATCTCCAAAGGCGGAGCGTCGCACCCCCTCTTTGACTTCCTGCACTGATCGCAGGCATATTGTGTTCTCTTCATGGTCGGCAAAACACTGTAATGATGATGTAGTCAAGAGGGGTCTTTTGGATAAAATAGGTAGTAGCGTGGAAAAAATGCTGCAGTGACAAAAGTGGGCGAACTTGGGTTAAAGCTCTGAACCTCCCTTGCAGATATACCCCTCCCTACGTACCCTCCGGATCCCCGGATTCCTACCTGATCCGAGCGTTTGTTTCCCCGCGTTTTTTGCTCTTTTGGTTTAGTGCTTCTAGTCAAAGTTTGTGTTGGTTTCGGGGGGGGGACCCTGGGATATCCTGGCTTACGACCAAGAACAACCTCATTTAATCATCAACCTGATTTCACTGTGTAGATCGAGATGATCAGAGTTTCTAGGCTCTTCCATTATCGAGGTCAATGTGTAACTTTACGCGATGCACTGAGGCTGTGAAGTTTTGACGGGTTATGCCGCAATGTCTTAACTGACTCTTCGATTCTGACTCAACTACTGGAAAATCCTTGCAAGCCTACATCTCAATCTCATCTCATCTACAGAACAGCCTTGTAAATCTCAGTTTCAACAGCTGCCCAGAGCCCCAAGACCTTGGCATCAGCAAACGGCAAAATCTGCGTACAAACAATCCCTCCAACCCCATGCTCACGATCAGCCCACCACCAGAGATTCGCAAGACCAGCCCACTGAACCGTACTCTTCGATCGCCCTGAGAAGCCTCCATTGGTGAGCATGAATGTCAATCCCCAGCCCTGCGGTCAATAGTCAGAAATAGTGTCTGCACAAAATGTGGGGGGAGGTCGTACCTGGGGTGGATTTCCATCGACGGGGTATAGCTCGCCGATTGGGTTGGTCAGATCTGGTTTGGCAGCTGGGATGGGCTGACGGCTGAAATTAGGGAATTTCTCAATGCTGTTGCTTAGCATGAGATCGACCGTTTCTTTCTTGAGGATCTGAGCGCCTGTCTTGGGACATGTTCCGCCGTTGAGAAGAACAGTGAGGACCTCTGTTTAAATCAGCACCCATCCACCAGCACAATATGTCAAGCATGTTCACTTACTGCCGTATTCTTGGGGCTGCGCAAACATTCCTGCGCCACCGCTATGGAAGATTGAAGCGATTTCACTGGCGTTGTCGGTCACTAGAGGAAGACGCTGAAGATGATCGCGCGTTCGCAGTGCACCATCTGCGTCTCGCTGATGCATGTGAGCTAGCTTGGCGCGCATTTCTTTACCGGGAAGCATGGACATTTTTTTTATGCCCAGAGGTTGAAAGACGTTCTTCTGGAGATAATCATTGAGACGGAGACCGCTGGCTCGTTCAAGTGCGATGCCAGCCCAGTCAATGCCGACCTGAAATGTTAGCAGACTTCTGGTGAGATGGAGAATGAACTTACACCATATTCCCAACCTTCGCCGGGTTGGAATAGAAGAGGAAGCTTGACGATGTCCTCAATACGACCAGAAAACTCATCAATACCAGCAGGATGACTCCAATCCCTCAACCGCTCATTAAAAAACGTATATCCAAACCCAGCAGTATGAGTAAGTAGCATTCGCAGTGTAATGCGATTCTTCTTATCCTCAAAGCTCCCATCAGGCTTCAAGACCTTCAGACTCTTGAGCTCAGGAACAATATTCTCAAGATGTTCACCATCATCGAGTTTCAGCTTTCCCTGCTCAACGAGTTGCATGCACGCAACACCAGCAAGCATCTTGGTGCACGAAGCGATCCAGAAAATATTATCCAGCGTCATGGGCTCATTGGTCCCGACACCACGCGTACCCGCTGAATGAGCGAATATCTCACCGGATTTGTCGACCAGTACGACCGTAGTACCGGGAATACCGGTCTTTTGGTCGGCGCATGCATCGTCGATTATGCTGCGCAGCTTGGATGTTGCTTGGGTATTGAGAGGCATGTTGGGCAAACAAAACACGTTAATTTGAGACTGAGAGGGTTTGTTGTATCAACTGTTACAGAATGGTAGCCGTGGAGTGAATACCCTAGTGAAGCTGTCTATTTATACTGATAGTCACAACGCGCTTGATTCCATGATAGGTAGCTTAATTAGCTTAGCTTCTGAAACCATGGCCCGACCAGCTCACAAAGGTTATTAAGTCATATGACAGAATATACCGCATCCAGCACCTTACTCTATTCTGTCAAACCCCGCCTTGCGCAATCTAACTTAACTGAGTTTTTCACCAAAACACCAAGGATTCTAGTGTAGATCACTTCCCCAAACTTGCGGACCCGCATCCGCAGATACGAGTGCACAGACGAGGGGTAAAACCCCAGCTTCACAAGCATCTTTATTTACTGAGGATGCGGCGCCGCGTGCGCTCGGCAGTTGAAAGGATCCGAGGCCCCGTGGGGTTCGATCCGGGGTAGAACGTGCGGGGACGACGATGTGCTGTAACCTCGCTGTGTCTCGTTTGGTAGTATTGCATGACAAAGCTGCCCTGAGATGTGACGAGGCGGATGCGGGTACGCATCTACGCAGGGCGGAAGGGAGGCCGGTCTTCACATGATGTTGCTGTAGAGTTTCACAGAGATGCAATGTTTCAATTTGATGAACATGCAGGACCAACTGCATAAGGAAACAATGTTTATAAACTGGTTGTATATCCTGTAAAGTAAACATCTCATCACAATCAAGTCTTTCATCCCAAGCATTACTCTCTTAAGCAATACTTTACAATGGGCGAGCAAATTCCAGTTCACAAGAAGTTCAACACTGAACTCACGGATTACTCCGTCGAGCATCATGGCGATAAAGGTGTCTATGCCGATAATCTCGAAGTAGACGCTCTTGTCGTCGGTGCTGGCTTCGCTGGTATCTTCATGCTCAAGACCCTCCGTGATCGCGGTTACAAGACTGTTATTTACGAAGCTGGCAACGATACTGGGGTAAGTCACCCACTACCAACCCAATAACTCAAACCTAACAGGATAGGGCACTTGGCGATGGAATTGCTACCCCGGTGCGGGTGTTGACTCTGAAGTCCCTGAATACGAATTCAGCTGGCCAGAGGTTTACAATACCTGGACTTGGCCTTGCAATTATCCTACTTACGCTGATCTTCGTGCTTACTTTGACCATGTCGATAAGGTCATTGGTGTCAAGAAGGATTGCGCTTTCAACACTGTCGTTGTTGGCGGGAAGTTTGATACCGAGAGCGGTCGCTGGCATATTCGCACAGCCGATGGTCGTGTCGCCAAGGCCAAGTATCTCGTCCTAGGCACTGGTTTCGTGAGTCCAACTTCAGACATGACATATGACTAGGGAACTAACCTTACAGGCTGCTCGTCGCTATATCCCTGACTGGCCCGGCATGGACAAGTTCAAGGGCATCATTCATCACTCCTCCTTCTGGCCCGACGAAAAGGTCGACGTCACCAACAAGCGCTGCGCCATCATCGGCACCGGAGCATCAGGCGTTCAGATCACCCAGGCCTGGGGTCCTGAAGCCGGCCATCTCAAGGTCTTCCAGCGAACACCCAACCTCGCCGTCCCCATGCGTCGCAAGTATCCTTCAGCTGATGAACAAAACCAAGCCAAGAAGTTCTACCCCGAACTGTTCCGATACCGCGAGGAGAACTTCGCAGGCTTCCATTACGACTGGTACGAGAAGAACACCTTTGACGATACACCCGAAGACCGTGAGGCCCTGTACGAGCAGGTCTGGGCCGACGGTGGTTTCAGATACTGGGTCGCTGTGTACAAGGACAACTTGTTCAACGCCGAGGCGAACAAGGAGTCTTACAAGTTCTGGGCTAAGAAGACGCGCAACAGGATCGGCGATCCTAAGAAGCGTGATCTTCTTGCGCCGAATGTGGATCAGATGCCGCATTACTTTGGTATCAAGAGACCGTGTCTCGAGTATGATTATTACGAGCAGTTCAACAGGGAGAACGTGGATGTTGTTGATATCAAGAATAATGCGATCAAGGAGTTTACCGAGACGGGCATTACGCTGGAGGACGGGACGCATCATGAATTTGATGTCATTGCTGTTGCGACGGGATTTGTAAGTCATATTCTGAGATTCTTGTTATGGGGTAATGCTAACATGTATAGGATGTTGTCACTGGTGGTGAGTACGGTTTTACAAGGGGAGTTGGGCTTTGCTAATGGATTTTAGTGATGACGCAGCTTGGTCTTCAGAGCATTGAGGGCGCTGAACTAGAGAAGGAATGGAAGACTGGCGCCACGGTATGTGAATTCGTCGATGTATTCAACTCATTGCTAACAAGTACAGACTTACCTCGGCGTCACTACCCCTGGCTATCCTAACATGTTCCATATCTACGGTCCCCACGGCCCAACTCTTCTCAGCAACGGCCGTAAGTACACCGTCAACAGTCATATGTGCCTCGCTAACAATCCCCAGCTACATCCGTCGCAGTCCAAGGCCGCTGGATCGTTGATTGCATCGACAAGATCAAGAACAACAACATCAAGTACATCAACCCCGAGAAGAAGGCTGGCGAGGAATGGAAGAAGCATATCGTCGATCTCAACAACAGGACTCTCTTCCCCACCACTCGGTCAACGTAAGTCTCACTCTACTCCATTCAACAATGAGCCTCCTGCTAATCATGTGAATAGATACATGGGCGGCTCTATCCCTGGCAAGATCTACGAACCTGTTTGTTACTCTGGTGGTATTCCTGCGTACAAGATTGAGATTCGCGAGGCCCTTGATACTATGAAGGGTTTTGAGATCGTCAAGAATAAATAGACTTGACCCTGGGGGGGGGGGGTGTGTGTACTCTGGCTATCTCGAGCTCTTGCTGGAGTATGAAGTGTTGGTAGACCTTTAGCTTTTTAGTTGTGCAATTGATGTTTCTGTTTTCATACTATTGCGCACATTGAGATTGATTTCCATTGGTGATGCCTTGTTGTTTCGTCTTTCGGCAGCTGTATATGCAGTACTTATAAGCTTGCTCTTCTTGGGCTCTGCGACTTGGTCTTGACAACTTTCGAACAAGCATCGGATCTGATATAGTAAATGGCTTGCCAACTCCATGACTCTGACTCTTAAGTCATTCGCTTACCTCAGTGACAGGCGGGTAGCTCTCTCATCACTACGACTCGGCTACTTTCGACGCGATCACGGCGTCTGGCGGTATCTTGATGTCTGCCCCAAACCAAGATCCATATGAACTAGGAACGTCGCGTCGCTTTGGGCTACGTGATGCACTGATTGACTGGGCATCATTCAGCGGTCGCATATCAATCGTGATGTCATCGCGTCTTAGACTTTCGCTGACCTGGAATGCGCGCCTCTATCCTTCTCTGCAACGCATCGGGGAGGTCACGTCACGTCCAAGACAATAGCGACCAGAACTTGGCGTCCGCATTTCTTTATACTCCGGTCGCATCGTCGTCGCGTCAAAGGCATCGCATTCAATCGTACGCACGTCATCCGGCAGTTCTGCATCGCATCGTATTCCCGAGATGCAAATCTTGAGATCTCTTTTCGCAATTGGAGCATCTCAAGATTCGACAGGCCAAAATTGTACCTGCATCTCCTCGGCCGGCGTGGTCTGACGGGTAACCCGGCTGTACAGGCAAAGTTCGGTAATTCGTAGGGGTTCAATCGCGAGGCGCATCGGTTCGTAGCAAATGTCGAAGAATAAAGCAATCTTTCACTTGTCAAGAGTAGATAGATCTGTAAACATCATCGTAGATCTCGGCGTACCCGATCGTAAATCCACCAGCATGAATCACAACATCAAATTCTTTCCCTCGGTAATGAAGGGATAAATAGTAAGAGGCAAAGCTTTCTATTATGTCATAATTTCGGAACGTCCAATACCGAACAAACCCCGTGAGTAAGCAGTCCAACCGGAATAGGAAAGTATGGGGAAAAGATCCACAACTATCCGTCCAGCATTGAATTTCTGTTACGAAATCGTCTCGCGAAGATGCCAATGAAAACGAGCCCGGCTCAAACGGCCTCCCTTCTCTGACTCTTTCCCCTTCTATTTTTGTTTTTTGCCGCTGGTTCTGGTGTTTCTCGGAATTATGGACGGTTATGTTGTCATTCAGTGCATCTCCGCGGCTAAGGGCAGTGGTATAAGGGAGCTGGCCTGCACTGATTCATTGTCTTTTTCCCTTGAAGCTATCGTCAGACATTCACTTGAACAGAGTTTAATACACGTTTGGACAAACATTGACGCCTTGGAACGCCATTATTACTAATTCGACGTCACTTTTTACTTTACGACTCATTTTTCCTTCTTTCATCATCTGAAGCGCGAATCACCTGATTACCCCGGATTTTCATCTCAGATCAGATCAGATCTCATGTCGCGTTTCAACCCGACATCGTGGACTCTCGATATCGATCGATACGTCAATCCATATATCCCATCACCGCCATGGCAACATATTCCATATCCTGTCGCATATTTCTTTGGATACCGACGCGATAAACCAAAGAGTATTGGGACAATTGTCCCAGTGATATGGGCATTTATCGGAATATTCATCGCCCTTTCGGTAATTGAATTGGCGTCAGAGCGCATTCCCTCTTTTGTCGAGAGAGGTGCTCCCATTATCGTTGGATCTTTTGTACGTTCACTGTCTGTATTTTGTTTGTCGACGCCGATGCTGATCATTTGGGTAGGGCGCTGGCGCTGTTCTCGAGTTCTACGCCATTGAATCTCCCCTCGCCCAACCACGAAACTTCTTTGGCGGCCAAATCATCGCCGCGACAATAGGCGTCAGCATAGGAAAACTCTTCCTCCTCAGCCCAAACTTCCACTCCATCCAATGGCTCGGCGGCGCCATATCCTGCGCGACCGTCACATCCATAATGGCTCTAACAAAAACCATCCACCCCCCCGCCGGCGCAACCGGTCTTCTCGCCGTCGTCGACAACCGCCTTCTCGACCTCGGCTGGTTCTTCATTCCAGTTGTGTTATTCAACTGCACGATCATGTTTGGTGTTGCGCTGTTGGTTAACAATATTCAGCGCGCTTATCCGGTTTATTGGTGGACGCCGGAGGACTTGAGGGGCGTTAGGACGGAGGGTAAGAGGGAGAGTGTGGATGAGGAAAAGGGGCAGAGGACGGATGAGAGTGATTCGGAGAGGCATGAAAGGCATGATGGGAGGGAGATTATTATGAAGCCTGGCGGGAGCTTGGTGTTGCCGCACAATTTGTTCCTCATGCAGGAGGAGTTGCAGTTGTTGGAGGAGATTGCCAACCGATTATAGGTTGCTTAAAAGTGTCGCATTGCATAGCAGTCAAATTAGCAAAAAACGATCATCTTGGTTTTATTCATGTTCTATATAAGCATCATCTCGTGACTCATTTATCGTTTCTCATAAAGACATGCCATTCCCCGATGGTCCAGTCCAAGGTCCAGACCCAGTACATCGCCCCGTCTATCCAACATGATTCTGTCGTTGTCCATTCATTCTTTCCTTAAAAAAAACAACTCATCACTAACATGGCGTACCTACTCTGCTGTCAAGACAAGGTCTTCTCCGTCCTCTCAAGAATGACAATCCAGCCAAAAATACTTATTCTGTCTTTACCCTTCTCCATAGAGGACTATCTGGTGGGGTATCGTCAACCAATCAACATGGTCCGTGGATACCTTAGTACAAGTTATAAGGGCTCAAGCGACCATAGTCCTCCTCATCTCGGACGCTGAATCTCTCAACATACCTTGCACCAGAGAACCCGCGCTTCCGGGACACAGGCATGCTGTTGCAAGGCGCGCTATCGCCGTCTTTCAGCCGCTGCTCATGCTGCCGCTGGAGTTCGTCCACCTGACGCTGAAACCGTCGTTGCTCGAACTGTTGGTCCTGCATCTGATGCCGGCGGGACAACTGTGCCTCATTAATTGCTCGTCGCTGGTTCCCGTGATTAATGAAAAACTGTAAGTTGCGACGAATGCCGCGACCGTTGATTGGCACTTTAAGGGCGTTGCGCTGGGGGCTTCGTCGAGGTGAGGGTTGACGAGACGGGATTGGTCGGGCCACTTGTGGCGTTGACACGATGCGTGCGTCATGGGAGGCTGGAATGGCATAAAGTGATGGAGATCGGGGTGAGCCAGGTTCTACCATGGCATCTTCGTTTGCTCCCGGAGACAAAGGTGAGCCAGGCTCCTCCTTTACTTTCTGGCTGTCTTCTTTGTCAACAGTGTTGACCTCGTCTTCCACGGCATTGGCTTCTTGGGCGGAAACATTAAATCCACGCCATTGATTGAAAAAGGCTGTATTTGATCCCGGCTCTACCTTGATGCGGGCCCCGTCCTCAGCTCGATGGACGTTTCCAGTCAAGTGAGATCGGCCGTTGGCATCCATGCCGCGGGTGTTGGCGGCATCAGTGGATGGAGCGTTCTCAAAGGGAGGGTTCATGAAGTCATGTAATTCAGACATTTTTTCTGGTTGTGAAGAAAGACGTAATATATCTGGCGGTTGACAAGTTAGACTATCAAACCGTTAGAGGGGAAGGCCTTTCGAGGTTGATGACATATAACAACTTGATGAAAGATAGTGAAGGGCTCTGGTGAGTACAAGGTATCGCGGATGCGTGGTAGAGTTGGTGAAGGACGATAGTTTCTGAAGATAGATTCCGATATCGTGATATCCTGATGAGGTCGTTGGTAGATTCGCTGATGGAAAGTGTTGTGAAGAGGAAGAATGATGGGGTGTCGAAGACGAATGCGAGATTTAGAAGAGATATGATGGGAGGAATAGATAGATGGAATGGGAGAGTGCCTGGTCCCATTCGTCCTAGTGACAAATGTCAGTGCGAACATCAGCCTGGATTCAACAGTTTCACCGGCGGTACTTGAGATTTTTTGTTACTGCCTGCTACAGATGTCTGTTCACTTGTACGGTATAGTTCATGGCCATTTAGAGATAATTAATAAACTGCCAGCGGAACACAATAATGAATATATATATAGGCAACGCTCTGATCATGTTTAGGGAAACCAGGCAGCATAATTCACATATCCTGACCTTGTGATACTGAAGTCTCGAGTATAGTTGATTAGATCCTTGAACTACGATCACCTTCGACAGCCCCACGTTCTCGTCAGCACCAATGAATTTCCTTGATGAAGCCAATAGTTATAAAGGATTGGTTTGATGAAATCACGAGCAGCCATGAGCAACTTCATACTAACCTCTGTACGGCAAACATTTTCAATTCCCAAAACATCAATAGTCAGCATAGGTTGTCCCGTTGGGCAGACGCGCACGAGAAAAAATTGGACAAGCTTCGAAGGTGTCAGTATCTCGAATTTGCGCTTGGTATAAGCCAATTTCTTCTGGCCAAGTCAGAAGCGAAGCCCTGGATAGCTCAGCGCATCCATGCTATAGCCAATGTTCTCAGAAGAGACAACCAGTGACAGAAAGTCAATTCTCGATAATAAGTGTATTCCTATCAGCAGCAATCCGATAATTGGCTTTCTCCAAGCTATTCACAAAACAACGGTTGAGCAGCAGCTATATCCGTCTTCTTCCATGTTGCTCTTTCAATGGCACTAACAACTTTTTAATTGGCGTCTTGGCACCTCCGATGAACTGCAGAACTGGTTTGTCGAAAACAAACACAATTGGCTAATCCCCCGACGCGCTTGAAGTTATTTTCAGTAGCCGACCGTTTTCACTCTTTTTGTCGCTCGTTAACAATATGGTTCCTGCGAATGTGTTTTTGGCCATGGGCCTGATTGCTCCGACTGCTCCACCGGTACATTCGTCGTCAACGGCCGCAGCAAGCTCGTAAACGGAAACCAACTCCTGTGCGCTTTCTTCCAATCGGGCCAACAGTACGGCGATATTGTTGGCTGCTCACCTGACAATACCGATCCTCAATTTTCGCCTATTGTTTGTGAACTTGGCACTTCTGGACAGCTTGATTGTCAGGCCCAGGGCAAGTTCTGTTATTATTCTGGGGAAACACTTACCTGTGATGCGAGAGGTTTGTATCCTTACTTCTATCCCGAGAATGCTAGTTTGTATGGGTATGGGCTTATTCTTGGATCGAATGGGCTTAATCGGACGCCGGTTCAGCTTGCGGATCATCCTCAGCCATCTGAACCTTGGGGCGGAGCATGCCATTAGTGCCGTACTTCTCACATGCTAGGCTGGACAGAAGAAGGCTTCGACGCATAATATTCTTATTCTTCTACATATCTTCCACCCAAGTTCACAATGATGGGCGATATAGACTACCTTACATGGTGTAGACTGGATCACTCCTCCATCCAATTACATTCTCTAAGCTCATCTCTAGTGGTGTCCTTTGATGTTTGCCCTAACAATTGTATTGCACGAAAGGTCCCCCATAGCTCGCATAGGCACGCGACAAACTCACGGGGACCAGAGTAACGCAAAAGTCTCGTGTTAATTATAAAGCAATTGTCAATAGACCAGTTACATGCATTCCAAGATATTAAACAAATACACCAAGCGCAATAACCGCCGCAGCAAGCATACCCTTCGCCCTCGGAGCGCTGTTATCCGTGACAGTAGCCTCAGCCCCAGAAGTAGTCTGACTAGCAGCCGAAAGTTCAGTCCCCGTAGTCGTCGCCGTAGTTGATCCCTCATCAGTTGTAGTCACAGTCTCAGAAGCCTTCGCCTTGGTAACAGTAGTAGCTTCCGAAGCAGTCACAGAAACAGAAACAGTTTCCGAAGAAACAGGCAACTTGATTCCACAAACAGCCTCAGCGTCAAAAGTGAATGGAATACCGTGGGCATCGCAATCGTTCGAAGATCGCTCAATTTGCTCTAAGCGATTATTAGTCAAGGTTATCTCGAAATGGGTTTCATGACTTACCCGGTAGAACGTTATCAGCGCAGTTCTCGGCAATGCAGCAGAAGAACTTCTCTCGCATATCCTTCAGTGTGCATACACAAGCTGGATTATCCGCGTTGCATTTGTTGGTAAAGTATTTAAAGAAGCAATTGTTCTAGATTCTGGTTAGCACCAATATCGTCAGGTCAAACCTTTACTCACGTTGCAAGTTGCATCCTTATTCTGCTTCTCCTGATCGTACCGCTGACCAGCCGCAAAGCTGCCCACGATGCTAAGAAGAATCAACGCGTTAGATAGACGAGCCATATTGTCGATACTGATGATTTACGAGAAAGCGCCAGCGAATATCGCGGAATTAAGTAAGGCATTGAAGCCCCTGATTGAACTTAGCCGGTAGAGACGTTGATTGGTTAAAGAATGGGTCTGGAAATTAGCAGCAGGGGATGATAAAACCCAGCGAATGAGAGGTAGGAATTGGAGGTTAGTTACTCTGTGCCTTCGCCGAAGGATTCTTCGTTTATTTTGGGATTCAAACGACCAATGAGTAGTAGGTAAGACTGGCCAAGACTGTTTGAGAGCCGATTAGCCGTTTGAACCCTGTGAATATCATCCGTTCCGTATTCCAAGTCCCTCATCCGCCGCACTATAAACAGCGATCCTTTCGCGGCGAAGAGTCATCAAACATATTGCTAGATGTATATTGTAACAATATGTTACAGCCCAGTCAGTCACGTTGGACTCACAGTTTTATTTCCATGTCGCCTATATCATGACCCACGAGCTTGACGCCAACGAGAAAGGGTGAACTAGTAAAACATGCGACCTGGGCGTAAAGTTGGTTAAATGTATGATCGTAGAGATCAAAGACTGCTCCGTTCGTGCTTTGTTAATCATGTCGTCATATATTCAATGCATACCATTTGCCAAAGCCAAAACCTTGGAACTGATGTCATCTTCTTGAAATAAATCATTCCATCTTAGAATTGCTTCACTCAAACCTCAATCTCACAACCCATCCTCTCATGTCCTTGGCCAAGCTCAAAGTTCATATAACTCGAAACATGTTCGATTTGACGCCTCGCTTCAATCCCTCCGCCCTGCCATTCTCATACTCTACTCCAGCACCTCCTCCATCCCCAGACATACCCTCTAATTTCTCCCTCAATTCCTGATCAAGTTCTGCACTCGTCTTCTTTCGAGGCGCCATCTTGGTCGTTGAAGCTTCTTTGCTTGACTCATCAATCGTTCTTGATTGGGCTTGACTCGTTGGCTGGGGTTTCGAGGCGTCGGCTGCGTTTGGTGAAGCGCGTGGGGCGATTGAGTGAAAGTATTTTCTTGTTGCATTTGCCCGTTGACAAGATGTTATTAGAGCGCGCTTCATTGTATCGAGAGTCTTTGATGTTTCTGATATTGTAGTGGTTCAGATGGATGAGGTGATGAAGGTCGAAAGTCTGGCCACTGAGTGAATCTCAAGATGAGTTTTATGATGACTAAGGGAATACGTCATTGGTTGAAATTGACGGCATAATGCAGTCATTCATAACTCGTCGATATGAACTTGAGACGACGTGAGGATGTCCTCTAAGACAGCATATTTTATTTCTTTTTGAACCAAAGCTTTTTATTTGCCATTACAAGCTACACCTGTACTAATCCGCCTTGAATCTTGTTGCTTCCCTTGTCCTGATCCTTACAATAAATCATCTCCAACTGGACAATCAAGAAATCTTCAACAACCATCCATCAGCCTCAGTCTCCCCCTTCGCATTAACACCCCCCCACATCAAAACTCCCTTCCCATCCAAACACCCATCAGCCCCAAAGAACCCCCTCGGTCCCGGATGTACCTTCCCAGCCGCCTGCGTCATCTCCGCCGGCGCAATCTCAAGCTCATGCCAACTAAACGCCCCTGACTCAACACCCGGAATCGTATCACGAATAGCATCTTTGACCCTCGTAGCACTATATCCATCGGAGGGAAGTTGCAGTGTCCACATGTCGGAGTAGAAGGGATGTTCTTCGGTGTAGGTTTCATCGCTGGTTATAGAAGCGTCTTGACGGCTGCCGAGGAGATAGAGCAGGTAGCGGCGTCCGAGACCGGTTGTTACGGGGATCAAGGCGCTGCCGACGCGGGGACGAGGACCGGGGATGAGAGGGTTGGAGGGGAAATCGACGGTCGTCCACTCTGGAAGCGTGTCTAGAGATTCATCTTGGATTGAACCAGGTTTGATGTAATGCACCGATCCATGAACATCAGACTCTGCGCTGATAGAGTACAGCGTCCCTTCAACAAACTGCGCCGCCAATGATTCAGCAGGCGCATCAGGCAATGGATGCCAAAGACGCGTCGTAAAGTCAAACAACCATGTCGTCTTAGTCCGATGTCCATTCTCATACCCCCCATGAAGAATAAGATTGTCCTTCTTGGCATCGTAGAAGATTTGATGACCGTATCGAGATTGGGGTACTTTTCCAGCAGCGGTTATTGAAGACCATCGTGCGGCTTTGGGCTCCCATTCCCAGAGGGTGAATTCATCGTCGACGGGTTCGTCGTCACTGTTTTGGCCGCCGTGAATGATGAGCGTGTCGCGACGCGTGCAGGAGGCGTGATTGATGCGTGGCGAGGGGGTTTGGCCTTCGTCACCTACTGCGGGATAACATGCGTATTCACCTTCGCCTTGATGATCACCAATGGATACAGCGTGGATGTCGTTGTTGCACAATTGACCGTCATCTTTCTTGCCGCCAAAGATGTACGCTTTGTCATCAATGACACTGACACTATGATGAGATCTCGCAAGCGACAGTCTATGCTCATTAGCATCGTTCTCAGTTGCGATTCGAGGGCCATACGAGTTATCTTCCTTTGGAGTCGTAGCGATTTGGCTCAAGACTGCAGTGAGCGGTTGCGTAGGACGAGCTACAGTCGCTGCGGCGCCGACTTCGAGGCCGGTTGAAACGACTTGCTCGACTGCGATGACACCTGCTGCGACTTCTGCCATTGTAAATGATGATTTAGTGAGATTGTGTTGTTGTGAGGGATCGAGATATACGAGGCTGAAAGATGACGGGGAGACATGACGTATGACGGATGCGGGCAATGACGTAATTTTGAGAGGGCTGGAATGTGTAATCGTCGAAATGAGATCGCTTCTGTCTTTAATGATAACTTAGTCTTCACTATCTACTTAAAGTCTAAGGAAAGAGAAATGAGTTGTTGGATCGTTTCCCTATTCTCTACAGGAAGATGCGATGCGAGTGTGCAATTGATAGCTCATGAGCTAATGGTAGCGCCTACCAGACTGACGTCAGAACTAAATCGCCTATCGCGCTTCATATTCCCAGACATGAAATTGTCGCGTTGTATTCAGCAATTTGTGAAAACATGAATATTCTGAATGGAATGAACTCAAGAGGTTAATAGCGAAAACGGCAACTAGCCAATCGGGGTCTTTCGTCTGCCTCCGGAAATAAACGGGCTTATACCAATCCGTCGCGCATCCATTCAAAGCCTCAACGCGCTAACAAAAACGCGCCACTAACTCATGATGACCTTCACGTTCAAGACACAAGACTCATGCAGGTATCAAGGTATGAAGCAAAAATCACGATGAAAAGTTGGAACGCAAAATGAGTAAATGTACGTGCTACAGAGCACTAGAATTAAATATGTACACTAAAGGTTGGCATCGACCGATCATCAAATCTATCTCAATCTATAGTCCAACGTCTATAAGATCATTCACTCATACGCTCATTTGTTGCGAACCTCCCACTCATAAATAGCCATCATGAAAGGTCCCATACCGCGAGTATCATTAGGAACAACAGGAACCTCAGTGTAATACTGCACTCATTAGCCCAACCCACAAAATCACAAGAGACAAACTTACCTCAAAAGAAGCATCACTGTTCAATGATCCAACCTCAACAGTTCCCTCCCAGGTAATAGTTCCATTGTTGTTCTTGGTGACAAAGTCCCGAATGAGGCGCTTGTACGCTTCCTTCGCTGGCTTGGTGTACGTCTTTTCATCGAGAAGACCGCGTCGGAGACCAGCTAGCCAGCCGTAGGTGAACATGGCCGAGGCAGAACTCTCGATGTAGTTACCCTCTACACCCTCGTACTGCTTGTTCATGACAAGTTCCCAGAGATGAGACTCGTGGCCTTGGGCGCGGAGAAGGGCGGAGGAGAGGTCTTTGTAGTAGGTGACAAGACGCTTGTAGCCGGGGTGAGACTTGGGGAAGACGTCGAGGACTTCGATGAGGGACCAGATGTACCAGCCGACGGCGCGCGACCAGACGATGGGCGAAGCACCGGTCTTGGGGTCGGCCCAGACAGCAGTCTTGCTCTCGTCGAAACCGTGAACGGGAAGGCCGGTTTCCTTGTCGATAGTGACTTCCTGGATCTTATCCCACTGTAGAACAATGTCATCCCAGGCAGTAGTGTTCTTGGCATCGAACTCAGCAGTCCACTCAGCGTAGAAGCTATCGCACATGAAAATGCCATCAAGCCACATCTGGTCAGGATACGTCGGCGAGCGATGCCAGAAGCCACCAGTAGGAGTTCTAGGATGCTGATTGATTCTATCACGAATAAAATCCGCAGCAATCTTGTACTTATCATCACCAGTCTGCTTGTACCAGTACAGCAAGTTCATACCAATACGGTAATTGTCAAGCGAGTACTTTGTCAGATCGTAGTTGATGATGGTGCCATTGGGTGATACGACATCGTCCATCTGCTCGCGGTACCAGGCGAGGAGGGTCTTGTTCTTTGTCAATTCTACGGTCGCCTCGATGCCTTCGTAGACTACTGCTCGGCCGTACCAGTATGCGCGCTGGGTTTCTTGGTTGTTGCGGATCCAGGAATCTGCGGTCTTGGCGAGGAGGTCGTTTGCGAGGACGAGGTTGGCCGAGGCCACGGTGAGGAGGGTCTGGAACTTCATGATGAACGAGGAGATTGTCGATGTCGATAGAGCAGAATCAATTACGACTACGGGAATCGAACTACTTTTAAACAACGTTCGATGAGATCCACTGTCATTTTAGAGAGGGAATTTCTCCGTGTCTAGTAGACGCTCTAACCAATAAGCTTAATTCTTTAAAAATGAGCTTAGCCAGTATCTTTTTTTGGAAGGCCAGGTTTCATATTAATTGAGTCAATTACCGTGTACAGTTACATCCACCGCGGATTATCCCGGCGGACCGTTATTCTCCGCCAAACGGATAAGATGGAGTGTTTTCTCCCCTGAGAGATCATCGAAGTTTTTTTTTCAATCAAGACGTTTACGCCGGCTTGCCCCCGTGGATTTTCATCCGAACTGTTCGTTTGTACTGGGCTGAATTGGGAATCCGCATCGTATGTCGTCGATTCACCGCTGGGTCCGCTTGATCCGGTGTTGAGATTGATAGCCGCATATACGAATGAGCTTGGCGCGATGACAGTCGTGAACGATTATCCACCTATCGGACAGTCATTTTAAAGTATTAAGCTTCTCTTTTGGTTTGTTCCTAATTACGCTTAATTGGATCCTTGTCTGCTGAGCCTCTTGATGCCGCAATCCCCCACGATGACCCCCAATCTCTTCGCTAAACGACGTACAGTGGGGGGCAAAAAGTATGAAGACCCCCCGAGGTACCGATCTTCGCGTCTAGCCGGAACGGGAGATGATCGTGATGCCGCCTTAAGCTTGTATTTTCTACCTTTCAAAGTCAACAGGAACAGGTTCAATACTTTGTATACCAGCCTTCTGCAGCGATTATAGCTGCTACGCGGTTCGGCATTGTATCGCAAAGGTTCTTCAGTATTGTATCTTGGAGACTATCCCAGGCTTCCATCGCAGCTAAGACTAGGGCATGTTGCGTAGCGACTGTATCCTCTGCGTATGTCAGTTCCGGATGTGACCGATATATCTCTGCCTTCATCAGCGCCCACAGATTCTCTATAGGGTTCAAATCAGGCGAATAGGGCGGCCATGTCATCAGCTCGACGCGGAGCTCTTCTAGCAGGGCCTTGACGATCCGGGCGGTATGTATAGATGCGTTATTATGCATGAAGATATTGCCCGGCTGAAGAAACCACGGTAAGATAAAGGAATAAAGATCATGTATGCCAACGGCGTTGACGTTGCCTACGAGAGGGACCAAAGGCGTACGAGATCCGTGACCGAAGGCAGCCCAGAACATCTGCCGAACGGCGCCTTGTCTTCTAGCTTCCCTGACATCTTGTACGCGAAGAGCTTCTCGAGGCGATAAGAAGGTCCAAATAGGTCTTAAGCCCTGACTGCGGCGGACCATGCACTTGTCACTCCATTTAACACGCCTCCAGTCAATGCCCTGATATGTTGTTGCCCATTGGAGTCTTTTGCAGGCCTGTAGCGGCGTCAGAGCGACTCGTTTTTTCTGCATCCATTTCCTCTTATTCATCTCACGTAAAAGGTATCGAAGAGACCGTAATTTAACTGCGTTATCAACGGAATTAAGTAAATCTCGCATAGTTATGTGTGGATCGGTTATGACGGCATCGTAAATTTGATCTCGTTGCTCTTCTGTGAGCTTGCGCGGCGCGCCTGATCGAGGCAGAGAAAAATTTTCCTCTCCCCGTTGTGCCTCGCGGCGGCACGTCGTTTTGATCGTTCCAAGGGGAATATGGGGAAACTGCTTGTGAATTTGACGATAGGAATAACCTTGTCTCTTTAATTCGCATATTCGGGACCGTAATGACGGCGAAAGCTCTTTGCTGCGCGGCATCGCGATCTGTTTTTTGGTGTTGTGATGTGTGTGAAAAAGCGGCGTTGAAAACGCGGTCTCAATCGGGCTAGTCAGGGAGGAGCTACTTAGGGGGTCTTCATACTTTTTGCCCCCCACTGTAGACTCACGGATTGTGGCGGGCGCTCTTCCGTTTGTATGTAGTGCATTTGCACAATTGGAAAAATAGAAATGCAATTGGGTTTAGTCCAATCGAAATGAAGCGCAATGTAACTTTCCTAGGTCACGACGAGATTCTGTACAGCGCCGCCGCAAAAAGTGGCTGTCAAGGTTCGCAAAACTAGCATACCCTGGATCAACCTGCAAAACGAGCACGAAGACCGATTCGTAAATTCCACGCCCAGCAAGTGCAGAAGCTAGATATTAAAATATACTACGGAAAAGCATAAACAGCATAAATACTACCATCGAGACACAGTCCATGGAAATAATATCTTCTTGAGCCAATTATCGGATTAAGGATGCACAAATAGCCGTAACAAATGACCCCACGATGGGGGCAGCCTCCACCCTAGGTTGAGTTACCCTATTCTTATTGAGCTTGGCATTGTGTATGAATGGCAGTGCCGGATGAGAGGGGCCAGAACAATACAAACTGAAGGCCAGAAACGAAAAAATTTCAAGTACCTAACGAGTAGCGTTTATTGGAATGAAGATAAATGAGAAACAAACTCATACCCAGGTATACAGCGCAGCGTAGATAAGAGCGATGTAAACATTGAGTGTAAAGACAATTGAGTAGCTAAGGTTTAACCTGCATGCAGTGTCCTCATCAACATGCCTTCCGCAGCTAGTACAGCAATAAATCCTTTGCCGTTGAAGTCTCGGGTAAAGCGAAGACGAATAGATGAGTGGTGACCAGATAGTGCTCCGATAAGCCTTATCTAATCTATGTTCAAGGCTCTGGGCCCAGTTGAAATTAGATCCCGAAAGAAGAATCAGCATTGTACTGATGTTTGAATTATTAATTAAAGCGCTCCTTATATCTAGGTCAAATTGACTCTCCATTTAGCCTCAGCATGTATGACTATGAGCTCCCAGAATGGGGCCAACATCTACGTCAACTATTGCCCAAGCCTCGCTTATCAGGTTAGATACCCTCCAGTCACTCGGGCTTTCTTCCCCAGATGAAATAAACCGGGAGATAAAGATGAATACCTGGATCAGCAAGATCCCTCTTCACCTTTGCCATAAACACCTGAATCTCCTCGTCGCTCCATCCAAGAATTCGCGAGAAGATACCGGGAGTATACGACGTGATAACTTGTGCTTCCTGCACAGACTGAAACTTTCCAATCTCCTTTAGCTTCGCATCCTTAGGCCAAGGTCCAATCGGTACCTTTTCTCCCCATCAGCAAAGGCCTCATCAAGAAGGGTTGGGCTCACCTTGAGAATCTTTTGCTCAACATCTACAAACCCAGCATTCTCCATCTCTGTCTTCCACTCAGGCGCGACATTAAGTGGCTTTCCAAACTTTGAAGACCCTTCAACCATACTCTTCATCCAAAGCAACGCATTCTCAGCTTTCTCTTTGGTGTTGTCGTCAGATTTGAACTCAGAGTGAACAGCCTGCATTTCGAGATATCCGCCGGGCGCTAAACTCTGCAAAGCGCGGGTGAAGAATTGGGCGTTGTTGCTGATGCAGCCTTCTAGTTCGCGGGCGTGAATGAAGTCGAAGGGTTGGCGGAAGAGCCAGTCTGATTCGAAATCGTCGACTTCGAAGAGACAGTTCGGTGGGGTCCTGGGGATGTTAGACAGGTGATGGGACGGGGAGGGGGGAGTACCATGGGGGTTGGATGGGACTTAGATCAGTCCCGAGGACTTCGGATTGGGGGTATTCGCTGTGAGATGTTAGAAATGGTTTGTGATGAATGAGGAAATGCGTACTCGGCGAAATCCATAGCCCAGATACCTGTTCCCGTGCCGAGGTCAAGAACCCGCTTGATCTTATCGCCAATAGGCGCGAGGAAGAGATCGCCGCCGAGGACAAGACGGTAGATATGATGGCCTAGATCCATTCTATCCTGCTCTTCGTCATCATTGGGCTACTAAACGTGAGCGTATGTTGACATTGGATCATGTTTCAGCTTACAACTAGGTATGCGCCCTCACGGAAAGCATGATATCGTCGTCCATTCTAAAGTCAATCAGTTGAAACCACTACTTGACAGATATTGTTAATACGTACTTCGTATCTGTAGCAAATGGTTAGACGTGAACACATTTCTCTGATGGCACATACTTGTAGTTCAAGACGCTGGAGTTGAGCGAAGTCAGATAACTTCCTGACTCGAGACTAGACAACAGATCAGTGGATACCCATCAGATGAGCTCAAGCAACGTACGACGCTGTCGGCGCAGAGTCATGGTTTAACGACGCAGCATCCTAGTAAAATCAGCAAACAGTCAATATTCAGACTCATGGAAAGTGTACATCTGCTTGAAGAAGGCCTTCGTGCTCATTTGCTGCTTGCGCCATTTTACCGATGGCTTCAATGTCACGATGAAAGTTAACGCGCGATAATGTATTTTTGCTAAATTGCGGGCGCTGGATTGATCAGATCATTGCGTTATGGACGGCCAACATAGGGTCGTATGGCATTCCAGATTTGGAAGCTGTTCGTACTTGGAGTGGAGACTGGACATGATCCAGCTGCAAGACAACAGCGCCGCAAGACATGCGCTTTAAGGAACGAGAGCACGTATAGGGAAGCTTGCTTCGTTGTAAATCGAATTATTGAATTCAATGACTATTAAGTAATTCACGCTACCTACTCCTCGCGAAACAACCCAGAAATAAATAACTCTGCACAACATCGTGCCAACCAGGCCCGGCCGAGCCGAAACTGCAAGTATTTGCCGAAATACAGCGGCTATGGCCGACCAACAGCAAGCTTAGGGCGTGGAGGTGCAGGAAGCGAGCTTCTTTCGACCTTGCAACCCATTGGTGCTGCTTCGCACTTATATGAGAAACCACTTATGGTCCTATTGAAGCAGATTTGAGTTTCGACGGGTGATGCCTCTGTCCGATGTCTCAGAGTCTCTTCCAGCCTGATCTTCCGACGTTGTTCAGCCCAGGAGAACGGCGACCCCAGACTTAGCTCAATGCCCAATTTCGCTGCTGCAACACTGCTTGTTGCCGCCTGACGAAGTACCCTATCCTGGATCTTGACAGGAAGATAGTTGAGCCTACTGGGCTTAGGATCTCCTTGATATATGTCCGATGCCCAAAGAATAAGGTCGATAGCAGAGCCAGAAGGAGGAGCATCGCCAAATAGTGACTCTGGTCGTGTATGTACCAGTTCGCCGTCGTGGACCTTGCAGCAGATGATTTGTCTAAGGGTCAATATCGAGTACCTCACAGTACTGTGTCTTTGAATCAGTGATCGCTGCGTGACTTTCCATGTGTTCTCGTATCATGTCAAGTCCCTTGGGAATGTCTCGTGCTAGGACAAACCAGCATGAGCCAACTTGAACGATCGGTTCATCTGGGGTGTCCCATTGTGGCAAATCTGCCGCTCCGGCATATCGTCCACCACGACCACCAACATGCTCAAAGCCCGTACGTTCCACTATAGTGAAACCGATATTGAGGATCCAGATAACAGCGTATGCAAGCTTCATGAAAGGGACGTTGTTAACTTGCCTCCGTAGCAGATGACGCCATGTATGACCAAAGTCGCGGAGGATGCGACCAAGAAATGCCCTCTTTCGGTGATCCACATCAAGTTGAAGATCCCAGTACGGTCCTGGAACAGTCTGCTCCTCTGCGGTTAACTGAGTTGGCGATTGCACCAGCTCAAAGTCATCCAAGGTAAGCGGCCGATCCCTTGCCAGGCTGAGAGGTGCCGAGCAAGGCCTGTCATGTTTCGTGTGGAAGAGAACGTCCTTGTCGAGGTCGAATGTCCAAACACTATTGAAAGCCCGAACTCTTGTGTCGCCGAAAGGATAAACAAAATCGTAAACATCTTCCCATTCGAGTTCAATTCCTTGTTCTAGTGCGCTTGAGACTTCATCTTTGATTGAGTTAGAAGATGTCGCCAGGAAGAGATGCTTGACAGACCTGCGTAGCTCTCGCGACCCATGAGAATGCGAGAAAACAGCTCGAGAAACGCGACATCCTCTGCCCTGAGGGTTTTTGACAAGCACCGGCGGAGGGATTTCCCTGGAGTTCAGAATCAGCAAATCGCCGCGTGAAAATAAGTGCAAAGCAAACCTTTTAGTATGTAAACAAGCACGAATAGGACTGACATCGCGATGAGTTGGTGTAAGAGCGAGAATCGACTGATCCATTTTCGGAAACTCTTCTCGGAGGAAGCGGATGGCAGGGTTGCTTATGCACAAGCCACGCGAACAGGTCTTTGATGGGATCGCAATGCGTACTTGGAGATGGCTTCTATGCCGGTATCTAAATATCAGGTTCTTATTTCTTTCCATTTTTATTTACTTCTCAGTTTGCATTGACTTTAATAATGGTATTTGCTGAGATTCTGTGCACCATGATCCACTCTGCCAAATTCAGGATGCGGCACGGACTTGGTCGCGTGAGAAGACGCGCCGTTTCATTTTACGCATTTGCTGACATCCTCATCCTCACCGCTGAAAGAACTAAATCATCTGAAAACTTACATAAGTCACATCAAAACCGGACTCTACGCTATAATTCACAAAGTTGTAACCGCAGCCTCTTCAAACATCGACACCTTCCGTCAAGCCACAACGCCTCAATCATAACGCCATCAAAATGTCAACATCAGTCAAAGAACTCCTCCTCATACCTTCCGACGCCATGACTCTTCATGGAAAAGTCCTAGGCGCAGATGCAACAGCAACAACATACCTTCTCAACTGTCCCCCCGACGCCGACACCTGTGACAGGAACGGACATACAATCACCCTAGGGCCATGGGCCGAGAAAACCCTCGCATCAGGCGCAGACCCAACTGGAACCATGGATGTTGTTATCACGGAGCCACAAGACGGTACAAAGTGGTTTTATTCGCTCCATTGTGAGATGAGCAGATCTGTTGCGCAGGACTGTACCATGATCAACGAACCGGCTGACGGTCCCTCGACAATTAGACCTACAACGCTAAAGGGCCAGTCTGATTTGAGAGAAATTTATGGTCCGACGTTTGAGTATGGGAAGGTTACGCTTACTGCTGGGCTGGAGAAGCTTAAGAGCGAATATTCGACTACTACTTCGGCGACAGGTGAGACTGATGATACAGCATCTGTTTCTAGGGAAACAGGTAGTTCGACGGCTAGCGCTGATGCTCCGGAGGAGTCGAATGGCGCTTCGGGAGGTGTGAGATTTTCTTTGGTTGTATTATGCGCGGGACTGTTTGTTACAATGGTATTGTCACTGTGAGCATCTCTTGGTAGTCCTCAGGAAAGTCGCGAGGTAGCTAAGTTCATTGCTTTACGCAAGGTAGATGAGATCCATTAATAAACAAGAGACATATGCTGGAATGTTAGAACTCTCTAGAAACTTCAAACTATTGTATTAGATGTCGTAGAGGACTTGGCATGTTAATTGTTGGTAGATCGAGAGTTTTGTCGGGGAATCCTTGTCGATTTCTTGGAAGTAATATTTTACGAAATTTGAGTCGAGGTATGTTTCGTTCGGTGGGGAGTTCAGGAAGTGAGAGGCAAGCTATCTATCTCCAGGGCTTCAGATAACCGACATCAATTGAGACAGAGTTATAGGGTAGTCACTGACTACCGGTCCAAATAAGGTCGTGTTTCCAAAGGGCAGGAATAGCGTACCACTCAACCCATTCCGTACACTTCCAAAGAGGCTTCTGCTCTTCCCCAGCACCATAAAATATATACTCATAATCGCCAACTTTCTCCTTGAAAGGCTCGACACGGCCCTGGCTCTTCGGGTTTGACGCTTTTTGCTGAGGTGGAGTTGGCATTGAAGCGAGAACCGAACTCCACTGCCCTGGATGGACGTCGGAACCGGTATAGCCCAGCAGTTCTTTAGAATGGAAGGCTTCCAGTTGCGCGGGATCAGGTGACTCTCTACTCTCGTAGGCCATTCCGTTTGCTGATGTGACGTCGCCAGTGACGTGGTAGAGCGTGCCAGAGCCGTCTTTGCTGGTTTCGACGAATAGAGCATGGTGAAAGCGACCGGGCGGCATATGGGGGTCTGGAAGGGCCATATGCGATTTGATCTTGTATACTGGATATGGATTTAGAGACATATTGGTAATATTGAGGAAGTGCGAAGCAGTTGCCCGATCTAATTAATGAGATAAGAAGAGTTGTGAAGATCACCGAATCAGTCATGGGGCTTCCGCGGCACGGACCAACCGACCTTGCCGAAGGCCAAGAAGACGGTCGCGTTCTGTAACACGAAACCATGCTTGCGCGTGTCTAATACAGTGGATAACATCTCTTTAATTACTTCTTTTATATGAAAACATTGCCAAAAACAGATAATGTGAGAATCCCAATTTAACATTTCGTATCAATTGCTAGGTGCTGTTCGACGCGTTATGGCCCGATATCCGGAGGGCCAGTAAAGCCGCGGTGTTTGTATTACCTACAATGTATGTAATCGAACATGGTATATGAATCACGGAACAAGGAAGCAGAATTCTGTCTTTATTTTAGAGCGTTCAAGGTCGGCAGGACAGGGCTGTACGCCGTGTAACGGACCAGGCGATGATATTCCGCAGACGAGGGTTGTTTAAAAGCTCAGGCAACTTTACAGGCGGTATCAACATGCTACCTTCTACGAAAATGCGTTCAGATTCTTTGATCCTGGTGCTCAGGTCAATGACCGACTAGGAAGCTCAGAGGAATTTGGGAAACACCTGTGACAGCCAGGAATATAAGAGATGATATGAGTACGGGTTAACCGTGTCATAGATCGTGAGTCGACAGGCTGGTAGCTCGTCTTGTCTTGGTGATCTTCAGCGCTTGCGATACCAGGTGAAGAGATGACCTGGTCGGAATATGTTGACAATACTACGTAACATTATGTTCCACCAATGATCCATTGTAAGATAACATTTCTGATCCACTGATGGACTTAACATCTCGATCTTCCCGAAGTCTCATACATCTGCGACGCACGGGTTTCACGGCCCCCGATTATGACTATGATTTAACGTTGATGTTGAGGCGCATTGGATTCGGCATTCCAGAAAACCTTTTTAGTGGAGCGAGGCTGTGTAGCATTTCCCGGAAGAGCGGCTCATGGCATTCACGATTAGCGAGGCCAAGACGAAGCTTATACACAATATGATAGAGCTACTATACGCAGCGATACATGTGATTGGGACTTTGGTTGTGCATCGTAGTGGGTGCCAAGATGATAGATGGTCAAAGAGCTCTGGTGTTGACAGGCTACCATTCAACGAAAGGCAGAAGATGCTTTTGCCAAGCCCGAGTTATCCTGTAGATCTACTTCTCTCTGTGAGGAGAAAGTTCCATTGTGATCTTTTGAGGGTTTGGCTCCGGTGAGTGTTCGAGGACCCTAGGCCCCCAAGCAAGGGCCAACGTAATCCACCATCAACATATTCAGGCTAATTGACTCTCTCGTGGACAAAACGACCAACGTTATTGCTCGTTGAGCTTTTTTCCATTGGTTCCTTCGACTGATTCACGTTATTAACATTCTACAGCCGTTCCCGTCTTCCGGTGAGTCGTAGTCCGCGGAACGCACGTGCTCCGCCACGAAACAACACCCCAATGGTCTCGCGTACATCTGTTTATAACGTTATTCTGGTCTTGGTTTAGGATCAAACTCAAAAGCATAGCTTCGATTTGACAGTGATTACCAAAAGTTACAAAGCTGAAGTGGGGCTAGTATAGTTCCGGGCGTAGCTATCTTAGACGGGATAGCGTTTATGGTTGTCTATAGGCTTCTACATACGCTTAAACATCATCTAATCGATGAGAATAACTGCCTGCGAGAGTTATGAGATTCAAAGAAGCGATTTGCGGCGTTGCAGAGCTCTGTCCATTCCGAGTCAAGCGTTCCGAGTTCCGGAACCAGTTCCGAAAATGCGGAATGGAGAGCAGATCATGATACTCCCTCATTCTTGGCAGTATCAGCCCTTAGACGATCTTGACGACTGTTTCGTCCGGACATGCAGTGTCATATTGTTTTACAATAGTTCCGCTAGTCACATCACGGACAACTTTCCCAAACAGGCTCACCGTTAAGCGATACCTCGTGATGCCATCACAAATCCAACATGAAATTACAATCCAGAGGTTCTCGACCTACAAAGCCCCTGAGAGCCGCGTAATTCATCTCGATCTCTACGCTTTAATTCAGCCTTATCGGCACTCAACAGCCGAAAACGTGCATGCCAAGATACTCCGTTTCAGGTGAATTGTGAGGCACTGTCAAATATGCATGATTCTCGCAGCGAAACAATCAATGAGGCTTACGCAGTTCTATCAAAACTGACTTTACTCGGTATGACACAGACAGTTCCAGATGCTGTGAGACCCACGTTTCAGCCGAGCCTTCTCTCGTGATTCGCTGCGTCGTAAAAACAGGGATCACAGCCCTGCTAGCGTTGAGCTGCGCCTCTTGGCGTCTCCACACTGCACATCTTGATATTTCCCCGTACGAAGGCACCATCCAAGGGAATCAAAATTCTCTCGCTTTCCCTGCTTGCTTTGTCCTTCTGATCAGACTCGTACAAGGAAGGAAAAGATGACTACGTCGAAGAACCAGCTCGTAATCTTGCCCAAGAAGGTCAAATGGCAGCGTGCCTCCAGGCCCAAAGTTCGCACTGGCTGTTTAACCTGGTATGTCCCCCGTTCCGAATGGTGAATTGGCGAATCAGAGACTAATATAGATGTAGCAAGTACGTATTCTTTTATGGCGCGGTGAATTTGTTCTAACCACTGTGTTTATTGTAGAGTTAGGCATTTGAAGTGTGATGAGGAGAAGCCAACATGTCGACGCTGTCGCGACGGTCGTGTCAAATGCGACGGGTATGCAACGCCTAATAAGAACCAGATCCAACAACGTGCTTCAATGCCCGTCGCTGGATACACAATCTCATCTCTCAATCCCCGTATAGCTGATACATCCATTGAAAACTGTTATTTTCACCACTTTCACCACTGGACCTCTACCCAACTCACCTGCTGTCCCGGCTCATCAAACTTCTATCTCACATATGTTTTACCGCTCGCTCATTCCTGTGAACCTATTAAGCATGCCATCATTGCTGTTGGCGCTGCGCATAGGTTCTACATGGCGGGCCAAGAGACGTGCTCTCCACTCCAGCAGCTGAAAAGCTTGGCTATGCAGCAGTACAACAAATCCATCTCGCGTATCATTCCCCACATGTCGATGGACTCTGCCTTCGACCTGCAGTGTACTTTGGTATGCTGTTTGTTGTTTGTTGCGTTTGAGGGTATCACTGGTCGGTATGCGGAGTCGATTCGACATATTCGCGCTGGAACTAAACTGCTCTCGTCGCCTGTTATGATTAATAGTGTGAAGGAGCAGAAGATGGCGAGGAAGCTTACCGAGATGTTTGCGAACCTTGGTGTTGAGGCTTCGATGTTTTTGGAGGATACCATCATTCCGGATATTCACTCTGGCTGTCTTGATGTTTTGCAGTGCGGCGATGGGTCGGATCAGCCTTTTCAGGACCTCGATGAAGCAGCTAGCTTCCTGCGAAGACTCGACGTCGAGACGGTTGACATTATTTCGCAAACGCCATATACATACTCGATGAACGACGACGGCCGAATTGAGATGTGTACCCTCGAGGGACCCGAAAAGCAGGAACTTGAAGACAAATGGGCCGAGATGGATACAAAGTTCGAGGTTTGGAATTCTCGATTCGAATTGACCAAGAAACACATCGCGACATGGGAATACCAAGACTGGGCCTCTCCCCAACTCACCTATCTCAATCTCCAACAAGCCTTCTGGCGAATGGGCATGTCCTGCGGTCCAGAAGATCTCTCCGAACCAACCCCCGACACCGCCGAAGCATTCCTCAACGCCGCCGAGATCTTCGCCCAACGATTAATAACACCCGGCCAACCAAGTTTCTCTCTCGACGGCGATTTGATCTCTGGTCTATCAGTAGTTGTATGGTCTTGCACTGAAGGGCCTCATCGTGCTAGAGCGCTGGATTTGCTGCGACGGTTGAATAGGCGCGAGGGCATTTGGGATAGCAAGGAGATTGTGGAGATGCATGAGGCTGCGCTGGCGTTGGATGATCCGAAGTTATGGTATAATATGGAGATTCCAGGTGGTGTTCCGGGCTATGTTGCTGAGTTGGCCAAGATTTCACCGAGGTTTGGATTACATCGCTCGGGGCTCTTGATACCGGATTTTGAGTGCATTTAGATCAGGTTTGGTGGGCAATTGATGAGGATAGTAATGCTTTTGGTAATATCACTTGCGCTTGATAGCCATAGCTCGAATAAAGTAAGCATAATCACTACATCGTTCGGATGATTGACGAGTCTTGGCTGTGAGAAATTAATTCGTTGTGATGCTTATCTTACGATGGCTAGCGTCATGTTATGTTGTTAGATCAGGTCACTACGTCATTGGCTGCACCGGAGATACATATGCCCCCCTCCCCAATGCCTCGTCCAAATAACTTTCTACAACCAGTAAATTTGACGCATCTACGAAACTGATTGACTCGAACCTGTCACTCAATTGATCAACATGTCTCAACTGGAGCGGTCTCTGAAAGCGAGCAATCTCTCAGAGACGCTTAGTACATACGATGAATGGGCAACGACCTACAACCAAGACGTCGAAAAAGAAGAATACGTCGCTCCCCAAATCGCATCTCAAGATTTGATCACCTACCTCGGCCCTCAAGTTTACGAAGCCAAGATTCTCGACGCCGGCTGCGGAACAGGTCTCGTCGGTGAAGCCCTCACAAAACTGGGCGCTACAAACATTCACGGTATCGACTTAAGTCCCGGCATGCTCGAAGTCGCTGAGCGAACAGGCGTGTATACATCACTCAACGTTGCTAATCTCGCTGAACGGCTTGATATTCCTTCACTGAGCTATGATGCGGTTATTTGTGTTGGGACTATGACGGAGGGCCATGTTGGGCCTGAGGCTTTTGATGAGTTTGTTAGAGTTACCAAGGTTGGTGGGGTTATTGTTTCGACTATTCGAGAGTCGGTTTGGCAGGCGAAGGGTTATGAGGATAAGGTTAATGGACTTGCTGATGAGGGGAGGGTGAAGATTGTAGGGAGGAAGAGGGAACATCAGAGGATTGCGGCTGGTGTTTATGCGTATTTTGTTGTTCTTCAGGTTCGGTAGGTGTCTGTTCCTTTTCGGGGTTGGCTTAATAGAGAGGAACGACGTTGCAGGCTGACTGTGATCCGGCTCACGTCAGATCACGGTACCATTGCAATACGTTGAGTAGGCGACGGGATGATCAGCAAGCAGATGGATAATAGCTAAGATGATACGATATATGCGACCGTTTATGAAGCCCGTTAAGTCTGTGAGAATGCATGTTTTACTCAGTTGTTAAGACAGGGCATTTTGTATGCATATGATGACCAGAAGGAAGCCCAGCGTATTCAGCCTCACATGTATTCACGTCTTGGCAAAAGGAGTTGTATAACAAACGATGCACCACTTATTCCATAGATTCATAAGCTGATTACTTGAAGCTTGCATATCCTGAATTGTGAGTCAATCAATCTCATGACTCAATGAGAGAGGTTTCATCGAGAATTGATCACCTCTTGACTATCACGAATTTGGGCCGTGACTCATGAGCCATATCGAAATAGGAAGGTGAAAGTGGAGGCGCCATGCGTGCTGACCCTACACTGAGATACGTGCCGTATTCCCGGTAAGATAAACGAATCTACGCCTACATAAACCATAAAAGACAAACCTCGTCCATCTTTTCTTTCTGTCAATCATCATCAATCATGGACATCTCAAGCGTGGGCAAGGCGTTCCAATCGGAGCGCCTTATTTATCGCTCCCCAGAGGATAATGACAAAGATAAAGAATTCTTCTTCAAACACATCGAAAACGACCCCATCGCCAAAGCCCTAGCAGACCCTTCTATTCTTCGTCCCAAGAACAAAAAGGGTATTGAGGAGTTCCTGACAGAGTTTCAAAAGTCCGTCTTATCCGTTGTTATGTGTCTTCCCCCCTCCGAAGCCAAACAACACAGCATCGAAGCCTCAGAACCAGTTCCCATCGGCTTCATCTGTATCGGCTGGGGCGGCACTCCCAAGAACCGCGAACAGCATAGGAATACTCACATTGGTATTGTTATCGCGGACGCGTTTAGGAATAAGGGCTATGGAGGGGAGAGTATTAATTGGGCGCTGGATTGGGCTTTTAGGTTTGGTGGATATCATCGTGTTGGGATTGGGACTCTTGGGTTTAATGAACGGGCGCAGCATTTATATAAGAAGTTGGGGTTTGTGGAAGAGGGGAGGAGTAGAGAGGCGATTTGGTTTGATAGGAAGTGGTGGGATATGATTGACTATGGGATGTTGGAGCATGAGTGGGAGGCTTTGAGGGCAAAGTCAAAGCTTGATTCTTAGTGGGTATCGATAGAGTTCATATGGAAAGTTTTGAGAGAGTGTGCAGTAACTCACTGCTGCGATTACAGAGCTAAGGTAGTTGTAGGCAGGCCAATAATATCATGCATAAGACTGGTGCTTTCATCTTCAAAACGCATATAGGTTCCAAGCAATACGTGGTATTTATAAGCTTTCAGCCACATATCTAAACTGCAAATAGCACGCCTAGCTCACAATTTAGACATTATATCATAATGCCTCAGCAGTTATTACAGCAATAATTTGTGAGAAGAAAAACCTAGATTATGACCTTTTTGCCCCCTCGAAAACGTATAAAATGATGCCTTTCGTCTCGATGTGACTCATTGCTGCCTGCCATTTGACCCTTCGCAATGCTGACAACAGGGTTCATCATCGGCTCTAGTTAATCCGACATGCTAGACAAGACAAACAAAATATCGCTATATCCTGGTCTTAATTGCAAAAGAAGATTCAATCCAATCAATCACTATCGAAAATGATATGCAGATGCGCTCTCTGCGGAATTCTCATCCCCGAGACTCACCGTCCGAGCGACGAAGAACAGGTTTGGTATCGCAAGGTCTTTGCAGGTAACAAAACCCCGCTGGTAGCCGAAGCCCTACTGAAATTCTCCAGTCCAGCGTGAAGAAGAAGAATCGCAGTTATCACTTACGCCTTTCGGATATTCTGAAGATGGCTCTTTGGAACCGCATCCGGTTATTCCGCCGTCCAAAGGATTTTTCCTTCATCAATCATGTTGGCCAATATTTCGAGATCAGATGTTCTTGAAGTCGGGACGACGCTACGGAACAGAAGAGACTTTGCAGGTTCTGTTTGATTTCATTCAGAGTATGCCAAGAAATGGTAGTTGGGTATCATATCTTTGCCATGAGGATGAAGAAGCGTTGTGGTATGCACCAACAGAAGACGTCCCTGAAGGTTGGCAATTTTTGAATGCTGATCCTGGCACGATATTGACCGACCAGCGCCAGCATCGATTTCTGGACGAAGGGACTCACCGTATTAATACTCTGGGAGCATCATCGGAGTGCTTTTCGAAGCTTTCTACCGAGTTGAACCATTACATGATTGCCTTCTTGGACACTGTGTCTTTTTGCAACCTTAGACTTTCATCAAGGACTATTGCAAATCTCACGAAACCCGAAGACTTACCCCAAGCGTTCTGGGCAAGTCGATTCTCAGATGGTCGCGAAATGGACTTCTTTCCAGTGGGCCACAGCACCACGGAGACATGGCGAGGGCTGTACTTCAACCTGAAGCATTCTTTGCACGATACCTCTACAAGAGGGCATATGCGAAACCGACGACGAATTTGGAACTGTGTTGGCAACATCACGCCCTGTATGATCTCTATGCTTCACCAACAACCGCTTTTGCAAGACACTGCTCACTTGGAACAGGAGGTAGCTATCAATAAGCTTGAATTGACGCAACGAACACAAGGATTCAAAGGGGCGCCATGTGGAAACCCTTCAGAGGGTATCCGTGTCACAGGCTCACGATATCTGAACCTGCGACCTCGGTCTGTACAAACTAAGACTTTGAGCATTTCAGCATCCAAATTGAATCTCGATAAGAGAGAGTATATATCCGGGTTTCGAATTTTTAAGCAGGACGGCGATGAGATAGCTCCCATTGGCGTATTTGAGCCCGATGCAGAAACGCATTTCAGTTTCGGATCATCTGATAACGTGATAGCTGTCCATGTGGCTGTTACCTTTGGTGGTATCGTTGGTCTTGCTTTTCGGGTCAAGGATGCACTTGGTGGGGTATCTTGGAGGACAGTGGGTAAAGTTGACAAGCCTGATGAATATGTCGGCATCAGAATGTTGAAACCCCAAAATGGCGGCTACATATCTGGGTTATTACTTGGTCTCGATGTAAGATTGATTTGAAATTCACCGATGAATGAATTGACCAGTTGCCAGGCTTGTAAAGTTGTTTCTACCCAGCTGGTGGAGAAGCAGAACCGACTCGTTGGCTCGAACACGCAAACGAATCTCATACAACAAGTATGGCATCCTGCGGCTCCCCAACCAGACGTGGTAATTATACCACCTATTACCGCCATTCCCATAGCACCGCAGCCAGCTTTCATCTTGAACATAGACTTTGGCGGCCCAAGTGGTTCACTGCTTCCACTTCTCAACCGAATCGCAATATTCCACGATGACAGGAATGCCTCTATCAAAGGCCTAGGCTTTTACTACACCGATGGAACAGAAAGGGAATTTGGTGTCCGTCAAGTCTTATGGAATACCAGAGAGCGATGGTCATGCATTGAACAGTCGTTGTTTATCAATGGACCGGCTGGTGAGAGGATTACTGGTGTTGGGTTTAGGAGCATTCAATATCATGAAGGGCATGTTATGCTCTACCCCTTCTCTCTCATGGTACGTCGCAGACGCATTCGTTTCGGAAAACGGTATCAGCTAATGAAGATTGTGTAATACAGATAACTACCAATTTTGGACGACGTTTGAAGGCGACTAACATGGGCAAACCGTTGGATGATCCTGAGGACGGCTCTGAAAGACATAACCTAGCTTCGCCTGATGGAGAGACTATAACTGGGTTTCTGGCACCCCTCCATGTGAGTATCGAGACTTCCTTATCTGGAGCTTTAAGATATTGACTTATGTGTGGTAAGATGAGTACATCGTCGGGCGCAATGGAGTCCTTGGGACTGGCACATCTCAACCATCGAGAGCCTATTCCGATTGAGTCCCCACTATCGGGTTTTAACTATTACAAAGAGGAAGCTCGATCTCGAGTAGACCCCAAGGATGAAAGGTATACGCACGGACATCCCTCGTCGTCTGTTCGTCTTGACGGCGTCAAGCGCATAGGTATTTCAATCGGCAGAATAGGACGTACGCGAAGACCAGATAATGTATCAGGTTTCTGTTTTGAATTCTGGGATGGAAGATCTCCAGTCTTCGTTGGTCAATGGTATAAAGAGATTGCTCATCTTGACCTTGATGAAGGTGACAGGATAGCGAGCTTCACTTTCTGGGAAGAAATAGAGATTCATCCTGATATACCATCTCGTGCAGGAAATGGAAAGTTTAGCGGTGTCCGGATCGAAAAGTCTGGTGCTGAACCAAATGCTGTTGAAGTACATCCTGGAGAACAGGGGGATATTCATGAATCTTGTCATGCGGAAAATCACTTTGATAGATTGGTAAGACATGGATGCTGGTTTAGATGCAATGCTAACTACCTTTAGGACGGTTTCATATGGAGTCTTTCGCATAGAGCTGACTCTGTTCAGGTCGTGACGAAACCTACAGAGCTGGCCAAGGGCTGTCTTTCGAGAAAGCCTCATGAACACGAAGCAGTATACAAACCAAGCGATAAGCTCTTCTGGAGAATACAAGGTAAAGAGGGAGACTGGACAAGTGTATCCCAAATAAACGTCTTTTTCAATCCTAACAGCAAGCGACTCTGTGGTCTGGAGTTTATATACGATGATAATCAGCTTAAGCAAGCTGGCTATACCGAGGGAACTAAAGCGACGCTTACACTTGACCCAGGTGAGGAGGTCACAGGTGCGTCTTGGAGACGCAGGAGATCGATCAGCGGTGACCGGCTTTCTGTAAGTCCCTTTAAACCTCCCCGCAACAACCTAGCTGACGAGCAAAGTTTCATACGGGAGATAATCGAACAGTGAGGATTTCCTACAATGAAACGCTAGTGGATGAGGAGGAGCATAGCCTGGATAGTATGAACCGTTGTCAGGTTTGCAAGACATCTTGGGACATGTGTGATGCACGGAATGGAAAGGTGAGCGAGGGCGTGAGGAAGTGTGTTGGGGTCTATATGGATATGCTGGGGGATTTGAAACACAGGGTCGTTTGTAGAACCTTTGGGCAGGTTTATGTTGAGCTAGCTGATGGGTTGTGGACGTGATGGGTATGATAGAGACAGTGTGTCACTGGAATCAGGTACCTCCTCAGAGGATCAAAGGCGTTAAGGGATCAATGAATAAATGTATACAAAACTCTAACTATCAATCTGGAGACTATCTGTTAACACCACATCCCTCACAGTGCTTGCACCAATATCAGACATCAGTCTCCGTGATGATGCGTCCCTCAGAGTCATCAGCATAAGCATCGACCTTGGTATCAGCAAACTTCCTTGCTGCAGTCTTGTTGGCAAAAAGGATGTCAATTTCCTCAAACGTTCGGCCCTTCAGTCTGTCAGCAGATGGTGAAAGGTGGTGACCGGAGTATATACCTTTGTTTCAGGAAGACGGAAGTAGGCCCAAGTGAAGGTCAACAGAGAAAGTCCAGCCTAGATGACGTCAGAGAAAAGGCAGACATGAATACTATAGGACTCACCCAGAAATAGCCAACCTTGCCCTTCCAGTTACCCTCAGTAGGATTGATCATGTATGGACCATACGTGCCATTGAGAATCTGCGAGATGTAGTACGCAATTCGAGCAAGGCAGATACTCTTACTGCGAACACTAACAGCTGGGATCTCACCAATGATAGCGTAGCAGACAGGCCCAATGGTGGCGTAGAATACGATCTCCCAAATCAGGACAACGCCAGCTTGGCCGAAGCTGACAGCTTGAGTCTGGGGAACGCTGGCAAGAATACCAATGATGAGCATAAGTACAGTACAGACACCACAAGCCCAAACGTATAACGCTCGTCTGCCGATGCGGTAGATGAGAAACCAGGAGATGATTACGCCAACGGAAGCGAGTCCAAGTGCGCCGGTTGCGAATTTGAACGAGTTACTGGGGTCGACGCCGGCCTGGACGAAGAAGTAGGTAGGTGTACCGCCGATTCCAACGCCAGTTGTATTCTGCGCGACGAATACAAGACAAACGATCTCAGTGCGTCTGAGGTTGATGCCCTTGAAACAGTCTAGGTAACTAGAGCCCTTGGTATGTTCACTCTCGATCTTGTTGGTGTGAACAATCATAGCAAGTTGCTTGTCAAGATCCTCATCCGTCTTACTGCTCTTTGCCGAGATCCGTCTCAAAACACCCTTCGCTTCATCAAGACGATTCTTCTTGGCGAGCCAGTACGGTGATTCCGGCGTAAACCAAAGAATCATGATGAGGGGAATGGGCCAAATCCACTGAATCGCGAAGGGGAGACGGTATGCCCATTGTGTCGAGTTCTCGGAAAAGCTAAACAAGACGCCAGCGGCGAGCAGTTGACCGAGAGCCCAGCAGAGACAAACGTAATTGGCGAGATAGCCCCGAAGAGCCATGGGACAAATCTCTGAGGCGTAAGCAGGAGCCATAGTTGCGAAAACACCCCACGGTAAACCGCAGAGAATAGATCCTGCAAGAAGCATAGGAAGATCATGCGCGAAGAAAGTAATGAAGATAAATCCAGTAACAGCGACAAGAGATGCAACAAGCGTCCGACGATATCCAAACCGCTCGGTAAGCCAACCGTTAGCAAAAGCACCAATGATAGTTCCTACAGCAGTTCCATTCCCAAGACCAGCCTGCCACGGTCCGGAAATTTGATAGCCGAGTTTATCACCGTACCAATCACCGTAGGCTTTCTGAAAAGCCGGTTGGGCCATTAGATTGCCAATGAGGACGATATCATAACCTTCCATGATGATAGATGAAGATAAGAGGAATGACCATGCTATGGCGCCGGGGTAGGCCTTTATGGCTTGCCATAGGGACATGTTGCGGTCGATGGAGGCGCCTTGTTCTCCTTGGACGTGGCTCCATTCTTTTTGGGAGGCGGTGACATCTTCTTCGATGTGGTCGATGTTTTGTTTCTCTTGAAGAGACATTGTATAATGATGATGATGGTGGTGAGTGATGGAATGAAGGGAATGGAAGGATCGTCGGGTGCTTAAGTATTGGTTTATTTGCATTTTGCCAAGATCGTCACCCCATGGGGAGGAAGATTAGGTTTGATGATCTTTGTGGGGATCGAAAGTACTTTGCGGTCCAATTGGAGGTTGTCTCCCACCGGAGAATGCATCGAGGGGTAGATCACTAATCGCAACATCACGAGTCAAGAAGGTTCGGCGAAGAAAAGACACTTGAATTGAGGCTAGAGCCGGAATGTTTGCTCTTGAATCAGAAGTGTTGGTATAATTCTCAAGAGTCGCAAGCGAATGACTCTGATGTTGTCGTATCACTGATTTCCGACAGTTTTCGCATCCCACCGGAGTTCCCACTAAAGGCTCATCCTTGGGTTCTCCATGGGCATATACCTCAAGAACCTACACTTCAACTCACACGAGCAATCAAACACGCAGCAAAAGTCATCAAAATGCCGGAAGACTATATGTCTATGCTGAAAAGCCTGCCATCAGAGGTGGACAAGGTCAAACAACCTGTTGTCGGAGTAGCAACGGTAGACTTGGCCGTCCAAACAGGACCACCTCGTCATCTCGCCTCTGGTATTTTGTACGGAATACCAGATAAGCCTGATCAGATACCTGATCACTTTTATCAAGACATTGGGTTCAATTATGGTCGTGGTGGAGGATCCCAACTACCCGGAACCAAGGGTTACGCCGTCAGTCTCCCAGACTACAAGGTAAACGACCTCCGAGCATGCTTGGTATATGCGCTAACATGATTAGGCTCGCTTTGTCTCAGCGTTGAGTAACTATAGAACTACTCGCAAACACGGCGGCGAGTTTATTTACTTGCTCCCTGCAGCTTGGGGTGCTGATGGTGGACAGTCGGAAGATTTTGCGTACCCTGGAGACGATGATGATTGGACGAGTTGGGATGCATTCCTTGAAAGGACGCTTGATGATGTGAAGAAGTCTGATATGATCGAAGGGCTAGTTGTTGATATTTGGAATGAGCCAGATCTAAGCTTCTTTTGGAATCGTTCCATGGAGCAGTGGCTGGAGCTCTGGGCACGTGCATTCAAGAAGATCAGGTATGTTACTTTACAATTACTTGAATGGCTTCTAATATCATCACAGGGAAGAACTTCCGTCGGTTCGAATAACTGGTCCAAGTATCTCAGCCATCCCCTCGACGTCCCATGAATGGTGGACAGCGTTCCTTTCTCGCTGCAACCCCGACAATCTTCCTGATCAATGGTCCTGGCACATGGAGGGCGGCGACGAAGCAGTCACCATGGCGACCTCAATGGCTTCATTCCACGATCTGCTGTCCAAGTTCGACATCTCTCTCGATAAAGCTCAAGACGTCAATATCAATGAGTATGCTGTTTATGGAGAACAGGTCCCTTCTGCAGGAGCATGGTGGATCGCTGGTCTTGAGAGAGAGAATGCACATGGCCTTAGAGGGAATTGGGCTATCGCTGGAGCATTGCATGACTTTTTGGCCGGTAAGTTCGTCGATGGCATTGTCATGGGTTGTTCAGACACTGATGATGGCAGGTCTCTTGAGTAAGCCGAGTGCTAGTGATGACAGCTACGCCATCGAGGGTGAAGGATACTGGCCAACAGCCGAGTATCAGGTCTACAAGTACTACGCTTCAAACATGAAAGGACAGCGTCTACAGACTACGGCGAGTTCGGATGGGTTGTTGGAGGTGTATGCAACTGTTGAAGGAGATGTCGTGCGAATACTGGCGGGTACTCGTTCAAGACCAGGGAATTGGATGGTTGATGTATTAGGGCTGAGTGAAGATGCACGAGTCAAGGTTAGGACCTTGGCTTTTTGTGTGGTTGATGGGGATAAGTTCAGGCGTGTTGAGATGCCGCATGATCTAGGGGAGAGGGAGGAGGTTGTGAAGGAGGGGAAGATGAGACTGAGGATGAAGCATCAAGATCCGACGACGGCCTTTGCGTTCGAGTTAAGCGTTCTAGAGGGAAAATAGAAGAGTAGAAGCGCTGGCTGAAAAAAGCTACATGTCAAATACACCAGGAGCTTTCTCGATGGAATCTTTCTCAGGCAAAGCGAGACTTGTATAGTAATGTTATTTTCGCCAAGAGACTTGATCTGCTGAGACCCCAACAAAGCTTGCAACGTGATTGAGATTCTGCAACTTCAACACTGTATTCCTGGCTCTGACTATATGGTGTACTCATCACCTGTGTTGGCATCCTGAAGTTTAACCTCATGGAGAGCAATCATCTATGTAGCTGGCTCTGACTTAGCCCCAAGGAACTGGGTGCTGAGAGCGTTCTTCTAATGATCAGAGTTCCTTATCTAATACTTTTTCACTAAAATAGATCAGAACGACTACTCGCAATATCCAATAGGCGTTTAAATTGCTTGTGACCATAGTATTGTTGCACCAAGGATCTTACTAAGCAGAAGATTCGCTAACCACGCTGGAAATGGAAGGCTCGATGCTCTTCTGCCCCATAGCTCCCTAATAAGCCGACAACAGAGGTCCACGCGACAATCGAATGGCAAGATATGATATGATACCATACACGAGGTTCTGGTAATGTCGATGCCGCTTGGTGACTGCAATAGGGCGGTTAGCTAATGAAACTCGGCGGTAATGCTGACCTTTCGTTGGCCTGCAGCGACGGAGCGCTGATCAAGGAGGTGATGTAATTACTCACATATAAAAGGTTGGCAGTCAGGTAATAACCCATCGCATGATGATAAATCGAAAGGTCGTTCTACTTTCTCTACAATTACCCTTAAGCTCGTTTGAAGCTTATCATTTCAGCCATTCTTCAGAGTGAACGGACCTCAAACGCTGCCCAGAATCGACCCTGCTCATCTACCTGGTGTAAAAGAAAAGTCGCATACTCCTTGAAAGGCCACATCAGCAGAAGGATCTAAACCAGCATACACCATGCCGTCTAACAAATATCCTCTATATGTTGGACCATTTCCTCGCGGGGTTACGGCGAAATTGCCAGGTGGAGAGTACAATTCACTCTTCCCACACAGCCCTGACCGTTTCTGGACTAAGAAATGATAATAGGTGTTGTTGGGTTCTCCAAGTCGGCCCAACGGTCGAAAACGATGAGACAGGTGGCAAATGATTCCACGCCAAAGAATGAACCTATAGTGGCACGTAATCAGTCTGGTTGTTTAGTGAGCAAGAGACTGGCACGGCGTGTCCTCTCACGGTCTGGGTCCGTACTTAAATCGTATAGGTCAGGAGCCTGAACAGGCTTGAAGTTATTTTGACGGGTGTAACGGTAAAGGGGCAACAGGCGGGATGGAATTGTGTTGAATGGGTCAAAAAGGTCCGAGCAGCCCCACAGAATAACAGTGAGGCGTTGGGAACGTTGGTGCTGGATTGGACCACTGACCGCAATACGGCTATGCGGTATGTTGGCCATGCAGCATTGGTTTGAAGGTCAGGCAAGGACCCCAGAAGGACTTGTCAGGAAGACGTTGATCAAAGACAGGACCCTCAGCAACATTGGCGACACCAATACCATCTGGTGCAGCAATACCGCGTAATTTTGCTATCATGGTCTTCAATTGCGTGAGAATACACGCCTTAGATTCTTCTGATCGTTGTGCAACCTTGAGATAGGTCTTGACCTCGGATTCTTTCCATGAGTATATACACCCGACCATTTTGCTTAAAGCTGCAGTACACCTTTGGGACCGGTATGGATGTATTTTGTGCAACGAATATCATGGAACTTGCTTCTGCTAGTATTGTGAAGGCGGTCGCTTTGATGCAGAGTTTGGATGAGACTAGGACGATACGTCCTGGTTGTTTTCCTAGGCGGCCAAGACATGGTGTTTTGCTAAGCTTATAGAGAAGGAGAGTGGGAAACTGCATAAGAGGTCCGGAATTAAATTCTCCTGACTTCATGGTTGCACAAGAAGGACTTGTCATTGTATTAGTGTTCTTCGCGTTGCGAGATTAGGGGACGGTTGTATTTGGTTAGACTGATGGCCTCGATGGCGGATTAAAGAATACCCGATATTTTCAGATTCTCAAGGCTGCGCAGGGACCGACGAGTTTTAGGTTGAATGATGTTACTGACTTTCACTTAGAATTCTAATAAATTTGATTAGGATTTGTCTTGACATCAGAATGAAGTGTCGGTGCTGCATATACTTACGCTGTTCACATTTGCCTCATGAAGATGAAGACATCCTCATTGCCGAGGATATCAGATGGCGCTAAACTCGAAATATCCTTTGCAGATGTCAAAGCTGAGCATGCCTCCAATCACTTAATGGGTCACGCGCTTCGGTATACATACTCCTCATGATTGATAATAAGTAGAACGTAGACTGGATATCGGTTACGACGGGAGCATGATCCGATCCAGCCGATTCGGGATATAAAAGGACGTTTGAACAGGCTGTTCTCTCTCAATACTTCAACACTCATAAAAACTCTCTCATCTGAACAAAGATGCTTGATACCCAACCTCAAGCAGTTCAAGTCTCCCAGACCTCCGATGGAATCACTACTATCACTCTTTCACGCCCTCACCGCAAGAATGCCATAGACGGACCTACAGCCAAAAAGCTCGCCGCGGCCGTTCTAGCATTTGAGAACGATACAACACAAAAAGTCTGCATTATTTACGGTGCACATGGTACATTCTGCGCCGGCTTCGATCTTCATGAAGTCGCGAAGTGGAATCCTGCCCAGGGAACAGACAACTACCTCGGTCCAATCATTGACTCAAACCATAAAGTTGAGGACCGAAATATCGGCCCCATTGGACCCTCAAGAATGCAGGTAAAGAAGCCGGTCATCAGCGCGGTCGCAGGCTACGCTGTCGCTGGGGGCTTGGAGCTCTCGCTCATAGGTGACATGCGCGTTGCCGAGGAAGATGCTGTCTTCGGTGTGTTTTGCCGAAGATTTGGCGTTCCCCTCATTGACGGCGGTACTGTTCGGCTACCGGCCATCATCGGCCTCGGCCGAGCAATGGATATGGTTCTCACTGGAAGACCTGTTTCGGCACAGGAAGCGTTGCAGTTTGGACTGGCGAATCGTGTTGTACCCAAGGGACAGGCTCTGGTGGAGGCGACCAAGATTGCGAAGCAGCTTCTTACCTTTCCGCAGGAATGTATGAATGTGGATCGTGCTAACTGTTATTACTCTGTTCATAACGCATCTTCGTTTCAGGATGCGTTGAGGAATGAGTTTGAGAATGGTGTCAAGGTGATTACTACGGAGAGCGTGAAGGGCGCTGCGAACTTTAGTAGTGGCGCTGGACGACATGGAGCTTTCGAGACAGCCAAATTTTAGGGCTCTCCGCTACCATTTATGTAATATGTCAATTGTCTTCTCCTCTTGCAATCAATAAATACATTCTTCCAGTACAGGGAATCCTTCTGTGACCTCTTCGTAAGGTCTCTTGTCTTCACAGGCTACTCTCTGTGAGTCGAGTACTCTCGCTGGTCACCCACTCTAAAGGTTCCTGTTCCATTCTGGTATATATGGTGAGTCTTGGGTCTGGTCCCATCGGCTGGAGTGATTCGAGCACTGATGATATATTCTCGATCATTCCGGTTGTAATGAGATTGGTGGATCGGACTTGAACCATCGTTCCGATGTCTAATGGAAATATTAGTATTGCTTACATATCTTCAATAGGTATAAGTGGTTTGCCGTACAAGATCTCGATAGACTCGATCTCGCCAACTTTCTGTAACAAGTAAGTTGTCTGAAACATTAATGGGTGATTGACGGAGTCTTTACCTTCCTGGCACCGTTCTCAGAGTAGAACTCAACAGCTTCCTTGAATCCATCAGTTAGACTCTCCTTAGGAAACCCTAACCATCTTATAAAACTGCGAGCGGTTGAAGAGAAGTATCGAGACATGATGAAATAACGTATACGTAAAGAAAGAGATTAATGTAATATAGTGTAATGTGTATTGGTGATGGATTGTAATCTTGCTTTTCAAATTACTTCTCATCTCTCAGGTGTACAAGAGCAGGTATTTATACATATGAATTCTCAATGCACATACCACTGACATCAGTATGTGCAACCATCCTGTCAAGAGCAACGGCGGCTGTTCTAACGTGTCTTGCTAAGAATATCTTGTATTAGAAGTATCTTATGTGGATCATTGCTTGAGGTCTCATCCTATGAGATAGAATCAATAAGCGCCCCAGAGATGAAGGGCGGGTAAACAATTTTAAGTTTAAGAGAAGCCCCTACGAGGACCCAATGCGAGACTACAGAAACTGGAAATAATAAAATGTAAGGACCTTCACATGCCCGTTAGCTGCAGGTAAGTTAGAGGTCGAGCCAGGGCCGCATCACTAACAATATCATAGCGGCAATGAGAAACATCTATTGGAAGACCATAGCGCAATGCGGGTATTGCTGACGAATGTGATGTTGAACCGGGGCGGCTGCTGCGGGTCCAACTCCAACCTGATTGGCGGGCTAGTCGCCTGACTAATCAGAGTTCGTTACCACCAGCTAGTGAAACTGCCGACAAACCTGAACAAGACATCATAATTTCATGTCCATCCTTTCTCCCAGCGCCTCGGCCAAACGTGTATTAATCGGTGATATTCAACTTTCCGTTCAAATTCCCATAAGAATAGACGCCTCAGACGCGTCCAAATGGCCTCATTTCTTCGAAAAATACCGTGGCCTGGCCGGGCATGGAAGCCTCTCGTCTTCTCCAATCCCAATTTCCAAAGAATCCCCTTGGAGGAGAAAATAGAGGAGGAGCTTTTTCCTGACTATGTCGCATCTCGCTACTATCCCGCCAAGATTGGGGAAGTCCTTCGAGACCGTTACCAGGTGGTTGGGAAATTAGGCTTCGGAGCTAGCTCGACAGTTTGGTTGGCGCGCGACTTGAAGTATGTATATTCAAGACCATTTAACAACGCCTTTTCCCCCAAGAACAGCTCTTTGAAGAGCTCTATGCTAACACTAACCAGTGGCCGTCGACATGTCGCGCTCAAACTGTTTATAAATTCTCAGTCTATGGGCCAGCAGCTGGACAATGAGCTCGAAATGTACAAACGTATCTCTGCCTCATCAACAAAGCATCCTGGTCGAAGTGCTGTGAGAGAACTGCTCGACTCATTCGACGTTATTGGGCCGGATGGGTCTCATCGTTGTCTGGTTCACCCTCCACTCTGGGAGAGTATTTGGACATTCCTGAATCGCAATCCAGTGGGAAGGCTGCCTCCAGTGGTCCTTGCTGTCACCTTGCGTCGTCTCTTCCTCGCTCTCGATTATCTCCATACGGAGTGCAAGGTCATACATACAGGTGCAGTTATGCAGTCCCGACTAAAGGTCGAATATCTTCTTAACTATTGATGCATAGATATCAAAGGAGACAATATCATGTTTGGTATTTATGACGACTCGGTTTTCACTGCCTTCGAAGAGGAGGAACTGAGTGATCCGACTCCACGAAAGGAGGTAGACGGCAGAACCATATACATATCACGAGAGCTCCGAAAGCCAAAGGATTACGGTGCTCCAGTACTATGCGACTTTGGCTCCGCCGTTCCTGGCGATATAGAGCATTACGAAGATATCCAACCAGACATATACAGAGCTCCCGAAGTCATCCTTCAAGCTCCTTGGTCTTACAAGGTGGACATATGGAACGCGGGATGCATGGTAAGTTACTGAACGGACAGGTTATTGCACTGGAACTTACTTGTCTCTGTACCAGATTTGGGATGTTTTCGAAGGTCGGCACTTGTTCACTGGACATGACCCCGAGTTCCAGAAATACCGCAGCAGGGCACATCTCGCCGAAATTATCGCGCTCCTCGGTCAGCCTCCATCCGAACTCCTTGAAGCCGGCAAGTCAAGCCACAAATTCTTTACGGGCACCGGTAAGCCGCATTGAACGGACATTATAATTGCATCCATTTACTAACCAGCGGTCTCTCTAGGTGACTTTCGTAATGAGATTGACATTCCTGAAAGCACGTCTCTTGCTGAGCAGGAAATCAGTCTTGAAGGTGAGAGAAAACAGATGTTTCTTGCTATGATGAGCAGAATGCTTCAGTGGGATCCAGCTCAGAGATCGTCGGCGAAAGAGCTTGCTGAAGACCCGTGGATCATGGCGTATATGTAAGATATCTTGGTGCCTAGCAATGTCGGAGTATTGTAATTTACATCAGGATACTTTTCTTATGCACATCCTGATTGTTTCACGGACCAAGCTTGCTCGTCAGCGTCGTTAAAGCAGCAAGAAATGGAGGCATTTCCCTCCGCTCTCATTGTATGTACTCTTTTGAAGGTGTCTTTGTCTTCGAGACTCGCCCATTATTTCTTCATAAGACAAGATCACCCGTGCTCTTTCGTGCCTGATCTGATCCTGTTTTTTTTTTTTTTTTTTAACCGATCAAAGGGCCATTCTGTCGCTTCCTCATTCTTCCTGCAATGGCAAGTGAAGCTTCCCTGCCGCTCGTCACCAACGTGGTTGCATCTATGCTCATTTGTTACTGATTAGAAGCAGAGCCGTTCACTCACTGTCGTATTATGATTGCATATGGCCACAGCAGTTGCAGACTCTGCAGATTCTACATGGTTGGCTTGGTAGGAGAACATGTAACAGCATCCAGAGCTGGACCCATGAGTTAAAAGGTCTCGTCCAATTCTCTTCAGATGCAGCCAAGTCTCTATGTTGGTCTCCCTACATTGCACTTTGTTGTGTACCTTAGGGAAAGATGTATCAAGATGTAAGTGGCCCTCATCTGTGTCACGAGATGAACACTTCACGCGATTTGCACGTGATCAAGCTCTGACCCGCGCAAAGTCTCTCTTTGGCGCCAGCATTTCATACGGACATTATACCCTTCCGAAAGCATCATTGTGTAGGGTGTCAAGGCGCTCCTTACAGTATCATCATTATCGGAATTCATAAGATTCCACTATGGAAGCTTGTGGGGTGGAGCTAGATAGTGTAGCAGAATCTTAAGACCTGGTGTCCGAGAAACCATGGGGATATATATATTCGATGTACAATGCTTTTGCGGCAGCGAAACAAAGTTAGATACCCAATACGAAACAGACTTTCTGTACTGATACAATTGGGTACTATTCCTGTTGAATGAGAGCCGTGTGGAGGAAGATCCGTAATTTACTACCGAATGACAGGGTGGTTCATTACATTCAGTCTGTAGTTTCCTAACTCCCTGTTCTATATTTCTACGATTACAAAGCGTCCTTGGCCGACCGAAACGGTCAACAACACAGGTTGCCGAGGAACGATGAAGAGGTACGGACTTCTGATGCAATGGCTGTCGTTACGTCTGCTCGTAACGCGCGCTTAGCTGTGACTCCAACTGTAACGTGAACCTCGGCGCTTACAGTATGGATCGTCAAAACCTACCCGTCGGGCCTCAAAGTACATAAACAAAAGAAGAAAAGGCATTAAATCCATTAGTTGATAATATAAGGTTTATATTAGCTAATAACTGGGCTCTATTAGAGAAATCCAATTGGCTTATCACTTAAGCCCTGGGTACCCAGGGGTATTTATTTTAAGCCCTACTTTTAAACAACCTTTAGCTGCTTTCAATGTCCCTTTATCCTGACATCAAACTTATATGTCGAAGCCAAGAAATCCAGTTGCGTGCTCAACACCCGCCATACTCAATCGCATCTAAGTCTCGACGATATGGGTATCGTACCTACGGGCCTCGTTCGCAAGCTTTACGAGGACGCGAGTCAAATCACCGAATCGGCTCCTTATTTCTGGAAAGTCTGGTTAGATAAATCATTTCATGAAATGGATATCTACGCCGTTATTTACGAACACGATCCAGAGGCATCCCTCAATAGTGTTGATGTTGTTGTTGTGCAATACGATGCTGTCCACCATACTCTGACGCCTGTGCTCTTCACTCACTCGAAATGGGTATCAGAGGACATTGGTCAGTATGAGGAACAGGTGGTCAAAGCAGCGTTGACATACATGGCGCGTGGAAATTTGCAAAGAGTTCATGCACTAACTACAGTTGGATTGTCGTTTCAGGTCTGGGTTGTGAATCGAGAGAAGGAAGAGCTGGAGCCATTCAAGGATAGCGAAAAGTACATCGATGCTGACTGCGAAGAGGCTGATATCCTTGTGCGATTTGTTGATAGCATCGAGCAGACCAACCGCTGAGGCGACGTCCTCTGATCACGGAGTGCTTGCTCTCTTTTGTAGAAGGTAAAGCAGCAGGCGAGGTCCTGAGTGTTTTACATTCTTTGAAAGGTCTTTGATAACATCGATGAGATGGCACAAAATGGAATAAAATTAGTAAACATTCTTATTGCCTCGTCTGCCAGTTACCCCATAGAGTTACATAACCCTTTCGAGCTATATTACTCTCTATTTATTACTAATACTAACTCTGCCTAGTTATATTTTATTTTGGGCCTATAGGATTAATATAGATTATAAATACTCTACTATACTCTGGAGTACTACAATGTGGAACAGCTTTTAACTTCAAAATGTAGAAGAATTTAACACAAGGCTTAAGTATGTAGCATATATTTTCACCTCTAATACTTGCCTTCAACTGGGTTCAACTGTAGCCATTTTGATCCCCAATACCCCAAAGACCTACATCCATTTGTTTCCAACCACATGTATATCCTGATCTATCTAGGCAAATCCTTTATGAGTTATCCGTCTTAATATTTCCTCCCCGTGACTGAATATACTCTTGCCGCGTCTGAAACTCGAAGTTGGGAGCCACCATTACATCATGATATATATCATGTGGTATAGGAAAAGAGACGTCACCCCATCCGCTGACCCATTTATCAGAAATACGTTCCCCATGACGCACCTTGGCATCCTCAACCAATGTATCTACATCCAATGGCACACCGGGATTGAAGTCGCAGCGGAAAATCGATGTCTGATTTACCAAGTGCTCGATAACCTGCCCGAACCTTGGATCCATTGCATATTTGGCCGTTCTCTCCTCGAGACTTGTTGGTCTCAGAGATGCCAAGAGTCCTGTTTCCAAGCAGATATTCCAAGCTTTTGAGCTGGCAATGTCTGTATGGATGGCCCTCTGAAAAATATCTTCACAATACTCGCCGTAGGACCCAGCCTCAAGAAAGAAAGTGAAGCACTTGGTAGGGAGGCCCGAGTCTGCCACAGCGAGAGCATCGAGAAGCCAGGAGCATATATCGCTGTCAAAGTCCCAGTTCACAATCTCTCGGTGCACATCAACCTTGTTTATGTGAATAGCAGCCAATCGGGGTTGAGGACACTGGCTTGCCAGGCAACCGAAGACATTGACGCGACGTTCGACTCGCAGTAGAAGGTTCTCTTTGAACAAGGGAACTAATCCCTTGGCGTGGAGCGAGGGTACATTTACTGACGGTAAATCCTCGTGCAATGCAAGCCTTCGAACCTGGGTCCGGGTGTTGATACCAAGTCGCTTGAGGAATCGGATAGCAGCAGCGGTAGCGGAGAATCTCAGCTTCTCTCGACACCGAATGTCGAATTGTTCCAATAGGCTATCTGGCTTATCGAACTCTGGAGCAAGCCTGCCTTGGGAGATGCTTGTGTCGATATTTTCGTAGAAACCCCTAGGTGCATAGTGCCACATATCGGCGAGCTCCCAAACAAAGTCCGCAATGTCGAGCAAGGCTAGTGTTTTGGTTACTTCCTCTTGTGAAGGGATGTCCCAGAGGTTGAATCTGATCTTGAGAAAGTCTTGTGCTGAATACTTTCCAACCCATTGGGGGAGTGACGCGTACACGCAATTCGCAAACTCGTTAGGATGTTCGTTGGCGATAAGTTGCAGACAATGAGATAACGCAACTCGAACCTCGCCGCAATCTTTGTCCCAAGGTCGGTTCCATTCGCCCCATGAAGGATCTGCTTCGATTGCATTCTCAATGGAGCGAAAAGGGCAAGAGAAAGATTTCAGGCCGTAGGCCTCGATCAAATCAACCTTTTTCAGGAATTGCCGTACCATGCTACATAGGCTAGGCCGCAAATTATCACCCTCGAAAAAGATTTCACGTTCGGTGTTCTCATCCATCCACATCTGGTGCCTGGCCAGCTCGATTTCAAGCAATGCCTCAAATCTCGGACACATTGACTCAACCTCGGCGATCATCTCAGGAGTGATGAATTCAGCAAGATGGAGCACGAAGTCTTGCTCCAGCACGTAGTAGGTGGCAGCAGCCAGATTAAAGCAGCCGGCCAAGCTGCACCAGTCTTGACGGAAGACGGTTGAGAAGTGGATAGTGTTGACGGCTAGTGGGATTATTCTCGTATCATTGGCAATAGAGCGACAGGTATACCGAAGGGAGAGATCAATCGCGGTATGGGCTTTATCAGCATTTGTCAGTTTGTCAGTTTGAACATTGTAAACATAGCCGCCATCTACCTTGAGACACTCTTTGAAGATTTGCTGACGAATCTCAGACGGGAGACTTGTGAGGGTTTTCGGAGCCATAATGGTGCAGGCGATGATGGTAAAGGGCAGAGTCGAGGATGGTGATGAAAGGGCGAAGATTTTGGAGGGGCAGGGGGGTTCTTATAGTGGGTGGTGTGGAGTTCATGAGTCATGCAAGGTGGCCAATCAAAGGAAGAAGCAACATAGACTTTCACAGAAGCAGAAGAGAGGAGCAGAGAGTTTTGCGGCCTATAGCACAATTAATTTTTTTTCCCTTGCTTTCAACCTTGTAAGAGGCCATCTAGCTTTTTAGCTTTTTTATCAGTAACGTAAACAAAGAGACCTCTATAGCAGGCCATCATAACAGAAGTCAATATCAGATAAGGTTTATCTGCCTCAATGACGCGATTGCTGCCTTAACCAAGCAGTACAAATACCAGCTGCAGGTCCACTAAGAGTCAGCTGCATGTCATGAGATATGAAGGTGGGGGGTAGCACGTACTTACCTCTCAGCAGCTGGATCAACCTTCTTCCTTCAACCCACCTAAAGGACTAAGATACCGCAGGTTAGCTTCCGGTATAACAGCGAAAGAGAGGAATCGCATGCCTACTCCTCAGTCGACCTCTATAACCTTCTTAAAGGTTAGTATCGATGAAGATGAGGCAGAAGATGAGAGATAAAAGGTATAAGGCGAAGAGAGGGCATAGTAAAGGCTGATGCTATCTAGCGCCCTGCAACTTGCATGATGCAAGACAGGAGTCGATAGACAAGAGGCAAGGAAAGAGTATACTTACATACCACGCCTGATTCATCCATCGCACTTCCACTCAAAGGTCAGTCAGAGCCTAACCCAGTAGAAGATTGACCAGCAAACTCACAAGTACGTTACCCGACCTGACTTTTCCTCTACCCTGTTAGCTAAATTCCAACAGCAGCGGTAAAGGCAACTTACATACCTGTTGGTCACACTTGCTGACATCAATCATAGCCACCGTCACGATGCCTGCTGCTAGTAAAGTCATGATTAGAAAGGTATGATGCCAGCGAAAGATAGATTGCTACTTACTTCGCAATAGCCTGCAGCCCGATCAGGGCTATTGCACGACCAACCACAATCTCATCGATGCGATCGGACCGGCCCTAAAGCAAGCTGCGGGAAGAGATTGCCGCGCATTGCGTACAATGGCCGCAGCCATCAGGAAGAACTTCTCGTCAAGGGGGAAGTCTAGCCTAGTCACTAATGATAGATATTTTTAGTTTGGGCTTAGAGGCATGTATGAGGTGACTTACGGATGGCTGTCTTTGATTGCAGCCTGATCGAGTTGATTAGTCGTACGGATCCGGGTTACCTAGGAGGCACGATATCTCCAGCCTGGATTGACCGAGAGCTATCTGGATTGAAGAAGCTAGAAAAAGCCCTAAGGCACGACTGGCCTCTAACGGCAGAAGAGGCAGCTTTCCTTGCTGCCTTCACGGGCCTGCTAAAGGTTATTAGTAATAGGCCCAATATAATCAGGTAGGGAAGTTACAACTCAGCCCGGTATGAAGAGTGGCTCATCAACGTGATCATAGAGGCAGAATGGGTACTCTGCATCCTCCCTATCGTATGCAAACTAGAGTAAAATACTAGGTCAGTATAAGTAAGATAAATAGAGAAATACCTTAGTCCAATACCATACAGACTAGGCTGGTCATAGTCTTAGACTTTAAGAGCGTAGCTGCTAAGGATAGCCAGGTCAGTGGTAGTTCGGGGAACGATAGAGAGTAGGGCCTGCATGGGCTTACGGACGGGGAGTCTGCGTACAGAGTTCTGCTGGCCAGTGAATGTCAATGGGTAGACGGGACAAGGTCAAGGGAAGAGGAGAAGGGACATACGGATGAACGCGTGGTAAAGGCGGGGCTCTGCTAAAACATGTTAGAGTCGGGGCGAACAGAGAGGTCGGAGTGAGGTGAGGAGGAGGCGAAGCCCTACGGACCAGAAATTCTGTCAAAGTCAGAATCTGGGGTTGTCAGGCAAAGTCGAAGTAGCGAAGACGGGGGGCAGCGTACGTACTGAAGGAATTGTGTTGAGTCTGCTGGTTCAGAACAGTGGTTAGTAAGTTAATCGCCATGATGAGAGGGTTGGGGAAACTGTGACTTACTTACTTTGTGTAAGTTAGTTGGCGAAAGTCAAATCGACCTGAAGTCATGACTAGCTGAGTAAGTTGGACCAGAGTCAAACGAGGGAGATGAGAGGACTTACCTCAATCAATTGAATGCACGTGGTGGGGCACGTGACCAATCGATCTTGCGTACGAGAACTGGTGAACCGTGTTAGTACTCATAGAAGGAGATGGAGAACAGTTTGACGTACCAGATAAAGTGAAATCAGTGAAAAAGCAGTGGTCTAAACTGGGGAGATCCCTCTTCAGATGTTGAATCCAGAGAGGAAGCTCAAAGTCGTTGTATAGATAGAGAGAATGAGTAAGGCATCGAAGTGATGCATGGGAGTGAGTAGTGGTGACTCTTGAAGAGAAGCCTCGGGACTTAAATCTTGCCAAAGGGTGTGGAGTAGTCTTGTAACACAGTCTGACAGACTCGATCTCATCTATACCCCGTGCGTGGAGGGGATTAACCTCCACCCTCGACGTAGAACATCGAGCCCGCCTGAGCAATTGCGAACTGGCCGAGGTTAAAGTAAACCATGGCCCAGTCAACGGCGAACTTGAGGTGAGTGGTGAGCAGCGTCTTCCAGTTAAGTGCTCCGATGCGCTCAATCAACCTCAGCCTGGCGGAATGAAGGTCTGAGCAATGCATGAACAGGTGATAGACGGTCTGGGTATGATGACCGCATGTACATGCCGCTCTGATGGGTTGCCTGATGGTGTCGTTGGATCCTGGAACCTTCACGTCTCGGGTCGCCCCGATCTTGCTCAGGTATCCATTGAGCCCGATGCGCTCGGTGCGCAACTGTAGTGCAAGCGTGGACTGAGGACGAGTCAAACCCTTGTAGTAGCCTAAGCTAACCCGACCTCGCTTCTCCTCGATAGCAGCGGGACGGTGTCTTGTGTGCGAACTCTAGCAGTTCGCTTGCGGCGGTAGGTGATCCAGGATGCGGCACACTTCGACTCTGCTTCCCATTTCGCTTGGTTTTTGATGGCGTCCTTTCGTCTGGCCGGGATCATCCAAGCTTTCAATGCCGCTTCATCGCTGCCTTTCTGGCCCTTGCGGAAATACTCGGCGGTTCTCCCCGCTAACCCGTACGCTTTTTCGTCAAGCTTCTGGTACGGGGTCATCTGGTAAAGGCTATCCTTAGGCGGTGCTGTGAAGGTTTCAAACCAAGCATCGTTCTTGGGAACTTCCAGAGCCTTAGCCCGCGAAGTCATGGACATGCGGCAAAGGAACTCTCGAATGCCCTCGATGTCGATGTCCTTGAGAACCGTATCACCAGAGCTACCACGAAGGCCCCCAGAGATCAGCAACAGACACTTGTACTGCAGTTTCCCAAGTCGCCGAATCTGCTTGGGCTTGAGGGACCACGGGATCCTTTGACCCGGACAGTAGAGAAACCAGGCAGCGCAAGCATGTGATATGATGGGTCGAATCTTGGACATGTAGTACCTCCTCGTCTTGTTGAGCCGGATACCCCAAGTCAGTCCTGAAAGCGTGCGGAAATGTCGTAGTGAATTGTTAACCTTCTTCTCAAGGTTGGAGATGTGATGCGAAAAGGTAAGAGGCGGATCCAGAACCACTCCAAGGACCATCAATTTCTCTTTCTTGAGAGCTTCAGGGCTGTTCTTGAGTCCATCAATGTCCGGTAGAAGCTCGCAGGGAGGATCGGGGTCGTTGGTAGGCCTGAAATGCATGACAGTGTACTTATGCGGTGAAAAGGTCAGACCGACGGAAGAAGCCCAGGTGATGATTTCATCATGGAATATCTTCAATCCTGCGCAGTTCTTCTCGTAGGAGTTGGAGACGGCGAGGAGATACGTGTCATCCACGTAGGAGAAGGATAAGACCTCGATACCGTCCTTTCCAAGCTTCTCTCTGTCCTCGTTGATCTTCCGGAGAAGAGGTGCAGTGAAGATGAGGAACAGTAACGGAGAGAGAGGCGAGCCTTGCGGAATGCCGATAAGCATGTAGAAAGCCTCTGACAGGCTCTGGGGCAGCTTGAGCATGACGATCCGATAGGAGAGATACGAGTGCATTATCCAAAGGAAAAACTCGGGCACTCCAAGATCTGCAAGCATCTGGAGGAGTAGTGCAGGGTCAACACAGTTATAGGCGCCAGATACATCGAGACCCATCATAGTCACCTTCTCCCTAGTCAACTTCCAGCGTTTCTTGAACTTTTTGCTCAGTTTCCGAGACCAGGCTTTGTGAATCACACCTATTATGCTTTGAATAGCATGTGTAGTGGACTTGCCAGGCGCGCCATACTGGGTTTCAGGAAGAAGATCGTAGTCCATCACAAACTTCTTGAGCCGATCAGCGAGCATCCTTTCAAAAAGCTTCCCCAAGCAGGAGAGGAGTGCAATGGGGCGCCAGCTGTTGACGGCTTCATAGCTATCCTTCCCTGACTTGGGTAGCATTACCGTAACGGCGGTTCTGAAGGCTTGAGGAAAGTGTTTGAGATCGATACAAGCATTGAAGAGAGCTGCGAGCAAAGGAGCAAGCTCCTTTATGGCCATCTTGAGTTGCTCGTTGCAGATCTGGTCATGGCCCGAAGCCTTCCGGTTAGGTAGCTTGCGGATAAGGATCTCGATCTGTTTCGGCGTGATCTTCCGTTCAATGAAGCGCCGCAACCTGCGTTTCAACGTGGGGAAAGGAACCTCCTCTGGTTGATCGAGATCGCTTGTCCTTGCCCATGTCTTGCATCGCACCCTGTCCTGCTTTTCCTCCTCAGTGACAAAGGTGACGACACCGTCATCGTTGGTAAGCGCCGGCATGTTCTTGACAATCCGGTCGAAAGCCATTCTGCATGCTAGCCTTACTTGAAACCAAAAGGCGTCCATTGACTCGCCTGTCTGCTGGAGATACTGACGCCAAGGTGTTTGTTTCTTGGGCGGCGGCTTTAGATTGAGTTCGAAAGCAGACGCGTTGGGGCCAAGACCGTCGCCAT